CATTCAACAAAATACGCATTGCCGAAGGAGACGAATGTAAAACAGCGTTTATTACACGTTACGGGTTGTTCGAGTGCCTGGTAACGCCCTTCGGATTGTGTAACGATCCCGCTTATTTCCAAGATTACATTAATCAATCCCTTCATGATATTCTCGATCAATACTGCTCCGCGTACCTCGACGACGTTCTTATCTTCTCTGAGTCTTTGAACGAACACGTCAAGCAAGTTGATGAAGTTATCAAGAGGCTTTCCGAAGCAGGCCTCCAACTTGATATTGATAAATGCGAATTTCACGTTCAGAAGACCAAGTACCTAGGGTTAATCATCGGCGCCGACGGCATCTCAATGGACCCTGACAAGGTCCGCACCGTGCTCGAATGGCGATCCCCTGATACGGTAGAGCGTGGCCGGCTCAAAGAATTGCAAAGATTTCTAGGCTTCGCTAACTACTACCGCCGATTCATCAAGGGATACTCGAAGATCGCTAGACCCCTGACATCCCTTACGGCGGCCAAGGACTGGTGCTGGACTCCTGAGTGCCAAACAGCCTTTACCAGCCTCAAACACGCCTTTACCGTTGCGCCAGTCCTAGCATATTTCGACCCATCTCGGAAGAGCATACTGGAAACAGATGCTTCTGATTGGGCTTCGGGGGGCATATTATCTCAGATCGGCGACGATGGACAGGTGCGCCCAGTGGCATACTATTCCTCGAAGCATACTGCTCAAGAATGTAACTACGAAATTTACGACAAAGAACTTCTCGCCATCATCAAGTGTCTGGAAGAGTGGCGCCCTGAGCTTCAAGGATCGACACACTTCGACATATTTACCGATCACAAGAACTTACAATACTTCATGACAACGAAACAGCTAAACCAACGACAAGCGCGATGGGCGGAGTTTCTGGCACAATTCAATTTCACCATCGTTTACCGATCAGGGGCTCGCTCCGAGAAACCAGACGCATTGAGTCGCATGCCGGGAACCACCCCAGACTCTGCTGACGACCAACGCCTTGATTATAGAAAGCAGCAACTGCTACCAGATGCTAAGCTGGAGCAGGGCGTCAAGTTCCACTTAACTGCCCTCGATTGCATCGAATCTGATGACGAACGTATCGACGAGCTGCGACTGTACATGCGGGTGCTCGACTCTGACGATATCCCGATTGATGACTTGATTGAACAAGCATATGATACATCCGCAGATATTACTCTGATGAAACAGGCCTTACAGAACTCGAAGCGCAATTGGCCTAAACCAATCAGAGCACAGCTCCAGCGCATTCCTATCAAGGACTGTAAGGTCATTAGGGACCGTATCTACTGTGATGGCAGATTGTTCATCCCTGATGACGACGACTTGATTCTCCAAGTTATTCGACGCTCCCATACGGCTCCAACAGCCGGCCACCCGGGTCGTACCAAAACAGCAGAGCTGGTTCGGCGCACCTACATATGGATCAACATGCACAAGGACATTGCACAGTTCGTGAGGAACTGTCACCAGTGCCTGCGGTCAAAGCCCTCTATGTCAGCCAAGTTGGGACTCCTTCAACCACTTCCCGTGTCCGAACACTCATGGGAGGATATCTCTATTGATTATGTCGTAGACCTACCGGAATGCCACTACAGGGGCGTCAAGTATTGCAATATACTCGTCGCCGTCGACCGCCTGACGAAGATGAGACACTTTGTTCCGGTGAAATCGCTTGAAGTGCTGGACCTGGTAGATGGATTCGTCGACAGAGTCTGGAGCCTCCACGGTACACCTCTGACAATCGTTAGCGATAGGGGTGCTCAATTCCTCTCACTGTTCTGGCGTCAACTCTCTAGACGACTCGGCACTGAATTGAGGCCGTCTTCAGCTCATCACCCTGAAACAGATGGTCAAACGGAGAACGCCAATGCAGGAATGGAAGCCTACATTAGAAGCTATACATCTGATCTCCAAGACGACTGGGCCCGGTGGCTCCCCCTAGCGGAATTCCAATCAACAACGCAACGTCCGAGAGCACCGGCATCTCGCCGTTCTACGCAAATTACTTCTTCCATCCCCGGCTAGGAAGTGCACCTACCGGCCCCCGACCTCCCAAGATGACCAAAAAGCAGAGGGAAGATTATTTCGAGGCTAACGCCATGGCGGATAGATTTGAGGCCATGACCAACTACTTGCGCACGGCTATGGCGGACGCCCAGGAAACGCAAGCACGCTACGCCAACGCCTCACGTAAAGCAGCCCATTTCGAAGAGGGCGATATAATGTTTTTGGACACAAGAGACATTAAGACAACTCGGCCGTCGAAGAAGTTCGACTCCAAGCGGGAGGGGCCATATGAGGTTGAAAAAGCATACAAGTCTGCATGTAGGCTAAAGCTTCCGGAAGGCTCCAAAATCCACCCAGTCTTTCACCACAGCAAGTTGACTAAGGCCCTCGACGACCCTTTGCCCGGCCAATATCGCCTCAACGAAAGACCGGTCCAGAAATCGGTTTTGGTGCACCATGACGACTTGGAGGAAGACCGAGTGGAGTTCGAGTTTACTGAGATACTAGCACAACGCGGTAGAGTAAATATCAGCTACCTGGTTCAATGGAGCGAGGCTCGTGCCGACTGGCAAGAAGCTGAAAACTTGAGGGGCTGCTGGGATCAACTCGCTGAGTTTTATGCTAAGCATCCCAATAAACCACGACCTCGCATGTACATTGAATACCTTGAGGAACAGGCGAAGCAAAAAGGAAACAGGCGACAGCGCGAGCGCCGATTTTACAATGTTTCATAAATACGAAAAGGGGGAATACGTGTCTACATATATCTTGTAGGAGGAATTGGTCTTATATTCAACGCCGAGACGACGTTGTTTAGAGGGGGGCATCTGTCACGGGGCTAGGGCCGTGCACCGCATGTATATTGGTACTGCACGAGCTGGCTGATGTTCCATTCTTCGTGCTACAACAATAAAGTACTGGTACCCCCATACACGACCCTGACATTAACTATATCTTCTATATCCTTAACCGTAGGCGAAACCCCTTTTAAGTCTCTATCTAAAATATACTTAATAGCCTCTTCTTCTACTTCTATTATTTTCATCGAATTAGCGCGGCTATCGCGTCGTATAGTCCAGCCGCTTATCCTATCACGTAATATTAATTCTGTGACGCCGGTCACGATGCCTGGCCCCTAGGCCCCTGAACGAACAGGGACACCCTAGTATAGGTGTCCCACCTGTACGCACTGCCCTTTTCCTTATAATGTAGGAAAGGGCACTTGCACTTAGATCTCTTTCTCTCTCTTCTTGTCAGAGCCACAAGTGTCATCCGAGGCGGGCCGGCTTCTACCAGGTAGGAAGCCGTTTGTGGCGGCTAGAGAGCCGCTTGTGGTGAATGAGAGCCGTTGAAGCCGTTTGCAGCGGATAGGGAATCGCTTGTTTGCAGATAAGGAGCCGCTATCCGAGATATTGGCCGAAGTCGGAGGAACACAGGCATACGGAGGCAAACATCCAGAATCCAAGAGAGAACCTCGGCTGGCTATAAGTAAGGAGTCGAGACGGAGGAAGATAGAGAGGGCAGAGATCAATGAACTACTGTGGACACCCCTACCTGCCATCACCAAGTGACCACCAGGGGGACACGCCTATTTCTCCCCTTCACTCTGTACTATCGCCTTCGGTCCAGGCCGTAACCTGACACTTCTTCAGTTTAGTATTCGTCAACAGAGATAGACTGATGTCGCAACCCTGATTCGAACTTACAGTGCCTCTGCCGTGTCACAAATTCTCGTATGTTATAGATAGTTATAGATAGTTATAGCCTTACAACAACATAATTTTAAGTCTCATTAGTAGTGAAACGGGTTCAGGCGGTCAGTAGAATATACCCACCACCTAACACACTGAAAAGATGGCTACAGTAGCCTAGACAGCTAAGTTTCAACTTGGCGTCTTTTAAATTAGGTTCTGTAATTAGTCGTAGAGAGATAGGTTATAAAAGTTAAGGGAGCGTGTTTTAGGGAAAAGTGCGCGACTCGCTTGTGAATCACGTTATAGGGTTCGTACTTAGCTACTAACTGTTTCTCGAGACCTTCTAACAGCCCTAAACTTAGTTTAAAATGTAGAACATGATAGAGACACTAAATCACGGAGACGGAAGTGGGTTGTTTGTTACAGGCTGTAGCCTGCATGGAGGTTATCGTTAATTCTCTTAAACCTTTACTATACGATCTCCAAAGTCAACCTTACCTGATAAAAAGGTTGTTGCAAGGTTTCACGGACACGTGGGTATATTCAATCCGCTAATTTGGGAGGACAGATATTTGTTTTCTTTTCCCTTCTTCAAGTTTGAGATACTCGTCAATAGGACAATCAACTGAACAGTCAATTATGTGACGGTTGTCACGTGATTGATCCACACTGGTCTGAACAGATTGATAAGTGGTTGCAGATACCACAGTCAGGGACTTTGGTATTGGTCTCTTTTGGTGAAGACATCTGGTACGGTGGCGTAGTGGCAAGGATTGCAACCCCTGGCGCGGCGTGACAAATTAGAACTTATATTGATCACGCCTCACATCTTGAAACCGTACCGGTGGGCTGCCGCGGCCTGGCTGTATTCCTGACGGAGAAGCTTTGTAGCGCGCTCGATTCACTGCTTGAATCATTATTTTTCCCCCTGGATTAGCCATTTTGTGTGTGGTTATAGAATTGTGTGAAGTGAACGAGAGACGCGTTGATGCTTGGTTTGCAAAAAGGTGGTCTATGCGGTTAGCCCACAATTGATAATCGATAACATATCGATAAGAGCTTCAGCCACAGGCCGAACGTCACTGCCTGACACTATTTGGATTCAACCAGACATTTCTGAAATCATATATGTCATTGTTCGTACTGAAGAAACTTGGCTCAATATCGTCTGACAACTAAAATCTTGGATGGTCGCAAACACTACTGTCCCTGCGAATCATCTGGCTGCAACTTGTGGAATATCGTCATCGCCACAATGACCGAGATCGTGACGAGCCAAACCCCTCCGATCCTCCACGGACCATCGGAAAAGGAGAAGAAGTACGACCGGCAGCTCAGACTATGGGCCGCAAGCGGCCAAGCAGCCCTCGAGTCAGCAAATATTTTGTTGGTCAATTCCGGCGCTGGTACTGTTGGTGTCGAGACCCTGAAGAACTTGGTGCTGCCGGGTAAGACCACTTCAACCTGATTACTACCGTCGTGTAGGCGATCAGCAATGCTAAACTTGCGGCAGGCATTGGTAAATTTACCATTGTTGACGACGCTATTGTGAGCGAGACGGATCTGGGAGTCAACTTTTTCCTCGATGAGAGTTGCTTGGGAAAACTCCGCTCACAATGCTGTGCCGAACTGTTGCAAGAATTGAATCCCGATGCTCAGGGTGACTGGTATCCGAAGGAGAAGGCTTCTGTGAACCTGGGCCAAATTCTGGACAGCATGCCGATGTATACTCTCATCATGTACACTCTGCCCATCAGACCGGAGGACTTGGCTGCTATCAAGACTTATGGGCGCAAACACCAGACCCCTCTGATCTCGATCCATTCGGCGGGCTTCTATTCATATTTCCAAATCAATCTACCTGGAGCGTTCCCCATCGTAGACACTCATCCGGAAGTCGAGAAGACGGTGGACCTGCGTCTCCTGCACCCATGGCCAGAACTGGTCAAGTTCTCGCAGGAGATGACGAAGGATATCGACAGTGCCAGTGACCACGACCATGGTCATTTGCCCTATGTCGTCATACTACTTCATTATCTGGAGAAGTGGAAGGAAGGAAACGGTGGCGAATATCCCACCGAGTACAAGGCCAAGATGGCCTTCCGGAAGATGGTCTCGGAAATGGCAAGAACAAACAACCCCGAGGGTGGAGAGGAGAACTTTCAGGAGGCAGTGAGTGCTGTGAATCGAAACGTCAAGAAGCCCCAGCTTGAACAATCACTTGAGGAAGTCTTCGACCACAAACTCTCTAATGAGGTGAGTGTTGAGATATTGTCCCATCGCGATGAATCAAGCTGATATTACCAGGTCGAGATGAGCTCATCATTCTGGATGATCGCAAGAGCAATGAAGAAGTTCTACCAGAAAAACGGCTGCTTGCCCTTACCTGGTGGCCTACCCGACATGAAAGCCCAATCAAGCGTCTATGTCAAGTTGCAGAGTATCTACAAGGCTAAAGCTCGGAAAGACGCCCTCGAAGTACTGGAGACAGTCAGGTCTAGTCCAGGTGGCAAAGATGTCGATCCTGCGGAGGTGGACATGTTTTGCAAGAACGCTTCATTTGTGAAGCTAGTCAATGCAACAGCAGAAGGCCGAGACTTCAAGCAAATACTACGTGAGTACCTTGGCCTTCCACAAATTGGTGGGCGGCAGCACTGACAGATTCGATTCAGAGCAGGAGAAGCAGAACGACGAGCTCGCCGAGGCCATCGGGACGCCATTGTCCCTGCTGCCCATCTATCTCGCACTTTCGGCAACCTCTCATAAGCCTCTAGCTTCTGCTGACGAGATCAAGGCAGATATTGTTGGGATCTGGCCAGATGTAGCCGATGATATGCGCGTCATGCAATCTTCTGAGGAGGTTGCTCGAGCCGGTGGCGGCGAACTTCACAATATATCCGCCTTGACAGGAGGGATGGTGGCGCAAGAAGCAATCAAGATCATTACGAAGCAGTACATACCCATCGACAATACTTGTATATTCGACGGTATCAGCAGCCGGTGCCAGGTACTTCGCTTATAGATGTGGGCCCTCGAAGCAGCGAAGAGCATAGCGTTGGTGTGTGGCCCCGTGGATAGACGGCCGGCGTTCCTCTTGCCGATCCGGGTTAATCATGAGCTATTTGGAGATTGCGGAGACATTTGAGGATCCTTAGCCCTTGGCGATGCTTTACAATACCACCTTGGTACACCACTTGTCATGGCGGATGTCGTGGGCTGGAAGTTTCATCGGACCGCAGGGCCTCATAGTAACCCTGCAACTTACGAATCATGCATCCGGGCGAGGGCGTCTGGAGCCAAGCAGAAAATTTTGGGGGCGTTTTGTAGATCGCCATTGGACATGCCACTAGCGGGTGGAACAGACCTAGAGTGACGACGAAAATCTGGGGTACATGAGCTTGTGGCACATCAATCCGATCTGCAACTACAGTGTTTGGCTTGACGAATATCCATTATGAGAATAGAGCACGGTAGAGGAAGGGCGGCTCACGTCTGCACTTGCATATCTGGATTCTTGAATGAGCATTTTTACGTCCTTGACTGCCTCCGCGGCACAGTACAAAATCACCTTTCTCCCAACTTGCCCTTTCCTCTGGTTGACATGCTTGCAATGCACCCTTGGTACCGCTGAAGCACGACATTTCTCCATTTTGCAGAAGCGTTGTGGTTGGCCAGTGAAACAAGCCAAATGCGTTGTCCAGAGATACTGCAACCTCGTTAAGGTACCGGTCCCTTGACAAGGAGGAAATAGGTACCCTTAGTCTCTGTAACCCAAGTAACTCCAACTGCGGGTAGCACGTTCTGAAGGCCATCCGAGTGGATGATCAGCGTTGAGATCACGGCTAGGGAAGGGGGGTGGGGGGAGTGGGCGCAAGTTCTGGGGATTTTCCACGACTACTGAATGGTTAATCCGCCGGCGGACAGATGCCAGATGTCAAGCCATGATGTTTGGGTTTCTCTGAGCAAAGTGAGCACGTACCGTATCTCTCTTGGCGACCATTTACAAGTCACCGCAGGATATTACGCACAAATTCTGATGGTCAGGTGGGTTATCTCTCTATGTAGGTGCACACATTTTCTTTCCAACTTATAATGGGGCCGGGCTCTGATAGGACAGGTTGGTCAATGGAGGCAGGAGGGGGAAATGTATTGCGGTTCTTTCGGGAAATCAATGCGAACCCATGAGGAAGGAATTTCAAGACTGCAATTGGAGCCAGCAGTCGATGTGGAAGAGTGCCATGAGGCCATGACATGACTACCCATTTGGAACCTTGGGGGGATGGCACATGGACAACGCAAATCGACCAAGCGAGAGAGACGCAAATTAAATGGACGGCAAAATTTAATATCCACGTCTATGTGGCCATTTCTACTCGACAGCTCAGATCTGAGTGGGGTTGGGCTTTTCCGGCCGGCCTGCCTGGAGACTTGAAACGCTTTCGTTTATTTAAGATAATTTTAGTTTTGTCTTGCGAGTTTAGTTTCTGGAAGAGCACCTCATGATTGTCGAGTAGTCGATCCGGGACGGGCTGAGCACGTGGAGCCGTCGACGAAAAAGTTGGAACTAGTCAATTCATACTGGTCTGCTTCTGTACAATCGCTTCGGCACAATGATGTGGCTTTTGGCCACTTTCTATACGCTGTACGTCGCGACGGCATGGGTATGTACCGTGGGACCTCTGCGCCACAATCGACACTCGCTTCATCAGTGGACAGCATCCAAGACACGAGACCAAGACAGCGAAGCGTTAGGGCTTTCTACGCTTGCCGGGATGGCCATGTTCCTCTGAGCAAGCGCCGGGAGTTACCTGTCTATTGCCTTGAGGTATCCATGAGCTCCTCAGCTATAGGTGGCATTAATGCTCCCTCGGCACAACGGGTGATCCATTCCTTCATTTTCGCGCTACCGGCATAAGCAGACGGAAAAGAAGCATAACCGCCGTCAGGGCGTCCACGCTGGTTCCTCTTGACGCTGCACAAGAGGACCACACTTTATGCACCCCTTTCGAAGTGCTTGTGGGTGCATGCTGTGTGTATGTGTACTTTCAGGTGACGCTTGGGCACTTGCTGGCGGTTCCAGAAACAAGCCAACTCTGGATTGTGGGGAGCGTAATAACGGACATCTTTGGACCACCTACTCAAGTACCACAGGCAAGGAGATGGCGGCGTTCAACGTCGTTGGGTACGAAATCGTTCGTTGCCGAGAGCTGAGCAGCGCCAAAACCGTGCCCGGCCTCTGCTGCATGCAAGTCGGCTTTGGCGAGGCTATCGTCATGTCACCTGTTCAGACTGCACTCCACTTTCACTCTCCATCAAATGGACATTGGACATGCAGGGTGGTTCTAGCCGAGGGGCAATGTGGGGTAGAGGCAGCAGTTCCGTATTTTCAGGAGGGGATAGGTGGGATAGGTGGGAGGGTTTCGAATAGACGACCGATTCGGAGTCAGAAGCATGGTTCTCCGGGATATCTCCAGTCCACTTGTATCAGTGTTGGTGCATGGGTATTGGCAGGTGTGCAAGAAAAAGAAAAGGGAAAAAATTAAAAGGAAAGAAACGCTTTACACATCCCACATCTGTCGTGGGCGGCACATCTTGCACTCCACGCGTCTAGCTTGTTCTTAAGATCGCTGCGCGCAAGATCGGCGGCATGCATGAGGATTGCCTGATCTGTCCATTCCATACGCAGGGCAAGGACCGTTGGGGCAGTCGTGAAGCTGCGTGTCATTTGACGTGAGCTGCTGTTGCATCGGAAAAACAAACCTGGACCAGCCGAACCGAAGGGACTTTCATCATGAGATTCTTCCAATTGGGCGATTGGGCGATTTTGCCCACCACTGCATTCGGTAGCTTTGAGAATCTACCCAGCCAGCTTTCGGCGACTGTCTCCAGGGCTACAACCGCAACCAATGTCGAGAAGAACTCAGTCATGAAGGCGCCTAGGCGGCTTGAGAAAAGGCGACTGCTTGCTGCTCGGTTAGTCGGCTTGATCCACGGGTATCAGAGACATTCATGCCTCACATTGCTCGCCAGCTGTTTCCTCATTGTCTATTTGGAAAGCGAGTGGTCACACGCGGGACTTAGGCGGCTTCGGCCTCATATACTTTTTCTTCGCGTGGCTGATGACGGGCTGACTGGCAGGCCCGTTTGTACCGGCTCACGGGCTGGCTCTGTGACGACTTACATTGATGGCTAGGGACTAGCTTGGTAACTGGGCTCTTCGACATGCTTATTGCAACCCCCTTTTTGCAAGTCTGGCCGAATGATCAGTAGACATCCTCATCAATGTTTCTCCCATGTGGAGGATCGCGGGGTTCGATTCTTTAATTGTCAGGGCCCGTGGCTGGCAGGGATCTGTCCAGAGAGCGTCCAGATTAACCAATGATTCTTAAGGCTTCCCCACAACTATAATTTACAATCCCAGGAACATGCACGGCAACAGCAGCTCTCTTGCCGGCCGTTGACGAACGCCTGACTTACCCCATACGCATCGCGTGCATGTCACTCGACGTGGCTCGGCATTTTGGGCTAGTCTATTTGAGGTAGATTGAGGGGCTGCCGCTACCGGCCAAATTTAACATGTCAAAAATCAACTACCTCATTCACCTCCACCATCAGACGCTCCCACCATCTCCCGCTGCGAGCACCCGCATCAATTCAACACCGTCATGTCCGACATCTTGCTTGCCGTCATGTACTTGCGCGGCATAGACGAGTCCCTTGTATGAAACGACGCCACTGCTCTTATCTCCCGTCGGGCCTATAGCCATTGTCTCCAGACTCCCAGCCCAACTCTTCTGACCTTTCACGCCTCCCAGAGTGCTCCTCGCTTCGCTGGACAAATGAAGCTACCCGTATACCAGTCTAGACCAGGCAAGGCGCAGTATCCAAACCCCTGCCTGCACACACACACACATATGGACTATATATCAATCACGTCTTGTCTCCCTACCGTGGCTACACGTCAATTGGCTGTAGACACGGCATTGATGTCCCACCCGTACCTTGGGATACCATGGTACTCAGTGCCTTGCCGGAGTCCCAGTCGAACGCTGCGGTTACTTAGGTCGCAGTATCAGGTATATCCGTACCCGCTATGGGATCGCGTTTCTCCCTCCCTCTGGTTCCTGGGGGTGACAGGGGTATTTTGGGCAACCAAATCCACGCACTAACCTGCCATCCCTTTCATCTTCCAGAGTCTCCCTGTCTCCACATTGCGAGAGGGCTGCAAGGCAATGTAGATATATATATAAGTCTTCATCATCATCCGGCTTGCGGTCATCGGTCAAACCCATTCTTCCATAAGTCGACTGGCTACCGCTACACTACGCATACACAAAATTCCTTGTAAAACTTCAAGTCATCCATCGTCATACTTTGACTCAACTGCGTGCCCCATCCTGCAACTGTGGTGGAGTCGGTCGGCCGAAGCCATGGCACCTTCTATCCCAATTCCCACCCAAGGTGGCATGTTTCATACTTGTAAGCCGAGCATTATTGGTAATTGTAACCTACGGGCTCTGTCTAATGGGCTGGCCTTAGTTCAAGGAGTCACACCTCGGAAGCAGTCAACAGACTCTACTGAGAGTGCCAAATCAGGCGGCAACGGCACTTCGAAGCGCATCACCACACCCCATGCCTGCGCAGAATGCAAACGCCGTAAGATGTAAGTATCGTATGCCATCTTGGAAAAATATACTGGACTCATACGGCCTTAGCCGATGTGACGGCCAACAGCCATGTGGCCAATGCCTGTCAAGCCGAGCACCAAAGCGGTGTTTCTATGACAAGCATCGTCAACGTGTGATACCGTCAAGAAAGACACTCGAGGCTCTGTCCCAATCTTTAGAGGAATGCCGGTCCATCCTCAAAAGGTTATATCCCAACCACGAAGTCCAAGCACTACTGCCATTGTCACGTCATGAGTTGCTCAGCCTTTTGGACCGCCCAACCCTAGATACCATCAATGCGTTACCATCACCGCCCCTTCATACTTCACCGCTTTCGGCGGATATGAGCTCACCACGACTCTCGGCAACCGAACAGGGCATCGCCAGCCTCGAACAAATCCCGACCAGAGATACCGAGTGGGACGAAGAACGCCGAGGCCGTGACCACCTCCCCATCGAGTCGGACGACGTCAATGCCCTATCTCTATCCGTGGACCGACAAGCATCATACCTGGGTGCATCCTCAATCAAGGCAGCGTTGATGGTCATGCTCAAGGTCCAGCCGGGCCTCCGGAACTCCCTCACACCCCCACTGAACAGCGTCGAGATGGCACACAACCTGCCAACTATGAAGCAAAAGGTGACAAACACAAAAGAGCCGCAGCGAGTTCCTTGGTCTTGGAAAGGCCAGACCTTGATCGATGCCTATTTCAAGCGCCTTCACGTCTTCGTTCCTATGCTCGACGAGGCATCCTTCAGAGCCGACTACCTGGAGGGGCAGAGATTCGACGCCTCTTGGCTCGCACTTCTCAATATGGTTTTTGCCATGGGCAGCATTGTGGCGATGAAATCGGATGACTACAACCACTTCAACTACTACAACAAAGCGATGGAGTATCTGCCCATGGACGCGTTTGGCAGCAGCCACATCGAGACGGTACAAGCACTGGCTCTCATTGGTGGATATTATCTCCACTACATCAACCGCCCCAACATGGCAAACTCGGTGCTCGGCGCTGCTATCAGAATGGCCAGCGCTCTTGGGCTTCACAGGGAAAGTCTGGCCCAAGGTACGGCTGGCAGCAATAATGAGATTGCTGCCGCCGAGACGAGAAGACGCACTTGGTGGGGCCTCTTCTGTCTGGATACCTGGGCTACTACAACAATGGGCCGCCCATCGTTTGGTCGATGGGGCCCTGCCATCAACATTCGCCCCCCTGAAACTGGTATCAGCTCTGGCCGCGACTCAGCCCAGCACGCTGGCATTCTTCCCTTAATCGAGAACATCAAGTTCTGCAAAATTGCCACGGGCATTCAAGACATGTTGGCGATCACGCCCCTTCTTCGCACGGAAGACCGCTGCAACCTGGATGGTCAGCTGGTCAACTGGTACAGCAACTTGCCATGGCTGCTTCGTACCAGTGACCCTTGCGCCGAGCCTCTCTATATTGCACGCTGCATTATGAAGTGGCGATACCAGAACCTGCGCATGCTTCTGCACAGACCAGTACTTCTACATCTCGCGAGCAGTGGCGCTTCTCACGCGGCCGAACACGACATTGCCGCTATTGAAGCATGCCACGATCTTGCTAAGCAGACCATCGAGGACATTGCTCGCGAGTGGACCCGTAATCAGATGTCGGGCTGGAACGCCGTTTGGTTCCTCTACCAGGCAGCCATGATCCCCTTGGTCAGTATATTCTGGCAATGGGACAGCCCGAGGGTGCCGGACTGGCAGAAGCAGGTTGAGACCATTTTGGAGCTCATGGAGGCCATGGAAGACTGGTCTCTGGCCGCGCGCAGAAGCCGCGAGGTGGTCTGGCGCATGTACGAAGCCTCGAGGCAACTGGAACCGGGTTTGCGGGCCCATAGTCCCGGCCCTTTGCACCGACTGGTGACTACTGACCACGGCGGCATCATCATGGCGGATGGTTCCGAAATACATATGTCACCAATCGGGCTAGAGCCCGAGGGCCTGGGGATGATGGGGGTGCTGGACCAGCACGGGCTATGGGATCTCGATGGCATGCTCTGGGGTGGTATGACTGCCGACGAAATGGAGTATGCAGCACACTTAGGTCACGTTCACGACAGCATGATGCACATGGATTACGGTATGATGGGGGTTCATCCTACGGCCGCCGGCATGGACGGCGCTGCATTTACGTTCGTTCACTGAGATATATATATATCCAATAAGGCTGCTCGGCAACCTCTTGTTACGAGGTATGAAGATCTGTTTTCGGTTGTTTTCTGGTGGGTGCAAGAGGACCAATATACCTCCGCGGCTGGGTATCCGGGTCAAAAGGGGTAAACATGACAGCGCTGCGGAAGTAAGCAGCCAATGATATGGGCATTCACGAGTGATGGAAAAGAGAAAATGCATCGTCAGCATGTATATATGTGTATTCCCTTCATTCCTGCATATTTTTACTCTACCGTGACCAATGTGTATTAAATTTTACAACCCTGCAATAGAAAATTCATGGTTTTCTATGCTGCTGCAACGCCACCAAGGGGATCATGAAGGCCCTGACATCAGATTTTCGCAGCTACCCCGAAGAAGACACCTGGGGTATAGCGTCAGCCCGTTCACACGCACCCCCAAGCCCAACTCCACTCACACAAGTCAAGGTAGACATGCACGCAGGCGCCCTGGGCAAATTTACGCATAGTAAAAAGCTTATTGAATGAGCGGGAAACAGTGGGTATCGCCGGCTCCTTGACGCGGCCGTGATGATGGATCATGATCCTCGTCATCGTCCGTCCATCTGATTTACGGATGAGATACAAATAGGAAATGTGCAGAGAAAAGGGTGTGCATGTTTAGGCTTTGGCTTGAACCAGTACCTAAGTACCTACATACATACACATTTACACACTATGGATGTATGTAAGGTAGGTCTATGTCTTACACCACAAAAGGACCACTTACCCACGACGTCGATTGAAGCGAACAGGAGCGAAATTTTTCCGACAAATCGGGGCTTGGGTTATTCCACTAGAGGGAAAGGAAGATTAATGACTCGCATGTACAAGGAGATAGAAGTTAAGTGGAGTGGAGTGAAGGGGGTTAGGGTCACGAGTTGGGGGATGCACGGGCAGACAAAGATGGGAAAGCTGGGGAAGGAGATGGCGGCGCATGGTGACTGGGCAAAATTGCTGGGCGCCGAAGGCGAACTGCGACAGTAATATGGACTTTCGGCCCGTAGCGAACGTGGCTGACCCAATTATGTTTAGTATCTATGTGCTGGCCGGGGTTGTTTGGGGACACTAGGATGCAAGTAGCCGATACTAAATATATGGTAGCGGCCAGCTATATTATAGGGTCGAGCCGAAGTCAATCAGGTATTGATACCGGAGGCCGCTGGAATGGGCCCCCTGTAGAGGTTAATTAGAGTACCACTGCGTGCGGGGAAACCGACTAGGGTCGTTGGAAGTTCCTCACAAGTGACAGAACTCTTGCAATTGATGAAGGGTCCTTGTGATCAGAAAGGCCGTACACAAGGAACGAGGAATGAGTTGGCATGCCTGCTGGGTTTGGTAGAGAAAGTAACGAGTCTAAAAGTCAGGAGGGTCGAGGAGCATTGTGATGGGCCATGCTCGATTGCCATGGAGCGAAGATCAAGAAGAAGCATTTGTCTTGGACTGAATGCGGGGTAAGGGTTTTTTTTTCTTTTTTCTGTTTTCTCCATGCGCAGATCTACTCGATCTCCAACTTGGATGGAAAGGTCAGTCGGTGGCTTGTTCAGGGAGGGAGAGGCAAACAGCTTGAACAGGTAACAGAAGGCTGTTCCCCTGCCCCTGTCACCTGTTTTCGGTCGAAACATCGTCTGCTGTGACACGTCGCGGTGCAGCGGCAGTCAAAGCCCATCAATGTGAATATACATGGCGGCTGTAGTTGTAGGAACACAAGACCTTCCGGGAGCAAGATGGCATTCCCATCAGCTGAACTCCACCGAGTTAGACTCGACTGTTCTTTCTCCTTATCTGCCAGCTTCTCCTCACTCTCGCGTCAGTCACCACAAGTGACGGCCCACTATCAACAATCGCGTCAGGAGTTTATCGTTTTGCTCCCACTTTAATTCTCTTATTCTCATGCCGTCACCCGTCATGTTGAATAATCGACCTGGACCCGACGGCCCTAGACATATACCCGGAAAGCAACACCTATAATAAGACAACTCTAGGTTCCTCCCTTGCCGTAACCGCTCCATCGAGATAAGGCTCCTCGGGAGTCTGGCCGGTCGCTTGCGATAGATCAAAATAAGAAAATCTTAATCTACAATCCATGTCTCAGGTGAGCTGGACCAGAGTTGTTGAGTGTTTGGTACGGTTTGCCAACATTTTTCGCTCGAAAATCTTGTCCTGTTTTTTCCCGCCCCCGTCACCCCTCTTTACTATACACCAGATTTTTATTGTTGCACTTTGCATTCTGCCTTTTCGGTACTCAAGCCCGGCACCCAGGGATAATGGCGCCTTCGTCACTATCACCGTCACCGTCGCTCTGGGATCTACAAGGAGCTAGCTAGCCACTCTCGCTAGCACTTGTTTTGGGTCTGTCATGTTTACTTGGAAGCGCCACCTTGACGCATTCGAGAAATATGATAAGCGAAGTCTGGATGGATTAGCGTCATTGATGCCCCGTTCTTGTGGTTTATCCTCGCTACTATGCCCCATTCCAGCAGACATATGTTGTGCCTACCACATGGCTGTGTGTTATCGTTATGGTGGTGGTCGGCTATTATGCATTTGTGTCACCGTGCCGCTGCTGCAGACGGGGAGCCGCTGGTTGGTCATCCATACTCACCGTACAAGTTGGTGGTCGATCGGGATTGGTCATGCGTTTTGGCGGGTGTCAGTAATAGTCTTCATGCTATACGAGGGGTGACGTCGGTGACGGTGAAGATAAGTGCATAATATTTTATTTGGTTTGAGGCTATTTGGAGTTAAGTTCGACTCAACCCTTTACCGGTTGCTGCACTTCGTGGCTTCGTACATCTTGTCCGATATGTCAAGGTCTGCCCTGCTTGGAGAGATAGATGAGCCCAGCTTCTGAACCAACTTTGGTTGGAAAGTACTGAGTTGTAGTTGGTTTGATTTCCAAACAAGTTGTCGTCATGTAAGGCACGTTATGTTATGGACAGGGCTGATTGGCTACCCTGTATGCTCAGAACAGGTTATTCCTCTATGGGGATCCATGCATGCAGGTGGACAATATTGATACTTCCAGGAGTTGGTCAACCACCAAGATGAAAACCAGAGGCGTCTGGTTGTTGGCAACCAAAATATTCACATATCTTCCGCATGAGACTTTCCTTTATCAGATTCGCCTGAAAGACCGGTTCATTTTGGTCTCCGCGAACCTGCAGAGAAGTCATACGATACTTAGCATTATTTGTTGACCTAGCTGGGCGGTTCATCTTTTAGACTATTAGGTATTCTATATAAGTGATCTGTATGAAACAAATATTTTACATCGCAATTATGGTTTCTGATTGGGTCTCTGTACACGTAATGATTGAGAGATATTGGTGGATGACGCACTAGTGGCTGTTATTCCCAGTGTTTGCCTGCAATGTGCGATCAATGTGTGTGATAGCATCCACTGTTGGCGGTTGTGGTAGCCGATTTCTTAAGATGCACGAGGCAAAGTGTCGTACCCAAACTCGTTCAATTGTTGAATGTACTTGCAGTATCAGCAAGATGAATGTACTTGGCCGCCTTTGAATACTTCTGTTTACACCGGGTAGGGCACATTTCGAATGCAGATTAGAAGAAAAAGGCAATAGGAAGTTCCTCAAAGCCTGGCTGAGCGAGAAGAACGCCTGAACGGCTATTCTTAGTTATTTAATACATTCCAAAGGAGGTTTCAACCCTATACAGTGGTTGCATGTTCAGAGTCTCTGATGACTATTATAATTAACATGGACGCTTTTGGCCAAGATCTAGGGATTGTATAATTGGATCACTCTCATGTGAGGATGGATAATCTCGATAGATGGAGGGTAAATTCGTTACCAAAAAGTCGATTGCTTCTTACGTCCATATTGTCTATTATGATATCTTAGACTCGTTGTCCATCACCCACCAGATCGTGCTTACATGTCATTTCGACATCGGGTTTGTTATTATTAATGATTTCTGACGTAATTTCATCTATGAATTGCCCAAGTTATATTTAACATCCCCGATACTGTTTATATTATACATTTCAACGCTGTACGAGGAGCTAGCGGAGAAGCATCCACTACTTTTAGTAGTCGGGTTCGCGGACGACACGAACCTGCTAAGCGTCGGCACCGATCCAGACACGACCTGCCGCCGGTTGGAGAGCGCATGGGCTACGTGTCAGCGGTGGGCAGTGAGGCACGGGATGGAGTTCGCTCCTGACAAGAGTGAGCTAATGCACTTTACTAGGGCCCGAGAGCCCTTGCCGCAAAGTATTCGCCTTGGGGACGCCACAGTGTCGCCGGTAGTCTCAGCGAGGTTCCTAGGAGTCTGGTTCGACCGCAAACTGACGTGGCACGCCCATGTTGAGCGTGTTAAAACAAAAATGGCAACTCAAAAGCTAGCCCTGACAAAGCTAGTCAATATGTCGTGGGGCTGCGATCTTATACGGGCGAGGCTGTTATATACGGTGGTTATCCGTAGCGCGATCGCCTTCGGGGCGACTGCGTGGCATACTATAAGTGAGGAACCGGCAGGGCCAGCTAAGAGCCTGATGGGGATACAGAACGAGTGCCTCCGGGTAGTCTGTGGCGCCCACAAAGCGACGCCGGTTCGCCACCTGGAAGCAGAAGCAGCAATCCCGCCACTAGACCTCTATCTTAGTGCCCGGGCTGCTAAGTTTGAAGAACGGCTACGACTTAGCGGGAAGAGAAATCTGCTTCGCAGCGCGAGCGCTAAAGCGTCACATATACTCCGGCAGGATAGGCCGGCGAAGAGGAAGCAGGCGTCGCAGCTACTCCGACCGGCAGGGTACACTATGGAGAAGGAGGCCCGGGGCTCCGAGTGGATGAGTGAGGAAAAGGAGGTCCCGGCTGCCCTCCTCGACCACTGGAGGAAGAGATGGCTCACCGGAGCAGAGCATCACGATCGCCAGCGACGCGCTATCGCTGAGGAACCGGAGGGCCCTTCGATGCAGATACCGAAAGGGGGCAAGTATTTAGGCCTGAACCGACTGGAGGCGTCTACGCTGTGCCAGATCAGGACGGAAAAAATAGGACTAGCAGCCTTCTTATTCAAGACAGGGGCTTTTGGCGTGTACTCGCCGCTATGCCGCTGTGGCGATGCCCCTGAGACGGCAGAGCACGTAATCCTCTTTTGCGGGCTGTTGGAAGGACCGAGGGAACGATTACGGGCCGCCATCGCACCACGGCCACTATACTCTCGCAGAGACCTCGCAACGGCAACAGGAGAACCAGTAGTTAGTGGGACTATTGTAAGATGGCTGCTAGGGACGGGTCGGACAGCTTCAAGGCCCAGATAGCATCGATCTTCTCAGGGGGGACTTTGTTGGTAGGTTGAGAACCCACGTAGTATGGTAGTGAACGCAACGCAGTCGCCAATAGGGCGAACCGACGACGCAGCGTATGTATTTAGTCCAGCCATTAGGGCACGGTTTGACATACGGGAGTACTAGTAGAGGTACCGGGGGCTTCGAGCCTACGGCGTATTTAATAATAATAATATATTTAACAATAAACAAACCAAATGTTCTCCTCTTATAGCAATTCACCCAATGATAATGACTTGTAGCTGCTATTTTTCAAGCTCTCAATAACTAGCAACATGTAACGTCTGTAAAACCTTGATCAGACACTTTCCTCATCACCACACTAATACTTCACTTATACATAACTCTACAGCATTTATACAGTAGAGGTAGCGGAAGTTAATAGTAGTGACTACTGTGGCCGGTAACTATAAGTAATCTGGTATTATCTATACCCTCTAGCGTATTCTATGGTAAATATACCTGTTAACTATTTAGTTACAGCTATAATAGATTATATAAACTAAGCAAGTAATAACCTTTATAAACTAGTTGAGTGTAATAGTGTTAGAAGTCCAGTTGTTTTCACTGCGTGTAGAGTGCCTATTACCCTTATTAATAACACGACATATATAACGTAGTAAACCGTACAGTTTACTAGCCGGAATATAGCCCAGGGTTACTTTTCTTTAAATCATTTTCAAACTACTCGTTTAGATCTTATTACATTTCGAAATAACGCACAGCTTGAAGGCTTTGCTAGCAGCTGTAACATACTCGAGAAATAATACCTAAGAGCGCGAATTATTCGACTTCAATTTAGCCCCTTCATCGTTATAAATGTCCATTAAAATACGTCGGCTCTATACATTTGAGGTCGCCTTTTTTTTATACAGGGGGATAAATATACTATTTTCCTTCTGTATTGCCACTCTCGTTAGTATTACCTGTAACTTTGGTTTGATCTGGTAAAAGTAAAGCCAGATTATTATGAAATTTATTCATATCATCCATAGCATATTTGACACGCTTAAATTCCAGTTTTCTATCGACTATGGTCTTCATAGCGGCTTTCGAGTAAAGAACCACTTTGTCCAGCTTTGTCCAAGCATGCCTTTATAGCTTAGCACTTGGCCAACCACAGATCGCACATTTATATGGCTCTGATACGTTAGCATGTGGGATGCGAATAGTTGTGACGGTTGTCACGTGATTGTCCCACACTGGTCTGAACAGATTGATAAGTGGTTGCAGATATCAAAGTCAGGGAGGTGGTGCCCAGGACACGTAGGCATCCCCGGAAACGAAGAAGCAGATGTCCAGGCCAAAGCGGCCTGTGAGCAACTACCCAAGACACAACACCCGGCCTCATTCGCACATATAAAGAGAATCGCGAGATCCTACACTTGGAAGAGTTTCAACGATCGATGGGCCACTACCTGCCCTCAACAGTATCGAGATCTAGGGATCGCTATCCACCCGCGACCCCCCGAACTTGGCCTGCCCCGGCAACACCTAGGCAGATTACTCGCAGCGAGGTCGCACCACGGGGATTTCGTGACCTACCACGAGAGACTCCAGCATCGCGACGCACTGCTCAACTGCGGGTGTGGAAAGACAAAGACACCAGTCCACTTCTACTTTTGCAAGCGCGGCCGCAAGGCCACGCCCGGTCATCTAAAAGCGCATATGGCCAAGAATAGTATAGATTCCCTCCTAGGCACGGCCAAGGGAGCTCGTTTGTTTTGTCAATGGGCGGAGGAGACCAATTTCTTTACTGAGATCTGCCCATCGCACTGAACAGGAATGTTAGATGAAGACAGTCCCCTGTAACATAGATTCGACTAGCATAGACCATGCCGGCACTGCGCCCGGCACGTCTCACGTGATGAGACGTTAAATTTCAATCAATCAATCAATCAAAGTCAGGGACTTTGGTATTGGTCTCTTTTGGTGAAGACATCTGGTACGGTGGCGCAGTGGCAAGGATTGCAACCCCTGGCACGGCGTGACAATAGTTGTCTTGTGAAAGCTTGGTAAGCTAGCTATCTAGCTGGCCGAAGGCCCGCCTATCTATAGCTATAGGGCAACCCCCCTTGAGGTCACGCATCAGTCTCGGAGCATAGCTAAGTGGGTTTTAGCGTATTATCAAAGTATAAATAGCCTTTTAATGCTATGGCGATAGTTTCTTTTTTCCTGGTGAACTTTATAGCATGATTTACCGCCACGTTGCTAGAAATGTAATGTTGACTTCGAAATCCCGCCCAGTTGGGCCGCTTTTCGCAGGGCCATACCCCCTAGCATAGCAGAGAACGTGTTCTGGACATCTTCTTCGGTATATACCGCTCCAGGCTGGCTTGTGATAGCAATATGGCTTCTGGTAGACTATACAGTAGTGAGGATGGGCTGGAGCGACCCCTATTCTACTACTATATCTACATCAACTGGATAAGGGGCCGTTTATCAGAAACACTAGAAAAACTCAAATTATCGGCGATTGGGTGAAGTTAACAAAATTCTAAATTTAGAAAAAAATCATATAATTGTAAATGACAGGTGTTAATCCTCCTGTTCGAGGCCTATGTGCATCGTCAATATTTCCTTCAGCTGTTAGGAAGATATCTGCTGAGAGTAGGAATGGGTTTCTTTGAAGATTTCACGATATTGACTTGGTGGCAGTCAAATAAGCATTATTCAACCCACACCACTTAATTGCGGCGAGCCTTTGTGATGTGAGACGAATGCATCGCGACAAAGAGGAAATGACCGGCTATGAAACAAGCCTCCTTTATATTTATGACATCCTCAACTTTGTTATTTATATGAGATGCACATCACTCTTTGCTGCAAGTGAACCCAATGCATAATAGCAGTCAATATAACACTGCCATATTCCCGTCCAGTCAGGATTCCCTCAACTACTACTCCAACCACCCACAAAGAACAGAACGCGTCGCTTTAGAGCCTTCAAATACCACAGTTCTGAAGTACAAAATCATGGATAAGCTATTTTCGGTATTCAAGGCGACTCCTAAAACCGGCACAATCGCGGACTTCATAAAGCTGCACCCATACGTAGAGAGACTGGCCAACCACATGTACGGCAAGACCAATATCACAAAGATGGCCTACGGCAAGGTCAGTGACACGGCATATATCATTATTATGTTGGATCATGCGCCGATTGGCGCCGAAGGATCGGTCCAGGAATCATTTCTGCGTCTCAACGCAAACTTCTACGAGGTGCTCAAGGACCAGTTTGACCATGAGACTTACAAGATACTCATCAAAAGGGGCCATTGGGTAGCTCCCGTCGGAATCCACGAAGAATTTGATGTTTTCGTCAATCACCCTATTAGCGGGAGGCTCATTGTGGCACCTATCGATAAGCAGAAGCAGTATATGAGGTCGATGTAGATTGAAGAAAAGGGACGATCCAAGACAGTGGGCATGATGTGCTTAGAAGCTTATTCTAAAGCAAACTACGTAAAATAATTAAGTCGATTGATCTGTAATTATAACCAAACTCCTTATGTAACGTTTGTCAAGGTCCACATTGACAGCTAGCCTGCCTCGAAGACGGGGGTTCATATTGGAGAAAACTCTAGTAGTAACCAGTATGAACTGGAAAACATCACGTATGGAGTGATTAGTACTTGATACCGTGGCAACTTAGTGATCACAACATAATAGTATCCTGATAGTTATCTTGCCTTCTCCAAGTGTTACTGAATGCAACATCTTGATTCCACATAGACGTCTAATAAGCAAAACGGTTCATTATTTCCTACCACTTTTATGACGTACCTCAGGAAAGTATCTATTATTCCGTTTTCAAATCCTTAATAAGAAAAGCCTATCGAGCAGGACGCAGGACATAATGCTCCGACCCCAGGTACGCCTTCCTCAGGTAGCAGAGGATGAGACCACCGTGCTGCAAGAGAGGGTACGAGCTGGCCGATAACGAAATGAGCTATAGCGGGCGACGGAGAACGCACTTATCGACAGATACAGAACATGGTCTTGGCGAGTGTCTGATATGAGCTGGCAGAAAAGGTCGGAGGACTCTTAGATAAATTATTGGGTTGCCTGGTGATTACCCCTATTGAGAACAGACCTGCCTCTAAGCAATGCTAGAATAGAATTCACGTACGAAACACCAGGTTTCCTGGGATTCAACCTTAGAAACCTTGAAGTCAAGGATGGTTTGATTTACTTGAGAGTTTGTACTTATATATCGTTTCATTATCTTCTGCAGTCGGTTGTGGTAGGCACGACGTGGTTGCGACTTCCCATTCTACACACCTTGTGAAACTCGCGGTTGCCTTCTCATTTTGAATCTACATGATAGACTGGACCTGGAGCTATTAAAGTCCGGCTCCACTGCGTCTCGATAGTACTGAACCGATGTATCTGTTCATCGAAAGTTCAATGAACGATATCAACCATCATACTGCTCGCAACACTTGTTCCGGTGTCTGATCACCCATATCCGCCGCCATGGAACACATACTTAGATGCAATGCACTGAAGTGTAGGAAGGAATTGGGTGATCGAGCTCTGGTAACCACTTGCAGGTACCTCGAGCATGATTCATAACCTATTAAGGGTTTGCCAGCTGACTTGATATCGTCGCGCGCAGCCACATCTTTTGTACAGACTGCGCATCCCGCTTGGGTCTGACGAACCCCAGTGGGAGTCACGAACACAGGAATTCGTGCCTGGCTTGCGGATCCCACTTGACAAACCCGGACGATGCGGTCGTTACGAACCTCAATCCCAGCGAAGACTACAAGACCAGTGTGCTCAGCGGACTTAGCCCGAACGTCATTATTGAGTGCGCCAGCCGTGCCTTGAGCTTCTGGGCCTACCAAACGACGCAAGAAATGTTGGTTCCTTCGCCCACTGAAGTTAGGCTACTGTGCTGACAGATGTATCTCTCAGCGTGTATCAGGAGTACTTGGGCAAAACCCTCACGGAAAAGTACTCGAACTTGAGCGTACATCTCGACAAGGTCATCAACGAGGCGAACTCTCAGATATCGACCTTGCAGAATAAGATTGCAAGTGTGTTTGACAATAAAATGTCAGTGCGAAACATTGTTATTGACGAGCACAGATCTGAATGTCGACCAGGAGAACCTGGGCCGAAAGAATGATGAACTTGCCCAAGCCTTCAAAGAGAAGAACCGAAAGTTATTGCAGACCCAGGAACTGTACGACAAATTGAAACGCAAGGCCATGATGGGCCAGATGCAGGATGCTGCTGAAAATGCGGTAGACTCAACCCTCAATGCCACGACCGGGTTAGGAGGCGATGGACCAGGGCTCAGTGGCAGTAGTATGAACTCTGCCACATATCAGGGGTTAGCCTCACCTTATCGTCAACATAACGAGGTCTCGCGACCTGCCAACATGTATTCAGCTCAGGGTCATCATCCAACCCATGGCGCTCCTTGGCCCAAGACCATTGGAGCACAGTGTGAGTGGTACAATAAGCCAGGCGTTGACCACAACTAATCTGTAACTAAATTAGCCGACGTGCCTATCACACCATCTACACACCGTCAGCGCCTTGAAGATACTACCGGGATTGGTCTATCAACAGTTTCAGGCTTAGTCACGGGTCCCATACGCTCACCACACCACGCCATGAACACACGAGTGCCTCTTAGGGACGCAACCAGCAACCCCAGGAGCTCCGGCCATGTTCCCGGGGTCGGTTTGAGATCCGGCATGAAAGTGAGTCACGGAGGTTTTAATGACTTTGCCGTGCCTACAACAAGGCCACAGCGTAAGTCGTCTCACTAGGATGTAGGGTTTGTTCTAGGTTGATAGACTTATACTGGACAGCAATCCAACGACCAGCAGCAGTCGCGTCCACAGGCAGACATCGAGAGCCTAGTCATCAAGCCGAGTCTATCATTGGCAATATACGTAGCCAATCGATTGCCGGAAACATGCGCAGCGGCTTTACGTCTCGTTGACCCCGTCAATGGAAGAAGGATGGGCTAGAAGGACTTGGGAGATCATGATGACATATGAAAAATAGAGAGGAGAATCGGGACCGCAATCCATAATCTAGGTTAGTTGATAATAGGCAGGACTGAGAACTCGCAATGTCGATCTTATTAAGTCCCTAGGGGCATTTGTCCTTTGTTTCCTTGCGGTGGGGAGATAATGAACAACATATAGAGCAAGCGCATTCATTGTGTATGTGGGATAAAACTATGAACAAGTCAATCGATCTCTTTGAGCTGGATTAAGGCAGGCACTAATCCTTTGGAGTCATAAGGCGACCGAGCGTCGCCTTCAATCTGTACTTTCACCATCCCCTCCCATAGCAGACCCCCGGCATTTATAACGGAAGCACCCAGAGGGAAGCACGGTTCTCCCAGCGGTGGAAGGGTGGGAAATTCGGGTGGGGGCTCGAAGGAGTCGTTTTGGGAGAGGGCTGGTTTGTCGTTCTTTAAGTGTGAGTACCGGGATAGGGGGACGAAGTGGAGGAAGCAGCAGGGCGGTGAGGAGAGGCCTCGGCATCTCGGAGTCTCGCCGAGAAGGGGTTGTTCCCGATGGCGAAAAGCTATCGGCCGCCATCGCAGGATCTGAGGCCTGCACTCCCGCTGCCGCCGTCACCGTTGCTGCCTAGGCATGAGCCAGTGGTGAGAAACGGTCGGGTTAAGCCGCGTGCCTAGGCGAGCAAGCTCAGGTCAGTTAGGCGCTTGCGGCAGCTGTGCAGCAGCAGAAGGCGGCTTCCAAGACTGTGCAGGCTACTCCTCGCAGTGGCCCTGCGAAGTTGAGTAAGGCGAGTGAGGCTTTTGGGTCGCACCCTGTATAGAAGGCAGAAAAGCAGGTACCGCAGCCAGCGTTTGTTCTCCCTGCAGACCCTGATTCGTAGGATCGTATACGGGAAAATACCGCATGGCGGCGCATGGAGCGTGACTCATGATGCTCGGTCATGGTTAACTTTGCGTTGATGGCCAGACCATCAGAAGCCTCCGAGGAGGAGCTGTTGCCGTCTAAGATGGAACAGAAGGATCAGTGGCGAAAGAGGCAGGCTGTGGTGTTCCTCAAACCGCCCTTTTCGGACATATATGAGTCAGAGCGAGAGCCCGGGTGAGAAGGACGCTGTAGAGGTAGTGCCTGAGGTGCTGATGGTCGAGGCTCTGCCAGAGGTCATCTTTAAGAAGGCCAAGCCGAGGCCCGGCTTCAACGTGCCCACGGTGGTTGTCTTGGACATCGACCGCGACCCCATATGGATTAATGGCGCCCTGAACGTAGGCCGTGTCCTCAAAAATGAGGCGGAAAATGAGCGCAGGAAGGCTAGCTGCCACGAGCGGGATTTCTATATTCTCGTGGAGGTCATGGCACCTCTGATAGACGCCATCGAGAACCTAAAGGAGACAGAGTCCAAGGGGTACCGTCCATATACAGGTTGCTAGGCTTCCTCCCCCCTGATCAGAGGAGGAGGCTGTCGTAGGGGCCGCCTGGCGAGCGGTGTAGGGAGGTGAGTTTACTGCAAATTGGATTTAGCATTACAGACCTCCACAAGCATAGAGCTATGTACTGCTTATCACTTCTCAAGTTCATATTCTCTCTGATAACACTCACACGCTGTCATTTAGACATACGCGCTGTCCATATTCTCATATGTCACACTCACATCTCCCTACAACATCTACATATATATATAGATAATCTGGTTTTCAGTCCTTCATGAGCTAGAACAGTATCCAGCCGACGGACGCACCAGCTTGCCTACAAGACTGCCTTCCGGACGATTCTTAATCTCGATCTCTATCCGCGTCAATAGCTGGCCATTTCACCCTCATAAAGCAAGAGGATCTAAGAAACAGTTTTGAGCAACTCCTCGATGGCATACCACGTAAAAACCAAGCCCATCACCTCGGACTGACAGGCTTTGGCTAGTCTGTCGACGAGGATAACGAGATCCAAAGGATCTCAACCCTGCATCATTTCATCTTATGTACCGATGATCTGGGTCCACGGCATCGCCGAACCTATCGACGGGCCGCATCCACCCGGTATAACAAACCATCGAATGTACCGATGGATCTCATACTACCCACCCATCGTTTCGTTGCAAGTACTGATGGTTGGAAGTCTCGGGTTCGTCGAAACCGACGATTATACCCATCCACCTGGGATAATAATCCACCGAATGCATCGATGGATCCCATCGGTATACACACCAACTTGCGACGACAGGCCGCAGACGGTCGTTTCGAGGACCCATGATTGCATTGACAGTATCGATAATCGATTTTAACTCATAGAAGCTATTCTTTCCCTCGAAAGTAAGGCGTCTAGCCCTTCGTCAAGTATAAACAAAATCAAAGTGGTACAAACCCCAGGTGTCGTTCAAGTATCGATGATTACCGCCTACCTACCCCAATTCCCTGGCATGGACAGCCTTCAACAGCCTACCAACGAGCTCAACACATACATATATCACTTGACCTGAGCTTATACACGACATCATCAATATAACCGATGCAACAGTACACACCTGACCCACCACCACCTCCTCCTCTGATCAGCCTACAAGACGAAGATACAAGCTCGGATACGCACACAGACATCCAGATACAGAGTATGAATGGTGAAAACTGAGGTAGTCATCTCATCTCGAAGGCTAACCAGAAAGGGTTCTTTGGAGCATTGGGATGGAGTTCACTGAGTTACGTGAGGACTATTGCCAAGAGTAGAACGTGGCCAGCCGCCGCCCGCTAGACCTTCTTCCGTTTTCTTTTTGCATTTAGGCGCGCACAGCTGTTGTGTATTAGTGTTCGATGCATAGCAGTGACTTACTATGACCTTGTATGACTTTGTATGACTTTGAGCATGGAAATTGGTTTAATGTAGTGGAAATACAACAGATCCACGGTTTCGGCGGCTGGCAGCAATCGTCTTATTGGATTGGTGTCTGGTAGTATGCAGGGTGATACGCCTGATCTCACCAGGAACAGGAACTGGAGTATCGTCTGCTGGTTCGGAGTTTGATAGAGGGAAATTCATCTCATCTCGACTAAGACCGGCATAATCACTTGCTGTTTTTAACGGACTTAGCCTGTGCGTTGTCGGGGCTAGATGAAGCCTGCCGGCGATCCTTAAAAGAGCAGCCAGGATTGTGAATGTGTTTCATGTAGGAACTTCAAAACAGACAGACTGTCTAGGTTTTCCGCCAGTGTGGTTCTCGAATCAATCGACTCGAGCAAGGTCAGAAAACCCAAGACGTATTGCGTCACTCAACGGCGGTATTCACGTCAATAGATTTGGCCGAATGGTTCTGCTGGGCATCCTGTGACAAGTTTGGAGTCGTCCGAAGTGGCCTCGGGCCTGGGCTGAACCAAATTGGCCCAAGTTTCCTCATCGTGGGAGTTAAGCGGGTTTCATTGGATTCTTTCCTTCTTTCTTTGGCTGCCCCGAACGAGGAGTTGAAGACGAGTCAACCACTCGGCAGCTCGTGTTCAATGATGCGCTACTGCTGGCGAACCTAGTGCATGGCGCTTCTTATCTGAAGAAACCTTGCCCGAACAGGTGTAGGCAAGGAAGGGCGTCGAAGCATCTTCTACGTTTTCGGCCCTACCCAATTATACAATTGCAATGCGCTGCGGGCAGAGAATGGCCGCCAAGACACTGCTCAACTTGATACAAACACAAACCGCCTAAAGACATGGCAGTAATTGGAGAATTCCAATTGGAGGGGAAACCGACATGTCGCACCAAGAGACATCTGTCCGGGTTGGTTGCCGGTCGAGTGAGGATGTGTGGTTTGAGGATCAGCCCAGGGAACGGGGATGGGTAACGTGCAACAACATCATTGTGCGGAGTCGCATCGGACGGGATTCGAGCCTTTTCGTCCTTTCTAGGAGCGATGGCGACCGATCCATCCGTAGCTCGTGTAGAAGTATGTGACAAGACAACGAAGACGGCATGAACAATGGCTGTGGGGAGATTACGTATGTTCTCACCCTTGCTGAGCCCCGATCTGCCAGTCGGACGGGCCTGGAACCATGCGACCCATCTTGGAGACCGTGTCAATTGTGTCGCTTGAACTGGCTTTCAGCCATCGGACCAGCGAGTCCTACAGGCCATTTCCCGCAGATGAGATGAGATGGTAACACGTTCAAGTGCCCCAGTTCAGTTTCTCTGAGAAAACTCGGCGTCATCCGAGTAAACACAAAATTTACTTTTCGCTTTCACATGCGACTGCGAGATTGCCGATCACATCATGCTGGCTGATGTGGTGAATTGCACCCGGCTAGAACGTGTTATCTGGCCACCTGCAGGTCTCGTCACGTTTGGCTGCCTCGTCGTGATGTGATGCTTTACAGAACAGGAAGTACCCACTCCATACAGTTCAGGGTAACACGGAGTGGCTGTTAACGTTGGGTCCGTCCCGTTCCTTCCCCAATCCAAAAAAGCAAGTCCAATTGTCTGTCCAGTATTTTCCCTCAGCTCGCTCCACTTTATCGCCAGCCAGTTTGTCGCTGCCAATTCGTCGTCAGCTTGTGTTGAATCAATCTCCTGCGCATGTCTCTCGTTCCACGTCTGTCAATCCGACCATTATTATCGGTCTTTGTCTTTGTTTATTGTTGACCGGACGAACTTCTCTCTCGCGCACTCTCGAGAGCTCTTCATTCGATTTCTCGCCTTCGCTAAGTAACTAAGACGTTGACCCTTTTTAATTTGATCCCTTATCTTCGCGAACTCCATACGCGCAATCTCCCGACCTTTCGCCCAAGTGAACCACATCGAAACCAAACCCATCACTGCCATCATTTCCGTGCAAAATCCATAACTTTGCGAACTACATAATAGGGGACGGGTGACATGCTGCGGAGTTGAACTGGGTCGAGTTCCCTCTCCATCGTATTATTTGCGCACATTCTCGAATCCTCCCTACAAACATACGTTGCTGTAAATACTCGCCGCGCGGAGCAACTTTACACAGTACAGATGGGGAAATCCAAATGTATTTACCACCTGTGGTCAACTTTGAGAAATATGTTCGCTAATATGAGCTTTCACGCAGGGCGATGGGGTGTCATTTTGGACGCTGGGTCGTCTGGAACCCGCCTACATATTTACCGATGGGAAGATCCTGCAAAGGTCATCAAGGACGCAGACTACGAAGAGTTGCATAGCCTACCTAAGATAAAGACCAAGAAGAAGTGGACCAAGAAGCTTCGTCCTGGGGTTTCGACCTTCGGCGACCACCCCGAGGACGTCGGCACGGAACACCTACAGCCACTGATCAGTCATGCTCTCGACGTTATCCCGGAAAGCAAACATGCCGATACTCCCATCTTTTTGATGGCCACAGCTGGGATGCGGTTACTGCCAGACCTGCAAAGAGAAGCCGTGCTCAACCAAATTTGCTCCTACTTCCGCGAGAACACCCAGTTTGCCCTCCCCGACTGCAATCTGCATATCCAGGTCATCAAGGGCGAGACCGAAGGGTTGTACGGATGGATCGCCGCGAACTACCTTCTGGGAGGGTTCGATGATCCTCAAGGACACAGCCACGGCAAGAACCACCACACCTACGGCTTTCTCGATATGGGAGGCGCATCAGCACAGATAGCATTTGCGCCGAATGCTACCGAAGCCGAGAAACACCAAGACGACCTAAAGTTAGTCCGGATGCGCACCATGAATGGCGAACCTACCGAGTATCGAGTATTCACCAAGACCTGGCTCAGATATGGAGTAAACCAGGCTCGGGAGCGCTACGTGCTGGACCTCATCGACTCGTATCTGGTTGCCGGCGAGCACGAAGTCCCCGATCCTTGTATGCCGCTCGGACTGCGGACAACGGAGATGGGTGAAGTTGTGCACGGAAAATCGAGCGAGCTGCAGCTGGTCGGCACTGGCGATTTCCAGGAGTGCCTCAGGCGAACAAAGCCAATTCTCGGAGACGAAAAGCCGTGCGAAACGGAATCTTGCTTGCTAAACGGTCACCACTATCCTGAGATCGATTTTGACGTTAATCATTTTGTCGGAGTGTCGGAATACTGGCATACAACCCACGGTGTATTTGCCGACAAGGGCGAGAAGGTGTATGATTATAATACGTACCAGAAGAAGGTGGAAGGATTTTGCAGCCAGAATTGGCGCGACATCGAATCTACCATCGAAAGCCGGAAAAAGGATCACGCGAAAGATGCGCAAGAGGCATGCTTCAAAGCCTCTTGGTTTATCAGCATGCTACACGACGGTATAGGAATTCCGCGAGTAGGCATTGAACAAACCCTTACACCCGATATCAACATTACCAAGGGAATTGGCGAAGCCGCAAAGGAGAAGGGGTTCCTTGAGCCGTTCCAGGCCGTTGATAAGATCGACGACATCGAGGTGAGCTGGACTCTGGGGAAGATGTTGCTATACGCGGCTGGTCAGGTTCCACCACAACAAAATGCGGAACATCTACCGGTTGGGTTCGGGAGCAATGTCAAGGGTGTCCCCGGCGACTTCCAGCATGCTGGATCCAACTGGACCAACATTCCATACGACGGCGACTACGACGACTGGGCGGAAGATCTCACCGAAGACCTGGTGGACCACGTCAAATCCAAATCGGGTTCAGGATTTGCCCTTTTTATCCTCATACTTCTCTTCGTTGCATATATATTTCGAAAGCGGGACAGGAGGATGCGTCTGTACACAAAAGTTAATAGCATCTTCCGTCACCACCACCACCGCCGGCCTGGAGGCTCGCGGAAAGGAGGCCGCGGGCTGTCATTGCTCACCAGCAAGTTCTTCGGCCGTGGCTCCCATCAGTACGAACGGGTATTGGAAGCAGGAGACGCTGCTCAGTTCGAGTTGGGTGACGTGGATTCAGATGAGGGCGATTACTCGGACAGCAGCGGCGGCTCTCGGGTTGGACGGACTTCCGGTTTGGCCACGCCCAAACTCAATATCGAATCATTCGACGACCTGACGAAATCTGCACACCCTGGCAGCGCCATCGATCGCAGCGGGCTGGTGGTGAGGACAGAGAGTCGAGAGAGACTTGTGCCGCAAATGCTGAGTGCTGGCAAGAGGAGTCGAGCAGGCAGCCCAACAAGGATGAAGAGTCCATTAATGAGTCCTCTCAGTGAGGATTGAAAAGAATTATGTCCTACTCCCGCATTGTGGAGATTGCACTTCAATTACGACTGTTCAGACATCAAACGCTTCTAGACACACTGGATCGGAGTCATGGATAATGGTTTACATGGCGTTGTGAGGGATTATTGACCTCGACACTCCCTGGACGGGCTGGAGTCTGGGAAACCCATTTTGGATTAGAGGGAATAGGCCCTCTTCTGTTAAATGCAGAATAAGAGGCATTTTCGTGGAGTTCAGCTGTTGTCGGTGGATAGCCAGCTAGCTAACTTGAACCACGTTAGCCTAACATAGCTCAATATGATATGTCCAAAACTATCTCAACGTGGCAACGACTCCTATGACCATGGCGCATTTATTGGTTTTCCTATGTCTCTGGCCATATGCAGCCCTGCTTGACTTCAATGTGGCAGTTTCGGATGGTGCTCAAGACTTAGTCTCATTCTCAACTCCTACGTTGAATGTGTGTGAGTAACCTGGGAGCTCTTGTGACGCGGTCAGTACAGACGCCTTCCTTCCTCTTGGCTTCCTTGCCTAGCCCCGGGCATCTCGCATCCCGGTGTTTCGATCTAGCTTCCGCTCCTATATCACCCCCCTTCCATCGCTCACTCCTCCTGAGCTCTCTCCAAGAAAGTTGGATCACTCCTCAATCTCCCCTCAAACTTCTTCCACCATTCCTCAAACGCCTTCAGCGGCACGACCTCGACCTGCCCGGCCTGCCCACTAAAGCTCGCGAGGAAATTGAACGCGTTCTTGATAATCCTTTGCGCCAACACCAACGTCGATGGCGGGTCCGTCGTTCCTGCTTTCACTATTTGTCCGCTGTTATTACTGTACCCATTTCCACTGCCATGTACCTCCTCTATCCTCCTCCCCACGCTAGCCCCCTCCTCAATACTGATGCCTATCACCACCCCTTCTCCGCCTCCTCCAAGCTTGAACACAGCGCTCTCCTTACCCGGTCCCACGCCGCCCAGAAAGCGGAAATTGGGCTCTTCGGTGCCGGCGGCGAGGGCGGCGGGGTTTGTGGCTACGTAGATGGCGGCGGCGGTGTCGGCGGGTAGGACCACGCCGGGGAGGAGGAAAACGGCGAGGTGGGAGAAGGGTTTGGGGTTTGCGGGCGTGGCGGAGGGGATCGCGTAGAGGAAAGAGGTTGGTGTTGGGGTTGAGGAAGGGGTCGTTATGAGGGGGTGGCCGGCGGGGAGGAGGCCGAAGGGAGGTTCTGGGGTGGGTGCCGCCATTGGGAGGGGAGAGTTTGTATAAGTAGTGGTTTTATTGATGTGACGTCGGTCGGTGATGTATTGTGGAATGTGTCTCCGCGCTGAGGGATTGGCTTAAGGGTAGCTTCGCGCGCCGTACGTCACAGGTTACAGGACGTTGCTTCAAAAACCACTCCAGTTGGGTCTGTGAGAAGTTATCCCTGGGATTGGCTGTGAATTGTTTCTACCCTGGGTCGCGATGCCGCAATATTTGTTATAGCGTCGGGAGTTGTTCGATTCGAAATAGCAGCCGCCTGTAGTAGCTCGAAGCTTCCATAAGCTGAAGCTGTTCTGGCCGGGGGAATGTTGCGCGACTCGGACGTCACACCACAGCAGCCAAGAATGCCCCGCATGCAGGCACCACCCCACTTGCTGTAAGGATGGAGGGGTTTGCTGCTGTGTCTGGGAAATCGCGTAACTTGAGCACAGGGAGTCAGGAAAAATGCACATTAGTTACAAATAGCTTCAAAGAACGTTGGGCACTAGCTTGAGTAAAAGAACAACCCGTAGGATAAATAACTACCGATACCCATATTATTTCGGAGTTTTAAGTTGTCACTCCCTTCAGTTCTCTTCCAGTCGCAACGAAAGCTCAGGACATCGAAGTCACACTCACTCGCAACTGTGTCCACAGACATTTGCCATGCCACAACTAAGCAATTTGGACCTCATGAAGCTGGCGGATAGGTCAGTCAAGCCACCGGCTTGCTCACTTAACCCCATATTCATTACTAATAGCACAATCCAGCTTCCCCTACCCAGACACCGAACCCGAAGGCTATGCCAAGTTCTTCGACAAATCGAGCGCAACCAAAATCTACAGCCTCCTCCACCCGACACCAGATGGCCCTAAAACGATAGGCTACATACTCAAATCCATGGTTGAAAACCTCCAGTCGATCCCCGAATCCATCTGCGGACCCATCACAGTCGACGAAGATGCCCTCACCATCCAGGCTTTCGAGCTCCCCACCGAGGCCGAGCGGACAGCTGCTGTACAAGCCGTAATGAAGTACTGGCGAGACAACAAGACGTGGGAAATCACCGATGGCTGGCGTAATGAGCTATGGCCTGTATACGGTAGCAACGACGAAGTGCTTTACGAGGTCGAGCGGTCATGTACGGGACTTCTGGGAGCCATGCGCTACGGGGTTCACATGACTGCGTATGTGAAGGATGAGGCTAGTAGTCACGGCATGAAGATTTGGGTCCCTCGAAGGTCAGCCACCAAGAGCACATACCCCAGCATGCTCGATAACTCAGTAGCGGGCGGGTTGACAACCCGGGAAGACCCATTTGAGGCTATGATCCGGGAGGGCGACGAAGAGGCGAGTCTGCCCGAGGCGTTGATGCGGGAGCGCTGCAAGCAGACGGGCACTGTCACCTACATCAACATCACGGACAAGCATCAGGGACAGAAAGGGCTGATATATCCCGAGGCGCAATGGGTATATGACATTGAGCTACCCGCCGACGTGAAGCTCGAGCCGAAGGACGGCGAGGCCGAGGAGTTCTACCTGTGGACTGTGGACGAGGTGCAGGAGGCCATGGCTCGGGGCGAGTTCAAGACGAACTGCGCGCTGATATTGCTGGAGTTCTTTGTGCGCCATGGCATCTTGACGCCCCAGAACGAGCCCGATTATGACGAGATCGTGCGCAGGATGCATAGGAAACTGCTGTTCCCTGGTCCACATCAAAAATTCGCATAGAGATGGACTTTTGTTGGATTCCACACCCCAAAACAGCAGTGGCGCGAGCCTACGCCTCCCATGCGTCTGTCCGTCTATACGCCCGCCTGCTGAATATGCCGTTCCCACAAATTTTGGTCTCCGGCGCCTTGATACCCAAACATCGCTTTCATTATCATAATTGTGGCTTGCTCCCAGTCCCTAGGTGCTCGTCGTGCTATTTGCTGAGAGGGTACATGGGCGTAGCTGGATCCAAAAGAACCAATTGATCATTTTTTGACCAGTAGGTAAGTGTTGTCGACCCGTAGAGGCGTGAGCTTCTTGTAGGGACCCTCGAGCATCATGAGCAGTCCGCCGAACGAGACGTAAGCCTTGCTGTAAAAGAGTTGGTCAGCCCATTGTCTATTGATCCGGCCCCTTCGCATCCCGAAAGGCCGCGCAACTATGGCAACTAGCTTCTCAGAGTCACTTACATAGTCTGCCCATCCTTGCCATCCTCAAACTTGTAAATCTTACCGTGGCACACGTAATCGTACATGTCAGCGAGGCTGCTCTCGCCCTTGACGTCGCGCCAGCCCTTCTCCTCCTCGCCCTTGCTGCCGTCGAGGCTCAGCGACGACGCCAGCACCACCGTCAGCGTCTCGTCCACGGCGCAGGGAAACAGCTCGATGTTGATGTCGAGCGTCATCTGCGTCTGGTTGTCATTGCTGTTGGCGGTGATGCGCGCCACGCGGGCGTACTTGCTCTGGTCGTAGGCGGTTACCACGAAGTTCTCTTCGAAGAGCTGCGCGTCGCCGGCGAGATTGGCCATTTTGCGAGAGGAATAGGTAGTTCTCGTACAATGGATGAAAGGCGATTCGGGTTCGTGCGTGAGAACGTGCGGTTTCGTGGTTAGTAGGCAGTGGCGGCTGTGGTGATTGCTTTGCTGGACTTTGGGAGTTGGAGGTGAAGCTCAAAAAAGAGAATTCGAGACTCGGCCGGATGCGGGGCGGTGGATTTTGGCAGTTGCGTTCCGCAGGGCGGAATACAACGGAATACAAGTGTTGTTAGTGAGAAATACGCTAATGGCGCAGTATCCTCAGGCCCTGTAACTCACCCCATGGTGAAGAACTATCTACCCCGGAAGCCCCTCAAACTGAAATCTAATTGACTGTATTCTACCAAGTTTGTATTGATCAAGTTGGCTAAAGAGCTCAGTCTAGTGCCATCATGGAAAAGGTAGTTATGAGTGGACGCATTTACTATTTACCTGTCCAACACAATCATGGATGCGGATTATGTAGAACATGACGACGTACTTCGCATGAAAGACGAAGGAGTTTACAAGAATCAACTGTGTATCAATACTATCAAACACTTGCTGTATATAGTAGATTATGTTACTTGTCCCTGAGAGTTCACGTTGAAATATCATAACTCCCGAATTTACTGCACGAATAGTGTTCATATTTTAAGTGGGAAGGAGCCGGCAAATATTTGTGCTTGCTTCTCCACGTTGATGAGTCTAATCCGTGGCTTTTGACTCAACTTCAACTGAAATGATCCAGTGACAATTGAACAGTGGCATCTTTTCGTCTGATCGGGCTCTTCTCTTTCTTGATTCCTTTCCCCCCAACATGTCTTTCAGAAAGAGAAATACGGTGATCAACCGCCCAACGAGCTCTGCACAGTCGGTTGTAGCAAAACCTGAGGCTGCTCCAGTTCCTGGAGTGCGACCGTCACCCCTCGATGGACGCCTGACCACGTCAACTGGAACCGCCTCGCTCGACAGTCTACTCGCTGGTCATTCTGGATTCCCACTCGGCACTTCTCTGCTTATCGAAGAGCACGGGACAACCGACTTTGCTGGAGTCCTTACCCGCTATTATGCCGCCGAGGGGCTCGTCCAGGGTCATCAAGTTCATGTCCTCGGCTTGCATGAGGGATGGCGATCAGAGCTGCCTGGCATCTCGACAGATGCAAAGTCATCTAGCAAGGCTGATGCCACACCGGGGGATAAAATGAAGATTGCTTGGAGATACGAAACCCTGGGCAATGCTGGAGCTGCAAGAGGTCTGTAAGTCTCCCTGATATGGCAATACCATAGCACTAACAAACTCCGTAGACAGAGATGGTCCACAGAGAGTGGGGAGCTCAAGCCCTGGATCAAGTGACATCTTCTGTCACTCGTTTGATCTTAGCAAGAAGCTTTCTGCTGGCGAAATCAAGGGTCAGATTAGCTTCCAACCCTCGATGGCGATGCCAGGCCTGGCAATTCAAGCCAAGGAGGTCGCATCTCCTTTTAAGCTCTTCATCAAGGACCTGAAAGCGAAGCTTGCAAACTCGCCACCATCATGGGCACATCGAGTCATGGTTCCCAGTCTGTTATCGCCAACTCTCTACTCAAGTGCGCTATGTTGTCCAGACGAGGTCCTGCAGTTTATACATGCCCTGAGGGCGCTACTCAGACAGTATCCCACCAAACTCACAGCAATGATAACCCTTCCCATATCACTTTACCCTCGGAGCTCTGGACTCACTCGATGGATGGAGCTGTTATGCGATGGAGTTATGGAACTTGTTCCACTGCAACTCAACGCTGTTCATGAACCTCCGCCCAGTGGAAAGTCGGACTCCAAGTCGGAGGAGCAGACACAGGGGTTGGTGAGAGTACACAGTCTACCGATATATCATGAGAAAGGTGGTGGTGGGTCGGATGGCCATGCTCGCGAGGATTTATCCTTCAGTTTGAGCCGATCTAAGGGTCTGATCATCAAGCCTTTCAGTCTGCCTCCAATGCTGGAGGATGAAAATGAGAAGAAACCGGGAGAATCTGATAAGGCGAGCATTGACTTCTAAAGCAGCCTGTTCCTCAGTTGTCATGTGTCTGAAAGGAGACAAGTGTGGAATTTGACCCCGCAGAATTCGTGCACCGCACCAAACGCCAATCGCCTACCTCTAAAAAATTCTCATTCCTCCAATCCGTCTCAATTCCACTGATTCTCAGCATCAGCATTCAACAACAGGTACGTTCAAACAATTTCTCTTGCATAATAACTCGACATGATTACACAAATTTATCTGTCAATCCCCTGAATATTACATGTTGACAAAAATTTCAATCCATAAAATATGATCGTCCTTATCCTATATTCAGCGTTCTTGCCCAATTCTGTGTACAACCTAGACTGACTCACGGCAAGCAGGAAAGCTGCCTCTGTTGCACGATGGCGACGACTGCTACTTCGCGTCCGCCGGTAAGGATCTCCAAGGTTGCCAACAGGTACCTACTCTTCGACATTGACGATGTGATATACCTCCGCCGCAATCACAACATTGGCTCCGTCTACATCGGATTGATACCCCAAAACCCCCAGCAGAACGTCTTTAATGGCTTGCCCGTCGAGTTGATGCCGGAAGAGGCCCAAGTCCTTGTAAAAAAGAAGGCGGCCTACGTCGTCGATGATGCTGTATTCCATCTTTGTAGGCTGACTTCACTGGACTACTTGTCGCGAAGAGCCTACGAACAGTCCCTCCAGGCTGAGGGCAGGCAGGCACAGTTGATGAGTCTGGAATACAAGCTACAGAACACCCCTGATGAATTCAGGAACAAGCAGAAAAAGACCAAGACCAAGTTACAGCAGACTTCATCTGAAGCCAACGTTGCAGGAAGCCTTGCCACGGTCAGGGCAGCACATCGAGAAGAAGAACCCAACCTCTTCGATGCCAGTCCACCGACTTCTAGACGTCAGTCCCAAGCACCGAAGGAATCGTCCAAGGGATGGCCCGTGACGCCTACCACAAGCGGTATCCTTCTCACCCCACCACCAGAACTAGACACTCCATCAGTTCCGGTTGACACCCCCCCCTCCTACCCACTGTTCGCTCATTTGCAGCATAAAGGATACTTCACTATGCCTGGCATTCGGTTTGGGTGCGACTACAATGTGTATCCTGGTGACCCTCTGCGGTTTCACAGCCACTTCCAGGCTACGAGCTACGGCTGGGAAGAGCAGATTAACCTGATAGACATTGTTGCCTGTGGACGCCTGGGGACCAATGTTAAGAAAAGCTACTTGATCGGGGGTGAAGTATCTGGAGTGAGCAAAGCTGGGGTGTCCGAAAAGGAACAGAAGGAGGTAGAGGAAGGCGTTCCGCCGCCCGTTAGGTGCTTCAGCATCGAATGGGCAGTCATGTAGTTGAGACAAAACTAAGAGACAAGAAGCATACATGCAACACAAATTTTCCATGTCCCCCATTCCTCTGTCGTTTGATATGTACCATACTCAAAAGTACGTGTTGGTGTATGTGTCAAGACCAACCCGAAACTCCCAGCGACCATCCATCGGCCATCAAACACAAGGCCGAGGCCGTCCTGTGTCTGTCCGTCCGCCTGAAATGCGGGTTCTCTTCGTATGAACCCATTGAGAAGTGTATCAAATCAAGCCTCGAACAGGCAACCAAATCAACGCCATGCATCCATCTCCACGGTATGTATCTACTCCATGCAAAGTTGGCCAACCAATCCTTTCTCACAACGACCCCTGGCTGGTAATTTCCTAGCTCTTCCGCGTTGAGTCTCAAGGCACGTAAATCCTCGAAAAGGAAATCACCTCCCTGCGGCAACACACACACTTATCAAAATTGTTCATTGCCAGCGTGACACGGCACTCGTCGCACAGACTCAGACAACGACAGGGCCAGACGATAATGGTTCGTGGCGAGCTGTGACAGACAACACACTGAGGACCACTCTCGCCAAGTCCGCCCGCCCAGGACCCCGTGTTGGAGTCGCTGTTCGGCAAAAGCTGGTTCTGCGACCGTTGTTGCGTCGTGGCTCGTCGGGACAGAATGAGCTGCTCCAGTAATTCGGCTTCTTCGTCGGAGGACAGTTTCTGGTTGGGCGGTCGGCGCTGAGATGAGGTGAGGAGGCGGCCACGCTGCACAGCTTGCAGGTGCGCGTATGCTGATCGAGTCATGATGCGGTCGCTGGCCAGATGGGCAGCGAGGGCATGGGCTTCTTGCCGGTCCTCGGGGCTAGTCGGGTGAAGGAGGCGGGCGAGGTCGGTCATGGCTATTGGCGAATCGAAGGGGGTGCTTTCCCTGGAGGCAAAGGGAGAACTTTGTGTGGGTGTGCATTGCCCATCGTCAAGATCGTCCTCACCGATCCGGGGATCTTGGTCGTCGTCATTGCTAACGTCACTACCGGCAACACTGCAGATCATGCTTGTCGTGTCCCAGTCGTTTTCATTTTCATCTGGCAACCAGTCCTCGCTATTGTCCACAGAGCCCCAAAGGCCGCCGAATTTCCAGGTCTTGTAGAGAAACGTGTCCAAATCCGCTTCCGGCATGTTGGCCGTCTCTATATTTCCCTTGAGACGACGGCGTAAGTCAGTCTCGACGTCGGCATCCTCATCGTTATAGAGTCTCTGCCCGTCCCGACCGCTTACGTATAAACGACTCCTGCCGCTAGATTGTCGCTCCCCCTTCTTGTCCTTCTTGGGTCGACTCGAGAGCCAGAGCAACAAGCGCGGTTGACTGCTAACGCCAATTCGGGCCAGACCCTTAAGCATGATGAGTGCTCCCCACCGCAGAATGAGGCGATTAATATTCATGATGAATTCCAGTGCAAGCAGCCACCGTGAGCTCCGCTCGGCTGCACCAACGCCATCTCTTGCCCCCTTATCTCCTATACGTGACTTGGGTACCTTTTGCGCAGCTCGCTCTCGTGCGTATCCACTCGACGCAGATAGTTGGTTATCCTTGACCGGGACGAGACCAATGGTCCCCACAGAATCGTACCGCGACCCTCCCAGACCGGAGCCCGCCCATTGCATCCGGAGTGATTCAATTTCCCGGTATCGCTCCTCCTCGAGCCAGGTGTGCCGCTTCAAGTTCACATTCCGGTCTTCATTAAGATAAACCGCCTCACTGGCCATCGTTATAACCCCGAAGCCTGTCCTTAGCAGTGCAGTGTAGAAATCCATCTCCCAGGATATCCGAATGTCAGACAAGGAAATATTTGCCTGCATGTTCTCATGCGCCTGGGCTAGACGTTGCCTGAAAGACAGTTGTGGACCACGTTCCAACCCATCCGGGGGCGCAAGGGCTGAGAGTGCAAGCGCAATAACGTATATTACGAAGCAAACAAAGATGCCGGCGAACACCATGACGTGTGGGATGAACCCAATAATGCAAACCGTTGGGAACCTGAAGAGCCCCATGCTAGAGGGGTCGTCTAGGGAAAAAGTGAATGCCTTCAACACTATGCTCCCCATAAAACATAATGCCCAGAAGCCGGTGCTGATCAGCCGGAACTTGCTCTGAAGATTGAATATGCCCAGTATATGGCTAGTGACGTGGCTCATGGCCGACAGAAATGCAACCAGAAGGACTTCGGGTGGCGTATTGACTCGCTTCATGATCATGGATCTGGATATGGCAACGCTAGTCCCAGAGCCTTGCTGGAACGTGACATTGGAGCTACCCTGACCGGAGAACAGTCCCCATCCCAACTGATTGCTGATGGCCGCATCGGCCTCTGCAAACGCGAGCGAGTGTTCGAACAATGTCATGCCCGTCTCGACAGCCACCGGGCGACCTTGTACTGCGCAGGACACTGTTTCGAGGAATTGGCTCAAACAGAATGTCCCGAACAAGGGCCATAGAAGAGATAGCGAGCCTTGCAATTCAGCCGGATAAACCATGTCACTCGGCGGGACCATATTGACAGCACGACAGGAGTCGAAGTCATCTGCGCCTAGCAGCAGTGCCGAACTCATCCCATGTAGATATCCTCCGGCCTGGGCAAACATCAAATCTGAAGTTTTGCTAGCGTTGCCCCAGCGCATCTCGGCAAAGTCCGGCGACGTCTGGCATTGTATGGAATGCAGGAGGTCGCGCGCCTGGTAGAGGAATAGGATGATCGGGAGGAAGCGGAGGAGTAGTCGGACGGGCCACTGTAGCCGGAGCCTTCGGCGGCTTGCGGCGAAGATCTGGGTTCGGTTGAGGATGATGGCCATAGCCACGCAGCACAGCGCCCACTTGCTTGTCGCATAACTGAAGACGCTACCCAAGCCCTTCGCCCCTTCGACGGAGAACTTGGACACCATGGCAGCGGGGTCTTGATCGTCGAGCACTGCCGCGGCAGTAGCAGCAGTAACAGAGGCATCAGCAGCCATTTCGGACGTAGTAGTTTCGATGGCGTCCGTGAGGACTTGAAAGAAGTCAGAGCCGGTGCCGGTCGCGTCGGGAATGACTCGTTGGCCAAAGCTGTCGATTGCGTCGGGGTGGAAGGAGATGATGGAGCCCAGCTTGGTCAGCTTGGTCAGCATCCTAGGGCCGGCCAGAATAAGGTCCTCTAGCGAGGGCGTATATCGCGTCATATTCACTGAGTACTTGAGGTGCTGGGCGATCCACGAACTGAAGTTGTGCCACATGCTCGCGTTATTGTATAAGGCTGTCGACGCAGGCACGACTGCGGCGGCCGGTGATGCCATATTGCACCTGTGTCGACGGCACCTACTGATTCAGAGGGCCGAGCTTTACCGCGCGAGGACGACGGCAGTCAGTCTGAACTAGGAATGCTGCAACAGTGGATAATTTGGACCACGCATGGCCGATCCGAGCCGGCGATGGCGGTTGTGGATATTAAAGTACAAGGCAATGTAGAGTTAGACGTAAAGTAGAATTGGAAGGTAAGACACGTGAAGGAAAGTCGGATCCGAGATGGAGGTGCTGTAGTTGAATGGCCGGGAAGGTGGAGGTTGCAGCACCGTATGGCCCGATAGATATGCGCCTTATCTCCAGTTTGAGCTTAAGAGCTGCCTTAAAGTGACGAGTCCGGCTTCGATCGGAATAGGTGGCATGACAATGGTAACTTCAATGGAAGCAATACTACCTGCATAGCATATAACAAGTTTTGACAGCAAATCGATGGGCATCATAGGGGGGATTCTGTCATGGCGAAAAGTGTATTAGACCGACGGGTATGAAAGGACCCCGCCAGCCCACTTACAGCTACAACATAATGGAGAAATGCTATTCGCGCAGTACTCATGCACTTGCTAGTTTCTAATACCCTAGATTGACATTCGGAGCTGCTGATACTTGTACGTCATCTGCTGCAAAAGAATCCAGTGACAGGGATACGAATATTGCAGCGTTTGTATTCATTCATTTTTCTCTTTGCTGTCAAAGTAGCTTAGCATTGTCCTTGCTCTCCAAACAGTAACCGATCCTTGCGGCAGGGCACACTTAGATTTATCCATACAGTGCTAATCTGGGTATCATCGTTTAGGAATCCTCATCCTGTTTGTTTCATGGTTTGTCTGTGTCTTCAACACGATCGATCCTCTGTCTCCCCAAAGGGGTGCAGCACCAAGCTCTCTGCTCCTTCGGGCTGAGGATGGAGCTTTAGAAGCCGAGAGACATCCCAGCTTCCAGCTGGTCAGTAACTAATGTGCGGCCCGTGATCTGTTATGACTTACGGCAACAGTGTCAATCTGACTCCACAGTCCATAGGGTGGCTTCTTTCGTCTGATTGTCACGCAAGTAGCCTTTCATGATGGTTCTTGCCTGTGCCGAACCGTCTCATTTAATGCCTGAATGACCACTTGATTCGCGCTCCGGCAAGCCACTAGACTCCTCTCCATCATCTTGTTGTAAATCATCGTATCTGCCCCAGGAAGTTGACCCTTGAACCACACATTCGTGATCTCGTCTCTGACTGGCAGGTAGGCAACACAGCATGCTGCAATAATCTTCTGGTAGTTTGCAATGGATGGGTCGAGGACGATTTCGGCTGGGGTGTTATCACTCTTCATCGCCAAAGCTGCGACACCGCCGGCGACAGTGTCAACGCAGTCAATGCCTGCGTCAGCAATCGCAGCTGAAGCAATGGTGATACAACCGCTCAGCACGTTCATCATGTCCCATCCCTCGTTGTTCTGGCTGTCTGTGCTGTCGCGGTCTTGATCTCCCTCGATGATGGTGACAATAATGTCTACACCGCTCTTGGGCCACCGGTCGGCAATGATTGCGCCTCGCAAGGCCGTCTCAAGATGTACGCCAAGATCGCGCTCGCTCGAGTCGCGAAGATAGCCTCGTCGCTCTCTTGTTGCGAAGGGTGCATATTTGACATGGGTCGTTAGGATGATATGGGGGGAGAAGGGCGCGGATCGAGGAAGAGCTCGTGGACCGTGGACAGTGCAGGTAAGCTTCAAACTGGTACTGTTGGGACCCTTCGAATTTAGGTCCTCGAGCTCCAGGTAGGCAGAGCCCGAGGCGGAGGGTGTTACACCAGTCTTCAGAACTATGAGGACGTCAGATTAGCATGCTGTTATCCAGAACGTCGAGAGCCCCACCACGTACATATCTTGCGGATTGCATTCTCATCCCTTGACATATTCCGAGCTAATGGTTCTCTGTCGTACACAGGAGGTGTGGTGGTCCCAATTGGTCCGTTTATTCGTCTTCGGTCGGCCATCTTGTCGTCAAGACCGTGTCGTTTTGTGTTTGCGTTCCTTTGGCAGCCTTGATTCCAGTGCGCAGAATGTCGGCAACTTCGAAAATTCCGACAGAGAAGCCGCGCCCCACCAATAGCCATTATCAAGCTTGTGCACGGACCATGGCTTGCGACTATCTCTTGAAATTTTGGTCGCCAAATTTTCCGACTTAATTCCTCTCTTCACCATCACACACAGAGCTCAGCTCTGGAAGTCGAAGTGCTCAATGGTCCTCAACAGCATGAGGGAAAGCTCTGGTAGGGCTGCTTTGATACCATGATAGGTTCTCAGCAGCACGCCTGCGTTGTTGAGCGCCTGCTTTGGCGTTACCTTCACCCATGGACGCGGTTTCTTCTGTCTGAGAAGTAGCAGGCGTCCGTGGGATGCTATATTCACACTAAGTAAGTATCTTCATTCCCTCACCCGCTCAGGATCACTTCCAGCCCTCCCCCACTCGCTATTGATGATTTTTTACCACTGTTCCCGCGATCTTCATGAGCGAACTGAACAACATGCACTACCATCTGAAGCGTCCCTCAAGCCAAGGCTTATACGAGTAACTCCGCTGGCAATGTAACTAACTTGCTTCGTAGGAATTCATACTGAAGACTACTAGCTGGTGCCGCCCAATCGAATTCAACAACCGCAATAGGTAAGCCACTTGGAAGATTTGTTTTTGCTCTTTTTCGCACCTTGTATATGATGAAAATCTATATTTCAGTTCTGCTTCTGAGTAAGATGAAGATACCCCAATACCAAAGTTACATTCACTGAACATACAATACACTTTTCACTTCCATGTCACAAAAGTTGGCTCAGAGCACGTTAGCTAACCATTATACAGTGTCCATGACTAGCACATGCCGACATCCACTTGTAACTCGACTCTGATGGTAAGGCCGACCTCATCTCCATCCTGACCCTTCCTCCGCCCGCCTTATTATGATGAAAATAGTTTATCCATTCAACTATCTCACATGGAGCCGAGCCAACCCTCCCGCACCGTAGCTGCCCCTTGGGGCTAGTGATGATTGGTTGTGGAGTTGTCCTCATTAGATGTTATGTTGTCTTCAGTGCGTTCTAACTTGGTACTCCGTCTTGGAGTGCCATGGTAGAAGGCCGGCCCCTGTGAATGAGTAAACTGGTTTACCTGACACCAATTGGACAACACTCATGATACACCTACACTGGTTTCGATGCAATGAGCTGACCAAATATATAGATGCATTCAATGGTCTAGTATTCTATTTAACTTCTGACAGTCCGGATATAGTCTCGCGGATATGGATAGTCAGGTGTCTGCCTGCAATGCCGATGTATGACAAGCCCTTTGTGCTCATCATTTTGCTACACTCCATAAATCAATATACAAAGTTGTCTGATATCCACAAATCACTATAACTTCCTGTGCATCGTGCCTGCGCCAGCTTGGTGACTGGGAAACACCAAAGTATCAGCAACGACAACGTTTTCCCTTCTTCCGGCAACGAAGACAATAACTTCCGCGATGTCGTCGGGGGTCAGAGGTTCGCAACCGCTGGGTATGGTTAGCAAAAGCAAGTCATCAGGTTCCAGTTCTACTCACGCGTAGACGGCGTCCGCCTTGGCCTTGTCCCCGTAGAAACGAACAACTGAAAACTCCTGCAGCTTGTTAGACTTGTGTTTGTCCTTGAGGGAAAGAGTAGTCCCACCGTCTCGACCTGGCCAGGATCAACGACCATGACTCTGATTCTGGAGGCAATAGTTTCTTTCCTTAAGCTTTCGCTGAAACTTCTAATGGCGGCCTTGGTAGCGCAATAGATACCGCCTCCCGGGTATGGCTCCCGGCCAGCGATACTGCCGATGTTGATAATGTCTCCGGCTCCTCCGTCGGGTCTCTTGAGGAAGATGGGCATGATTGCCTGGGTCATGTTGATTAAGCCGGTAACGTTTGTGGCGAACATGATATTCATGTCTTCCTTGGCGATTTCGGGTGCCTTGGCGACTCCTTTGACCAGACCACTGCCGGTTGTCAGCTGTCTTGTCTTGATTTGTTCTACATCTCTATGAGTGTAGTCGACAGCCAATTGGGTACGAAATCCCTCACGTAAAACGCCAATACTACTTACGCATTGTTCACCAGCACATTGATGTCGCGAAACTCCTCTGGCAAGTTCTGAACGAAGCCGCGCACCTCCTCAGGTTTGCTAACATCCAGCTGCACGGGCAGCACCTTGACGCCATCGCCGACCTCCTTGGTGATCTCGGTGGCGATCTCCTTGAGTGTGTCGATGCGCCGCGCCGTCAGGATTAGCTTGAGATTCTTGGGCGCCGTACGCGCGAATTCGAAAGCGGTGCTGCGGCCGATGCCCGACGAGGCGCCCGTCACGACGATGGTCTTGCCTTCGAGACGTTTGGCAATGGCGGAAGACATGGTGCGGCAGGGTATTATTTGTTGGTTGAAGGTTTTGAACAAGGGCTTACTGCTATTCAGACTGGGACTGGTGTTGTTGGTATAGAGGAGGTTTGGACGCAGTCGTAAGTGTAGACGTGATAACTGGCTCAATGTAGACAAGGCTAATATTCGTGCGGAATTGGACTTCATATAGACAAGCTGCAAGCCCGAAACTCGCACAAGGGAGGGAGGGGAAGTGGATCGGGCAACGCAGGTTTATACTCGGCAAGTACTCGACGATAGGATAAGTAGGTAAGTAAGCCTGGAGACAAAAATCGATCGATCACTGCTTGTCGTCGGCCAGTCCTTCGGGATGATGCCATCGGCTTCTGATGCGCGAGGACCTCCCACGAACCCCACCATGCCCCTCCATTGCTATCGGAAAAGCACCATTGCGGCCGCGGAGGAGACATCGGATAAAGGTGCTCGGTAACCACTCTGCCGATCATAGGAAACCCCGTTCGTTGTGATGATTTGCGAATGGCAAGTTCGTCAGGTCTGACCCTCCAGGTGAAGTTTGTAACGTCTAACCACCTGGGTTAGATAATAGTGTTGTTTAGTATTGAGCAGTAATTCCCACTTGCTTTCAAGAGCTGGCATTGACTCGCACGTCTTGACTGCTATATCTTCATAGAAAAGTGCTAAATGCCTGCTGGGAGAACTTAACATATCCTACAGTTAAGCACCATGTGCATAGAGGGTCGAGTTCGGAGCTCGGAGCTCGGTTCTATCCGCGAATGGGGCAACAAATGAAAATCCTAATCCTTGGTAACACCAAAAACTTTCATCCTTCGACCAGATGGTCGTATAGTGTAGTGGTTAGCACGTGGGATTTTGATATCACGTCAAATCTTCCCGAGTCCCGAGTTCGAGTCTCGGTATGACCTTAGTTTTTGTTCTTACACATGAAGAAACGTCACGAATTTCGTAGTATACAATACTTTTTATCTCTTGAAAACATTCATCCTCCCTTCACTTACCCGTGCCACGCCCCACTTATTTCGGATTCGCTTGATACTTCCAAATTCAACCTATCCTATATTCATTAATTCATCAGCTTTTTCTAATCGCAATGGACTTACAGCTACAGGGAGGGAGCCGTCCTCTACATGTAAGAGTTTCCCCAAGCCAAAGTTGCTAAGATTGCGCGAGAAAGCGGCGTAAAACGCGAGACCCTCCGATACCGCGTTAAGCAAGCTAGGAAGACTAAAAACCTAACGCCAGTAGCAATTAGATACAAAGAAGGAAACTTGCCCCTGCAAGCTTTTTTAGTGCCTTGAGCACTGTTTGAGGGGCCCAGAAGGTTTTGTTGAAACGCTGTCAGGTCGTCATGATTTCGCCCGCCTATCTCTTCCGCTTTAGCCTTGATAACTACGAGGAATTGTGAATTGCTCAGAGCAATTCAACGCCAGTGGCAGCCTTACTTCAACTCTCGGAGTCAAGAGTCCTATTCTGAGAATCACCCCTTCGCTGAACACAAGGGAGTACGTCCGACCAACTTGCGCCCAAGGCTTGTAGAAGTTTCGCTCCAGCGTCCATCGCCATGATCTTCGTCTGATCAGGCCAACAGATGGGATCTGTTGGTACTGGAGCCGCTTTGCCAGTGTGTTAGGTAGTGGGTACATCCTACCGACCACCTGAGCCCGTTTCAGTAGCTTACGTACTTCGAATAATACTCTAAGAAAACGTAGAAAGGTCGAAAACGACTATTAATCTTCGATAGCCACGGTAGCTACTATATGAAGTAGTTTATCTAATATTATAATAACCACGATATTATATCCTTCGGCTTACCCTCCTATCTTACTTATCTATAGCTACTAGATATAGTTGTGATGCGAGTGCACATGGGGTGTGAATTGTTATATTGGGAAAGGATGGCCAGGTCAGCTATTCTGGCCTGGCAGAGCTTTATAACCCTTATCTGATCTTATCTATCTTATATATAGTGAAACGGGGTCAGGCGGTCAGTAGGATATACCTACCACCTAACACACTGAACAGACGGCTCCAGTACCAACAGATGGGATCTGTTGGTCTGATCAGACGAAGATCGTGGTACTGGTTGCAAGAGCGAAGCTCTTACACGTCTGGTGCGTGAGTTAGTCGGATATGCCTCTGATACTCGTATCGTAATAGTAGGATCTCGAACGTAAAGATAAGCTGAATAACTAAAATAACTAAATAACTGACTGAAAAGCGAAGGTGAAGATGTAGAGAAGAAGGAGATGATGATATGAGGATGAGGATGATGATGCGTGAAGATGGGGGACTCGTGTCCTACTCTGCCTCTGTGCCTCTTAAAGAAGAGAAAATATTATTATTATTATTATTAAATACGCCGTAGGCTCGAAGCCCCCGGTACCTCTACTAGTACTCCCGTATGTCAAACCGTGCCCTAATGGCTGGACTAAATACATACGCTGCGTCGTCGGTTCGCCCTATTGGCGACTGCGTTACGTCCACTACCATACTACGTTGGTTCTCAACCTACCAACAAAGTCCCCCCTGAGAAGATCGATGCTATCTGGGCCTTGAAGCTGTCCGACCCGTCCCTAGCAGCCACCTTACAATAGTCCCACTAACTACTGGTTCTCCTGTTGCCGTTGCGAGGTCTCTGCGAGAGTATAGTGGCCGTGGTGCGATGGCGGCCCGTAATCGTTCCCTCGGTCCTTCCAACAGCCCGCAAAAGAGGATTACGTGCTCTGCCGTCTCAGGGGCATCGCCACAGCGGCATAGCGGCGAGTACACGCCAAAAGCCCCTGTCTTGAATAAGAAGGCTGCTAGTCCTATTTTTTCCGTCCTGATCTGGCACAGCGTAGACGCTTCCAGTCGGTTCAGGCCGAAATACTTGCCCCCTTTCGGTATCTGCATCGAAGGGCCCTCCGGTTCCTCAGCGATAGCGCGTCGCTGGCGATCGTGATGCTCTGCTCCGGTGAGCCATCTCTTCCTCCAGTGGCCGAGGAGGGCAGCCGGGACCTCCTTTTCCTCACTCATCCACTCGGAGCCCCGGGCCTCCTTCTCCATAGTGTACCCTGCCGGTCGGAGTAGCTGCGACGCCTGCTTCCTCTTCGCCGGCCTATCCTGCCGGAGTATATGTGACGCTTTAGCGCTCGCGCTGCGAAGTAGATTTCTCTTCCCGCTAAGCCGTAGCCGTTCTTCAAACTTAGCAGCCCGGGCACTAAGATAGAGGTCTAGTGGCGGGATTGCTGCTTCTGCTTCCAGGTGGCGAACCGGCGTCGCTTTGTGGGCGCCACAGACTACCCGGAGGCACTCGTTCTGTATCCCCATCAGGCTCTTAGCTGGCCCTGTCGGTTCCTCACTTATAGTATGCCACGCAGTCGCCCCGAAGGCGATCGCGCTACGGATAACCACCGTATATAACAGCCTCGCCCGTATAAGATCGCAGCCCCACGACATATTGACTAGCTTTGTCAGGGCTAGCTTTTGAGTTGCCATTTTTGTTTTAACACGCTCAACATGGGCGTGCCACGTCAGTTTGCGGTCGAACCAGACTCCTAGGAACCTCGCTGAGACTACCGGCGACACTGTGGCGTCCCCAAGGCGAATACTTTGCGGCAAGGGCTCTCGGGCCCTAGTAAAGTGCATTAGCTCACTCTTGTCAGGAGCGAACTCCATCCCGTGCCTCACTGCCCACCGCTGACACGTAGCCCATGCGCTCTCCAACCAAGAGAAAATAAACTTTCTCCTAGCCCCGTAACCTATTTCCCTGATGTCCGGCCTTACCCCGTTACATTACACGTCTGGTGCGCGAGTTGGTCGGATGTGCCTCTGAGACTCTCGTCGGAATGATTCTCAGAACAAGGCATCTGGCTCTGGAAGTCGAATTGAAGCTCTCACTAGCACTATATTGCTCTGATCAGAGCAAGATACAATCCTCTGTCAGTGTCAAGGCTAGGATGAGGGCAGAATAATAGGATTTCGAAAGTAGTGTCTAAGTGCACGTAGGAATGAACCGCATAATTGAAGGGCTAGCTAACTAGAATAGAAAACAAAAGTCAAGTTGATTGAATAAGATGATGAAAAGAGATGACGATTTGTTGAAAGTCGTCTGTCATCTCCGTGTCCCTTAAGAAGTGTGGAAGACAGGGGAGTCCTCCCTGACCCCCGTCACCTACTTTCCTGACGTCCGGCCTGGCCCCACTACAATAGCTACAGGGTAACCCCCCATGGGGTCACGTATCACCCCGATAGGAACACTCGAATTCTAAGGACTCGGTATTAACGGGATAGGACTCTAATGGAGTTAAAGAAGTAGAGTATTATATAGTAGCGCGCTATGCTTAATTTAGTATAAATCGGTCAGTTATATTGCTAGTAATTATAGAGTGACGTTGTGTGATAGGACCGAAGTTGGCGATTTTGACTTCACGGCTCATGCTTGGTTATAGTTAGAGATAAGCTCGCCGTTTACATGTAGTTTTATAGTGGAGTTTTTCGGGCTAAACAACACAGGCGCAGTGAGTTCCCTCGGTGGAAGAAAGTGTGACATCGGCAAATCAATACATATATGGTAGTCTTTCCTAACACAACAGGATGTTGCTATCCTGATCGCGTCGAAGCAATGATCTGTATGTTCAGCAGAGACAATAGGGGCCCCTTACCGTTGTGGTCCATGATATTCTTGTCCGGCCATTCCACGCCCCCTTTCATTATCTTGATAGTGATCCCAGTTGTAGAAATGTGACTGCCAAAGTGATTTCCGTCGTGCGTGAGCGGTTGACAGATGAAAAGACACTTGGAAAGACTTACGAGACAGAGGAGACGATGAAAGACTCCGAACTGGATGACACAACCACCTGCATACTTCGGTAAGACCTTGTGCATTGGAGAAAGCGGGTCATCATCAGTTCTGTTCATCTGTCTCAAGTCTTTCTCGGTCACAGGATATAATTCACCCCGTTGCTGATAACCATACACATTGCATAAATCTCGTCTTTGTTCACGACGGGTGGGCCTCGCTGTTTGTGGGTCTGGAAAATGTCAGCCTCGTAGGGCTTGGGGTCCATGTATTACACGACGCTGTTCACTTGAGCTGTTTGGTGGTTCATCAATGTGTCTGATCGAAAGGCGCCATAAGATTTTACAATATGTAGAGTCGATTCGAGTGGTTATTGAGGCTTCTGTTTCTTGGTCTCGGTAAGCTTCGACACCAAAAACACTGAGAGGACCAAAGTCAGGGCACTAGCGAGGTACTGAGATCCGAATCGCCCTCGGGGTTTCAAAATGGATTCTCCTGGCTGTCACAGCGCCTCATACTTAGTGTTTTCACTTCGGCCAAACATTGCGAAATAGTTCACGTTGTGTGTTCATTCGTTACAGTATCGTCATTAAACACAGATGTCGAACCTGAAGAGAAAAGACACGAGTCACCTTATCATTTAGATGAAGGAGAAAATAGCCATGAACGAGGGAGATATCGATGCTGGAAGACATCGGATGGGCGCTTACTCGACGTTATAATACCGATGATTCTAGTTGTCACTAAATACCAGGGCCTTGAAAAGCCATCTAGGTACAGCTGCAAACAAGTGCATAGCCAATTTTAGGAAAGATGACCGTGCCATCAAGGTGCAGCATGCGAGGAATCGGTTGTAGGTGTGTCTGGCTGTAGCGGCGACTGATGACTACAAGATCGTATCCCATCTCTCGCATTCCACATGACGGTGGCATTACGGCGGACTGGTCAGTCCCGCGCTAGATACAGTACCTTTATTATATGAACTTCACCAATTTACTTCTTAAGCTCTTGGCACATACCTTAACATCACGTAATATAAAGGGAAGCAAACCAAATTCACAAAATATAAGTATATATATCCGCTTTCTATCAAGGAACTCGAGCAAAGATGACCTCTGATTAGTGATCTGTAGATCTGAATGCAGCTCCATACGCGGAACCAAATGTTTGATGAATACAGATAGGGACTATTGTGCTTTATAAATAGAAGCTGGCTTCACGGTGACGTGACACCTTGCGGTGCTAAACTGCCTTACAATACCCAGGTGTATTGCCGAGTGTCCATAATGAAGTCGTAGTTATAAAGAGGGAGGGCCACCTAGTGTGTCACGTCTCTCCTTGGACTGGAAATCCTAGTGGAACTCAAATAAACACTTAGTCCGGGACTGGAAACGCTTCTGAATCCAATTACACTTCTTGTGATCCTTGGCCCAGATGATATCGGTTATGTATAAGTCTCCCTCTAGGATTCGCCAAAGCCATGGATTGCACCTCTCCAGAGCGTAAACATCTTTGCGTTCTTCCAAACAAGACTTCGCAGCCATCCAAAATATGTAGTTGTCAAATTTATAGCTCTCTATTTCAGTGTGATAAGTTCGGGTTCATGTTTTCACCCAGCGGCAGTTGCCTTAATACGGTACTTTTGCGAGCGAGTGACAGAAAATATGTTTCGAAGGCATTTAAATTATATTTCTTCGCAGCGCGAGCGCTAAAGCGTCACATATACTCCGGCAGGATAGGCCGGCGAAGAGGAAGCAGGCGTCGCAGCTACTCCGACCGGCAGGGTACACTATGGAGAAGGAGGCCCGGGGCTCCGAGTGGATGAGTGAGGAAAAGGAGGTCCCGGCTGCCCTCCTCGGCCACTGGAGGAAGAGATGGCTCACCGGAGCAGAGGATCACGATCGCCAGCGACGCACCATCGCTGAGGAACCGGAGGGCCCTTCGATGCAGATACCGAAAGGGGGCAAGTATTTCGGCCTGAACCGACTGGAAGCGTCTACGCTGTGCCAGATCAGGACGGAAAAAATAGGACTAGCAGCCTTCTTATTCAAGACAGGGGCTTTTGGCGTGTACTCGCCGCTATGCCGCTGTGGCGACGCCCCTGAGACGGCAGAGCACGTAATCCTCTTTTGCGGGCTGTTGGAAGGACCGAGGGAATGATTACGGGCCGCTATCGCACCACGGCCACTATACTCTCGTAGAGACCTCGCAACGGCAACAGGAGAACCAGTAGTTAGTGGGACTATTGTAAGGTGGCTGCTAGGGACGGGTCGGACAGCTTCAAGGCCCAGATAGCATCGATCTTCTCAGGGGGGACTTTGTTGGTAGGTTGAGAACCAACGTAGTATGGTAGTGAACGCAACGCAGTCGCCAATAGGGCGAACGGACGACGCAGCGTATGTATTTAGTCCAGCCATTAGGGCACGGTTTGACATACGGGAGTACTAGCAGAGGTACCGGGGGCTTCGAGCCTACGGCGTATTTATTAATAATAATAAATTATATTACTGGTATGGTTCGATGTTAAAAAACGGTGTCAGGACCTTTCCGTCTTCGAAGTAACATGGCAAAAATCGGATCTGAGGCAAAGATGCTGATTCTGGTACCTCGAAATACAAAGATTCCGAATCCACCCCGTCTCATCCTCAACACTCTCAAATATTTACTTGTTACGCGAGACCTGTCTTTTGTAGTGTGAGGTGGCCTTCCCTGATGCAATCGTATCGTGTAATTGAGTTTTGGAGTGAGAGTGCGTCGTACAGTCAAAAACTGAAAAATGCACGAGGTCTGCTTTTCCTGATAGCAGAGAGTATCTGAAATTATCACCTAATACTGTAATTTGTGTACTCCACGTATACTAAGGCAAAGTTCGCGAGGTATTCATGGACTAAACTCTACTTGCCATAGAGATCGAACACGTCACATTGCGTGACATGCAAATTGCAATGGAATGGCATACATGGTCTAATGCCTCAGGCTGAACCTCTACTGCTAAGCACATAAACCCATAAAATGAAGCAAGTCTGCGAATTCATCATACATGGCATTGTTCCCCATGGGCACATTGTGGGATACAGTTTCATTAGCAGTTTTCGTGGTGGGCAGTTTAGTCTGGGCACCCGCATGCCAATTCAGCTGCCATGATTTCGCTCGGGGCAGAGGGTTGGGGAAATAACCCTTCATCGAACGGAGCGCCAGATATGATTTTAAGGATCCTCCCTCCAATGGTGATGATGGATACACTGTCCAGTATTTAGGCGCCCAATATAACCAATCCTACGTCAGAAATTGGCTAATTGCTGGGTCTCACAAATCTCCCCCTTGGGACTGCTACGCTGGACGACCGGTCCCATAATGCTAGATTTCTAAGCCGGCAATTCATGGGATATTGGCGGGAATTGATGAAAAGTGTGCCTCCCTGGGTACGATTATTCAGCCGGAGCGCTAGTCCAATCATCATATCTATAGCTACAGGGTAACCCGTTGGGGTCACATATTAGCATCTGCGCCTGCACCTGCATCTTGCTATCAACCACTGTCGAATGTGTAGAACAAGTCTAATATTGGAAAGGTGGGTTTTGCATATTTGAGAAATCATATTTCGATTCATTTTTCTTCTTGAACCATTTCCGCGTTTGGGTCTAAAGTAACAGGGCGCCTTTTGCTCTTTGGGCCGGAGGTGCCATTATAAAATGTCGTCACGCTACTCCGGCCGCGATGCCGACCCTACGCCCCTTGGACAGCCATTGTCATTTCATTTCTCGACTAGTGTGGCTCTCAATCGCCTGATGAAGGCCGCTGTACGTCAAGTTTCATTCCTCAACTCTGAACTATTGACAGCGAAGAAGCAAGTGTGAAACTTGTTGGAGTTGTAATACTGAACCAACTGCCATCAGATGACCGAGCAGATGTGCTCCTGGGACGAAAATTTTGCAAAGCGAGGTATTCCTTCGGAAGAACTGATCAATCTGTATCGAAAATGGAGTGGTGGGGGTTGGGGAATGGTGGTGACGGGCAACATCCTCATTCATCCAGACCATCTCGAAGCTAAGGAAAACCTTATCGTCCCGCTCGATGCACCTTTTTCGGGGCACCGTTTCGAGTAGTACAAGAAACTGGCAGAAGTGGGTAGAGCAGGCGGTACACTTCTCCTGGGTCAGCCCAACCATCCGGGCCGGCAGATAAGAGATGAACTCCAACCAAATCCAGTAGGCGCATCTGATATTCAGCTGGTCAAGGGCTACTACGGTGTCAAGTTTGGCAAACCCCACGCCGCCTCTATCGAAGAAATCCACGAGATAAGGGACAGTTTTATCCACTGCGCTGTCTACCTGGATAAGGCCGGCTTCGACGGGATCCAGCTGCACGGTGCTCATGGATACCTCATCGCTCAGTTTCTGTCTCTAACTACCAACAACCGAGAGGACATGTACGGAGGCTCTCTAGAAAATCGAGCACGCCTTGTCACGGAAATCGCTGATGGTATTCGGGCACAAACAAGCCCGAGCTTTGTCCTGGGCATCAAAATCAATAGCGTCGAATTCCAGAACTCAGGTTTCTCTACGGCGGAGGCTGCAGAACTGTGCGAGATCCTCGAGGCCCATACCTTCGATTTCGTCGAGCTGAGCGGTGGCACATACGAGGAGGACGCCTGGTATCACCGAAAAGATAGCACTCGGGCGCGCGAGGCCTTCTTCATCGAATTTGCCGAAATGATCGTGCCGCACATGAAGAAGACGAAAGCCTTCATCACTGGAGGAATTCGCACCGTGGGCGGCATGGTGGATATTCTGAAAACGGGGTTAGATGGTATCGGTCTTGCCCGGCCGGCGTCGACGGAGCCGGAACTGCCAAATGACATTTTTACCAAAGGGGTAAAGGGCTGTGTCAAGCCCCTGCTGGATGAGCAGAATTTCGGTAATGGGTTGGCGTTGTCACTGGCACAGATGCACCAAATAGGTAGAGATGAGCAGCCGATGGACCCGACAGATGAGAAGGCCATTGCGGACCTTGTGAAGAATATCGCCGCGAGAAGGGTTAAGTGAGAAAGATGAGAAACGCTTTGCCTGATGACTGAATTTCATGTAGGTAGTGATTTCACTTTTGCCGTAAACTGACACATGGCCAAACAGCCATGGCAGAGGACTGACTGTTTCTTTTCCTGCTAGGAACCCAGAGTTTCTGAATCGATTTTTCGACGGGTGAACTTTGTGCGACCCGCTTCCTCCTCTTTCATATCTACTGCTTCTATTTTCAAAAACCTCTATTTGGACTTTTGCATTTCTCGGTGTGCAGGCGAAGGCAGTCATTGCATTCGCATGTCGGCTTCTCAGATGGCATCTTCCGGCTTGGTTAGGGAGGTAGTAGGGTGCCTAGAGCAACTGCCTTGTTCGGAAGTGGTTATAGGATCAAGTGGAGTAATAGTGAAGATTTTAGCATATCAAGATGACTCTTAACGAGTAAGGCATGAGAAGTTAGCTTGGCCGAATTGGATCTTCAATGTTGACACTTGAATGTATGACTGGCCGTGCTTCTAGCAGCACAAAGAAACGTATCGCAATGTTGGAAGGCTAGTTGAGAACTTTGTGCATTCTGTTAGGTTGAAATCACTGCACAGTGAGCTGTGGATTATGCTGTAGTAGCATGGTTTCTTTGTTCTGTCAATGGTGATGTTAGGAGTGAAAGGTGAATTTCTATGAATAGTGGTCATCTGAATTGCGACTAAATAGATGTGGCCGAATTAGTCACATGGATCCTATGAGATATATAGATTTTGAGAGAAAAACCGTAAGCATGTTCACATGACCATAAATGGTGCACTGAAACAACTGCATGATTGCTGTGAGTGCATGGCTGTCTCTGCTCAATATTAATCTTCAAGCGAGGAATTTGCTTCAATATCTTCTTGAGTTGCATATCACCAAAATGCTGTAGCTAGCGCGCCATAGCGAACATAAAAAAAGAACTTGGAGACTTTATCCCTAAGAAGTATTTCAACCAGGCTACAGGCCAGCAAACTGGAGCATCAGGCACCCCTGGATACTTTCCTTCCTACACAGTTACTTTGGGGAAATGCTTTGTAGTCAAACCACCACTTCCATCTATCTATTAAACGATGATATACCAACATACCGTAGCCGATGTTACAGAGACAAAACTCCACCTTGACATGACCTCTCATCCTGCGGTTTAGCTGCCCCAAGCACCCAGTTCACCACATATATAGGCCAGTAATCAATAAAGAGGTACAGTAGTAGCTAGCAGGCATCGGAACCTACACCAACCTTGTTCAAGAACCCGTCAAATCATATTCAGTATATCCGGCCTAGGTGGTGGCTGCCCCCACCATGTCGTTCGCCTCGGCTCCTGGCCACAGCATGCAGAACGGCGCTCTGGTCGTGACTACAGAGCCCACCGTTGCCAAATCCTTTGTGTTGATTGGTCCGTGTAGTACCTGGCTCGGTGCGCCAGGACTAGTTGCGGCCTTGATGGCTGTTATAGAGTTCGTGAATAATTAATCAGCTACACAGGCAATTCACAGTGTGATAGATCAGCTTTGGCACTTTTTTGTCTCTGAGATTCTACAAAGTACTCGGGTCCTGACCGCAACAGTCAGTTGACCGGATGTTGGACCCTGTACATCAAATCCTCAGCGTACCAGCCGCTGTTATTGTCAGACGTGATCAGCACTCTAAAAATGTACAGCCAAGAGACATGTTTTTCTGGACTTCAGGCCCACATATCTTCACTCTTTGGCTTGGAAGGAACAGAGATATATTCAATCATATGCATTATTATAGCTTGCAGTAAGTCCTATAGGTACTTTCAACAATTATAGTACAACTAACAGATATAAAAATGTTTTGGTACACGAAATCTGTTAGTTATTTTGGCGTGGATAAGTATAGCGCTTTAGACGTGGAAGAAGCTGTCGTTGGAGTGGACGCGTGTTACAATGGTATGATGAAAGTGATTGCGTTGTTCACTAAGGAGAAGCACTCTGGGAAGATGGTGCGATGCAACGGGGAGATTTAGAACTGGTAAAAAATGTATACGCGATGAACCCGATCAATCACTGAAGGTGGAAATGGATTTGGGCTGATCAACATCACCAAATGTCTTAAAACGGACTGTATAAGACAAATAATATCCAAATTTATGCCAAACGACGAAATCAAAAGCAGTTATATCATGCGAGCTGATAGATTGCATATGATAGGTGGGAAGGTACGGCCAAGTACAGGGCTACAAAACCCCGCCCCAAAACCAGAAGTAACCATCATAGAAGAAGAAAAAAACATCCTTTTTTGGCCTTCATATAAATCTATGACGTGTAGAAATTAGCCTATTAGCTAGAGTTGCAAAAGCTGCGGAAGCGAACATATTGCCCCAGGCTGACTGTGATCCTCAATTCTACGCACTGTAAGGCGAACGATGCAATTTTGGAAACTTTGGCATAAAAGGAAAAAAAAGGGAAAAGCGGAAACTAATGGATAGAAACTTTATCGTGTATAGACAAGTCAAAATGCTACGAGAAACTAGTATAACGGACTGCTATAGACCGTATATATGGAACCAAGCCCAGTCTGTCGAGGGGTTGAGGGAGGGGCGAGATGTGTCGTTCATTATTCCTAGCTTTCCTAAAAATAAAACAGAAAAATTACCTATGCCCTTGCAGAAATGTTGCATTGGGAGTCAGACGATTCGTATGCTCTTGTTTTTCGTGCGCTCTGGGAGTACTTCTGGCACAGGCCCCTTTTCGTACACCCGAAGACCAGCTACCGGATGACTTGAGATGAACGACAAAGCGGAAATGGTCCAATTAAGCACCATTGCAGCAGCATAATCCACTCTTCTGAGGAAGGTTGATGCCTGGCCATGAGTTCAAACATCCATAGATAGCATCAATTCCTGCGCACGGTTAACTGACTAGAGTGTTTCCTGCCGCAGTCATACCCCAGGGGGTAACCCACTGCGTTAGCTGTGGGTCAACGAAATCTATCTGTCATTTTTGACCAATATTTCCGAACTTCACCAATTCACAGCAAATTCGAAAGTATCTCTCAAAAGTATGAGTATAACGCTTATAAGCATGTAAGGACGAAGCTAAAGTCGGCTTCGCAGCCACCACAGCCAGCGCCAGAATTTGAAGAGGATAACGGAATGAAGACCCTTTGTCAATTATACTTATTATATTCGAATTTGAGCGAGAATAATGTGTTCACGATGACGTACAAACCCTATAGTACTTACAAAGTGGCCCGCACTTCCAACCTAACATATAGGATTATAGCGAATTGAGGTACGCGCCTTTGCTCTTCTATACAGTGTACACATTTACTAGGGAGGTACTGGCAGTTTGGTGCAGATTACTAGTATTCGGAAGTACCCTCAATAATGACATAGCTGGAAAATGACAGATAGACATCCTTGACTCACTGCTAACGCAGTGGGTTAAACCGCCGTTTTTAGCTTGACGAGAAGTGGAACAGATACGGCCGATGTTTTCCTGCACATACAAATTGCCCTAATTATAGCTGAGGTGCGTTTCTTCGAGGATTCGGCTAGTAATTTCTTCATTAAGTATCTAATCTAGAAACACCTCTTAATTAGGGGATAGTTATTACTTAGTTTAGTAGGCTCAGCAGCGTTCTTACGTACTACAGAGGCGGTTTATAGGGTAGAAGGAGTAACGCCGTACGATCTGGCCGCTTTTCGTATATAAGTACTGTAACGGGGTAAGGCCGGACATCAGGGAAATAGGTTACGGGGCTAGGAGAAAGTTTATTTTCTCTTCTTGAAGAGGCACAGAGGCAGAGTAGGACACGAGTCCCCCATCTTCACGCATCTCTATCCTCATCTTTATCTTCTTTATTTTCACCTTCGCTTTTCAGTCAGTTATTTAGTTATTCAGTTATTCAGCTGTCATCTTGCTCTGATCAGATTAATCCAGTACTAGAGAGAGCTTCAATTCGACTCCTAGAGCCAGACGTCTTGTTCTGAAAATTACCCCGTCACAAGTCTCCAAGGCATATCCGACCAACTCACGCACCAGACGTGTAATGTAACGGGGTAAGGCCGGACATCAGGGAAATAGGTTACGGGGCTAGGGGAAAGTTTATTTTCTCTTCTTTAAAGGGCACAGAGGCAGAGTAGGACACGAGTCCTCCATCTTCACGCATCATCACCCTCATCTTCACGCATCATCATCCTCATCTTCATATCATCATCTCCTTCTTATCTATATCTTCACCTTCGCTTTCCAGTCAGTTATTTAGTTATTTTAGTTATTCAGCTTATCTTTACGTTCGAGATCCTATTATCACGATACGAGTCTCAGAGGCACATCCGACCAACTCGCGCACCAGACGTGTAAGAGCTTCACTCTTATAACCAGTACCACGATCTTCGTCTGATAAGACCAACAGATGGGATCTGTTGGTACTGGAGCCGTCTGTTCAGTGTGTTAGGTGGTAGGTATATCCTACTGACCGCCTGACCCCTTTTCAGTAAGAGCGAAGCTCTTACAACCAGTACGACGTTCTTCGTCTGATCAGACCAACAGATGGGATCTGTTGGCACTAGAGCCGTCTGTTCAGTGTGTTAGGCGGTAGGTATATCCTACTGACCGCCTGACCCCGTTTCAGTACCTGATCCTAGTACTTCCCTCATCTACTATACGAAAAGCCGAATACGAATGGCTTTAAACGTGACAAATGCGATTCGTTGGCGTAGCGTAGGTTGCGATTTGAAGGTGCGATTTGGAGGTGGGGATTCGAAAGTGGGGCTGTCCCACTACCCAGGGTGTCTGACTTTCGCAGGAAGCACTCTATAGGAGTGTCTCGCCTGCTTTTCTTAGGGGGCTCTCAATGGACGGGTCTCATATATCCTTCTTACTATATTCTAGATTGACACCGGCTGCGTATATGCTTTAATCTGTGATGTTGGAAATCAGATATGCCGGATCGAGTCGAGTGGAGGACTAAATGTGCAAGAACAGATATTCTGCATCGTACGATTAACACGCGGCTCCAATGAGCGAGATCATCCATCTATATGTCCTACGCTTATCTAGTCTGACTGGCCAAACTAGTAATCTCTAAGCAACTGATTGCACCCATTTATCTGTGTTATGGCATTGGCCTAGATGGCCCTAAGGTTAGATATGCAATCTGTTTCAAAGCAATGAGCTCTATACTCCCACTACCCCCTTCGAGACCCCTCCCCGGATCGGTGACTACTCAAGTTAGTACATAATATTACTCCTCTGAAAAGTAGATATTTTGGGGATTTTAGCTGTCGGCACCAATAGCCTGGAAAATATCAAGTAATAAGTCGGCAGGACTTACCTAATCAGGCTAGGCCACATTAATTATCGCCCTGACCAGCACTTTGTGTTTGTTCTCCAAGATTATAACTTTCAATCAGCCGGTATCAACTGTAATCGGCCTCTTGAATTTTTTCCCAATCCCAGCCCAACCGATTCTGCAGTCTCTTTGCTGTCGTCAGCTTACAGATGTCGATGCAAGTCGAGCATCAGAAAGATGTTATTCCTCGGCACCGCCGCTCGGCATCGCCGGCATCGCCGAGCGAAGCGGGAGAGGAACGGGTACCGTCTTGGCAGGGATGGATGCGCGGCTCTTGGGCAGTGTCTTGAGTCACATTATCAACCCCACGATGTCATCAATATGCGGGTCTGCGGGTTCTTGGTAGCCACAGGCCCCTGGGAGTAAGCATGACGTCGCATCTTGGCGAAGCTTGTTACGCGAACCGATTTGAATGCCAATGCCTCTCCATGATAACGTTGCCGGCGTCGAGAGGAGCTTATTTGGCGCGTCTTAAAGTCAGGATCCGCTATGATAGCCGTCGCGGCCCTTAAAAGAAGGGCGACTCATGCTCTCTCAACATTTTAGGCTCGTTCTTTTGTATTCCTCCTCACGTCCCACACGAGCCGATTTTGTTGGCCGCATGCAAAAGAATCTCGACCGAAATGGAGGAACCACAAGAACTTCGTCGCCACAGCAATGTCGACGACTTGGTGACTCTGGAGGCGATGGGACATAAACAGGAGTTACAGCGGAATTTCTCCAAAATCTCCATGTTGGGTCTGGCTTTCGCCATTCTAAACACTTGGACCGCTCTTTCGGCTTCTATCACCCTAGCCCTGCCTTCAGGTGGGCCCAGCTCCGTAATATGGGGGTTGATTGTGGCTGGCTTGTGCAACCTGTGTCTGGCAGCGAGTTTGGCTGAATTTCTCAGTTCCTATCCAACGGCAGGGTGAGTGGTTCCTTGGTCCGCTTTGTTTACTTCTTGTTGCTTCTCACTAACAGGCAAATGGCAGCGGGCAATATCACTGGGCTGCCATTGTCAGCTCGAGTCGCTGGTCCCGTGGTATCAGTTATGTCACAGGCTGGATCAACGTGTCGGGCTGGGTGGCTTTGACGGCCACAGGACCCTTGCTTGGCTCAAGTTTCGTCATCGACATCATCACGTTCCTGAACCCCAGTTACGAGTCGGCAACCTGGCACGAGTTCCTCATTTACATCGCCTTCACGGCTATTGCCTTAATTATCAACACCTTCGCCACACGACTGCTTCCCATGTTTAACCAGGCTGCCTTCTTGTGGTCAATCGCTGGATTCATCATTATCAGCATCACCATTCTCTCGTGTGCGGCCCCGAATTACCAAAGCGGCTCGTTCGTTTACGGCGAGTTCATCAACGAAGTTGGCTGGCCTGATGGAGTGGCGTGGATGCTTGGATTACTTCAAGGAGCATTCGCGTTAACCGGGTTCGATGCGACAGCGCACATGATCGAAGAGATTCCTAATGCTCAGATCGAAGGGCCGAAGATCATGTTGTATTGCATCGGAATCGGCATGTTCTCTGGCTTCATCTTCCTCAGCTGTTTGCTGTTTGTTCTCAAGGACATTGATAACGTCATCGAATCAGCCGCCGGCCCTCTCCTCCAGATCTTCTTTGACGCCACGGGGAACTCGGCCGGGAGTGTTTGCTTGCTCATCTTCCCTCTCATCTGCATGGTCTTCACCTCGACTGCATTGATGACGACGAGCGCGCGTATGACGTATGCCTTTGCTCGGGATCGAGGACTACCCTTTAGCCGCGTATGGGCCAAGGTCCACCCCACACTGGACGTGCCCCTGAATGCGCTTCTGTGGACTACCGGATGGGTTATCATCTTTGGTCTGATCTTGCTGGGATCCAGCAGTACCTTTAATGCGATCACAGCAGCATCTGTCGTCGCTCTTGGGGTTACTTACGCGATCCCGCCTGCCATTAACTTGCTCCGCGGTGGAAACATGTTGCCTGAAACTCGGTCTTTCAAGCTCTCTACCCCAATGAGATGGTTCTGCAGTTTGGTAAGTTTGCATACTTCCCAAGTACTGAAACTCTTGAATGCTAATCAAATACTTCCAGGTCGGCATTGCTTGGTCCATTCTGACTACCGTCTTGTTCGTGTTCCCGCCGGAACTGCCAGTCACCCCTGGCAATATGAATTACTGTATTGCGGCATTTGGGATTATCCTGTTTATTGCCGTAAGCACTTGGATTGTCGACGGCAGGAAAAATTACCGCGGCCCGCATGTGGATATTGACGCTCTGGTCAAGGGCGCGGACAGTGCATCCGTGGATGAGACGAATCCTACTTTTAAGGAGGCAATGAAGAATTAGATCGTGTTATCGGTATCAAGAATTGGACTCTCGTGTGCTTGTTGCTAGAATAACCGCCAGATCACGATACTGGTCCTTGATCGCACTTGGACTTTTTGAGACTTGCCTCGGATCCGTTGCACTGAGGGAAGCTTGGCCACAGGCATATCGGAATGCTAATGCGTAAGCAACGTTCAAGGTCCGATGTTCGCTTCGTTCAAATGGACGAAGACCAGGGCATAATTCAAAGTATCATGACAGTGACAGAAATGAAACAATCACCCCACATGAGACACAGCCCAGTTGCCAGTTACAACAGTTGAAATCTTAGTGTTAGATTGTTACCTATGCATGGAGCTTTGAAGTGGTGCATTTGAATACTTTGAAGGGTAGGCCAGAGCAACTTCCAATATTGTATACTCAGTTGCTGTTGAAACCTACCGAGGCTGCTTCTCAATGATAATCGCATGTTTCAGGAGTAAAGACCCAAGCCAGACAGGTGAACATCTCGTGAAACATCGGGTCTGTATAGTCCTTATGTCCAATCCATTAGTCGTCAATGGAGTGATACTGCTGTCGTTCAAATATTCTTTTGTCACCTTCTGTCTCCCAGAGTATTTCCACTAGTTGAGAAAAACCAAGGAGATCTACACAAGTAGCACCTCAAGGACCTGAACGAATGTCGCAAAGAAACGTAAAAACAACGACTGATTCGTCAATCCCTTAACTCCATCACGAGGTCATGTTTCGGACACAAATAAACCCAACCCCGTCCAATGATTCAGTCGACTGCGGATCGCCCCATCTCTCAAGAACAACAAAAATACACCCCAAGTCGCAGCAGGATATGCCGTTGGGAAACCCGGTGCCGGCGAATACGGGTTTGAAGTCTCTTTCGCCAGCCTCAAGCGATTCCATCGCTTTGCGTCGGGGGTCAATGATAGTGCCTAGTCAATTCTCCTCCGAGTTGTCTCCCTTCATGGGCAAGAAACCAACTTCTGTGGCTTCTGCCTTCATCTCACGCCTAATGATGGAGGAATAAAGTATCAGCACACCTACTGCACCACAGACGGGCCCCTCTGGGACTTTGTCGCTGTAGCACAGATACCAACTTCCTGACTGACATGCTTGGACATGAACTTTACATATTACTCCGTTAAAGTCATCCAATTCTGGACCCACGGGCCGTTCTGGGAAGGATTGTGCAAGTTTCTAGTACCTGCCCGACCCCTAATTGTGTCATGTGCGGTGCGTCATTGGGTTACAAAGTCTGGCGGCCCACACCTGGTTCCCAGTCCTGCCGTGAGATTCACTCAAGAATCTTATACAGCGTTGATGATCCATTACCAGGAGGAGACCGATTGCAAACAAGCACATTGCAAAATATTTATTTTTGGGGCCTCCCAAGAACCAAGCACCTCAGGTAATGCAGACCTGACGCATAATGATGTTGACGCAAACTTCGAGCATCGCGATGCTGAAGATGGTGAAGATTTAAATGAGGCTACCGATGCTTGCACCGATGAAGCATCCGACAAGGGATCTGACATCAATACCAAACAAAGAATTAACGCTGAATATTATGGTGACTTCGATGGTGATCATGGTAGTTCTCCTAGGGCATCGAACTAGCGGGATTGAACTGTTCTACCTCGGACAACATTGAGGTCACTTCACCACCGTTTACAATGCCACACGGCCGTTGAGACCTCGCTCTCTCACTAGAGTATCGAGATTATCAACAAAAATTCGGCTTCAAAAGCAAGTCTGAAAAGCCGAAACCATTCACGAAATTAGTATCAGTTCAGACGTGAGTAACTATAGGAGGCCTATGCTTTCTTGAAGCGCTATGTTTTGGTCCTGATATTTAAGAGCCTGGTAGCGTATCGACCAGGAGCGCATTGATTTCAGCAATGAATGTTCCAATCAAATGATTATCGTCAATCACTTTTCCTTTAACGTCTCACGTATCATAGTTTCTTGAACATGGCATATGAGCGAACCCCAACACCAGCCACGACAGCAAATAAGAGTCGTATGTTGGTAGATTGATCGCATGGCAAGTATGAAAGCTATGCCCTTGTCTGAAATCAAATGAAGAGCTGCCCCAAATTTGTAGGTACGCCAACTGCAACGATCTTGAAATTTGGTGAAGGTTGAAGGGTAGGGGAAGCTCGCCCTTTACTATTAAGACGTTAAGGGTGTACACATACTAGGCACATGATTCGATCGAGGTAACCAGGATAATAAAGATAAGTAAATCGGTCTGCATTTCGCAACTGCAATTGAAGTTAACATTTTGCAATTTAAGCATACATCATCTGGTTGCCTTGACATTGGGAAGACCCCGCTAGCTGGATGATACTTCAGATAAACACATATACCTTATGCAAGCCGGTGCTCCACTTTTAATGATCGCAAGGCTGATTTCAATCCAACTTCGCGACTTTCTCATTTCAAGCCTTCTTTGACCACACCAAGGTACTTACTGTAAAGTGGTTTTGAGGTCAACCCTGCAAAAGCAGCTCTATCACCATGGCTACCGGCCCATCCATCGCCACGTATGTGTCATTGCACTCCGACACATACATCCCTGGCTTTGTTTGTGTCCCTATTGCTAACCACTGCATTCCGTGAATAGCGTTTACGTCCGTAATCTCGAGGAGCGCGTCAAGCCCGAGCCGCTCAAAGAGGCACTGAGGACCGTCTTCTCCGACTATGGCAGCATCATCGACATCGTTGCCAAGACGAATCTAAAGGCGAAGGGCCAGGCGTTCATCGTCTTCGAAAACCCCGACGCCGCCATGCAGGCCATCGAGGAGGTCCAGGGCTTCGAGCTCTTCGACAAGCCGATGCAACTTGCACTTGCGAGAACTCGCAGCGACGCAACCGTTATGAGCACCGGCAACGAAGAGGAGTTCGAGTACCACAAGCGGCGGAGATTGGCAGAGAAAGGTGCGTTCTACGAATGGATCTACACCCGATTGGCACTGTTGGATCTACAGAGAAGACGTTGGCTGACATTTACTAGACAAGAAGAAGGCTGCCGAGGCAGCAGAAGAGCAGAAGCGGCTCAAGCGGGTAGGCGCTGCACCGCCCGCCGACTTGGCGAACCTTCCAGCGAAGGCCGCTCGTGGCACGGGTCTCAAGGCTACTGGACCAGCTGCCAACACCGTCGTGCCAGACGAGTATCTACCGCCGAACAAGATTCTGTTCGTGCAGAACCTTCCAGACGATTACGATGTCGAGGCTTTGACGGCGATATTTGGGCGGTTCGAGGGTTTCCGCGAGGTGCGTCTAGTGCCTGGCAGACGTGGTATCGCTTTCGTCGAGTATGATGCCGAGGCAGGCGCCATTACGGCGAAGGAAAACACGGCGGGTATGCAACTCGGGGACAAGATGATGAAGGTCACCTACCAGAGACAGTAAAGGTGTGCGCAAGCCATTTTAGATACCCAGAGCACAGCAGAATACTTGTTTTCGCCTTCACGAGGTTTGCCGCAATCGCCAATTTTAGACAAGTTCTATCGTCGTAGTGCTATGAGGCGTTGAGATTTCAGAAAACGGTTAACTGGCTCGATGTTTTGAGGCCGCTCCAAACATAACATAAAGGCACCGTACTTGTAGGACCCTTCAAGTCGCCGTTACCTGGATATCCACGAGGGCTCATCACAATCTTGTGACCCAATGCCTTGTGGTAGGCATCTAACGCAGGGGTCTATCACGGTGCTGCAAAATGAAGTCGCAACCTGGCCATTGAGGCGGATTTACCATGTTTCGTGCGATGACTTCTGAAGCTGCCAACTCATCCAACAACAATATCTGGGCAGTTTTGCTTCTTCTTGTGTCTCCCAGTATCGCCTTTTCATGTCCTTCGTCGACCGACTATTGACAACCAACAATTACACTTCTGCATCTAACTGGGCCTGCGGGCAGGAGGGCGATGATACCGATTATGATGGGATTGAATGCCACCAAGATGGACGCCTTCACAATGCCAGTCAGCATCGCCAGCTTGGCCAGCCTGGCAATCGAACTGATCAAGCGGACGAAGCATCACACGGACGGAATCGGAAATGCTGTTCAGCAGCAGGTCGAGGAGGACCCGAATGACACCCGAATGTGCAATTACATGCCTTAAGCACAGTCTTGGGCCGGCTCGAAGACGGCATGCGATCTAACGATATTGGAGATACCTGCCCTTCACTCAGCAGTGAGTTTATCCCGCCGGGAGTACACATGGCCAACTTTCTGACACATACCCCATAGGGTTCTCCTACCGCTGCGATCTCTAAGCCTCGGACAGTCGCAGCGCGCCGTACCCACCGAAATTGGCGAGAAGGACTTTGACGATAAAGCTCTGCCACTGCCGACACTTATTTATTCGTCTTGGCATTTTGGTGATTGATCCGAAGACCTAGCGCATGGTTTCGTTCACTTCTCACTAGAGAAATATTTCAACAAAACGGAACGGCAATCTAAAGCATTAGAGAAATATCGTCATCTTTTACTGTCACCAGGCGCAACCGCCGGATTATCGAGTCGTTACTTTACCATCCGCAATGCCCTATCGTTAGGGTCGTTTATGCACGATACAGCCGTGGTTGCAGGAAAATTTCCCCAATTGTCGACAAAATGTTTTGCTAACAATTCAAATATAACGTAGTCCACGGTCCAATTGCACACTTCGGCAGATTTTCGTACGCTGCCACTTTGACCTGCGGTTTTTCACCACATAACTATGGTTGGTTCTTGGAATGAAAGTGATATGATTCTAGCATTACATGCGCTTCAATCTGATCCAAAATTAAGTGTACGTCGCGCTGGTCAGATCTATAACGTACCTTTTAGAACCCTTGCGTATCGACGCGACGGTAAAGCCGCTCGAGCGATTACGCGATCGCCAACGCAAAAGTTGACTCCCTCCGAAGAAGAGGCAATCGTACGACATATAACTGACCTAGATTCGCGAGCATTTCTTCCCCGATTGAGTGGTGTTGAAGATATGGCCAACCGATTACTTCGAAGTCGCGACGCGGGACGCGTCGGCGCAACTGGGCCTCGAGCTTCGTAAGACGACAACCAGATCTCCGGACGCGTTTAAATCGAAGGATCGACTATCAGAGAGTCCTCTGCGAAGACCCCGACGCGTATCGCGCGTGGTTTGACCTGGTACGGAATACAATTGCGAAATACGCGATCCAGGAGGAGGATATCTACAACTTCGACGAGACCGGTTTTGTGATGGGCCAAATCTCGTCCGAAATGGTCGTGACGACTTCTGATCGGCGCGGAAGGCCTAGAGCAGCCCAGCAAGGAAATCGGGAATGGGTTACAGTTATTCAAGGCGTTGGGTCGTCCGGTTATGCCCTCCCTCCGTACATCATTTTCGCCGGGAAAACCCACCTCTCGTCATGGTACGAAAACAGCCCATTACCGCCTGATTGGGTTATCGCAGTTACTAAAAATGGCTGGACTACGAACGAGAGAGGCGAAGATTGGATAAAACACTTCGATCATCACACCAAGTCTCGTACGAAAGGTACTCATCGCCTATTGATCCTCGACGGTCACGAAAGCCATCACTCGACCGATTTCGAGGTATATTGCAAAGCTAACAATATCGTCACGCTTTGTATGCCTCCTCATTCGTCGCATAAGCTCCAGCCTCTTGATGTTGGTTGTTTTCGCGGGTTAAAAAGAGCGTACGGAAAAGAAATCGAAGATCTCATGCGAGCACATATAAGTCATATCTCGAAAGAAGACTTTTTACCGGCGTTTTTAAACGCGTACAACGCAACTTTCACGGTTTCAAATATGCAAGGGTGGTTTCTGAGGGGTAGGAATAGTTCCGTACGATGCAGATTATGTCATATCACAGCTCGATGTGAAATTACATACGCCAACACCTCCGGGTAGCTCGGCTGGTCTCCCCGTCCCTTGGGAATCAAAGACTCCGAAAAACCCAACCGAAGCCCAATCACAAAGCGATTATGTGAAAAATAGGATTGTACGACATCAAAATAGCTCACCAACGTCAATTTTTGCTGGAATAGATCAGATTGCGCGAGGTACAACGAAGGTTTTGCATCGGCTTGCCCTTTTAGAAGGCGAGGTCGAATGACTTCGAAAGGCAAATGAGACCTTAAGTCGACGTCGCCGTGCGAAGAAAAAACAGCTACAGAGTGGAGGGTCACTTCGTATACAAGCTGGACAGGACCTACAGTCTCAACGAGAGGTTGATGGGCAGTTACATGACGAATTTCGTCAAATTGGTGGTCGTACGAGGCGGCGAATTGCGCGTGTACGGCGCTGTAGAATCTGCGGCGAGCCCGGACATAATGCGCGCACTTGTGGAAACGATGTAGAGACGTCTGAAGATAACGATTCTGAGTAGTTTCAGTTGATGATAGGCGTTGTGGTTGAATTAACTTATACATTGTCGTATAAGGTCTGCCAAAGTGTGCAATTGGACCGTGGACTACGTTACATGCAAGGTTTGGCATTGGCCCTTGAGGATTTTCTTCTCTGAAGCTACCCATAGAGAAATATAGTCTCGAATTCACTCAGGGGCACGTCAAATTCGATACTTATCAGTCGATGTTTCGAATGTACAACTACTTCGTAGCTGGTTTTAAGAACAAGAGATAGTGAATGAGGAACATGAGTAAATGAACAGAGTACCAGGACCTGTCAAACCAGATAATTCCTGTCATGAATACAAATTTATTTAACCCAAACGGAGAAGTGGTCATTTAAGCAGTAACGTCCCACACCTGCATCCGGGACACCCCCACATGTGGGACGCCCTAAAAATGACACTGTATATTATAACCATTAACTTCAACCTTTTTGTACACTTATTCTAATGCGACTACAATACAGCTTTCACCGTCACTAGGGTTTTCAGACTCACTAGACTCATCTGTACTATCCTCAATTTCACCAGCCTCGATTTGAGCCTTCCGAATAGCCTTGATATTAGTAAACTTCGAATTTGGGCTCATCTTGATCTTCCTCCGCTTTCTAGCCCTACTAGCCTCAAGCTCTGCCTCTATTGCCTCAATCTTTCGCTGTGCGACAGCTAATTGGTAGTCCTTCTCATCAAAGTCCTTTTGGAGCTCATCTCTCCTCTTAGGCGTTGACCAGGCTACTGCTGATGTCTCTAACGCCCAGTCCTGACTACCCTTACTATCAGAGTACCCTTTGCAAGTCTGACTAGGCTGTCTGATTGGTGCTGACGTATTCTCAAGGAGCAGGGGGCTCATAAGGGGTCTAGCTATGCTCGAAGGCCAGAGACCAGTATATTTCCATCCACTGATTATGTTCTTAGCGGTCAATGCTGCTAGACGTGCCTTTCTATAGCAGAGGAGAAAGTTTCTCTTCCCTACGACAGTAGTAGTATCCCATAGGTCAAGGTAACCAAGCTCCTTCTTATAGGCTGCCTTGAGGGGTCCAAAGACTGGCTGATCGAGAGGCTGGAGAACGTGGGATGTGTGTGGCGGCAAGAAAAGCAAGTGTATCTTGTTTATGAAGCAGAGGTACATAAACTCTGTCGTTTCGTGGCTACTATGCCCATCTAGGGTAAGTAACCTAGTCTCTTCAGGGTCCTCTGGTTGAGTCAAAGGAATAAAGATCTTTTGTAGCCACTCAATAGCCGTAGAGTCTGACGTCCATCGATTCTCTGTTGCTGTAAACCTCCAGGCTTCGTATGGAGTCAAGTCCAGAGGAAACCACTGCTGCTGGACAGACTTCCCCTTGTATATCACAAGTGGGGGTAGTGCAGTACCAGTCGCAGAGATACACTCTATAAGAGATGTCCAAGCTCGAGATCCAGGCTGTTTCTTCCGTATAGAACGAGTCTCAGATGATCCTAGAACAAGACCATTTGATCCTCTACCTTCTAGAATACCTGTCTCATCCATATTGTATCGATTCGAGGCCTTAATAGCTTTGATCTCAGGGATAGCGAGGTATTTGAACCATTGCCTGATCACATTAGCTGAGGCTCCATTAATACGCTGGGAATCGATAGCTCTGCTTCTCTGGACCTTGACTGAAGGGTTCCTCTTGATAAAAGCCTGGACCCAGTTCTTTCCAAGTGGTTCGGTGTCTCCGTGGATCTGTAGGATACGCTCGGCGAAGTCTTTGAGCTGTTGATAGGTTGGTGGGAGGCCTAGGGCAGCCTGGATTTGAACCCATTCAGCCAGATGAGATTCCTGGGCTGGGGAGAGCCTCTGGTAGTCAGCGAAGGCTATATCTCTTGACTGGGCTCCCTGAATCCGTCGTGAAAGAGTAGACCTTGGGACACCATGCTCATATGCTGCTTTTCGGAGGCTTTGACCGGTCGCTATTGCTTGAAGAGCTCGATAAATATCATCTTCGGTATATTGACTCATATTAGTGTAAAGAAGACGTACATAAAATTTCGTAACGATTGAATCGATATTGGTAAAGAAAAAAGAGGTTGAAGTTAGAGGCTAGCGGTGTTGATGAGGCATTTCTGGGTGTCCCACATGTGGGGGTGTCCCGGATGTGGGTGTGGGACGTTATATCTATTTTTACTATCATTTCCTCTCAACGACCTGCCGCCGGTTGGAGGGCGCATGGGCTACGTGTCAGCGGTGGGCAGTGAGGCACGGGATGGAGTTCGCCCCTGACAAGAGTGAGCTAATGCACTTTACTAGGGCCCGAGAGCCCTTGCCGCAAAGTATTCGCCTTGGGGACGCCACAGTGTCGCCGGTAGTCTCAGCGAGGTTCCTAGGAGTCTGGTTCGACCGCAAACTGACGTGGCACGCCCATGTTGAGCGTGTTAAAACAAAAATGGCAACTCAAAAGCTAGCCCTGACAAAGCTAGTCAATATGTCGTGGGGCTGCGATCTTATACGGGCGAGGCTGTTATATACGGTGGTTATCCGTAGCGCGATCGCCTTCGGGGCGACTGCGTGGCATACTATAAGTGAGGAACCGACAGGGCCAGCTAAGAGCCTGATGGGGATACAGAACGAGTGCCTCCGGGTAGTCTGTGGCGCCCACAAAGCGACGCCGGTTCGCCACCTGGAAGCAGAAGCAGCAATCCCGCCACTAGACCTCTATCTTAGTGCCCGGGCTGCTAAGTTTGAAGAACGGCTACGGCTTAGCGGGAAGAGAAATCTGCTTCGCAGCGCGAGCGCTAAAGCGTCACATATACTCCGGCAGGATAGGCCGGCGAAGAGGAAGCAGGCGTCGCAGCTACTCCGACCGGCAGGGTACACTATGGAGAAGGAGGCCCGGGGCTTCGAGTGGATGAGTGAAGAAAAGGAGGCCCGGGGCTTCGAGTGGATGAGTGAAGAAAAGGAGGCCCCGGCTGCCCTCCTCGGCCACTGGAGGAAGAGATGGCTCACCGGAGCAGAGCATCACGATCGCCAGCGACGCGCTATCGCTGAGGAACCGGAGGGTCCTTCGATGCAGATACCGAAGGGGGGCAAGTATTTCGGCCTGAACCGACCGGAGGCGTCTACGCTGTGCCAGATCAGGACGGAAAAAATAGGACTAGCAGCCTTCTTATTCAAGACAGGGGCTTTTGGCGTGTACTCGCCGCTATGCCGCTGTGGCGACGCCCCTGAGACGGCAGAGCACGTAATCCTCTTTTGCAGGCTGTTGGAAGGGCCGAGGGAACGATTACGGGCCGCTATCGCACCACGGCCACTATACTCTCGCAGAGACCTCGCAACGGCAACAGGAGAACCAGTAGTTAGTGGGACTATTGTAAGGTGGCTGCTAGGGACGGGTCGGACAGCTTCAAGGCCCAGATAGCATCGATCTTCTCAGGGGGGACTTTGTTGGTAGGTTGAGAACCAACGTAGTATGGTAGTGAACGCAACGCAGTCGCCAATAGGGCGAACCGACGACGCAGCGTATGTATTTAGTCCAGCCATTAGGGCACGGTTTGACATATGGGAGTACTAGTAGAGGTACCGGGGGCTTCGAGCCTACGGCGTATTTAATAATAATAATAATTTCCTCTCAGCTTTCCACGAAACCCATCAAATAGAAGCTCTCTGGATTTCCTCGATTTAACCAACCCCGGAGGTGTTATATGATTTTACGCAGCTGGAATCCCAGTCGCAGGGGTAGCCGCTCCTGCAGCACCCGTGGTATTTTTCCCTGCTGCTCCTCCCAGAGGAGCCCCTATACTGCCTAGCCCGGCATTGTTTCCACCCTGTTTTCCTCCCGCGCCGCCTGTTAGCCCTTCAAGGAGGCCGGAAAGTCCACCACTCGCTGCTGCTCCGTTGGCTGCTCCCGTTGCAGGGCCTCCAGGTGCCCCGGCGCCGCCCGCGGGCTGCTTGCAGTTACTTTTGGCCCGTTAGTAATGAAGAGCGTTGACTAAAAGAAGGACAGTTGTGAGTAGAGTTACCCAGTGAGTTGACCTTGGGACTTGGTGCAAGTTCCACCTCCCTGTTTTTGTTTTCGTCAGTCCAATTTCATGTGATTTTCTGCATAGAGTAGGCTGTTAGGAGTAATTGACATACCGAGAGGATACAGTCACCATCGTCAAAGCAAGTGGCGCCCTGCTGTGGTTGGGCCTGGGCCGATACGGTTGCAGCGCACATGGCTGAAGCAAGGGCCAATATTGTAAGACGCATGCTGTCTGATGTCTGGCTATAAATGTTGAGTTGACGATGACTTTGAAGAAATATTTCAAAACTGTAGTTATGAATGAAATCAGAAGACGCGTTTTCGATACGCAATGAGGATTTGATCTCTTATCTATCCATGAAGAGTGCTGCTGACTGATATCCCCCATCGCTACCCAGGCTTTCATGGCCTCTAACACGGGGTTGTAGTCAACTGATTAGAGAGTAGACTTAGGTTTGTGGCGGAATATGTCTATAGTTTCATGGGAGCGTGTTATTAAGCGCCGGAGTTCATCCTTGGACGGACATCAGTTGTAAACCTATTTATTCAACGTGATTACCTAACGTAAGGTTGAACTAACATGAGATTTTGCAAGCCTGGGGGGGTTTATCCCCATCAGCAAATGAAATTATCTATTTGTGTTCGTATTGAAGGTTTGAACGACCTTCGTCCCAACCGCTGAGCCCCAACATATCCACGGCAGACAGAGGGATAAACTCGCCCCTTGCATCGGTGTCTCGTATTACCCAACGCAGGTTACAACAGGGGAAGGGATCGTCAGGTTTCAAAGGTCAGCATGGGCCGTTGACAGGATATCTCACCATGATCAGATGAAGGAAATAAAGTGGCAGGTGCCAGGCCGTGAATCTTCCGACCATAGCGCTCGCGTGTCGAGACGAACTGTTGACTAGCTATGGTCCCACGGATGAACATAACACTACAAGAGAGAGTGATGGTTATAAACCCACCGAAATGAAGATAACAGCCGTTATTCAGGCCTAGCCTACCTCTGATGCGACTATTGCTTATGAGATTGGGGCGGACACTCGGCATAAGGCAGGTCTACTGTGAACATGACCAGTAGGTGAAAGGCTTTAGGGGCCTGGAAGAGATCTAGTGTAGGAAATGCTAAATCTGTGGCTTGGTGGACACTTAATATTGACATAAAAAAGCACCCTCTTTGAGCTATAGCTGTCATGAGGGATTGTAAAATGCCGTTGCTTGGGCTAGCTACCCAGGTGCATTGCTGCTTTCCTTCCAAATTTAGCAAGTCAAGTTTGCAGTCACCAGATGCCATCGAAAGCTCAAGCCTAAACACCCAGAAGACATAATTCTGCAGTGAGAAACTTGGCCCCGGTGATGATGAGACACTGCAACACTTCCACAATCCATTCCATATCAACACCACAACTCATCCACAATGGCTTCACGAAACCGGAGACGGCGACCTCCGCCTTAAACGCAGCATCCACGAGCTACGCCCCTGGAAAACATACCCCACAGCCCCCAAGGGCGAAACTTAGGATCATGGAATCCATCTCGGGCAATTTACTCGGCCTTGAGCACGACCGCCACTGCCGTCGGCTCGATTCAACAGACTGCGATGCCGAGATCAAAAGGGGGGAGGGGATTCCTGGCTTCGAGAATTGGTAGCTGTCATACAGGATGAAGGCGCGCAGAGCGTGGAGTTCGTGTTATGTCGTTGTCGTGAAGCAGGGCAACACAGACATGAGCATGATTTGGGTGTATAGTTGATGGAACACGACGGCCGGATGTGTTGATATCACTAAAGATAATCTGGGGTTATTGGCATTATGCTGGTACGACATGGCCAGGGGCGATATGCACGTCGTTGTTAAAACAGAGGGACACGTTCTCTTCGACCTTGAAGGAATCCAAGTGTTGCCACTGTCTGCGCATAGTTCGCTGCAAGGTGCACGAATGACCCTCGTCGCGCGGCAAGCATGCTAACACCCTCCTCTTCGCGTGTCCTATATCCTTTGGACTAATGGCCATGACCCGGCAATGGCTTGGGCAACGACTTGAAGAACCCACCAGCGCAGGCGAGCGGAAACTCAATTCAATTAGTCACACTTGTTCAATGGAACGCAGGTGTCACCGGATGAACAAGGGTTATTTAGTATCCAAGGATGTTCCTTGCCTTTGGCTCTGTTTTAAGATGCTCGCTATCGATCTCCTCGTTGGCCATCGCAGTATTAGTTGAAATATGGAATGCCAAGCCAACCACATCATGAAGTAAGATTCAAATCAAATCGTTCGTTCACTCGTCATCCATGCCGTCGATATCGATCGCGTCCGGATTCGACGCCACCACTGGCTGTTCCTCCTGTATCAATGTCCCCGCAATTCCTTCAGTCGACGCCACAAAGCCCACAGGCGCACGTGCTTGTCGTTCCAGTTGCTCCATGGCATCAGTGACCTCAGAGTCAACCTCTCCATTCGCGGCAATTGCGTGGCTACGCGCGAGGGCCTGCGAGGCGATGAAGTTGACATCGGTGTTGTATTGTGCCTGGACACTACGCTTGATGCGCAGCATCTCCCTGTAGGTATCTTCATTGCCATGCTGGACTTCGAATTGCTCCCACTTGGTCCAGAAGGCAGGGTTGGTACGTGGATCACAAAACTGCGAGGCGTGGCCGTAGATGGCGCGGGCGCGATCGATCTCACCGAGGCGCTTCTCCATGTCGGCAAACTTGAGACACATATCTCGAGCTTCTTCATCAGGGAGTGCGGCGATGGCACGTTCGTAGATGCCCCTAGTTGAGGGAAGACCGAAGTTGGAAGCCGACTTGGTGATGTAGAAATTGAACATGTCGGCTCGGTCTTCGTCGGAAACCGCCTGTGTTGCTCGGTCGTAGATTCGCATGGCATGCCGCGCAAGTCCCCTCTCTTCTTCCAAATTGCCGTACATTAGGTACAAGACCTTGGCAAATTTTGGCGGGCAATCCTCGACGGCCTGCTCAAAGAGATCTCTAAGTCGTTCGATGCCAATCTTCCGGTCAACCGCCTTGGTGAGGTACAAGTTCCAGAGCTCGAAAGCCACTGGGTAACTGAAGAGGTCTAAACCCCTTTCGTAGATCTTGAACGACTCCTCGTAGTATTTGTGGTCCTCCATCAACTGGGCGTAGTTGACAACCGTCTGTGGGGTGGCAATTCGTAGCTCAAATGTCCTTTCGTACACCTTCTTCGTTTCGTCGAGGGAGCTCACACTTTCCACAAGATCCACGTAGAAGCTCCATAGCTTCCAACTCTTGTGCACTCTTTGCTGCGGAGATAGTGTCTCGTCAAAGTAGTCGACGTTAGACCGCTTCGGTGCCTGGACGGCCTTCGCCATGATTTTGACCGCTTCGTCGAAGTTCTCGTTACGCAGTTCCATTTCGGCCCATTCAATCCACATATCAGCCAGCTCGGCTACCGACTTGAACGGAACCTTGACTGCTTTCTCCATAATGACCCGCGCGTTCCGGATGTCACCCCCCTTTTCGTAGAACTTGGCGTAATTTGCCCAGAGCTGGTGGAATGGCCCGACAGCTTTCTTCGGTTGAATGGCAGCGATTGCGTTCGTGTAAGTTTGGACAACTTCTTGTTTGTTGTCTCCCCACAAGGCCACGCGCTTCTCCCATTCGGCTACAGTGTTGGGGTTCTGACGCAGCAGAACATCGTTCAGCAGGAACGGGCGACGGTCCATTAACTGTTCAAAGCGCATCATGCGTATATCGAGATCGAAATCGGCGTCTTCGTCCTCGATATCCTGATCAGTCCGCTTCGAAGCTAGTTCCATTAATGCGCCGATGATGGACTCCTCGAATTCCACATACGTGTCGAAGATGAGAGTAAAGTCGCGAACGGTCATGACAGTTGTGATACCCTCCTCAAAGATATCCCTAGCCCTCTCGAAGCTCCCCCTCCGGACCCAGTATGTTGCAAGACCACAATAGAGTTTCCCCCTTTGGTCGGCGAAGCGATCGATGCCACTGCGGATGATGCGCTCGACGTCGATACCCGACTCGTGGCCAGTCTCAATATCGTTTGCGTGTTCAACAAGCAAATCAATCATTTCGCCCCATAGTTCGTAATGCCCCTTCCCTTGCTTGCTGTTGAAGCGGGCGTTGTTCAGAATATCCATGTACTTCTTCACGGCCTCCGTGTATAGCCCCACTTGAGTCAGGAGCTCAATGAAGTCCTCGGCATCTTCGGGATGGACTTGCATGTAACGGCGCCAGATCTTGACAGCAGTCTCTCCTGCGGCAGAGTTGGCGAATGGTCGATATAGAGCCCATATCCTGTTGTGTTGGGTGATGGGCAGTGCTCGAAGGGCTCGGTCGAAAGTGTGCCGCGTAAGGGTTACCAGTGGTTGCTGTAAGAGGAACTTCAGATACATTTCCCATATTCGAGGCATCTTGTTCAACAGAATTAGGGCCCTCTCAAAGAGCGCATTGACTTTGCGGTATTCGGAGGCGAAGATCGCAGCATTAAGCTTCGAGACATGTTTCGTACGGAATCGGAGATACTGATAGGTGTTACTACTTCGCAACTCGAATGGGACAAAGAAGGGCGACCATACCATTTTCCAGAGCTTGTATGAGCGCGGGAGTTGTATGCATGCTCGTTCAAGAACGAAGGCTTGCTCGAGGACGGTGCCGTGCTGAAGCTTGAACTCGATGTAGGCCAGCCATGGTTTCGTGTTTCCCGGGTCCCTCACGATGTCCTGCTCGTACACGGCGTCTTCGTCGGTCTGCACAGGCAAGTTAGTCATCGGAGACATAATCGTAGGGCTCGGTAGGTGCCATACGACAAGGTAGAGGTCTGATTTCCTGGCGGAGCTCGAACCATTTGACACTCCGTTGGGCGCCATGTCGGCTGTCCTTCTGAGGTCTCGTCGCTACGGTCTCGTTCTCGGAGACAAACTCGGTGGAATTGCGGCGACAGGATTCATCAGTGCATCTTGGGCCCAGAGGATGCTGGCAGTCGCAAGTAAGTGTGGTGAAGTGGGCGTGAAAGTCGCGACTGGACACTAGACTCGATATTTTATTTCAATGCGCTGCCCTGTCGTTTTCTGGGTCGTAGCACCGGCGCGCTGCATCGAAGGATTCAGGTTTTATGACCCAGTCATAAATGGGATACAATTGCTGCATAAAGCCTGCACATATGGTCCGTGTGCCAACGGGATTAGCCGCTTCAGTTGCTCTGGGTCTGCCAAGAGCTTAACAGTGATGCAACTGCAATGGAGCTGCGCAACTTCAAGTCGACTCTGAATTAACCCCGTCACCTTGAAAGCTTTGCGGCGAGCTCTCTTCAACAAACCCTATCAACCGACAAAAAACCCTTGAAGCGTTTCCGACGATTCGACGACATATTCTTACACCTCGAACCACCCTGTCACGCCATTTACCTCTCTAGCCATTAGCTAGCCACTCACTAAACAGTTACCAACGTAGCTGCATTTAGGTGGAGAGCTATTGAAGATGTCTGGAGCTGCGGTGAGTTCCCACACGAGCTGGGCAAGACGGTTTTGAAATGTGTTGGATCTGATGCTTTTTACAGGATCGCGAGGCGGTCTTTCCCACGCGGCAGTCGCTGGGTTTAATGAAGGCCAAGCTCAAGGGAGCTGAGACCGGCCACAACTTGCTAAAGCGCAAGAGTGAGGCTCTGACCAAGTATGTTATCGCAGTCTAATTGCTGCAGCTATACTCAAGATGACTGACATGTGTACTTACCCAGGCGCTTTCGAGGTACGGCATTGCCCTGGTTAGAAAGACTGTCCAGCAACTAACTGCGACCACAGACATCACACGCCGAATCGACGAGGCAAAGCGCAAGATGGGACGAGTCATGTCGATTGCCGCCTTCTCTCTAGCCGAGGTCACATACGCTGTAGGGGGTGACATTGGCTATCAAGTACAAGAGTCCGCCCGGCAAGCGCGCTTCCGCATCCGTACTAAGCAAGAAAACGTCTCCGGTGTCCTGCTCCCCACATTCGAGAGCTATCAGATGGAGGGCAACAATGATTTTGGTCTCACTGGATTGGGAAAGGGTGGTCAGCAGGTCCAACGCTGCAGAGAGACGTATGCCAGAGCTGTTGAGGCCCTGGTTGAGCTTGCAAGTCTGCAAACAGCCTTCGTTATCCTAGACGAGGTTATCAAGGTTGTTAACCGCAGAGTAAACGCCATGTAAAGCCCCCATGACACCGCGAATAACGATCCCTACTAACATCGCAGTGAACATGTCATTATCCCAAGAACAGAAAACACCATCAAGTGTAAGTAGGAGTCTAAGCAACATCAAGCATACAGGACTAATTGTGCCACCAGATATCAACTCGGAACTTGACGAGCTCGATAGAGAAGAATTCTACCGGCTGAAGAAGGTTGCCAACAAGAAGCAGCGAGATACTGCTGCTGCCGATGCAGAGATGAAGGCCAAGAGGGAGGCACTGGCAAAGGACCGAGACCAGGAGAATATCGAACCCGACGAGACTGGCCCAGCCGACATGCTGGCAGCAGGGGAGGAGGAGGATGTCATCTTTTGAGCCAGGGCTCGCCTCTAAGATTGCATGTCTATACTTTAGGGCAGTCACAGCGAAGCGTGTTTTAAGTTGTCGAAGAAAGTACGGCCTTAACCACTGCTTTTGTATACGCGCTCAAGTAGGGACCTAATGAAATTGCTTGAAACCTTGTGAGATACCATCCGTATCTTGTTGGCCCAGACGGGGTGGAATTCATGGCTACCCCTTTTTGTTCCATCTCTCATCAAGCAGCAAGCGAAAAGCCCTCAGTCACAGCGAGCCGAGGCGAAAGTTGTGACTGAGTACAAGGTTCTTGAGTGGGCACTGCTTTCACTGAACCACTATCAGCCGAAACCATAATAGTTGCCTAGGAACGGTAACAGGTTCTTTGTTTCAAGACATCAGTCCAAAAACGCCTGCTATTCTCGCAGCTGGTTCATGCGTAATTAAATCTTGTACCGGCTGCTTCTAAGTTGGCCGAGTTGGTCGAGCTGCGGAGTAGTGTCTTCCAGCGCCGCAAACGGTACATAAAGGGAGAAGAGGGACTACTGAACTCCAAGATCAGCAGTGGACGTCCATGTTGTTTTTGCTATTTTTACTTTTTCACACATCATCGCGTATTGCCTGCAGTTTCGGGGGTGGTGGTGGGGAGAGAGGGAGAGTGCGGGGGTGCTTGGTTTTATTTTTCGCCTCGTTGGTTCGTATTTCGCTAATTTCTCCCGAGAATAGCTTCTATTCCCCCTTTTTGCGGGGGGTGGTACTAGATCTGGAATGATCAGGCCCTACTATGAGACAGGTGTGTGACTACCCTGCTTTGGGACGATGTTGAATATATATCGATTCGTATAAGATACAGCTGCATGCGCCATTTGGAAGCTGCTGGACCCTGCTTGTCATGGCAGTTAAGACTTAAGATCCATTATGAGCAGGGGCATTGAAACCTGCTGTAATGAACGACAGCCAAGTATTCCAAACCATGAGCCCTGGTGAGATGAAAGTTCATCCAATATGAAGGAACGGTCAAGGTCTGATGGTCGATACGTCCAAGAATAACTCAAATTACTTAGCACAGAACAATAAATCGCTGAGAACATCACATTCTATCGGAGTATGGTTCGTTCTTGTGGTTCCAGCTGACATAAAATCATGATACGACGCAGTGTTTAGGCGCTTAGAAGGAGGGAATCAGAGTCGAGTGCCTCAAAGCAACTACACTGTACACGACACTATTTGTGCCAGTCGACTAGCTAATGCCTGAGATTGCGACTTGAAGGCCATGTGGAAGTTTCTAGTTACTCTCGGACTAAGATTTGACCAATTCCAACTGAGGGTTGCCTGGGGAACATCACAAAGGAGGCCTAGACCAATTTTGTGATAATCGTAATTCTTTTTCAGTACATGCAGCATCACATTCTCATATCTCAGCAGTAGGTTACATATTATATCATGATACCCTGACTCATAAAAGTTGAAGACATGGTCGTTGTAGCATATGGGGCATCCTGAGACCAAATGAACAGGAACTGGAGACTCGATTTTCATAGCGGTAGAATTATCCGATCAAAAACGCCTGTGAAGAACGAACCAGAAATGTAGTGAGTCTTCATTCTCTTGCATAGACCTCTCTGTCATCTCCAAGGTCCGAGCAGTCCTCCAACTCAAAATGAGATCCCAGAGCCGCTGTAGCTGCCCTGTGGCCGTCTGATGTATGCCAGTGCCTCACAATACTAAAATCATGTCCTCCCACTCTCCATTTGGTGTGTCCATTAGGCCCAATGGGATAAAACAAACACGTCGCAGAAAAAAAACATCACCTTATGTGTACACTCCAACAGGATGACACCGAACACACGAACTCTGGCCCCAGCACATGCGCTTTCCTGAACTCTCCCAACGACAAGAACCATAGAGCCGCGCACAATTACACCAAACAATTCAGACTGACCCCTGAGAGTCTTTACTTCCCTTGCGCTTGTGGCCTTCAACAGCACCTACGACCTTGTCCTTTGCCTTTCCCAGAAATTTCTTAGCATGCTTCTGATGGAATTCGGCGTCGGCGTCGCGGTTCTTCTGTACGTGGCCGTCTCGCGATGGCGGTGTGGAGTAGATGGAACCCTTGCGCTTTTGGAATCGACTGGGCGGCACTTTGCTGGCATCTATGGTAGAGGTCAGATGGGGCTATTCATAGTGGATTGCAGAATGGGCACATGGTAGGAGGGTAGGGCGAGGACAAGAAACGAGAAATGCGAAGATGTTAGTGCAATGCTACTACCAACAGAGATAATACGGGGAACCGATCTGTGTCTGCGACAAACGAATGAGTACGCACCCCACTCTTCTGTGGCCGAGTAGTCGCGAGAACCGGTTCGTACTCTGGGTGGGTGGACGGCGTCGGTCTCGCTGCCAGGCACGCGGGTTGAGCCCTCGGAGTCAAAGCTATTGGCGAACTTCACGCCTGTCTCGGCGGGAGGATTTTGGGTGAGAGGGCTTGTGTGTTCATTGTTAACGGTCTCGCCTTCTTGCAGATGGAATGGTTCTGGATCTCGTTAGTTCCCTCTAGTAATTCCATCAGAGTAGACAATCGATGTTGTGATGACGTGCTGGATCCAGATATGGTGAAGACGTACCAGTCTGGCCTTCCATGGCGACTCGTTGATTCTCCTTGGGTGTTATCTTGAAGGACGAAGGTCGATTGGATAACTGTTGGTTTAGTTTAGTTTGATCGAGTAGAAAGATGGGAATTCGGGGTTTGGTTAGTGATCAAGCAAAGATAGATGGGGCGATGACCTTTAGGTTGATGTATGTGAGGACAGAGAATTGAGTTCACTGGTAAACTGCCAACGTGTGATATATAGTACGTCTGGACCGTTGGGTGCCTTCCTCTTATGTGGCCCAAAACTGCCATCATGCTTTCCTAGGTGTATGATTGCCTCCAATCCAAGGAGGGCATTGCTCGCGTCCTCCCAGGCTCCTGGCTCAACCGCTCACACCTGATGGACTTGGCCAGCCAGTAGAATATCTTCTCTGGCCGTTGGTCATTTGCTTAATTTCGGGACTTAGCACGACCAAGGCAGTCATTGCATTCTCCATCCGCATGGTTTCGGTTTACCAATCCCCTTCCCCTCCTTGACCCTCCACTACGGAAATCAAGGCCTTGCGACACAACCATATCGTCGCGCTTTCCGCTGAGAGGGATCTGATGCCAAGATATTGCCAAGATCAGTCTGGTGGCACTGGGATGAATAGCAAGAACAGGGCTGTGCTATCTCCGCAGGCCATATGATATCCGATTGAATCTGTATCATCATCTCTCGCCAGAATGCGCGATGATGCTAGTGATGCACAGCACGCCTATCCATAACTTCTCCGCACGGCTGACGTCACGCTGTGCAATTCGCACGCTAACCGATATTGAGGGAAGCAGCGAGGCCAATCCCGCTCCCACACAAGGAAGGAAAACGTGGATGATTATCATCGCCATCTACGCAACGCAAAGGTTAGGGGGGGATGGTGAGCTCCGAGTTAGGTCTTTTGTAGATAATGTTGTAATCCCCCCAGGCGACAATGTGCAAAGCAAGAAGCTGTCGAACCTGCAGCTCGATCAGTACCTGTGGGGAAGCTGTACTATGGTATCATGGATAAGTTTTCTATTGCGTGTTTGTACCGTGCCCCACCTAGGCACGCGCCAACTCTTCGCTACCTGGCTTGAAGGGACCTTCATAGCTGTCTGAATATGATTAAGAGAAAACGTTGTAGTAGTGTGAATTTCGGCTTTCGATTTACCACCGTCGAAATATAGGGTTCGAATTCGTTGGCGATCCGCTTCTGTAAGGTGTTTAGTCCCCATTGTAGTTGCTGAATACGCGATAATTAGGACGCGTTAACAGCAAGTTGGAATCAGAGGTGGAAGTACCTTTTCGTTACCATGAGTAGGCTAGGCAAGAATCAGTATAGCGTTACCTTGACAGTGGTCCACTGGTACTTGTCAAGGGGGTGAAAACTTTGGCCTGATACCGTAGTATGTTCATTTCGGAAAGCATTTGCAGTTGCCACTAGGATGTTCGCATGATGACTGCCGTTAGCAGATTGTGAGTCGTTGCGACGTTCCACCACATGACGAGATACGACGCCGTGACTAGATGCAAACCGCTAGCAGAGTCTGGACCCGAAAGTACAGCGGGGGTGGGTCTGGGGTAGCCGTTGAACGCAGCAACTACCACTCTGCGATCAGTGACGTAAACCTTCTTCCCACCAACGTTGAGCGCTCATGGGTCCTGACTTCACAACAGTCCTTGGCACCTGCTGTCCGCCAGTGTCTGGGGTAGCCGGGGATTTTAGAATCGCAATCGGGTTTACACTTCACTTGTTTTGAAGCCTTCGAATGGAAGAGAACGACCTGGGCAGGAGACACAACAGTAGCAGCAACTGCAACTTGAGATGGAACGCGAGAGAGGGAGGCCGCTAGGGACAGCGCCAAAACACGCGCATTACATCAGCAGTGACGAACTATAATATACTGCAACCCAAAAGAACGGAACTGCCAAGCAAGAATGCCTCCCGACTGCTCTCGGACCTGACAACTTCATACGGTATGAGTGGCTTTGGCTTCCCACTCTTCACCCTCCACATTCATCAGTATCGCTATCGGAATTCCACTCCCTATCACTGTTTGGAACCAACCTGGGGCCCGTGTCGAGATGAACCGGTGCCTATGTAAGTCAGGCTTGGGACGCCTTCGTGGTGTGTAAGAGGACTTCACACACCGCTGGAACCTGGTGTGACCCGTAATACGCCAAGAGATACTTTCATCAAGTTCGTTGTTAGCCTACTTGGCGTTTCCATTTCATTGTTGGGTTCAGCTTAGCGTTACGAGGATCTACTGACTATTGACTGCTCACATGAGCTTGGCTGCGCCACAGAATGATCCCACGATTAATGAATTGCCTTCCGTCTCTGATCGACCATTCTCCCGTCAAGTGAGTAACTGACGGGCAGTTGTGATCATTGCATGACTGGATTAATCACATCCGGGAAAACAGTTTGGCAATTATCCAACGATGAGCAGAACCTCATTCTCAGCCATGAAGCGCAGAGCGTGCAAATTTATTGTATTATCCGTATTGACCATTATGATCTTGATGTCTCATCTGGGAATCAATTGAAGACACGCGTGACTGGTAGACGCTTAATGTTTCCCGTGTTTTATTAGTCCAGCTCGGGGCCAAGGCCTCATATCGCTAATTTGGCACATCTACGAACATGCACATTCACATTGCATTGCTAAACCCAAGAGTTTGGTAAGGAAAGTGTTTGTATATTATCTAAGAGCCCCGAACCCGGCCAAGTTCCCCAGATAACATACAGTTTGAAGACAGCGGATTTTTTAAGTATTAGGCATCAGCATCAAGAATCATTCACAGCTCTTCTGCTCACGGCTCTTAACTTGGCTCTCACGACAGAGGGTCCAAGGAGCCCCCGGTTGACTCGCAGCGACAGAGAGGGAATTTACTCCTCCTCCTCCTCCTCCTCGTCCGCCTCATCCTCCACAACAGTGGCGGCGCGCTTCTTCATTGCGGAGAGCTCCTCTTCGCTGCGCTTGAGAGCGAGCATGAGACCCCGGCGAGCCGCAGCAGGCGTAGTAGTGCCAGCAACTGAGAAACAGAGTTAGATATATGGAAGTGGAGGCTGTCAGGGACTGCTCACTTTGCATTGGCACAGCACCACCGAATGGTCCGGCGCGAGCGGCGTTCTGGCAACGGACCACGCAGACGTTCTCTTGCCCGGCGACAGTACCGGTACAGCTGGTATCAGCGGGGATCGCTGCCTTCAGAGGGAAGTCGGTCTTGGCGCCGGCCCGATTGCGGGAGTTCTGGCCGGGAGGAGTCTGTGTTACTTGGATGTCGGTCCACTGAGCACCGGTGGCATCGGTATTCATCATGCAGGTGTAGGGACCACCTCCGTCACCGTTGACCTGGTGCAGAGTCATGGTGAGCTCGCCACCGGCCTTAACCTGGGGAAGCATATCGCCAGTCTCAGCCATGATGGCCTTCGTGCCCGCCTCTATGTCGTTATCACCAGCACCGACGGTCTCACCGAAGGTATCAGCGGTGTTGCCCTTAAAGCGGGTCGAATCCTGCTGGAATGGGTTGCGTCGAGTTCCATCACGGGGAGTTGAGGTGTCAACACCAAGAGCCACTACAGCGGTTGTTAAGGTCATGACCAGGGAGAACGTGTTTGTGTGGAAGGGGTGCCAACTCACTTCCGGAGCCACCGGCATCACCGACAGCCTTGATGATGGCACCGTGGCCAGCGACAAGCTGGGCGGTAGCGAAGAGCCCGAGGGCGATGACGGCTTTGTAGGAAGACATGTTGTTATGAAAGAAGGAATTAAAAACTATGAAGACCTGACCGGCAGGAGAAGAAGAAGTGAAAGTGGAAGGTTTGAAGGGAAGGCTGGGAAAGCTGAGAAGGCTGGAAAGACTGATGCTCTGAATCTGTTGATGCGATGACGGAAACAAAGGGATTGGATGAGCGAAGCCTCACTTCTTATAGACATTTCGTCTGGTGAGTTTCCTAGCAAGATCAGATGCCACAACCGAAGATATCGCGATACTTCCGGTCTAGCTGATGCATCTTGCTTCATTGCTATGTCCGATACTGCCAAGCCAAACACGTTTCCGAGTTTGAGGCCGTTGGGAGCAGCATGCTAGATGCGATGGCGTGGTTGTGTGAAGATGGCGAAGTGTACAGTTAACGGAGACGAGCCTCACAATTTTTGAGATGAAGTCTAAAGGTTTCTGTGCGGAAGAGGCTGTCATAAGGACTAGTGGGCCAAGAAAACATAGTAAGCTGAAGACAATGGGGCATTGCAAGCCGTTGCTGGTGTTCAGGGTGCTTCATGGGTGAGCCGCAGACCAAGACGTGACACTTACATGTACGACCAATCGCATCAAACAAAGACTAGAACTAAGCTTTTGATCCGCACGCAGATCCGCGCGAAGACCCGCATTTGTTTGGCAATGCTAATACGGAGAATGCTTGGATAGTTGAGTCTCGTCGAATGTGCATCTGGGGAGTTGTTTGGGGGGCGACATCAGGAGTGGCGCTGACTAGGCAGGTGTGGTGGTTGGTGGAATGCTTCTGTCACAAGAGGAGGCTTCGGGTTGAGGCTCCAGGATGACGCCTGTTGGGGGGTAGAACCAGGCTGTGCGCGAACAGGTCAATGCTATAAACCTGTATTGTCAAGCCTATAGGGACCAATCAGCTTAGAGAATGGAATGCAAATATTGAACGAAACCTCGGGTGACAATGCTTCCAACGCAGCTTGGCAGTTTCACGGAGTGTAACTCCGTGTCGTTTCCGGCCTCTAGGTCCAAGCTTGCATCTGTAGATCGCCTCAGCCAAGGATTCGTCGACACGCTTATGTTAGATGTTCTGCGTTTGAGTGTCCACAGTCCTCGTATTGTTTGGAGGTCGAGTTTGATCGCGTTGTCCAAGCAATGTTTTAATGACGTTGGTAGCTCCATCAAGTTCTTCGGGAAGACCCGACCGAAGCACCCACTGGCACGGCGGATAGACGTGCGCAAGTGAAGCTCGTGAGATGCTATTCATCACTTGTTGGCTCGACTGCTAAGAGCAACGGCAAGAAACGGTACCGAGGTCGCTCAAGTAATGAAAAACACGTAAATAAGTATGATGGGGGCTACAGGCGGCTAGCGAAGTCTTCGTATCTGTGTTGCTTCACCATCAGTGGCCCCAGGAACGGGGCAGGATGCTAATGCATTGTCGTCTGTGCCGCGGTATCCTCAGCATCTGCAAGATTACTCACTTTGGAAGAAGTCTTATGCGAGGCCACGGCAGGTACTGACACAATGGTGCGCTCGCACTTCAAATGCAGAGTGAGCACCAAGCAGATGCAGCCCTGAAGTAATTGAAGATTTACAGGCTGGGCAACAATGGCTCTGGCGCTGCAGGTCGCTGAATTAAAGACTGGCGCTAGAGAAGAATTCCCCGAATGCTAATCTTGGCGCAGATCTAAGCGCCTTATCGTGCCACACGCGAAAGCCACTGGCTAAAAGTTCCGCAGCCAGGTCTGTATGCGATATCTTGAGCATCATGAGAAGATATCAGACTAATAATTGTTTGTACACCAGACTAGAGCATCTGCAAATTTCGAGTTAATATCAATAAGAAATAGGCATTATTTCGTATCTTTCCAAAGTTGGTGCGTCTTCACCAACTGACCTACCACGCCTGCAACGGCCAACATGCACAGACCACGCGGGTCCACATCAAACAGAGGAATTTGTCTTGACGTGCGAAGCTACGACCAACCAGAGTAAACTGAATATTTGAGGCACTCAAAGCCTCTAGAAGGACGAATCACGCACTCATTGCCGAGATTGACGATTTCGAACGTTTAGATCAGCGTCGCCATTAGTGCCCGACGACTGATAATACTCTCTGCCAGATGTGATCAACCTTCAGAGTTACGACCACTGGACGGAGACCTGAGCTGAGTCACTTCAACAGGTCAATCGATGAGTCGTTTGCTGCTCGGCTCGCCACTCCACCGACTCCTTGTCTCGACCAGGCTTGGACCAGAGCTAGTCATTCGCGGCATCCGTTCGCGATCGTTTATTCTCATGTCAAAGAGGAAATCTGATGTTTTGGACGACGCATTAGCGCCTCAAAGGCCATCCCAAATCCGCAAAATGGACACTGTTCTTGCCACTACAATCATTGAACTGACCCCAAAAGAATCGCAATTGAAAAGTTTACTTCTCGATGCTGCTAAATATGTCGACGCGTCACAGAACATGGATGAGCCTGTCGTGCTGCGATGGGCCGGGGGATGGGTCAGGGACAAACTGCTCGGCATCCAATCCCACGATATCGACACAGCCATCAATATCATGACTGGCGTGTCCTTCAGCATGGCCATCATTGAAATGTGCGAACAGCCTGATATTGCAGAGAGGCACAATCTCACTCCGACGGATATCGGGAATCTGCATCAGATCGCAGCAAACCCAGACAAGTCGAAGCATCTCGAGACTGCCACCATCAGGCTTTTGGGCTATGATGTCGATTTTGTTAATCTTCGCAAAGAGACATACACTGAGGACAGCCGAAATCCTCAGATGGAGTTCGGCACCGCCGAAGAAGATGCATTGCGTCGAGATGCGACCGTCAACGCTTTGTTCTACAACCTCAACTCTGGAGAACTCGAAGATTTCACTGGTGGCTTGGCAGACATGCGATCCAGGCTCATACGGACGCCCCTGGAGCCGTTCCAGACTTTCATGGATGACCCTCTACGCGTATTGAGACTGGTCCGCTTCGCAAGTCGACTCGAGTTTACCATAGACCCTGCCGCTGAAGAGGTAATAGGCAATCGCCAAGTGCTTGATGCTTTGCGTCTCAAAATTAGTCGCGAGAGAGTTGGTGTAGAAGTCGAGAAAATGCTGAAAGGTGAGAAGTTCGGTTTGGCAGGTTTCAAGAGCAACAGACATCCTGACTAATCATGACAGGCAACCATCCAAAGAATGCCCTGCAGCTTATCCATAATCTCGGGCTTTACCATACAATATTTACAGACCCTGACAACGCCAAGATATCCCAACCAAACATAGCCAAATGGGAAATAGTCTATGAATGTCTTGACACCCTGCGGCGGAATAAAACACCCGGCTCTATCTACGACGTGTTTGTCAGGTCAGATGAAGCGGCCTACTTTGCCTGGGTCCTCGCTGCCCTTTGTCCTTGGCAATTAGTCGAGCAACCTCCGCATACTGGCAAAGGAAAACGACCCCCGCCTCTCGCCACCCTGGCTGGTCGCGAAGGCATCAAGGCACCCAATAAACTTTGCGATGTTATCACGGCGTCTCATAAGCACAAGGGCGATATCATGGCTCTGAAGACGGCTGTTGTTCAGAAACACCCAAGCATCCACGAGCGGCATCGATTCGGCATGGCCATTAGAAAATGGGAGGCGAATGGTGGGCACTGGAGGCTGCAGGTCCTTTCTGCCCTTCTGGTTGAAGCGATTGGCCTCGAACCTAACGAGAAGCAAAGGGTTGACGAAAAGTTTCTGGATGAGTGGCAATCCTTCCTGTATCATATGCAAGAGCTCGACGTTATGGATGCCCCGTCTTTGAAGCGCTTGATCGACGGTACACAACTTGCCAAAGCTTTGGACGTGCGGCCAGGGAGGTGGATGACCGCGGCTTTAGATGTATGTGTGGCTTGGCAGCTGCAGAATCCTAACGCAACGGAAGCTAGTGGCGCAATCGAGGAAGTACGCCGGAGGAGAGACGAGCTCGGCATACCGCAGTAAAATAGCACGAAGGCCTTGCCAGTGGTGGCATAAAATCGGGACAGAATTATCTTGCCAACTCTCATGCTTGACTCATCTCCATGACTCCTTTCCAGTTTGCTGTCAACATTGTATGATTGCACATCTCCGCTTGAAGTTTCTTCCTGCCGAGAAGAAGCTTCTACACCCTAAGACCTGAGTTACTCAATATCGGTTTCGTGCCACGCAACGCCAAGATCCGTGGTCATCTTGTCTTTAAACATGCGAAGGACCCTAAACAGCCTTGAATGTTTCCACTCCTGTGCTTAAATGACGTTCCGGGAAAGTACTGGATTCATGCCGCTCTCATTGCGCCTTAGTCGTGTTCACCAGGCCCTTGAAACCGCTTACTGCGAGGATCTTGCTATAGGCTTTCGGTCTCATTCATTCCGCAATCTTGAAAAAGTGGAGCGGGAGGCCAGCGTTGCCGTAGAAGGTAGTGGAATCTTTGAACAGGAGCTTGGTGCGTGTGCTTGAAAAATAGCAATGCCTCTTGGAAGAGTTGAGGCGACCTCGGAGTTCACTGGCCGGGTACGGTGTGTTTGTCCTGGGTACTCGAGCTGGTCTAGCTTCTCCTATCGAGGCCGAACAGTTTCACCGGACGAAGACCGTATGCCCGGCGGTCGAGCACTTTCCATCCCGGTGGAATCTCAAATCAGGGTTTGTCAGTCTCTGCCTCATACTTGGCTTTCGTCGAACTTTTTGGTGCTTCAGCAGGTTTTTCTTCCTCATCCACGGTCTGCGATGGCTGTTTCCATGAGACAGTGCATACCCATCGATCACAGACAACTTCGCTGATGACGGCCCTCGCCGAACTTCGTGGCGCACTTTTGGTTTGGTTTACAGTGGCCGATGCCTCTTCCGTCCTTATCTGTACTGGCGAGTTTTATGCCTTGCTGCTGTTGGACCTTCAAGGCTATTACACCAAACTACCAGTCTTGGCAGGATATATGGCCACTTACCGTACGTTATGGGCCAATGTGACCACCACCCATCGAGCCACACAAGTCCTGCCTGTGGGACAGGCATCGTTCATTCCTGTCTATATAAGGCCCTTATTGCCGCTATTCACTTCTTTCAGGACTCTCCAGAGATCATGACATCTGCAATACAAGACCATTTGTCCGCAATCCAATAGCTGTCACAGATGGATCGTTGCAACGCTCGATTCAGATTTAAGAATCCCTTCGTCCGCTACGATAATGCCGCGATAAAATTAGTTTTCCACTAGGATACGTACGAATTAGATGGTTCTGAGAAACTTGCGAATAGTATTGGCATCAGTATGGGGTTACGACCGTAAATGCTTCTAAAAGGTGGATATTTGCATATCAATGCCTCTTGCATCACACTGGAGACCCTCCGTAGATAATCATGATTCCTCAATGTGAATAACGCACCACCCTCTACTCTGATATCGAAGTTGGGAAAAAAGAGATATAGTTGCCGTGAAGTAAACGTCCAGGGGTATACTCACGCCCCAGGCAAATTGATACACTGCACAGCATATGGAGCAGAATGGTTTCCTCAATACTGACTGTCGAATCCAGCATAGTCCACAAGCCTGTATTGAGCTTGCCTGTCTTATTTTCCTTGCGTTCAACACAATTATGATTCAGATTTATCTCAGCAGATAAGGAACAGTCTACCAGACATCGAGCTGACCACGGATCAGGACTACCTAGTCATCTAATTCAGCACAAATTCTCTGTAGTGTTTAAAGGAATATCCATGTGTTTGGACTGGCGAAGGAATATGGCAGATGCTTCATGTATACAAGATCATTGCTATATGTAGTACGCCTACATCTATATAAGCCGCGTTCACGAGGTCTTGCATGCAGATACACATGAAAGGGAATTCTCCACGTTTGAGGCCAATTGTAGCATATTGAGAGTCTACAATGTATCTTGACGACCTTTTTCTAATTAAGTTACACAGGAAATACGGGAATATTTGGTATGATAGCAGTAATCACTGGGAAACTTACTGGAATGAATTAGGGGAAGAGGTGAAAAGTTTGGACTACACCACGGAGCCATTCTTGCAGAAATTATTAATAATTAGCAGGTCACAACATATTCACAGAAATACTAGACCCAAAGCTCTGGTAAACCGAATAGCTAGGACCTATCATGCAGTGATAGACTGCTTAATAAAAGTTCTATACCGTCTAGTTAGATTAAATTACATAGTCAGACCAAGTCTCAACTCCCCCAAGCTTCACCGTTAATCTTCACAGAAAAATCGCAATCATATAATCTTATAGCCACCACTATCTCAAGAGTTGTACCACGTGTTTCTTCAATAAATCCCTAGCCCCCATCACAGCAACAGCAGCACAAGCAAGCGAGACACTCCAGATCGCAGCATCCGCCCCACTTCCCCTTCTTATGTTTCTTCTCGCTGCTCTTCTCACGTGCAACGTAACCCATTTGCTGTTGTGCGTTCATGTGCACGTTTGGCGTATAGCCATCTTGTTGGGTATAGTTGGGCTGGTAGGATGTGGGCGGTGCTTGGGCATATGAAGGTTGTACTGGGTAATGTGTCTGCCCACCTGTTAGTGATTTATGTCCTAGAAAGAGGTTCGAGGAGACTGTAAGTTTATTGAGCAAGATGTGGAACTTACGGAGTGAGACATTGTTTTGGATGGTGTGATCAGGTCTGGTGTAAGTACTTAGATGGCAACGTTATAGTTTGGTCTGAGTTGTGTAAACTCTCCTTGCATAGCTTGAAAGATTGAATAGCTTCATATAATTGTTCAGATACCTCCAGTACCCGTACGTCATGCTGAATAACTTTCATTGGATGCGGCATCTTCAGTTCGATGACCAAAGCACAGCTTCTAAATAAAGGCACGGTGCGGGGCATTCGGCCGCTAGTGGATCGATCCCCGTCTCTGAAGGACTACCACCATGATGCAGCTGACGTCTTCCTGTAATATCTCAGGACTATTCATGCTGTGCCTTACTTATCTAGTCACTTGATTGGATGGATGACGATAGGGGCTTTGGATGCTGAACGCAATAGAAGAAAGGTTAGCTACGCCACATGAAATGGCGCAACCATATGACCATTATGAGGTAATGGTTATACAACTACATTCAAGAGCGCGTTTCGAAGCATGCCATAGAAGCTCTCAAAGAGCCCATAATCTGTCCCTTGCAACCACCGCACCACCACTTCAACCTTATCCTGGATCGCTTGTCCTTTCTCAGTCCGGATGGAAATCGCGAAACCAAAGGCACACTCAGCAACCGTTTTATTCGCACCCCGGCCGACTGAGTCCTCTCGCTTCACCGAATGCCTCTCCTTGCTCCTGCGATAAGCTCTGCTCCAGACATTGCCATTTGCGAAACCGACCACCCTCAGCCTATCTTCGTCCATGTTCCAGGACACGAGATCAAGTCCATCCGTCACATCTTCAAGCTGGGTCCAGAAAACATTCTCCAGCTGCTCCCTGCCCCCTTTTCTCGTCATTTTCGTGGCGACCGAGAATTCCGTCGGGGGAGGCAGCAGTTTCTTTCCCGCGGCCGGCTCGAACCCCCGACATGCCTCGAGACACGACCTCCTGTTGCCGAAGCTCCATCCGATGGCCCACCGCCGAGTCTTGTTGCCTGGAAAGAACTCCGTCACAGCGTAATTCTCAATGCCTTTCTCCTTCAATAGGCCCACGACCACTTCGAGGCTGGACTGTTTCCCAAGCATGGAAGTGTACCACTGGATTCGCTCTCTGAGTACGAGGGACTCATCCAGGATGCGTTTGATGAAGCCAACCTCGCCTCCATCACAGACCATCTCGTTGAGGGCGCCGGTGCACACGCTATTGGGAGGCTGAGACTTCTGTTTCGCCAGCTCGAGGAGTTCAGACTCCGAAGTATAGAAGGGGGGATTGGTCATGACGAAATCTAGTTCTTTTAACTTCAGCTCGTCCAGTGGGATCAGCAGATCCTCGACAGGGCGCTCAAAAACCTGGATCTGGGACTGAAGATGATTCATTTCGACGTTCTTCCGAGCATAGCAGAGAGATTCGTCGTCGATATCAGTAGCGATGAAATTCCACGGCCGTTGGATGCCACCAAGTAGGGGATAGATGGCGCTTGCCCCAGTGCCAATGTCTAGGCCCGTCACCTGCCGACCTGGCTCGTAGATGTCTGAATATGATGATGAAGTGCTGTCGATGAGGTTCTTCAGCCATAAAATGTAGTTGTGCCGATTTGGAACCGGAGGACACAAGCGATCTGAAGGCAGGTCGACCTGGAGGCCAAAATCGAGCTTCAGCAATGTCTTGGTAAGCTGCATCACCGACGCGGGGTCCGTAAAGTCAAGATGTCGTCCATCTTTCAAACAGGCCAAGAAATCTGCATCTTTCTCGCCTAGGGACCGAAAGTCCGGCTCGGTCTCGTAGAGCTTCCGGTAATATGCATCATCGCGGCCGTCTTCTGCTGAGCTTTGCAATTCTTCAGTGTCACTTGCAGCGTTGTTCGCGGGATCGTCCTTTGAAAGCTCCCAAGCCGCTTCCTCAGCGAGTCTTGCGGCGTTCTCCACCCGACGGGCGGCCGCTAAACGTTGGAAAGGTGTGAGTCTGACCTCGTCACCAGAGTGTTTCCGCTTCATGCCTCGGCGCGCCGCGACTTCACCATCCAGCGGTGCCATGGAAAGATCTTCGTAGCATACACTTTAACGTGATACAGAGAAGGTCAGCGCGTTTCGACTCGCAGCGTGTTCAGTCTGGCCGCGATGCTTAGAGTATTGCTGGGTCAAGACAACACTGCTGCCTCACGAGCAGATATCTCCGCCAAATTCCCGAATGGCACGTGACCTGGAGTCTACGTTCACTGTGGACTTGATGTGATCATCATATATTTAATTTTTGGACCATGGCCGTGAACTCTTTTGTTTTTTAGCATCCAGTGACGAGTAGTGACCTGCTCAGGATGGAAGGGATGCATCGAACACTTAACCGCACAGCGATAGCACGGCGTTGCCGTCTCTGTTTTCCGGATATCGGCATAACAAAGCAAACCAAGGTAACTTAGGCTATTGGAATCCTGCCAGGTCCCCAGTGTGTCCCATATCTAACACTCTACTTATGGTCACCATGCATCATTGCATGACAATGATGGGTTGCTTGCTTGTCATATCTCCGAGGTTTCTCCCCTTGATACAGCGTAGTGCCATTAAACCGAAAACGTGCAGCTGGGGCCGGCGCTCGGGCCAACCAGACGCGTGGGTGAGCAGCGCCGCCTTTGAGCGCGCGAGGCTGAGCGACGCTGCGGGGCCCTACAAGCGAGATACTTTAGTGTCCTGCGGCTCGGACCCCCCCACCTATACTTCCCTTCTTCACCTTCGTATGTAGCCGGAATGCCAGTACCAGTGCGATCCCACAGTACCGATATAACTTGGAGGGATAGACGGAATGTCGGCTAGGGGTTTATCCGTTAATAATTCTTACGTACCTAGAGAGAAGCTTTAACCTATACATAGCGACTAATTACCCCTAGTTGTCGGCTGGTGTAGTTGGTCACTTCGCTGGTAGATAAGTCCCGATTTGAGCCTCGCCCACTTGGGTCGGTGACGAGTCGCGGGTTCGAATCCCGCAGCTGACACACAAGGGGGTTTAGTCAACCCTTACGGCGCGCTGCCCACCTTGTTGACTTCGCCTACCTAGCGATAATAGGGAGATTGGTGCAGTTTAGGATTACGAGCATCCTAGCCAGTCGACCGTCAAGCACTACGTCGGCGGAATATAACTCGACAGCCGGTCCAGAATTCGAATCGTTAATCCGACCCCTTATCGGAGCCCCTCTCGCCGCGATTCTTGCGAGCGTCTAGACCACGTTACGGTCTATCCACTTGAGCGTATGGTTGAGGTGTATACGCTCGACGAGAACCCCAATTAGCAGATACTACGACTTGTCGCGACAAAAAATAGTCGAGCATCTTCTGCACATCAGTAGCATCCCACCCCTGAGGACGCATTTAAGTGCCACATTACCACACTTATCGGTAGTTCAGGCAGGGGTTGTAGCACAGACTTAGGGAGGGACAGGAGGTTTAGTAGTCGTTTGGCTACAAGTTTACCTGTATAACCGCCCGACGCGGCTTAAGGGCCCGCTATATCATCTATAGCCCCTTAAGGGAGTACTTGTAGAGGTACCGAGGGTTAACACCTACGGCGTATTTAATATTTTTTATATAAGCCCAGATCCAATCGCAAATTTTCCACGATCTCACGCGTACTTACCACCAGCTCGTCCAGTCAAATCCCCTGGATTCTCCGGGAATTTCTGCGAAAGGCCACCAATGCGGCTTCTTCGCCGATGACGAGACATTGCGTAATCAGTTCAAGAGCACTGAAGTTAGCATAAAAAACGAGACCCCCGCACTTACGGGCAAAGTCCTGATATGGTAGAATGATCATTAGCATATGTGAAGTTGGCTGACATGTACTAGTCCTACCTGGCCTGAGTGGAGTTTATACAAGACAAAATCCCTAGCGGGTCTACACGAGATATTTGTTCCTGCGATCGCTGCTCACTTAGAAACTCCACAAGCCAACAATACCTATCCCCAAAGAGGTTATCGAAATTATTATGATACATCGCTGCATCCTCCTGGGCCTCTTGCCCTTAGTCAGCCTTGTGGCGGCAGGACCATCGTCACCATTCCTCAATCGACGCGCAATAACATGTCTCAAAGTCGGCGCCACCGCAACAGCAAGCTGGACGAACAATGCCGGACAAGCTTGCACGTTCACCGGGATGGTGGGGAGTAACTACGGCACGAATAGTGTCAACGGCGGGGAGTGCGTCTCAGCCGGACACGTCACGAGTATTCCCGAGATACTGATATCTGCTATCTAGTTACTCCTGCAATGGCCGCTGTGGAGCTGGGTGCAACGGTGTGGCAGTTGGCAACGTGTACACCCAAGATTGTTTCTCGCATGATATATGCTCGTGGTTTAATAATGCTAGTGGTGGGGCGAGGTGAATATGAGGCTGTCCTTACGCCGAAGGAATGCAATGACTGATGATTACGAGCGACGTAAATTGCGGTGCGGCGTACAGTGCTGCTGTGGACGACACAGTAGGGGGAGGGGCCCTCGCGGGTTGCTCGCAGACGAATCCGACAAATGTCGCGGTCAAGCCGGTTGGAACACCTTGCAAGTGAGTATTGATGGAACTCGATTCTAGGATCACAAGTAAGTTTGATTAATTTTCTACATTCCCTTGAGCAGCATTTAGTTGTGCTTGCGCCGATGGCGATACTGAAGGCTACTGAGCTGTGCAAACCATTCGCCTACCATCTAGACGAGCGGATTCTCTTTTAGCATTGGTGTCGTATTTATCCGCCAGCACGTACCGTTATTCCTGCCTTGAACAAACATTAACATTTCGTATAAGGATGTTTGTGCTTTTCCACCTATATGCAGTATCATTCACAGCATCTTCTTCTTATAGCTCGACAGCTTTAGTTTCTCCATCCAACATCGTAGGATCATCCAAGTCATGGAATAGCGGCACCCCCCACTTCTTCCCCGGGTTACTTAGTCTCACCTTCTTATCTGCCTTCGCGATGTCCTCCATTTCTCTCTTCGTAAACTCAATCTCCAGCGCGCGCAAATTCTGTGCGATGTGGCTTTCCTTCACACTCCGCGGAATCACCATCGTACCCCTTTGAATTCCCCACGCTAGCACCGCTTGTGCAGCCGTGACATTCTTCTTCTCCGCCAATCCGGTCCAAAGCGGGTCTTCCAGAATGCCGTATGGCAACCCCCTGTTGTAAACCGGGTTCGTATTTGCAAGTGGCGAGTATGCAATCACCTTGAGTCCAATCTCACGATGATAATCCACAAATTCTTGCTGTTGCAAGTATGGGTGCGTCTCAAATTCATGCGCGTAGGGGCAGATGGTGCACATTTCCAAAATGGCCTCAACATCAACCTTGGCAAAGTTGGAGATGCCGATATGACGCGTGTAATTGGCGCGGACGAGCCCCTCCATCGTGCGCCAGGTGTCAAGGATGGTAACAGATTTGTCGAGCTGGTTGCCGTCAGAATTGGGGATGAAGGACACCGGCCAATGCATCAGGTAAAGATCTAGATAGCCGACGCCTAGGTTAGAGATAGACTCCTTGACCGCGCGTTCGGCTTCTGCGGGGCGGTGGTGGGAATTCCAGAGTTTGCTGGTTACCCAGATGTCCTTGCGATGAAGTTTCGAGGCGGCAATGCCCTTGCCTGTTTGGTCTTCATTTCCTGTGATGTGTTAGCGTTTTTGGTTCGCGACTAAAGAGGGTTACACGTACGGTAGATCCAAGCGGCGTCGATGTGGTGATAACCTAAGTCGAGGGCATACTCAGTGGCATGGGCGACCTGCAGACTGTCAGCACAGCTGATGGACACGCTGGTATCATCTCTCACTTTTCCCTTGTCAGAGAGCCATGTTCCAAGTCCGATTGATGGGATACCCTTGATGCCCGCGCCGGGTTGCTGTTCTACAGCGACGGCAGGTTCCGAGAATTGAGAGTTGCAGGGAAAGAAGAGAAACAAGAGCACGCTGAATATGACCGTCATTCCGACGGCTCGCATGAAAACGCCCATTTCGAATTCACCAGTCTTGAAGTTGTTGGATAATAGATGAAGTTGGTAACAGTAGCGACTTCACGTTGCGAGGTCTATTTAAAGATCTCAATTAAGGTATGGTGTCGGTGGTAATGGACATCCCCGCACCCGTGTTGTTATCATCGTTGCAGTCATATCGTCCATGCATTACATCATTTTACTCCATCGTTGATACAAGTCTGGCAAGGTTCTTGTATAAAATATCTCGGGATGTTTTAGTTCAAATATGGGATGAACTCTTTCTTTAGTTTGCACTCGGATGGCCTGCCTGATGGGGGTGACGTGAAGGAACTCGATGGCCAGCAACTCAACAAGCAGAAAACGACTCATGACGCGTCCGCTATGACTACTTTATAATCGGAAAGCAGTCACATGGTATATCGTTCGAGCGATTGTGGTGCCCCACGACCTCGGCTCTCAATTGATGCAAGCTGCTCATCGTAACTCTCGGGAGCTGATAAGCTCTAATTTCCGGGTTCATGTTACTGCTGAAAAACTCACATCTTGGCCTAGCAAACCCAAGTCCACTATTGCTATCCGTGCCCTTGACACTAGGCATCTCGGCATGCATCTTCAACCCAAACGAAGAACTCCCCCGTTGTCTCTCGGCCGGAAAGGTCATATACAGCAGCGCGTACATGGTCAATAACACGAAAAAGCCGTAAAAATACGAAATCTGGTAAAGATGGTCCCAACCGTTTCCATTCGACACCCCCTGTATAGCGCGAATGAAGCCAGCTGGATATGATTAGTAATGTTCAAATAACACGAGGACGACGAAGGAAGTCTGACTCACGCAACAAAGGAGCCATTCCCAGAATCCACGTTACGAGCCCCCTAAAACTGAATCCTGCCGTGTACCAATACGCACTTCTCGCATCACCCAGATACAGATCCCCAATATGATACTCGCCCCTCCGCAACAGGAAGTAGTCACTAACGATAATCGCCGTCATGGGGCTCAAAAACACGCTCCAGCCGCTCAGGACCGTGATAAACGTGCCAGGGTTTTAACGTAGTTCGAAGGGCAGATAGCAATAGCACCGACAGTCAGTATATAGCAACCCCGACGGATGTTAATTCACTTAGGACACAGCGCCAGCTGATCCGTCAGGAATCCCAAGCCGGCGAAGAAAGTACCGGCTCGAGCAGCCGGGGAAAGGGAGTGCTCCTGGACTCGGAGGAGAAGCTCGAACGGATTCCATATGTACTCCCCGTACATAGTCGCCGCGGCGCTGGTGATCAAAATCCCGCAGACGGAGGTGACAATAACGAAGAGGGGAGCGGTGAATAATTGCCCGAATAAGGCCGCGTTAGGTGTCCGCGCGTACTCGCGTTTAGGCCGAAGCGCTGTAGGGCCCTGTGAGGAGCTTGTAACAGCTTAAAATCTAAAAGAGATACTTACGATATAAGTTGCTCTAAACCCACGATTGTGTCTTGGCACACTGTGCTGGGCACTTGAACCACAGCTTCTGCTCTTGGTCAGAAGCTTCGTGCGGAGCTTCTGGCCGAAGTTACGGACTGGCAGAGGGCACTCGTGCGCCCACCAACATCTGAAGGCTGGGTAGATCATGTTATAAAGCCTAAAACTGAATGGTACCGCGTCCAGTCGGGCTGGCCCAGACACGCAGCCGCCTGCGAGCCAACGAGGGACTGGAGGCCAAAAACAGCGCCCCAGCTAAATGCCGAACCGGATGTGGTTGTTGGACTGTGCATAAGGGCGCCAGGACCGCCGGCTGCGTGGACCGCCCAGCCGAGCATGCCGAACATAGTTGCCGTGATCATAACGAAGGTGATGCGGAAGGGCAGCTGAAGCTTCTCGGGCGGGATCATGGGAAGGGGGAGGGAAATTATGATGAAGACGAAGGATATGATACTTGCGGTATCAGTGTTGGAAGATGCCGGCAGCGTGTTCCGGAGGTTAACAAAACACGCTCCGGTGGGGGATCGGAGGATGATCTTCACGGCTGTTGCTTCCGGTTGGTGAGTAGATATCGTAGGATGCGCTTTTACGTAGTTGAGATTCGACAGACCTTGCCCCCCCCAATAAGCTTTATCCCCATCCAGATACACCCCGTCACAATACGGTTGAGTACCGGCCAGAAACCACCGCGCATGCCCGACACAAGACCGTAAAGCCTTGGTATGTGTGAGAACCTGGCCAGCCGGCGAGAATAGCGAGTAGGGCTGTGATTATAGCAACTCCAACGCAGCTATTGCTTGAGGCACACTTAGACCGGGGGATAGCAGAGAGGCGCTAGCCGTCCACGCTGTGGTGTTGATTCTAGGCCAGGAGTTGGTACTTAGGTATATAGATACTTCGTGGTCTTATCGACTTACCCGCATACAACCCAGTATCCAGCGAAGCCTTGCCAGGTCCAACTCCTGCGATCTTCCGAAACAGGGATCAAATCTCGATTGCGCCATGATGTGTTCCGGTAATTGGCGTTTTCGTCAACTGGACATTCCAGCCTCCTTGCCCAGTAAAGGGTTCGACGTTTGATTCTTCCAAATGAACTCATGATGGTTAAGAGTCGAATAGCTGCGGTGTTTGTGGCCTGGAGCGCCACTTCAACGACGAATTTGATGTCATTGATTCCATATTTATGGCGCGGACGGGGAAGTACGACACCGTCGGAATCTGTGGTGTATTGATTAATTTAAGGCTATCGAGTACACGATGGTGTCAGTGTTGCGTTCGTAGTGCTGATCTTATAGTCTAAGTTTGCCGATCAATGCTGAAAACTGCGGTAATGCCCTCTTTGGACGATAGAGCAGATCGGTTCTGACAAACACTAGCAGGCTAGTGAATGGCATCGGTAATCTCCAGGGGTAACGACTCCCCATCAACACCAAACTGGACAGCAAGTTCAGCAGCGGGGTCGTGCATCGGGTAACTCGTATATCCGGCTTGGACCATATCATCGCTTCATCACCTCGTGGTATCGGTTAAGACGCACTCACCACCAAGTATCCCCTCTATTCAAGGAAGATATTTCCCTGCGAATATTTTAACACGCCCAGCCATCAGGTTTCATTTCGTGACACGTCAGTCATGTCATCTGAAATACCAGTCGTAGACTTCAGCGCCTGGCCCTCCGGCTCACCAGGAGATAAAAGACGCCTCGCCCAAGAACTAACAGAGGCATGTCGGCGGGTGGGCTTCGTATACGTGGTGAACCACGGGGTACCAGATGATCTCCTGGAAGAGGCATTCAATTGGTCTAAGAAACTCTTCGATCTACCCCACGACAAGAAGATGCTGGCTCCTCACCCACCAGGACCTAACGTACACCGAGGGTACTCATGGCCTGGTCTGGAGAAAGTCTCCCAGTACATCCACAAGGAGGGCGAGGACTTAAATGCAGAAGATGAGGAGCTGCGCAAAGTGGTGGACTGCAAGGTGAGTCTCTACTTGGGGAGTCCACGACCTGATAAAGAAAAGGCTACAACTCAGCATAGGAAAGCTACGAAATCGGCAGCGAATCCCTCCACCAGCAACCCAACCAATGGCTCCCCGAGGAAATCCTGCCGGGCTTCCGCACCTTCATGACCGATTTCTACTGGCACTGTTTCTCAACAGCAAAAGACATGCTGCGTGCGCTCGCCATCGGCATCAGGCTAGACGAGGAAGATTATTTCCTCCGATTTCACAGCGGCCTCAACAACCAACTGCGCCTGCTACACTACCCGCCCGTAGAACCGGAGAAGCTATCTAGCAACACCGTGGCTCGTATGCCCGCTCATTCGGATTGGGGGACCATCACGATGCTATTCCAGGACGAATGCGGCGGGTTGCAAGTCGACGACCCGAATAAGCCGGGGAGCTTCGTCAATGCGACGCCGATGAGGAATGCGTTCGTGATGAATGTGGGGGACTTGCTGATGCGGTGGAGTAACGATTACCTCAAGTCGACGCTTCATCGTGTGACATTGCCTCCAATGCAAGAAGGCCAGGATGCGGGAGCAGGGCACATGACGCCGGCTCGATACTCCATTCCATATTTCGTGAGCCCGGATCCCATGGCGAGGATCGAGTATTTGCCGCAATGTGCCGATGAGAAGAATCCGGCTAAATATGAACCGGTCGTGCAGGAGGATTACCAAAAAATGAGAGCGAGACTTCAGTATCCTGACCAGTCAGCTGTTCCGGTTGCGGTAGCTTGAAGCCTGCTGTGACGCGGCTTGCCAGTGTCCAAATCGGGTTGTCGCCTGTCTTAAACAAACATGTCAGAGAGACTGCGATCGAAATTGAAAACATTGGAGGATTCAGGATGGCCATCAAATGCTTCAATCAGCCGTGAATTCCTCGGCTTTGGTGTCTTATTCATGTTCCATCCGTGAATAAGCTGCGATACTGGGGACAATGGCTGGAGCATTAAGGAGGTATGCAGGCTGACGCTTGGTGACAATGTGATCTGCCACCTCTAGCTGTATTCCCTCCAATAATCATCAACGGATTGCTGGCGCCCACTGCTTAACTCTACCAGTTTCCAAACTTCACAAATGATAGTCGTTCACGACCGTTGAATAACAAACCTCGGAAGCTGACAACGGCCCGTTACATTCATGCTCCTTGTACCCTTCGCAGTCACCTATTCAGACACACCTTGCCATCCAAAATGCGCAAACAACATCACCTCACAATCAAAATTCTCATTCCCTCCTTCCTCCCCCAGGAACCGTGCTCGATGCCTTGCAGCGCTACTCGCCCGTGATCCGACATCAAGCGTTAGTCACACGGTTCCAGCAGACGCGGGTTAGCCTCGAGGACGTGCTCGAAGATCTCTTCTTCAAAGAAAACGGCACACATATCGTGTGCTTCACCATCTTCGAGAGAATTACCATCGTACCGGGCGTCTCCTCGAAAGAGATTAGTTTTCCCGTGGTATTCCAGCGGTTTGGAGACGGGATTCGCTTTCGGGCGCTGGCCCGGGCCGCGTTACACTTTGGAGGGACTATACGATTCGGAGTAAGGCCCTTGCCGATGGTGTTGATGGTGAATGGTTTGAAGTGGTGGAGGAGATCACGGTCGAGTGTAACTCGATGATGATGCCGTTTGTCAAGGGCCAGATGGAACATGCCCATCGTGATATTTGCGAGAACATCATTCGCGAGACAATTGAGCAACGGAATGCTGGCCATGGGCAATATCATGGAGGACATGCACATTTTGGAGTCCCAGGACAGGTTCGTTCTCAGCCGCGATATGTCTCTGAGGGCCATTACGGAGCCCCGACGCAAAACTTCACTCTGTCGCCTTCCGGCTCACAATCACATCGTGGTTGATTAATTATCAAGTGGAATTAACAGACGACGGCCCCTCCAGGAGTCAATGAGGCAACGGATCGCCAGATTTGCTCTTTATTCCCAAAGCTGAGAAGCTCCCTCGCTGAGTTCGACCTGACCCAAGGCAGTGGACAGCCACAATTGTGGTGTGGGCCGGCACCAAGGCCCTAATTGCGAACCAGGAGCAGCTGGCCTTCGCACCCTGCATCTTTGGGGAATCGTGGAAGAAAGGCCTCGTGATCCGCGCGATGAAGAGCACTATGTTGCTACGCTCATCCACGGCAGGCGCCGAGGCGAAGGCAACCCTGTGTCGGAGAATCAAAGCAAGGCCTTGGCCCTTCGAACCATAATCATATAGATTGTTGGATCAGCCGGTGGCCGTGCCTTGAATTTTACTGAGAAGTTACCGCCTAGAGTAACAAATCAGTACGAAATCAAATGGTTTCGAGGTTCTGCTTGAGTCCTTCTTCCGACCCCTGCCTTTCTCAACATAGGGAACGCAGAGCTACCTTCCTCGGAACAGAGTGGATACATGCATGGACTCACTGCAGTATCTGAGCGTTATTCGATCATGCGGGTGACCCCATCAAAATGTTACTCAACTTTGATTCATCATGAGAGCAGTGTGTCTCCACGGTGAGAAGCGAGTGTGAATACCAGACATCTCCAGGTTACATTCCTGTAATACAGATGCTGGCTGCCTTCCAGTCACTTGTTGCTGATGTCAATTCTTGGCGCCAACGTTACGGAGCAGTCCAAATAAACCAATGATCAAACAAGGCGCTCGGCCTTCCTTGCCGAGCGCCTTCTAAGCGCCCAATATTTCTGGGCGCGTTGGACCCCAGCGATTCTCCCAGGCACTTGAGTCGATCAGCTCGCCAGAATGTGGCAAATTGGCCAGCTCCAGCAGTGATTGGGCACATCAATAGCCCCCAAGGACGGTTGGTGCACGAGTGGGACTTGTGTAGCTGGATTTAGCACCTATGTCCTTGCGACCCTTCCCAGTGGGAGAGACGTGCAGCTGCGGATGCTTCGCGGCCTGAAAAGCAGCCGCCCACCTGTGATGCGCCATGACGAGCTCCAATCTCGAAGCAAGGCTGTCCAAGTAGGTTGTCTGTCTCTCTTTTACTGTTGTGGACTTCTTGACAAAACGCGTTTTCGCAATCAAAGCTGTACGCAGCTTCAGCTTATTCTCGATTGTCGTCGTCTTGCGACTTGACCATCAGCGGCCTGCCTGCCAAGCTACTGCATGTAAGTGCGGGGCACTGCTCGTGGGACATTTTCCACCACTTCAACCAGATGCTGACTGCGATGACAGACTTATTTCGATCACACCGTTCTCCTTGGCTTGATTCTACTCTCAGTCGTGTGAAGACTGTCTCCAGCAGCCATGTCCTACTATCCCCGTAAGTTCTGCGCTCTCAACAAGAGATGTCGCATGCTGACATCAAATAGCTCCTCCCGGTGCAGTAGGGTCACCAGGTATGCGCCTTCGTGCACCTCAGCTTCCTCAGTCCAAACCATTGACAGGTTATAGCCCAGCAAAAGAACTACCCTCCGCCGCCGCAGTCTCCTCCCGCGAACCAAACCAAGTTCTACCCCCCGCCTCTCGGTACCCCGAGCTTCGCCCCCCCGCAAGGCCAGTCGTACCCAGCGCCGCCGCAAATCCAACATCAACAGAACTACCCCCCTCCTCCCCAGCAAAGCACATCTTCTCCTCCTCCGAAGACGGGAACACCCGTCCCATACCCGCCCCCATCACAGGCCGCACAGCATATGAACCTGCCGCTCCGGAACTCGACCCCATCCATCAACTCGCCGTCCCCAGCCCCACCAGGCTATGAAACGGCGCCCCCGGGACCCGGCGAGGGCTACCCACAGGAGAAGATCGGCGGACACTCACAACAGGGATCCGTCGATCTCACACGCCGCGCCTCGGGCATGAGCCAGCAACCCAGCATGCACTCAGTCGCCCAGGGCGGGGGTCAACTTGAAGGCCAAGGCGGCCAATTCTCTGGGGCGCATAGCGCCACGGCCGACGACGTAGGCACCTTCAACGGCGGCTCATACCGCATCTCGCACCGCGACTGCAACACTATCATCACGATCCAGCTAGCCATGGGGTGCCCCATAGACGCCAAGCCTGGTGTCCTCATAGCCATGAGCCCGACCATCACCCTCAAGGGCGAGTACAAGTTCAGCATGAAGAAGATGATTGCCGGCGGCGAGGTGGGCCACTCCACCTTCGTTGGCCCAGGCGAGCTGCTCCTCGCCCCGAGCATGCTGGGCGACATCACCACCATCCGGCTCACGGGCAACGAGGCCTGGTCCGTCTCCAAGGACGCCTACGTCTGCAGCACCCAGGGCGTCAACCGCGATTACAAGCGCCAAGGGCTGGGGAAAGCCATGTTCAGCGGGGAGGGACTGTGGGTGCATAAGGTTAAAGGTATTGGATTGATGTGGATCACTAGTTTTGGCGCTATTATTCGCAAGAATTTGCAGGATGGGGAGAAGTATATCGTGGACAATGGGCATTTGGTCGCGTGGAATGTCAAGTATATCATGGAGCGTGTGGCGTCCGGTGGTATCATGGCCGGGTTTGCGAGTGGAGAGGGGCTGGTGTGCAAGTTTACAGGGCCCGGGACGGTGTTTTTGCAGACGAGGAACCCGGTAAGTGTGCATGTCCTGATCCTTGAGTCAGGTTTCGTTTGTGGCTTGTAGGTTAGGCTGGTGCTAATGAATTATGTCTACAGAGAGCCTTCAGCGCTTACATGACGGGCAATGCTGCGCCGCCATAAACAGCACGAGGAAATTAGGACACGAAGGCATCACCTACCCGATAGCGCAATCAAGGATGAGGGTGTTGCAGACGAAATAGGTCGATATACGTCTTTGAACGAAAGGGAAAGATGGTTCATAAGCGAGCACAGTGACGATAGGCTTCTTTCTGGTGGACGCCTAACCTTCTATTTTTTTAGTGGAGAATCATATTGAGGGGGTTCTTCCTGATTACGGAGATATGTATCAATTTCCAGAATACTTTGAATTAACAGTCACAATGACCAAGCGTAATGTGCTTGGTGGCCTGAGGTCATGGTGAGGTATACCTGAGTTCCATCGGATAAGCTGCTTCCCTGACACGTGTAGCTGATTTCGCGCAGTAAGCAATATATCAGGGGACACTTTATAGTCAGGGGTTAACATGATGTAAAATCGACTCGTCTTAATATACGGTATTTCAACGAAAATTGTCTGCTTTATTGTCAGTAAATTTAGGAAAGTCTCTAATTTAGCTAATGCACTTTTTCAATACCTGCTATGCAACCTGCTATGCAGCTATGCAGCACTCTTTCCTATGCAAGTAAATATGCGTGGCACTCTTAAAATGAAAAAGAACGGGTATCGTTTTTAGTATCCAATACGCATCTCTCTCGCCACGCAATTCATCTTCCCTTTCTCATGCCGGAGTGCCGCGGTTATTCCAATTTATGCTTGATGTACTCGCACCATACGCCTAAATCCTCCGTAAGTTCGAGCATACTCGCCCACTGGGCTGGGCTATACCATTTTCCCTTAACCTTGCTGCCACCTGCCGAATCCATCCCCCCCACCTGCTCGTCGCTGCCCCCCGAGTCGAAGACGTTATCCGAGACAATATGGACCTTGCCGCCCAGATGGATCTCGAGCATGATGTTTGCTGTTCGGGATCTAAAGGGGAAGACGACCTGTAGGCGCGGCACGGGGTGTGCTGCTAGGGTGATATCTACCTCTAGAGCTGGAGGAGACGGCGGTTGAGTGGTAGTACCATTCGCGCCTCTGTGCACCTCCCCAGACTCGCCTGTGGACTGCGATGCAAAACTCTTAAAGTCGTCAATTGCCGTCGTCTCGGAGTTTGCTTTCGGCTTTTCGTCGGCGATTTCGACAAAGCCGGGCTTCGGCTTGAAGCTCTTGGCCAGTAGCGTGGATAAGAACGCGTACTGCCGTAGCGACGGTAGCATTTCGACTAGCTGTCGGGGGTGGTGGAAAGGCACTTTGGTCAACATCTGTCCGTAAACTCCCTTGTAAATAAATAGCGTGTTCTTGTGCACCCTTATATCCTTCTCGGTCTTCCCTGGGAAAGTCGATACGGGCTGTAGACGCGTTATGGAGCGAGGCTCACTCGGATCGTAAATACTTCCCGGCGTAATCGGGAATATCAGGGCATCGAACGTCGCCATAGCGGGGTGTTCTGGCGCAGGTGCTCCGGATAGACTGTAGATTTGCTGAGCTACCGGAAAAGTCACCGTAACTGGCGGGTCAAATGTGGCCATGAAGATGACGTCGGGTAGCTTTGGGCCCGGCGTAAGAGACGGATCGGCCTGCATGCTTGTGTCGACCTTAGCTTCATCGCTATGCAAAAAGGTGCTACCGGGCTCTTGCCAGTCTAGGACAGGTCCATTCGCTGCAAGGATCTCGTCGTTGTTCAAATTTGTTTTCTCCACAGCGTCCGAGATCCAGCTGTCTGATACTCGTATGGGGAAGTACACAAGATCTTCTTTGGGTGCACAGTCCACAAGCATGCTCCAGGTCTTGATATCCTCTTTGTCGACGGTGGTAGAAGGGATCCTTCTCCGTTCTTTCCAATAGTCGAAGCTCAATCCAATCCGGTCTCGAGCATGCATCTGTGGGTATCCATGTTGAGTACACAGAGCAGCGATCTTGAGAGCTTCATCCGTCTTCCCTCGCATGGCAGGATCCTCGCGCAGCTTTTGCATATCCCAATTATGCAGTTTCAGCAAACTTTCGTATATGCCCGCGACTGCGTCACAGCAGTTAAGCGCAGGGAGAACACTCAGCTTATCTAATGTAGCTAGGCGTTCAAGATTCGGCTGGAATTGCTCAAGCGTCTTCGTTAGGGGACTTTGGTTCGGGCCGAGCTTGAGACCCCTTAGCAGCATGTCTGCAGCCTTTCCTGTATGGTGTTGGATGCTTATCGTCGACTCAGGTAGGGTTAAAGAAACGTTTTGAACGACGTGATTCGTGATGACGATCTCGAGTGCCAATCCAGTCCCAGCAAGGACGAGCGTTTTGGAGAGCGGGCCGCCGGCTGGGTTGTCCTCCCAAAGAGACTCGAGACCAATACTCCGAGCAAGCCTCTCGAGACCTTCATTGCTGACCCTGCCCTTTCCCGCAGCCTTCAACATGTGCACCAGGGCATCCATTCTTTTTTTACGATCATCTTCATCAGCCCTGCCGAGTCCCAATGCGCCCATGCTAATTGCATCCAGATTCAGATCCATCCCATGGATCCCGAGTGCACCTAACGCTGCCGTCCCGGACGGACTGTCGAAGTTGACGGCTGTCGAGCTGTCCGGCATACCCTTGAGCGTAGCTGACGTCGCAGGCGACTTCTTAACTTGCTGTGGCGACGTACGGGAGCCTTGAGGAGGCGAGAAGGCCGCTTGGGTTTGCGAATTAGAGAATGGCGTCGACACGGGGGGAGTTGGTGCGGCGCCTGCGAGTTGCGAGGGCGTTCTCCCCTGCTGGGAAAGCCCATGGCGCATGGGGGTCGACATCATGAAGGGCTTCGCAGGTTTGATCTCGAGTAAGGAATGTGGGAGGGATGTATTGCAACAGACGCCCGAGCCCTCGCTGAGGAAAGCTTGCGAGGATAGCAGAATGTGGTCCCGTCAAAAGTTGCAACCAAAAAGCAGACTATCCAGGAATGCAATCCGCTCAAAGGGATGCGCGAGCTCTGGCATCAAAGTGTTAAGATTGGATTGACCGAGACGTTGAAGGCGGTGTCATCGCATTTCATTGACCGTTGACTAGAGGGACTCAGGTTGTGATTGCTGTAAAATGTAAGTGCTTGCAGCCCCTCCAAAGCTTCAATACCTTTGCCAATTTCACTTTCAAGTCTAATGAAGCTGTCGCAAGCCACTGAAGACTGTCCTGGGTCAATGCAATACAACCTAGTAAAGAGCTTCGCCATAGTGGGGGCAGCATTGAACTGCGACGCGACGACACGGAGCTCAAGAATGAACTGAGGTCATCATAGTAAGAACTGCACCTTGGGCAAGCGAACTCGCACGGTGTTATCTAGCTGCAGCACAAAATTGATCTGCCACGGACGCACAAAGTACTCAGCATTCTCAACTTAAACCAACTCATCTTGCAACTCAATGTCCTTGTAGCCTCGATTTTTCTTACATTGGGTGATTGGATATTTGTCCATAATCTTTCCCTTTGACCAGACAGATTTCACCACTGCAACATACAGGTGCCTTTTAGTAACCAAGTCAATGTCGTGACAGCTACCGCGGGTCGTTTCTATCCGGCTAGAGCTGTCAAAGAAGTACGACACAAGCTTTCTGTCCTTCTGTAAGACCGATTGCTTCCTCTCCATGTCCAAAAAAACCCTCCACACAAGTTCCAACACCTGGCAATGGTCATAGTCAAATGCGCCTGCCTCTCATAATCATCACTCTCAGCGATTGGGAGCTGATCGCACTAATTGGGTATGAAAACTGGGCATCAATATTGCTGCTATCAATGCGATCCTATAATGTGGCTCGAGGATATGGCCAAGCGAGCGTCTCCTCGACCAAACATGCTATGCATCGAATCCAGGATCCGGCTGTATAAGCAACATCTTAAGAGCAAAGAGGTAGATGTCTACCATGAAAAGGCCTGAAAGTCGAGCTGAAGCCCTGCTGTGGCTTCATTTCAGGCTTACTCACATCATAAATCATATCCGCTTTTGGGGTGGCAGTCATTGCCCGCCGTCATTCATCGTCCTCATGTACCAAATGTTTTTGTTGCCAGTCGTTCTTTTCGTCTCCTCATATCTCATAATATCCACGCTGAACTGTGCCCAAGCCTCCAACCACTTCGTCAATGCTCTTTCGCAGGGCAATCAAGTGCTTTATGCTAAATAGTCTGAGCAAGACCCTAATCTTGAGCCTTCGTAGACTCCTTCTCCGTGGCGGGAGACCTACTGATCTTCTCTCCTATGGACGGTACCATTTCAATCGATGACAAAAGAGCCTTACTCGACTGTTGTGCCGATCTCTGGCGTTGAGCTCGCTTGTCCTGGCGCTCTTTGCATTTCTTGGCGTACTCGACATCGGTAGCGCGGCGGTATTCAAGATATGCCTCGTACTCCTGTTGCTGCTTGGCCTGGATTGGATCGCCGGGGCGGAAAGGGCCCTTGGGTTTCGGCACGGGCTTCGGGCCGAATGCATAGGCAATAGAAGGTACCATTCTAGAACCGTGGCCTTGGGTTGGCATGAAGTTGGCTGGCATTGGCTGCGGAGGTCGAAGAGGCTGGTTCGGTAGAGCCAAGCCCGGTGGCATGCTCGGACGGCCATTGATGACTGCTGCACCTAAAATGCCTTGGCTATTCATCATGTTAATGCCTATAGCGTTCTGGAAGAAGCCGGGAGGCATCGAAGCAGCAGTGGCGCCATTCTGCGGCAAATCCGGTGGAGGAGAACCGACAGCATTGTTGGGCATGGGAGGAGCGGCAACTGTGGTAGGCGCCAACCCTCTGGTTGCCAGACTACCATAGAGCTCGTGCGGCGGCATCATAGGGCCTTGAGTTGGGAAACCTTCAAACCCATAATGTGAATTCAGCTGCTGCAACAGCTTCATCTTCTCCATCTTAATTGAATGCAGCTGTGCCTCAGTAAGTTGGTTGATCTGGGTCTCTATCCCTTGCAGACGTTCAACAATAGCAAGGTAGTCTTGCAGCGACGGATTTGATGTCAAAGCTGCCGGACGAGTAGCAGCTGGCATTGCATGGCCTGGTAGCGAAGCCTCCGGCATTAAAATTCTTGGCATGAAGGACCCTGAAGTTGAGGAGCCCGTCATCAGGGATCCGTTCGTCGAAGAACCTGACATCGAAGATCCCACCGTCGAAGCTGCCGACATCGCAGTATCCGGCATGAAAGGACCAGGCAAGGAAAGCCCAGGAATCGAATCTTCCGTCGTGGAAGGAACAGACACCGAAGGGGGAACCGAAGCAGCCGACATTATAGGACCTGTAGTGGGTGCATCGAACAGTGCTCCTGTCAAGGGAGGTCGAGTGAACTTCGAAGGACTGATATCGTTCACGGTTGACGGCTTCTGCTTCTGATTGCTAAAGCCGGAGAACTCGGTAGCCTTAGGGTTCAGCGTGCTGGATTTTGAGGGGCTCTTGACACTGATACCACTGACACCCGAATCGGTCGTAGGGCGGCGTTGAATGGGCTCATGACGGTCAGTCTTAGCTTCGCCTTCAGTTTTGGATGAAGGTCCCGGCTTGATGTCGAGGATGGCCGGGTCACGGAATCTGATGTTGTGTTCATTTGAGGTCTTCTGCAACTTGGCCAGGATGATTTTCTCAAATTTTCGCTTCTTCTCCTCGTCTATCCTCTCAGGTGAAGACATTGCGCTGCGCTGTCGGCCACCGATCTTCATGCTACGAATCGCAGGATCGCCCATAACCACTTTTGCAGCGTCATCCTGGAGTTTTGGGAAGTTCTTGAGGATCTCTTGGAGCTCGACTCCCTCCCAGTTCTTGGTTCGGAGTCTGCTGCCCTTCTTGATTGCACGGATTTCAGCGTTAGGCAAGTCGACGTGGACAACACCGCCATCCGATTCGTTGCTCGGTGTAATTAGGGTCACTCTGCTGATCCCAGTCGACCAAGAGTCCGTGGGAGACGAGCCCATGGAAGTGACATCTTCAGATGACAGATTTTGGCTTTGGGAAAGTCGTCGAACTAGCTCCTCGTGGCTCATGCTGGTAGCCGGAGTGAGCGAGTTGAGACGAACAGGCATGTTTGGGCCAAGTGAGATCCTGCACGAGTCGGGCGAATTGAGATTAGCGCCCTCAACCAGGTACTCGTTGTAAGTGTCATCATCATTGTGACCCACGCCATAATACTCTTTCTTCGTGGAGGGAGCCGAGTTGATGAAGTCAATATCAAGGGGTGTGTCTCTCTCATCTCGGTATCGTCGAGGGGCATCCAAGTTGGCTAAAGAGGTATCTATCCGGAGTTGCTTCTTCTGCTTCGGGAACATTGTCTCTTGCTCAGTGAACTTGTCCTTGCGCGGAGGGGCAGTTTTGAGGGCGTCAACCGAGTCCTTTCGCCATTTGTGTCTCCAATCGTCATTGAGTAGCGCCTCGCTCTTCTCGCGCTTGGCGGGTTGCTCTACGCGGCCGACCTCTGGCTTGTTGATGAAGTGCGGAAACGGCTCAATGCTCTTGATCTGGTGGGCATCATGCGGGAGATTGGTCTTGATGCTCAGACCCCTGGGCCTAGCGCCTATACCAGCTTTGGCAGTTGCCATAGATGCCATTTCAGCTTGTCCGGGTGACAATCAGGTTTATGTTGCTTGATGAGAGTTTTTCAGGATGACAAGGACAGACCTGAAGATCCCAGCAAGGCAGAGAAGGTGGAAGCTGAAAGTCTGTGGATCAAAAAGTCAGCCAAGTGAAGTCAGTAGTTGCGGGGTTTTGATAACGCAGGGCAGTTGGTGTGAGTTCTTAGAATCGGGACCGGCAGGGTGTTTTTATGCCTCGTTGGAGAGCTCATTCAGAGGACCCTTTATGATGCACAAGTGAATTTGGTGATTTTCCAATATTGCAGCGAATGCTCACCCCGCGCTCACAACGTAAATGTTGACCTTTGCAAAGTCTCAGAACATGATCACAACTCACCAGTAGCTGTTGTTTATGTAACCTCAAAGCTGAAATACAAGGCGGTAGTATGGGAGATGGCGATGTGGGCGGTTTGGGGGTTTGAAGAAGATGAGTATTTAGTTGAAAGTGTAACTTACAGTCTGGTTTCAATGGAGCAGTACTAGTAAGTAACGCTGATATGGTGACCTGTCGATCGGAGAAAATTAGCACTTATAATCTTAAGAGCAGCCCGAGGGCTCATGGTGCTGACGCGTGAAAGATCTACAGAATAGAAATTTCTCGGGAGGGACCTACGAGCTGGGTGTCGCTTCTTGTTTGGTAGAGTTCCACGTTGATGTAAAGTATCTGGAGGAGGACAGCCTTGAATATGTGTCAGAAAGGCAATTCTTATCGCCATTGCCGCGGATTTAGGGAAAGGGCAAGATCGGAGGCTCACCAACACAAGTATGCGTTTGAGAGTCGGACGTCAAAAGTTGCAGCCGGGATGTTTTTGATGCACGCTGGTGATAGAGCAGTTGGGAAAGAACTTGAATGAATCCAAGGAGAAAGTGAAGAAGTTGAGAGGAGGTTCTATCAATCCAGGTGGAAGCTATTCGCTCGGAGGAAGACGACGAAGGAGAGCTGGGTACGCAGGCCACAGCCGGGTCGACCGACTGAGTTGATTGTTCAACGAGCTCGAGGAACAATCAAAGAAATGTCGTAATTGCTACCGAGCCAAAAATCAATCGAATTTCAAAACTGACAAAATCGGACAATCCAAAAATCGAGTAGGATTACTTTATGGATGGGCGCTGTGGTTGAAGATCGAAGAGGGACGAGGTGAGGTCAAGTTGAATCGGTGGTGAGGACAGTCGATCAATGGGATCTACTTGGTACCCTCGAATCTATTGCCCAACTTCAAGGCAGGAGCTTCATGCCCTTTACCGGTCGTTCCTTGGCGTATAACTCTTATTCAAGACCTGTTGCTACATCATTAGCGATGAGATCGCTCCTTCAGTATTTAACTTGTCAGTCGCACCTTCAACTTCGATAAATGAGTAAGTGCTCAATCCATCACTACAAGTAGCTTGCCTTCGTTCCTTCCATTCAAGTAGCATCTACATACTAAAGTATCCGCTCAAAGATTCCTTTCAATCTCATAATGCTAGGTAGCCTCAGGCGTCTGCTCCCAATTACCAAAGCTATTCTGTTTGTCTCTATTGTTCACTCTTCCCTCGATATTTATATCAAGTTGTTCCATTATTTGCTTTGAAATAACTCTATGTCGGCAGTGCTGCAGTAACCGCCATGGCAAGTCAAAATCGAATTCATTGGATGGAAAGGCATTCCTATGTTGAAGGTAAAAATTGAATCCGCCATCGTCGAATAATTTGAAGCACCCACATCACCTGCAGCTCAAAACATGCCAAATTCATTATAGGCAATGAAACAAGTGCCTGATGGAAAGTTCTAGGTTGATATTTACCAGGCAAAGAGTATACTTAGGGCTTTCATGTCTTGAGCAGTTCCCTCTGATATCATGGTGCTTATTCTAGCAAGCAAACGTCTCTGATCAAACTCCTCGGGTATACTAGGGGGTTGTTTTAGGGTAGCGTCCGCCGACAATTTCAAGAAAATGGTCAACATCAAACTTAAAGTACCGAGAGTCACATTGCACTGATTGATAATTCAAGAAAAATGTATTTATTTCAGCCATGAAAATTATTTAGATAGATCATCAAATTGCTAACCACCTACTCTCCTTGATGATTTTGAGCCTCATCAGATCTTGAGGTGAATGTCACCTACTTCGTTTATATGCAATTTCGACCATGACGTTCACAGTCAATCTGACCACACCAACTTCTGTTTCATATCAATTCACTTCGGCAGTGGGAGTGTAAGCCGCTACGGCTCAACACTTTGTCAACCATGATTTAGTATATTCCGTGACTTTGAGCTCAGTTCAAAATATCCACTCTGCAGTGGCTACCGCATCAAGAGATCAATCTGCCTGGATATACCGAGCGCTTATGGGTGTCTTCAATTGAGGGTTGAGGTCAAGGTATGACATATTAACGATACTGATCACTTGTCAACTAATCTTAGTCAGCTTATATTCCCTCCCATCCGACGCTGACGTCAATGAATCAATCATGACGATGCCGGGAAGCTTAGTGCAACTATCATGCCGATCATCTGCAAGATCCCGCAGGCTGATTCAACTTCAGATGAACCTCTGCATTGCTCTCGTTAATTTCAGATGATATCTTTATTTTCATACTATGCTTCCGGAACACACTGAAACTCTCTTTTCGCGAATGGTCTGAAATCGGCACTTGTCATCCTTGGACATTGAAATATCGAACCAACATGTTGCGTAGCATCCTGCTTTTGAGGGTTTTAGCTCTCATTCCAAACATGATCACAAACGCGGTCCCTGCAAACGCGAAAAATGACGACCCAATCCCCATCGACAAACGCACAGCAGAAGAAATCATCTCTCAGCTCAATCTAACCGCCAACGTTGAGAAGGGCTACTACATCCAAACCTTTCAGGATCCAGACGTCAACTCCAATAATCGCTCCGTCAGCACATAGATATACTATCTCCTGGAGGGCTCAGCGGGATCTTCGACGTGGCACCGTGTTGACGCAGCTGAAGTGTGGCACTACTACGCTGGGGCACCACTGACATTGTCATTATCATACAACAATAGTAAGCCGGCGCGGGAGAAGGTTCTGGGCCTGGACGTGTTCAATGGCCAGCAGCCGCAAGTTGTGGTGTCAAAATTTGAGTGGCAGCGTGCTAGAAATTTAGGGGATTGGACGTTGTGTGGGACTACTGGTAAGTTCGGCCTCGGATTAGAAGAAGCAGAAGATTTGGCTCATGAAACACAGTTGCGCCTGGGTTTGTCGAGAGCGGATTTGAGATGCCAGGGGCGTATTGGAAACCTGAAGGTGTTTGACGATTTTTCATTCATGTATCAGAGCTGTGAGGGCTGAAGAGCAGATCAGAGGTTACTCTGGGTCGATTCCAATGATCAAAGGCGGATTGATGATTGCGTTTACTACTTCAAATATGGAAATATATTGTTAGATTCAAGTACACAGAAATGGAACTCGTCATATTGCCCAATTACCAAGCGGCGCCACATCGATATCCATTCTGAGACAGGAGAAATAGACATGAATCAAGGAAAGCAATGGCTCGGCACCAATGACGAAGAAAAAAAATTCGCCAAAATACAAGCTTATAACTACGCCAATTTGACTTCATGGATACATGACAGTCCTCTCTATGATGCCGATATCTTCTGGGCAGATCGCCATCTACTTGTACGGAGTCTGCATATATCCTCTGTAAAATGACATGAAGCAGGACTTGCCCAATATAAGATGATGGTGTAACGTAGTGCATTGCACCCGACGTATGGCCCATACAAACAGGGACATTCATCTAGTTCCAGTCATCTATTGAATCATAACAACTTGCACATCATGGCAACCTTGTAAGCCGAAACTGAGTTATCAATAGAAGAAAGAACGCACTAAAGCTTGACGAAATATGCCATGGTATGTCATTTCAATGTTGAAGTCCCATGACCACCGAGAAACTGTCTTGCCAGGCCCTTCGAGGTAGTGTGTGAAGGTTCAAACCGGATTCAACGTATCCTCGATTCACACTCGTGCAACTTGGCAATCTTTTTTTAAGAAGACAGAGCTGGTTCTCCCGTGCGATTGCCCTTGGGAGTATCATCAAAGAAGTCCAATGACAGTACCTTTCCGCACTGAGCGTCTTATTTAACAAATTAGAGTCAACAGGAATGACAGTTGCCGCAAGCACCGAGATCCTTGTGAAGGCGGCAAACAACGACCTCATAGTTGATCATGAATGGAAACAATGGGGAAAGTCATCATGAAAACAAACAGGGAAACGTACCTCCGTGATGATGAAGTAGATGATCAGCATCCACTGATGCAACTACAATGTGGAGTTTGGGAGTTTTGGCTTCGTAGTTGGACAGATTGGCCGAGAACCCGGGTAAATCCCTGAATGACCCACAAAATCTATGCGACGGCTATCAGACACAATGCCATTGTCTCACTGATACAGACAACAGTTGGTTAACCGTGCCGGCCTCTGTATATACAGTCCGCAACACTGCGAATGTCAAAACTCATGGCAGCAGTGGCCACCTTGGTGGTATGGGCAGATGACGAAAGCCAGAGACCACTTTGCTCACGTTGGGAGAATCGATCACCAGAGTGACGAATGAGTTTTACTAACATACGTCACGCAAGTAATACCGTGCGGCAGGTCTGAACTTCCCGAGCTCAACTTGTTGTCAGACCAGGACGATCCCAGGTGCTATGATACCAGTCTTGCGAGAGAGCACGGTGATCTTCAGGCCGGCCAAGCATCCGTCAATCGAGACAGCTGAGAGCTCTCAAGACAAGATACTGGAGTATTGAGCTGCCCACCAGGACCCTTGCACGGTGTCCATTATGTGCAAATGTGGATAGTGAGTCGGTCTGGTTACATCGAGCCAGATCAAGTCCAGGGGATCTCACGTGGCTGTGGATTGATTGCCAGCATGTGTAATCTCAATTGTCAGATGCTTTCTTCATGGCTACGAGATTGTTGGCCAGTACATATGGATGACGGACAAGGGAAAAGCGAATGGACTCATCGAGATTGTTGTACAATTCCTGATCTAAGCATTAACCTCGACTTTCTCTGGTTGAGACACGAACCCCGTAAAACTCACCTATTGGGACGTCGTTAGCTGTCAAACCTGCCGCAGTTCCTGACATGAAGGCTATTTGGAAGCAAGCACCTCCTCACCTGGGAGCTTCAGCGGTATCAACAAATGTTAGGGGTGCCAACCTTTGTTTATGTTGAAGCAAGTGGGCGAAGCAAACCTTATGGAAAGGGTCGTTCTGGAACGCGGACGTCGGCCAAGGCGGGCCTCCTGAACCCTGAAGACATATAAACTCAACAGAGACCCGCGCGGCCCGTGATGGAGTCTGATGCGAGACAGGCACCTTTGGTCCGTCGGCGTAGTGGTTCCGCTGCGCTGCGAGCAATCTGCGCAATCTATCTGCTATCTGCGCAATTGGTCATGGAGATTTCAGCCATGAGAGGGTCCAAGCGGCGGTATCCTCGCATAAATTTCGTGAGATCAACTTATGGGGTGTTAATTAGCGGGTCGTATAAGAATTGTGGCGTCGTTTGTTTTGATTTCCATCACTAACTCTATCTGCCCGATCATGTGCGCCTCGGGTTGACAAGGAAAAGCCGAAGACGAAGGTTTGATGAAGCGCTTCAGTTGAACTCTCGTAAGGTTGCAGGGGCGCGTTGGGGGCGACGCCGTCTGTTCTTTGGACCCCAAGAACAGATGAACAGTGTCATAAGCTAGCTCAGAGCAACTCACCAGCTCACCAAGCAGTCGGAACTGTCTCACTAATAAATAATCGAGGCCTGGGCATGGCGCAGATCTGCCGAGTGAATTTTCTGGGGCGCTGTGGATGCCCTGTGGCGTTTCGGCCTGGTGTTGTTGATTTATGAGTCGGCGCGGATGACTCTATGAACAGGTGGTGATCTTACGGCCCAGATGGCGGCCGTTGATTGGCTGAGCCCGATGTGGAGAATAACAACGCGGGTACGGGGTCATGGTCCATGACACAGATGGTCCATCTCTGTATTGGCCCACCGCCAGGCAAGATGGACAAATGGAGTACTCCATGCTATAGAGCAGTGAAGGACCTAGCTGCCTAGGTTTGAAGTAGATTGGTATTTCAGAGTCATCTAGGTTATGGATGGTTGTGGTATGGGATTTGAAATTGAACCAACATCGTCCGGAACTTGGGACCGCATGACATGACGTTGGGCTGGTGGGAGATCGGCAAAACAACATGTGAGATCGACGTGCATAAAAGAAATAGAGGCCAAGCGCTGTAAATGCAGCTAGGTAGCAGCTGGGTTGAGGCTGACAAGTGACCACCACCTCGTATGCGCATCAACCCGAGCGTCTTGGTAAGGTAAAGTACCCCGTACTGGGCACCACGGCGAGGCTTGTACACACAATGGACACCCACACATCGACACTTTCAAAATAGAGCCCAAAGTTGCTCAACAATGCCATTCAATGCAGGGCAGAACCAACAGCGCATCGGATGCCAGCCTGTCCCTCCAGAAACTCATTCCGGAGCCAGAACAATACATGGTGAAACGCCATAGTGGCCACAACATCAAATCGGATTTGTGAACAAGTTGGAAATTACTGAAATGATTCGTAAAGGAACATTCAATGTGAAGCTAATACCTCAACACGGGCCTGGAGGGGTGGTATTCTGCACAGTGGTGGAATTGATAGGCAAGTGGGATGTCAACTCTAGGCCCCCACTCTTTGGTTGGATGGATATGGGCTGGATCTGGGAACATCCTTGACCTTCCCCCCCCCAAGTTTGACGCGTTGGACGCGCCTGCCAGTAAACAATGAAAACAGTGCGTCCTGCAGCTGCGATCTGACCGGGATTATCCACTCCACACGGCGTATTTTCCAAAACTCTTCTGGTCCCTGACTCCCTGAACGAGTTGTCAATCCCGCGTGGTCCCTTTGTTGGTCCAATTTGTGCCAGTCCCCTCAAGTGCTTCTATGTCCTCCGCCCTCCCCCTCCCACACAGCTTACAGTCAGTCAGAATCTAGCCAGCCAAGTTGTTCCCCATCTTTTGCCACAGTCCAGGAAAAAAACAACTTGCCTTGTTGATGTGATCGACTGACTACATTGTGCCGCCTTTAAAGCGATCGCGGCGGAGTTCGGAGTCCTGGCGGCTTGGTCGCAACGTCCATCCGACTTGATGATGACTATGATGTTGTGGTGGTAGCACCTTCCTATCCATCCATCCATCTGTCTCGAACATAACCCTCCTTCCCAGACCTAACAACCACAACCGCAACCGCTACCAACCGAAGTGGACAGCATTCCAACCCTCGTTCCCACCAAAAATCCATTCCTCGGATACACGATACACACAACCTGAATGTCCAAAAGTCAACAACATCGAACAGCCCAGAATTGGATTACCCATTAATTCTGACCCGTGCCCGACTCGGTTCCTCGACATCGTTGTCCTGAACATCCATCTATCCATTTATTCCTTTGTGTTCGCTTCTTCCCGAATACTCTCTCTATCGACAAAGGTCTATTGCATTTCACCTCAACAATGTCATTCGGCAATAGTGGAGGCGGCACTTTAACGCTACCGAGCCCAACCCACCCTTCTCATATCGATGTACAGGCCACAGTGCGATCACTGAGGCGCTCGATATCGCGCTCCCCTTCCAAGTTCAATCTGTCGCGCACTGCTTCGCAAAGCTCGGATGCATCTGCCAGCTCGACCAATACGCCAAATTCACCATCGCCCGCATCACCTTCCTTGCGCCGAATGGCCTCGCAGCAATTTGGCAACACTTCACCGCGTAACATCCACGCGCCTACATCAAGTTCACTTCTTGCGCAAGCACCACTCGCGACACCCTTCCGACCCAGTGTTAAATTGTCTTTGCGCTCCACTAAATCTACGTCGCGAATCGGCGTGTCGCCGGGAGCCGTCGCACCCAAATCCGCATCCCGAAGTCGCACATCACCCAAGAGCCCACCAAAGCGCGCGCTGAGCAGCGCGTCTTCGTCGTCAGGAAACTCGGTCGCCTCGCCAAATGGTTCGGAAGGGTCTGGCCAAGAGAACCTAAACGTGTTTCGCGCCCGCAGCCCAGTACGCCGAAGGAGCTTCGAGAAAGCCAAAAGTCGACACAGCATGCACCTCGACATGTCTGGCGCATCGCTGCAGGCTATGTCCCGGCTGACTGATACCCCCGCTTTGAACCCAACCGCGAGCCCGCTTAAGCGGAGTGATGCAACAATGAATCTGGACCGGAGGACGAGTCTCGGAAGTCCAAAGGCGAAGCGTAGGAGTTATGGACCTTCTAGTTTTGGGACCGAATTTAGCGTATTCGACAACGGGATGACACCAAGCTTCGACATTCATGATGAGGCCAATCGAGAGTACGACTGGATGGGCTCCGGCATACAGAACATAAATGAGCCGCTTTCATCGCCCACACCGTCAGTGATGCCAAGAAGAGCAGGCTCACTAAGAAAGTCTACTCTGCAACAACGACATTCGGGGGAGCGCACCTCTTGGGGGCGACGCCACGCAGCTCAACAATTATCGCAGATGTCTAATGATGTGTCGACGCCGGTAAAGAATCGACCGCGACTATCGCTGGATCACTACATGCCCCCGCCGCAACGAGACAGCCCGTTCGGTCACCAGGGTCCACTGTTGAATGCATCGGCCCATCCAGTCAACCAACTGGCTCATCAGCCGCATCCGTTGTCGCGGACCATGACGACGTCATCCTCCAACTCCAGCATCCCCGATGAATCGCCCACGCACTTCCCCGTCATCAGTGAAAAGCCTAGAGCCCCGATGAATTGGTCAAAGAGCTTGCCTATCGGTGCAGTGCGACCAACCGCTGAAAACCCGGGCCACAGCATTGGAAGTGTTTCCACACCGGATTATAAGGCAGCAAAGCCGTTTCTGGGCGCATTTGCTTCGACTGGTTTGGTGTCCAAGATGAATCGCAACCCAGAATTGGAGCCAACTGTTCGTGGTGGAGTGGCCGTCCCAGATACGCCGTGCAAGAAGCAAGTAAATGGCTTCGCCACTTATCCACCGCTCCCCGGCAGCGGTGGAAAAGGATCTCGAGGAAGACACAACGTTATCAGGCATACTTTTGGCGCTCCATCAACTCCCTTCAATCCCATGGCTGGTCATGACGTCCAGAACACCTTCGGGGAACATGCAAGCAGGCCGGGGCTTTTTAGTGGATTTGGGTCAAAACATGGTCGTAAGGGTAGCCTCTTGAGCCTGTACAGTGATGATGGCAGAAACTTGGTCGACACCACCGGCGACAGCCTCATGACTTCAGAGGGAGACGCACCGCCGACACCAACGAAACAACAGATCCTCGACCAGGGTTCGGTGAACCTGGAGCATCTTACAAATGACAGCCCTACGGCCAACCGCCACATGCCCGCGCCAATATCAGCGATTGGCGCTAGGTCTTGGCAGAAAGATGCAGCACCAAGCTGTAAGTACACCCCATTTAAGGGGTCCTGCAATGATGGTTCGGGTGAAGATGTCGTTTCTATCGACGTTACTTCAAACTCGCCTACACCTATCGTTCGGGGTCCTGCCCCTCCTATATCCATCTCCCTGCCGTCATTTAGTCGAACGCGGGCTAAGCGTGGTTCCTTCTCCACGCCTACGCCTTTAGCGACGAAGACTATGATGACTATTGCGAATTTTCCCAGAAGAGTTGAGTTTACTAAGACTATGATTCCAGCAAGCCCTTTAGAACGATTGGAATTTGATGAGGTAGCGTCGCCTCACACACCTCAAGAGAGTCCGCCCGCACCTCTTGATGCAAGTCGTTTGTCTATCTCGAATCCAACCGAAATTTTTTTGTTTCCTACGAGCAGTGTGAAGAAGTCGATAAACCCGCCTGCTACACCAACTACACGACATGAAGCGTTTCCACTATTTGGTGACCGCCGTGCCATAACACCCACCAACGGCTTACTACCTCACGAAGTGGATGCGTCGCTCCTTGATAAATTTGCGAAAGTTGAGCATATCGGCCACGGGGAGTTTTCCGAAGTCTATAGAGTTGTGCAGCTGGACAAGGTTGCCCCGAAACAGCACATCTTCTTCAGCACGCCAACACACCGTACACCTCCTTCGCCACCACCGGATAAGGTTTTTGCAGTGAAGAAACTCCGAATGCCCATCAAAGGCGCAGGTGATCGAGCTCTGAGATTACGCGAGGTCGCTGCGTTGGACGCTCTCCGAGGTTCCGAGCACATAGTGCAGCTCATCGATAGCTGGGAAGTCGAAAATAGTCTCTACATACAGACAGAGTACTGCGAAGAAGGGAGCCTGGATGTTTTCCTGTCGGCCGTTGGAGTGAAAGGCAGACTGGACGACTTCAGAATCTGGAAGGTCATGCTCGAGGTCAGCCAGGTGAGTTGGGGACTTCCACAAACTGATTGCTCATATACAAATGGACTAACCGATTGAACAGGGGTTGCAATATATTCATACCGCAGGGTTTGCCCACCTTGACCTAAAGCCCGCCAACATTTTTATCAACTTCGAAGGCACGTTAAAGATCGGAGACTTCGGTATGGCCACAGCATTGCCTGCCGACAAGGGTCCCGACTTTGAAGGCGACCGGGAGTACTTGGCTCCTGAAGTTATTCGTGGAGAAATTGACAGGCCAGCTGACGTCTTTTCTTTGGGGCTCATCATGCTGGAGATTGCAGCCAACGTCAAGCTACCTGAGAACGGAGCGACTTGGACAGCTTTGCGGGAGGGTGATTTCAGAGAGGTGCCCATTTTAACACAGGACGCGGACACAGTTTTGCGGGATGCTACGGGCATGCCGGTTGAAGAGACTGAGCGGAGTGTTGGTGTCATGTCAGACGATGGAGCGTCCAACAAGCACAGTCGCCGCACCTACCCGTTGCGTGGGGCTAATAGACCATCCGGGGACATTTTCGGACTTGCCAGAAAGAGTGAGCTGCTACAGCCTCCCGACTTCATGACAGATGCTGCGAACTCGAATTCCCTCGATACCGTTGTGAAGTGGATGCTTACAGCTGAGACGGTGTATCGGCCAACTATAGCCCAACTTTTGGCACTTGATTCTTTGCACTGGGTCGCTTCGCGTCAACGTGCCGGGGCCACCGTCTTCGAAGGCAACTGGGGACCTTCTGATGAGCAGCTGGAGCCCATCTCGCTCGACACGGAGATGACGGACGTCTAAGCCTTCAGATATGTTGCTCGATCTTGTTGGAACACTGGATATTGCCTAGATGGTTGTGTTTCGCGTTGGTTCTGCGTCGCTGCCAGCCTGGCTGGATATCTGCGGATGCTGGCTGCACGTTCCTGGCCTTCGACACATAACTGGTGATAAATTCTTCATAGGTGGTGGCCCTTCACGTCACCTTTTTCTGGCTGATCATCAACACTGGCATGGTCTCCATTTACCCTAATCATGACTCCCTCCCGCTGCTGCTTGGGTTCACAGCAGGAGTCGCCACCTAACCCCACACACTATTACCTCTCCCCTGGTCTTACCAAGGACTCTTTGGACTGGAAGTCACAGCCATAATGAAGGCGGCTCGTGACGCAGTGGTAGAATATCGACAGCTAAAACATCGCTTGCTTAGTTGGCAGCATAATGGCTTTTGCCCCCGAAGAAAGAAAAAGGTGAAGAGAAAAGAGATCACTGGAAGTATAGGGATTTATCGTCATTGTACAAGAGAAACGAAACATGTAGATATATAGATGATGGACTATAAAACGGCAAAGGAGTTGACCGGTGGACGGCACGGATAGGTAGCCTACTTTGCGGGGGCTCAGACGCAAGAGGTCTACGGCATCTACGTTTTACGAACGTCCCGAGGACGCATGAATGACGATATGATATGAATTTTGTCAAAAGCATATCAAGCCTTCTCAATCTAATGACAGTGAAACGTGTTTGAAGTGATAGACTCTTAGCCGAATGTCAGAACGGGCCGATGTTGTCTCAGAACCACGGGATACACAAGTATACAGTATCCTTTCGCCACGCACAAATCCATCAGACCGGGCCAACAGGACATCTTATGCATTTACGTGCTCTGCAATAATGTCGTCGAGTACCTGGCCCAGGCGTGGTCGATATGGTTAGATTGCCGCCTTCGTCGCCTTCTCCGCGTCAATTTTCCACCTCTCCTTTACCATGCTTGCCACTTGACTGAAAAAATTTACGTGTCCCTCGGTATTGATACATTCCGCTACGGGACTCCATTTCAAGTGATGATGTAACGGAAAGCCAGGTACGGTCGCAAAAGGATGGATGGAACGAGGCAGTTTATGTCATGCCGTTGCCTGGCGCCGTATCGTACGTATGCCAGGGCCTTATTCTCTTTGGGCCTATTAGTCCTGGTACTACGTACTGTTCATTAACGAGCACCACCGCCCAGCGTGAGTTAGATGTTCTTGGGAACAGCGGGCTGCTATGTATTCTCATGCACTCTGGATATTAAACAGGCAGCCAACAGTTATCTATGGGGCTCAGTTCAAATATCCTTTGCTACAGCTCGGATGACAAGGCTGATAGTTCAGGCACTTATTGCGGCCTGGCTAATACTGCAAGAGACCAGATGAAACCTTGTCAAGTTGCTACGCTTGTTCGTTGGAGTTTGGCATCATCTGCCAGAGGCAGCAGGACTAACCGTGAGACGAAGTGGCCATCGTTCCCCGAGAATCACCAGCAACACAGCATTGGGTACGCCCAGGGGTAACAATGCTGAATGACTCGAATTATCATATGCAGCGAAAAAGCGAAGTACACTCCCCGATCAAAACCACGGGCTTCGCCTCGTCCCAGTAGCTCTTTTTGGCTCTGCACTCATCCTGGCTCAGTAGAGCAGCCTCAAGCGGACTCATAATTTTACTGTTTTCCCAAACTAACTCCGTCATCATCATGAGACTTGCCCTACCGAAGCAATGCAAATGAGCCTGTCCGATCCAAGCCAAGCCAAGCCAAGCCGGCCGAACCACTCACCACCGCTCTGATGATGCTGTTCAAAGCCATCTATAATACACATCGTGCTGAACTTCCGGATCATCGCTTCGACCTCTGGCGGTAAATATTTAGGACGCTTCCTACTGTTGCGCGAAGGTTGCATGGGTGCCTCAAGATGGGCGATGAGAAGCGGTCGGGTGATTCTTTGGAAGATGGTTTCGAGGTACCCGCTGACGTCTTCGAATTCTGGAGAATGCCGGCAACGTGAATCTCGAGTGAAGCTTCCTCAGACACAGCCTTCGTCGTGCCCGCCTAGGACTCAGCAACAGACACTGCAGCATCTTCTTCCACCTTGGTCTTCTTGCTCTGCTCGTCGCTCTTAGCTGGCTCTTCTGCTTTGCGCTTGCCGTTGGTCTCAGTGGAGGGTGCTGCATCCAGTTCTGAGTCCAGCTTCTTTTCCTTCTTGCGCACCAGGCCGCTCAAGTCTTTGGCCTTCTGCTTTGCTTCCTCCACACGCGCCTCCTTCTCGGCGGCTGATTCACCCAGTGCTGCTCCCAGGATACCAGCCATGGGGTTATCTTCACCAAGCATGCTATTCACGTCCATAGGTGGCTTCTTGAGATCATTGAGCTGCATACGAGTTAGCTTTACGTATTGCAGACTTGGAGGAGAAAACGGGGAAGGTGTGCAACACAACTCACCCGTTGCTCCATATCCGCAATAATCTCCTTGACTTCGGCAATCTGCTTGCGCGTGATTTCGTTGTCCTCGGGGGCATGAACCGTTGCCAAATCGACCTCCTTGTTCTGCAGCTTGAGTTTTGTGCTGGCAATGGCTTTCTCGAGCTCGGCAGCAGCTTCGTCGCGCATATCTTGGTCGACAGCTTTAGGAGCCTCAGGCTTGCTGTTGTCCTCGGCTGTTGTAGTGACGGATGCAAACTCGAGGGCGAGGGACAGCTTGAAATGCGCCTCTGCAATGATTTCCGACTCTTGGGGGTACAGCTCGAACTTGTACTTCAACGAGGACCGGGAGTCATTGATAGCTAGTGGGTATCTGTGAGGCGTCAGCAGGTGTAGAGTGGACAATGCAATGCGGGCCATGCTTACTTCTCGTTCTCCAACGAGATCTCGGCGAGCAGATCATGCGTGTCGGCAAGTCTTTCCTTGATGTGTCTGACGGTAGGGGCATCACCTTCGGACTTCTCCTTGCCCTTGCCTTCGACATCAGCTGCAATTGCCAGCTCCAGACTCTTCTCGAACAAAACTCGCGAGAGGTCGAGGATTTCGAAGGCGACTGCAAGATCGTCCTCCTCTTCCTCTTTTCCGTCTTCATCCTCGCCAGCATCCTCGTCCGAGTCTTCGAAATCCTCGTCTCCCATGAACTGGAAAAGCGGCTTCTTCTCATCCTCCTTGAGCCCGCTGCCACTTGCATTCATTGCGACAATGGCCACCTTCTCCTCGGCAATCTCATCGGCCTTGGTCTTCTCCTTTTCCGCAGTATATGCGCCTGTCGAAACGGGGGGTATAGTCTTTGCCACAGACTCAGCAGCACCATTGGACTTCTTCTTCTTCTTCTCCTCGCCCGTGGCTTTGCCGCCTAGGACGTCGCTCTTGCTCTGCCCGACCTTGAAGAGGCTTCGGCCATACAGGAACAGGATGTCGGCGTTCTCGGGGCTCATCTCGCCGTTGAACTCGGCCTGCGTTTCAGTAGCCTGCGAAAAGAGCTCGGCGGCTTCTTCATAATTCTTCTGCGCATAAAGTGCTGTGGCCTTTGCCGTCAGGTCGGCAAGTGAGACTTTGATGGACTTCGCGCGCTCCTCAGGATCCATGGGAGGCAATGACGCGGGCGTCGCAGCATTCGAGGCGGCTGCTGAGGGCACGGCTGATAGAGTCGGAGTGCCGGTAGGGGAGGGCTCTGCCATCTTGATGCTCGGTGATGGGACAGAAGGGGACGTGATTGGTTGCGTCGGGCGGATGCGCGCGTGATGTAGAAATGAAAATGTTGAAAATGAACCAGCAGATACAATGATTCTGACTAATCAATTGGTGCCTCTGAAAAGGACTCGATCAAGTTGGATGATGAGTTCTGGGCAGAATTTTGATGATTTAGTGCTTGCGATCGAACGATGCGACAACGAACTAGTTAACGCGAGATGGAAGCAAACGAGCCTTGGAGGTGGAACCGCGTCTTGCTGTTGCCGACTAGGGAAAACGCGGCGTCTGGGGTCGTGGAGCTTGGGCCAGCTTTTAAACCGAGGCAGCAACCTTTCACTGTATGGTGATGCTGTTGGCTAATTTTAGGTGCAACTCCAAGTCCATTGTTTGATTTTAGATGTTGGCCTGCTGGATTTTCTCATCCCCTTTGAAAGTAGTAACTTCGTTGGACTTGGAGTCAAGTTGCCATTTCGAACCACTATTTGCTACAATATTATTGAGTAAGCAACTCTGTACCTGCGCGGTGGGGACACAAATTCCGACCATGAGGATTCACGACAAATACCCTTCCGAACATAGGCCCGACTCCGTAGTGCTCATGATGCCCAGGTAGTCTCTAATTTCCGGGCTCATGTCAATTTTCTCGTGACGCTCATCGTCTTTCCTCCTATCTTCCCTGCAACTCGTGTTTCATCGGAATGTTTGCTCTTCCGTCCTGCGTCAAAAGTGCGGCGGACACCGTTGAGCCCACTGGACTTCATGCTGCTTGACCTTGCCAACTCCGCCCAGACCATGACATAGCAATTACAGACCGGCAACATCGCTCTTTACAACACTATCACTTGTGGCCTTGTCGCTTAGGCGTTGGCCACCTTTGTCGTAGAAGTCCGTGTTTGTGGCAGATACACCGGACCCCAACTCGTTAAACCCGTATGGGGTTTTCCCCCTGAATTCGAGGCCTACCTGCAATGATGACTTGACGCCGTCTTTCAACATCTACAGAGACAGAGTGAACAGAGCTATGTAGACAGCGACGATGGGAAGACTTGGTTCCGGTCGATGGTTTTCAGGGCTTGGCCTTTGTTGGCTAGTTAGCCAGTGATAGGCCGACGACTACTAGTGCTGCATCTGTATCTTTTTCCGCGACTAGAACATCCTCAGTTACTTCAAGCTTGGCCCGTAGAGGGACTACGAGCGTGGCAGCAATAACTGCACAGACTGCCTCAAGGCCAGCACTTGCATCTGTTACCATGACAGCCGTGGTAAGCTCAAGCGCTGCCATTGCTTCACCCGCCACCTCGACTCGTGTAGCTCGCTTCACCAGTTGTAAATATAGCTTTGGTTTCAGGGGTAGTAGCCCTAACAGGCTGGCCATGACGAGGTACTTTACTTTGCCGAACGGTCGATAGGTGAAAAGAGCCTACCCGGCTTACTATGTACAACACGGTTGGGCCTATCAAGTCGGTAACCTCTAGAGATGAGACGAAGTGCCATAATACAGCTTTGCACCAAGTCAGACTGTCATCATTAGGGGTCGGGCAGAGCTTGCAGTAAACCCCAGATAAAAAGCCACCAAGGAAGAGTAGCCTCAACCAAGTCAGACAATTGGATTGTGTATACTCCCTGAAACACGAATCGGACTTGATTAACCGGCCGATGCTCCAAGCCCTGTAATAAAGCCTGTAAGGAAGGAACCCTCAACTTTCGACCGTATTTTGTAGGGCTGACAACCTTCGTCGAGTCGTTGCTATTTTGGCCTTGGATGTATGGCAGTATATGGCAGTAAAACGTGTTCAGCCCCACTATCGAAGGTTTGGTTAGACGGTCTCAGTCATGGCCTGGTGCTATCGGTTGCTTTATTGAACCTCGCGTCGACTAACAACTTCGCGCCCGGCAGCCAAGCTTTCAGAAAAGTAGGAGTCCCTGGGGCTGCTTTAATCAATGCCATTCCTGTACTCGCATCCAGGTCAACAGTAATATCGTCCATAAATTTGACAACTAATCTCGACTGACCATAGGCAAGCAAGATCAGACGCCTGGCAAACTTAAATGGTGACCGTGTCAATGGGCCACCACACTACTTGTGACCCTAAACGAATAGCGAATATATCAACCCCCACAGCACGTACGTACCCTGGGGCAATTCTCAGAAAGGGCTACCATATTCCGTCAACATCAACCTAGGACACTGGAGCATATCAAGTCACATTCAACACCTCGGACACGTTGCCAAAGACAAAGGACAACTCAATCATCTTAGACAATGTCAGAGGAGGTTGTATTCGATGCAACCAATCTCGTTCGAAGCTCAGGGTTTCTGCTGCAAGATGAAAGTTTGGCCGGTACGTTCCTGGTGGTCGCCGACAACCCGGTAACGGGGGCTTTCCGGGACCTGCCACACTGCCTGAGGTGGGGATCCTAGCCACAACCAGCAACTCTATTACCCCTGTCAAACCGAAGCCTCAGGTCTTTCAGCTGATCTCAATATGGCATTCCTGGGCTTCATCACTTACCATCGTCAATTGTGCAAGGCGGCCCGGACAACAATTTATCGCGATGGTATAAGTAACCAGCGTTAGCAGCTGGTCCTTGCGTGCGCCGAATGAAATTGTTTCATCCTTCAGAACTCTGCGCCGTCAAAGGGTTTGTGTCGCGTACAGATGGCAGCATCGACCAATCTTTGGGGTTAGGGTGAGATGGCGGCAGTAGCACAGGCCGAGAACGGGGTACACATGTGTAGCGGCTGGCTTCCACTTCTGGATTTCTGTAACCTCTCAAGCTGCGACTGCTTCCCGATTGAGATTTGTCAAAGTTGTCTCAGGGTCTTGTAGCAGTCTGATCGAATTGGATCGGCCTCGACGTATCTAACGGGAAATTGATCCAGCCCCACCCTCCGTCGATCCCGCGCCCCTTGAAAGTGGAAAGAGGGGACCTTCTCAACCTGCCGGCAAATACATCATAGTGGGTCCCCCGTTTTCTTCTAGAGTGTATCTTTGCAGGGAACGGCCGGGAGGTTTAGTTGCTTGTTTTTGATTCGGGCAGGCGCTTGGCAGACGTGGCTTGCTCATTGAACGAGTGAAGAAAGAGCGACCCTACCATGTCCCAAACTGCTGTTGCTGGAGTCACCTTTTGGAGCGTCCAGCTAAAGGAGCCAACAGCCACCGGCCACAGCGTCCGCATCTGAAAGCTGGTTTTGCACATTGATCATTGATCAGCATCCTGGACAACGGCATAATAATAAAACCAGCGTCTCCTATCCACAGTGATGGTATGACACAGTTATAGTGCTTTCCCCGCAACTCTTGACAAGCTCCCCCTCCCAGTCTGCTGCGGCAAGGTTGGGTATCCATTTCATATGGACTTGGCCGAGTGGTACGGGTCGGTCTCTCGTTGAATATTCTGTGCAACTGCACGTTTCCTTTCGTTTACTCTTACTTTCGCCGTCCCTCCCTAATTTTGCTCTGTCTTTTCCTCATTGCCGTTTTTGACGCGTTTCTTTCCCCTTGGATGCCCAGCTTGCCATCGAGCTCCCAACAACGGGCTCCACGACGACAAGTTCGGCGCCTGCGGCCATGATCGTAACTCCGTACTCATCTTCGCGCCGGCTCCGGCTTTTTGGTGGCATCATCGTCCTTGCGCTGCTTGCGACGTACGTCCACATCCGCCCGTCATGGAGTCAAAGACCCTTCCGATACGCCCTCGGCTACTACGACACCGTCTCGAGCTACTTCCACTTCCCCATCATCAACAACACTTTGTACCAGCAGGGGAACGAGGGACTGGTGTCCCAGTACCACAACTTTAGCGAGCCATGCACCGGTTTTCCCGATACCGACGGCATCCTGCTCGTCATGAAGACAGGAGCAACTGAAGCCTTCGAAAGACTGCCTACCCAGCTGCTCACGACGCTGCAATGCCTGCCCGACTTCCTTCTCTTCTCCGACATGGTACGAATTCCGTCCACTCGAGCCGCGGTGGGAGTTTACAGACTAACATGAATTCAGGAGCAACAAATAGGCAAACACCATATATACGACGTGCTCGCAGACGTGGAAGAGACGGCCAAAGCGCATAACGAAGACTTTGACCTGTACCGAGAACAGAAAGAATGCCCCGTCTCCCAAAAGTCATGTGTCGACGCTCGATCCGAAGGCCACAAGGCCTGGAACCTTGATAAATACAAGTTCCTCCCCATGATGGAGAAGACGTGGCGGATGCGCCCGGGGCGCGATTGGTATATTTTCGCTGAGGCCGACACGTACGTCTTCTTCGCCAACATGGTGCAGTGGTTGCGTGAGCAGCGCCACTTTAGTCCCAAAGAGAAAATATACCTGGGCAGTCGGAGTTTTATAGGGGGCACTCCATTTGGCCACGGGGGATCGGGTTACGTCATGAGCGGCGCGCTACTATGCCATCTGATCGAAGACCACCCAGGCATCATAAAGCAGTATAACGTGAAGGGCGCGAATGAATGCTGCGGCGACTTGATGCTCGCTATGGCCATTGAAGAGTACGAGGGCATCAAGATAAACCAGGCGTGGCCTATGTTCAATGGCGAAAAGCCGAGTACGCTGCCGTTCGGGCCTGGTCACTGGTGCGAGCCGATCTTGACTATGCATCATATGAATGCCGAAGAGATCAGCAGCGTCTGGCAATTTGAGCAAACCCGGAAAACCGATGTAAGTCGTTCTCCCAATCGTTGTTCTCCGTTACAAATCAGGAACTGTTGGTTGCAGTGGATGCGACTTCCTCAATGGATCCTGCAGGATGTCATCCCTTATTTGCATGCGAGAGTGGGGAACATTCCATCGCTTACCAAAAAGCGGCTTAGACGAGGCGCAGGAACCTCATGCTAACTTCATAAACAGCGTACCTTGCTTATTAAAGACCTCTACCATGGCCTTGTCGCTCCCAAGATGCATGTTTCACGTGAAGATTGGGACAACCTGTCGGATGACGTCTGCTACATCAACCCAAACCCTGAGGTACAGCAACGTGCCGACGGCCACCTCCGAGACCGCCAGAAGAAGCCCGAGGATATGAACGAAGTCGAGAAAAATGCGTGGCGGTCGCCTGCGCATTGCTCGAAAGTATGCCAGAATGAAGATGTCCCGGACGAGGACGAGTATGAGCGCCTCCAGCATGTAGTGCCACGGAAGGATGACCTCCAGGACTCGGCTAGCGCGGATGACACGGAGAAGGCCGAAGACACAGGTCCAAGTGACGAGGCGGCGCGCGATGCTTGGCATAAGAACATGCGAGAACGCAAGAGAAACCGGACATGCTTCCAGTACCGATGGCACGATGAACAGTGCTGCACCGCAAGAAGCTTCAAACTCGGCGCACCTAAGACGCGACCTACTGATGGAAACACCAGCGCTAAATGGGCCAGCGGGTGGGATCTTAAGGGCATAAAAGACTGGATTGACGCAACGGGCGAATGCACAGAACCAGCGTGGAAGAAGGACTTCAGTTGAGTCCCCGTGCATTTACAGCGAGCGGTTAGATCGTGAGACCTAGACACTGGAAAGAAACACAAGGTATGGCGTCGAAGCGGTAGGATGGACGTGGAAAACGTCGGGTATGACAAACCAGCTAACAGGTTGATTTCGGCATTCAGCTGTGTGTATTCTAATCTGTGGGCATTATAATGACGGAACATAGCATGGCGTTTCGGTGTCAGATAGTTTAGGCGTCACTACCACTTAAACGCGATGTAAAGAGCTGAAAAATAAAATACTACTTCTTCCGCAGACCATAACTCACCATTCAACGCTGAAAATTACAAGACACAGCGCAGAACTCCCATATCACAATACTTTCCTATATTCACTGAAGCAACCCTCTTGATCCTTCAGGGTGATCAAATGACGCGTACATGGGCTCTGAACTCAAGAAAGGTGTCCCGAGTCCTTAGATCATCCCAGTCTAGCCATGAACTTGTACATGCAAGAGCAACCGAAGGGAGCCGTGTTTATCTGCCAGCATAATTGTTTGCTGCCATTGACATTAATTCCTAGACGCCGTTAAGAAATCTACGATAGCTACTAGTATTCCTGAAGCGCAGGGTAGATTCTATTATCGACCTTACCTTTTAGAGATTACGCAACTCCTAAGGTTATCTAGCTTTCTAGAGCATATCCTGAATTGTTCGTTCGTTCGTGATATCTCGTCCTAGAGTCGTAACCTATCCTTCTTTTTCGAGTTATCGTTTGGTCTGTACTTAGGCGTATAGATTCTTGTCTAATAGTCGCGTAAGCTCCTGATATTGTAGGACTCCGTATTATCGTGCTATCTTAGCTCTTTATCCTTGGATACGCTTTCGTCGCTGTCCTTAAAGCTAGTAGGTACCTAGATCGTAGGTATAAGCAAATAATCCGTTACTCTAGCTATATAACGTAGTCCACGGTCCAATTGCACACTTCGGCAGATTTTCGTACGCTACCACTTTGACCTGCGGTTTTTCACCACATAACTATGGTTGGTTCTTGGAACGAAAGTGATATAATTCTAGCATTACATGCGCTTCAATCTGATTCAAAATTAAGTGTACGTCGCGCTGGTCAGATCTATAACGTACCTTTTAGAACCCTTGCGTATCGACGCGACGGTAAAACCGCTCGAGCGATTACGCGATCGCCAACGCAAAAGTTGACTCCTTCCGAAGAAGAGGCAATCGTACGACATATAACCGACCTAGATTCGCGAGCATTTCCTCCCCGATTGAGTGGTGTTGAAGATATGGCCAACCGATTACTTCGAAGTCGTGACGCGGGACGCGTCGGCGTCAACTGGGCCTCGAGCTTCGTAAGACGACAACCAGACCTCCGGACGCGTTTAAATCGAAGGATCGACTATCAGAGAGTCCTCTGCGAAGACCCCGACGCGTATCGCGCGTGGTTTGACCTGGTACGGAATACAATTGCGAAATACGCGATCCAGGAGGAGGATATCTACAACTTCGACGAGACCGGTTTTGTGATGGGCCAAATCTCGTCCGAAATGGTCGTGACGACTTCTGATCGGCGCGGAAGGCCTAGAGCAGCCCAGCAAGAAAATCGAGAATGGGATACAGTTATTCAAGGCGTTGGGTCGTCCGGTTATGCCCTCCCTCCGTACATCATTTTCGCCGGCAAAACCCACCTCTCGTCATGGTACGAAAACAGCCCATTACCGCCTGATTGGGTTATCGCAGTTACTAAAAATGGCTGGACTACGAACGAGAGAGGCGAAGATTGGATAAAACACTTCGATCATCACACCAAGTCTCGTACGAAAGGTACTCATCGCCTATTGATCCTCGACGGTCACGAAAGCCATCACTCGACCGATTTCGAGGTATATTGCAAAGCTAACAATATCGTCACGCTTTGTATCCCTCCTCATTCGTCGCATAAGCTCCAGCCTCTTGATGTTGGTTGTTTTCGCGGGTTAAAAAGAGTGTACGGAAAAGAAATCGAAGATCTCATGCGAGCACATATAAGTCATATCTCGAAAGAAGACTTTTTACCGGCGTTTTTAAACGCGTACAACGCAACTTTCACGGTTTCAAATATGCAAGGAGGTTTCAGAGGGGTAGGAATAGTTCCGTACGATGCAGATTATGTCATATCACAGCTCGATGTGAAATTACATACGCCAACACCTCCGGGTAGCTCGGCTGGTCTCCCCGTCCCTTGGGAATCAAAGACTCCGAACAACCCAACCGAAGCCCAATCACAAAGCGATTATGTGAAAAATAGGATTGTACGACATCAAAATAGCTCACCAACGTCAATTTTTGCTGGAATAGATCAGATTGCGCGAGGTACAACGAAGGTTATGCATCGGCTTGCCCTTTTAGAAGGCGAGGTCGAATGACTTCGAAAGGCAAATGAGACCTTAAGTCGACGTCGCCGTGCGAAGAAAAAACAGCTACAGAGTGGAGGGTCACTTCGTATACAAGCTGGACAGGACCTACAGTCTCAACGAGAGGTTGATGGGCAGTTACATGACGAATTTCGTCAAATTGGTGGTCGTACGAGGCGGCGAATTGCGCGTGTACGGCGCTGTAGAATCTGCGGCGAGCCCGGACATAATGCGCGCACTTGTGGAAATGATGTAGAGACGTCTGAAGATAACGATTCTGAGTAGTTTCAATTGATGATAGGCGTTGTGGTTGAATTAACTTATACATTGTCGTATAAGGTCTGCCAAAGTGTGCAATTGGACCGTGGACTACGTTACTCAACTAATTATAATACGCTAGTACTCGGCCGCCTCTTCCCTTCCGGGCTTCTTCACAGTTTCTTCTCTGTTTCCGTTTACTGAAACTTCTATAAAAGTATACTATAAACGCGTATATTTTAGAGACGGTTACTACTCGGTTTCTTATAATAGCTATCCTCCGTACCCGACTTATTCTCAATTTTCTTTTATAATTCGCTATAGAAGTAGAAAGAGAGTTAGCCTTAGTTCGTTATAGTTCCTTACTCTTTAAGGAGGTAATGTAAGTATAAACATCTCTAGGATATTATTTCTTACGTTATCTACTATTATATAGAATCACTATAACGTAGTCCACAAGCGAACGGGTCACCCAACCGAACGGGTCACGCCAACTAGCAAAACATGGAATTCAACACGATTTCGCAAACACAACGCCGTAAATCAATTAAAACTACTCAGAATACTCTTGCCCAGATGATTCTATCTCTACCTGACAGGTTCGCGCATTATGCCCGGTCTTCCCGCATACGCCACAGCGCCGTTGCCGTGGCTGGCCACGATTTGATCCAGCGCTATTTCCACGCATTTCCTGCTGTACTTGCTGCGCAACGTCCTTTTGATCTTGAAGATCTTGTACGTCTTGTGAATTAAGTGATCCTCCAAGCCGTACTCGTGTTTTTTGGCCCTGCGCCGCTTGCTAATTAGAGCATTTGCCTCTCGAAGTTCGGCGACCTCAGCTTGGAGTAAAGCCATCTTATGCATAATACTCCGCGCTCCTTTCGAAAACTGATCGATAGCATCGTAAATTGACGTCGGGGAGCTATTTTCATGCCTGGAAATTCGAGATTTAATAAATTCGGATTGCGAAGTAGCCTCGGTTAGGTTGTTTGGCGTCGGAGAAGCCCAAGGAAGGGTTTCCCGCGTAGGGGGCCAGGACGTTGGAGTCTGTAATTTCACATCCAGCTTCTCAATAACAATATCTAGGCTTAAAGGCAGAAGCCCATCCCCTTGAAAGCCTGCACGAATATTGCTTTCGGTCAGACTCTTCTTGAACGCGTCGCAAAATGCCGGAAGAAAGTCCTCCTTTGTGATATGCGAAATCCGGGCTCGGACGAGCTTCTCAATTTGCGAGCCGTAGGCCTTTTTTAACGGCACAAAACATGCCACATCTAGTGGCTGGAGGATATGAGAAGAGTAGGCAGGCATACAAAGTGTAATAATCTTGTTCTCTTTGCAATATTGCTCAAAGGCGTCGGAATGGTGGCTTTCGTGGCCGTCCAGGATAAGAAGGCGATATACACCCGATTCCCGGCCTTTGGTGTATTTGTCAAAGTGTTTTAGCCAATCTGCGGTCAATTTGTTCGTAGTCCAACCATTTGGGCTCACGGCGATCCTCCAGTCCTTCGGCAACGCGTCGTTTTCGTACCAGGAAGAGAGGTGGTATTGGCCCTTGACAATGATGTATGGCGGGACCGTCCAGCCTTGGGAATTGACGCCCTGGATCACCGTAGCCCATTCCCGATTGCCAGGCTGGGCTAGCTTAGGCTTGCCTTTCCTTTCAGAGCTCGTAACAACTATCGATGCGGTAATCTGACCTATCATAAAGCCGGTTTCGTCGAAATTGTAGATGTCGGCATCGGCGATCCCATATTTCGCAATTGTATTGCGCACAAGGTCAAACCAGCCTTGAATAAGCTCTGGATCTTCGCATAAGGCCCGAGAATAGTCGTATTTACGGCTGAATACCGTCTTGAGCTGTGGTTGTCGCTTAACGAAGTTGGAGGCCTAGTTCTTGCCGACGCGTAACGCGTCGCGGTCGCGTAGTAGTCGGTTTGCCATATCTTCAACAGCATTTAGCCGGGGAGGAAATGCTTGCCAATCTAGCTCAATTATCCTTTGAATAATCGTATTTTCTTCTAGTTTTGTTAAATTCCGACCGTTGGCTTCGATATTGCGATGTGATTGACGTTTTTGAAGACGCGCCTGGAGAGTAGTATTCGAGACTTTGTAGATTGTTGCAGCACGTCGAATACTAAGTGTTGAGTCATTTATGATAGCCTGAGTTGCAAGGAGTAATTGAGATTCTTTTTGAGCAGAATCCATCGAGAATTAGTTGCGTGGTAGTTAGGAAGTTTAGTTCTATTTTTTGCTATGGGCGTGACCCGTTCGCTTGTGGACTACGTTAATACTAGCTTCAATAATACCGAGAGTTTTTGATGCGAGTGTATATGTTTTGAAGTTGTATGAACTGGGAAGGGTTAGATCGCTTTAATATCACTATACTCGAGTAATGTCGTATTGCTACTACTATAAGAATAAACTTAGACAAGAATAGTGTTCGTAGCCGGGTATTCCCGGCAGATGAGATTCATACTCTATTTCTCTACAGAAGCTATATTCTCCATACTACTCCTTATTGAAAGGCGTCTAAAGAGGTTAGCGGATATAACCAAGGGGTAGTTATCGATATCTCGCTAATAATCACACATTATATAGCGCTGATAAGCTCCATAAGGACCCCGAGACGTCGAGAGATCTTAGAGGTCATGTTGTAGGTGTGAAAACTTGGCAGGCAAGGTCCTGTGTCTTGTATACCTATCAAGCATGAATACTATAAGTGTTTGTTCGAAGGCATACCACCCTAGTGATATAAATAACTTGAATTCGATTTCTCTATCTATAAACAAATGCACTTTCAGAGTCTTTGTGTCTTTCATTACAACTATAACTCCTACTCAACACTTTCGTGTGGTGAGTGCTCTCGGGATCGTATACACCACCTCAAAAACGGCGAGGCTCTCGTTCAGGGGAAGGACGCCGCTCTCGATCTTCCCACAACAGCTGAGTCTGTCTTTCGCATCAGCATTAAATTTCATGCTTCCATTTTAATAGGGATACTGCGATTTTCTTACGGTAGAGTGGCTCAAATATTACGTTTCTGCCGGCTTTGATGCTCAAGTCATATATCAGGTCAGATATCAAGTGCCAGTTGTGATGCTTTGGAGACAAAGCTGTTCATTTTCGTCAACACCACAGCATCTAGATCAGCCCTTAAACCGCCAGGGTAGTAATAAACTTTGCCGTTATTTTCTCTATTGCTTTCACGTTTGTTTCTTTCTTCGAAAGTCCGGAAGATGTGTTCTAGATTTTGCAGATATCATCTGTGTTGCGATCGTAAGCTCTTCATTCTGAAAAAGTTGGGTACAAACAGGATGAGTGAATTTTGGGCCAACTTTTTGTGTAAGAAGTTGTTAGTGCGGGAACAAGCCTGGATATTTTCTGTGAGGCCGAAGGTTTCCTTTTTCCTTTTGTCCTCTTTGCATCACATGCCAGCGTACCATTTCTTTGTGCTCCATAGCCTATATCGTATGAGTATTTGTGACCATTCCGAGTTGATGCTCTACGGGCTTTTCATCTCCTGAGAAGTTTCTTATCCCATTCCTGTTGTAGTGGAGTGACGTGCTTTGGTGTAACATGATTGACTATTGAAATTTAAATGAAAGTAATCTTATAATTGGGGCAATGAGGTTGTCGGTAATATGAATAATGCCTATGAAGAGTAGAAGTGATTTATTGATGACAACTCGAGTTACAATAACCCGCGTTCTACCAGTGTCGGGTAATAGCTCTTGTTTCCGTTTCATAAGTTCCCCTCTCCTGCTGATTCACCGACCCACGCTATCTGGTCGATATCTCAGCACTTTCTCTTCTCTCTTCCTATATATAGCCAAGCACACCGGACAGGGGTGATAGAGGTGGAGATTCCAGGTCCTATAAGAGAAAGCAATGTTAGATGGTCATGCTTGTATACTTAAAACAAGGATATGTTAAAGTAGTCTAGAGAAGCGAGTCGAGCTCAAATAATTCAAACTATACTGCGATCCTCTGCATTCAGTGTCTTGCCAAGCCAAAGAACTCTACGAACGACAAACTTTGCCACATCAGGCCATGGGCTAACACCACTCCTCTGAAGGAAGTCACTCGTCACAATGGTAGATTTCTTGAATAAGGATAATTGTAAACTTACGCTGATTAGTGTTATTAGCCATCGCTATCATCCAAAGCTCAGCCTTCCCGCGGCGACGTGGGTGATATATTCACAGTGTCGACTCGATTAGGACCCTTGATCTCAGGGATAAATACTAAAAACATGCATCATGATTAGTTGCAGACAGGCATAGCACGTTGCTTTTGGGAGAACAAACTCACCTCGCTGAGCAAATACCCCCTCCGCCAAACTCCCACCTAAATAGGGCCTCAAAACCTCCACCCTTGCCGAAGGCGGCTGTCCGGTCTCAACAAACAATGCCTTAGGAATCTCCGTCTCCGCCCTCCTCAACTGCATCTCGCTCTCCCTCCGAAAAGCATCCTGTGCCTTAACATGCTCCAGCCGAGCCGAGTACCACCACGATCCGAGCACAATAATGGTAAGCAGTACTGTGACGACCCAGTACAGCCAGACCCAACTCGACACATGATCTCCCCCTGAGGGCTGGAAGTTGAAAAACGACGCCGAGAAGAAGGTGGCGGTAAAGGTGGCAGGCAGGAAAATGAGCGTCACGGCGGCAATGATGCGCATATCGATGCTGTCTTTCCGCGACATGGCGGCCAGCTTTTGCGTCGCCTCGGCGAGAACAAAGTGGCTTCGGCTGTCGCGCTGGCTTATGAGGGTGTAGATGGTCTGAACCTGGCCTTGTGCCGAGGATTTTGTGTAGATGATCTTGGACTCAACGCCGTGAAGGACGCTGCGGAAGAAACTCAGGCGCTGTTGGACATGCCGGCTAGGGTGTTGGGAGTTGTCAGGATCCCACTGGTCCTTGAAAGAGGAGATGGCATCAATGAAGTTGGCCTGCATCTGGCAAACGGCAGATATGCCGGCGCAGGCGTCGGACAGTCCAGTGAGCTTTTGCATGAGGACATCGAGATCCAAGTCGTTCCGGTCGTCCCACTGGCCTTTGAAACTTGCGCGCTGGAACCCGTGTAGCCCGGTTTCATAACATATCTGAAGCAAGCTCTTCCGCCGCCCTTCGGCGTCTTGGCAGAGGGAATCTAGAGCTATGTCCATGAAAATGCACGGCAGCATGGCCGGGCATTCCAACAGCCTTGCAGCTTTTCGGATGGAAAGCAGCACTTCCTCGGCTTCGCTGGAACGCAGCCCAATCACAATGCCCGTGGTTGACTTTGTTTTGGGATCATGGACCATGGCAAGCGCATATTGCCAAGTCCAGCTCAAGTTGGTGCGAAGAACCATCCCGTACCTGCCCGTATCGTCGAGGCTGTCGAACGGGGTCGCAACGGGAACGTGACGGCAGACAGCCCTTGGGAATAGCGAAGGGACCCCGAGGAGATGGAGCACATCCTGCAAGGTATCACTTGCTAGAGGAATCGGCCAGATATTCTGGTCGAGCGTCCTGGGGCTGCATACCAATAATCGAAACCATGGTGGCGGTGTCGATGTCTCCATCCTGGGGCTTTGCCCGTTACGCAGCCATGAGGAGATTTGTCTCTCCGACAGCACCCTCTCCTTGAACTGGGACCCTTCATCGCCGACTGCGTGATACATCTCAAATGCGCGATGGCCGTCAGCCGGCGCAAATAGTGTCCGATCTCGGAGTAAGTCAGCATACACAACTTCGTCCATTTTGACGCATCGAATGTAATCAGAATTAATCGCTTGGATGCCTCTCGCTTGAAGAAGGATACATTGTTGAGCCGAAAGATTCGAGGTCAGCAGATGTGCCTCGATCAGGAGTCAGCCTCATCGGCCTCGGCCTCTTTTCCCGATTGAGCGACGAGCTGAGTATGAGCGCATATATGTCTTTGGGCTGCTAGTAAAGAGACCAATGAGAATTCGTAAAAAAGACGTAAGAAATCCACCAACCAACTAACCAATCGTGCACTTATATCGTCCTATTGGTTTTAATCACATGTACCACCACTTAGTCTTACGGAGTCAGCCGTCCTGCGTCTACTACAGTAACGTATCTATCTGAGTGCAACCCTGGCAGAATACTTGTTTAATGACGCCGTGTAATCGGAAGAGCATGCCATACCGCTCCGAAAGAGGTTGTTATTTCACGATAGCAAGACTCCTCTCCTTTGTCGCCTTGTCAATTCTCGACGGCAAGCTCGTTGATGGGGACGAAATCTTTGTAGAGTCAGGAAAGTGTATTAAAGCTCAAGGCTCAGGTGGCTAGAAAGAAACGTCCAGAGCCTGGCTCGCTCGGCCGCATACCAGAGAATTCCCGAAGCCAACGCAAGAACCTCGGATGGAGTTGCTTCACTCGGCGCTAATCGCCGTGACACTGTAGACTTATTCCCTGACGATACAGCAAAGAGGTTGAGAAGGCCGGAGGATAGTTATGGTGGATGCGCAGCCTGCCTTGAAGGTCGGTGTGCTTCACAGGTTGAGCCTAGTTGGGACTTCTAGGTTAGATGGTTGATGAGGTTCTCCCCCTCATAGGTCAGCGACTCTGACAAACAACAAAACATCGCGTTATACATACATTGGTCCCAAGACTTGAATACGAATAACTGTCGGAAATCCAAGTATTAGGGGCTGTATTGGTACTATGAAGGTGCGTGAGGGACCAATCCCAAGTTGGCCCTGAAGGGTCTCTAAATACTCCAACGCGCGCCTTTCGATGGGTCTTTCTTAGTACCGGCGTTGTGATAACAGCATCGTTCGAAGCCAAAGACATTTGCTCCATAGACTCGGAGATGGTGCTGTTAGCCTCTGCCAGGTTCGTGTGGCTCTCAAATGTTATTGTTTCCTGTAGGCCAAGTCTGCTTCGCGTAGGTAGTTGGTTGTATACCTGCCCAACCAGCCTCCGTGCCATATTTTCGACAGTCTTGTGCTCAAAATGACGGAGCCCCATCTCGCTACTGATTGGCGTGATGTAGCGCTTGACATAACTCAACTCGGTAGAAGACGGAGGTACGGCATTGGAAGGGAAATCGCTGTCAATCAAGAGCTTGTCCCATATTTCGTTTTGATCCCTGGTAAAGTCTTCCCATTGGAGGATTCGTTGAGGATAAACCCGGCCCGTCGGGTTGGTTGTAGAACCTTGTGTGGTCAACGAGCAGTCAGTCACCACCTCGAGCGCAAGATTGAGCGGGTGGCAGGCTTCGCAATATTGTTCAAGGCTTTGTAGTTGTGATGCTTATGAAATATCTTCAGCCTGTTTGCGTCGGCGTTGCTCATCCAATACACGTGCCTCGTCTGCTTCAATCGGCGCTGCTCTTCTTCAATTTAGGGGGTCTCGTTCCAGAAGTTGCCGTCTTAACTGTGCGATTTCTTCCTCCATTGTAGGTCAGTGAAGTAGCAGGATGTGGCCGTCCTCTAAATCTCTAGTATCTCGGACTGCAGCTTCTCTCTTATTACAGGTCTTTAATACGGCTCGTCGTCTACTCCGTTCTAACTGTAGAAGAACGCTATCGTCGAACTTCTGACACTTATTTTAGTAATCACTTCCGACGACTTAGGCTTTAACCGCGTTAGACTGCTTTTAGATATAGTCCTTACTAACAAACCCGACCAAGCGATCTAGGATCAAGCCTATAATACTATCGCCGAAACCACCCTACCTCCCTGACCAGTCGCTCCTTTCGTCTAACAAACACCCTAGCTTTATATTATTAGCAGTTTTATAAATCCCTCTAAATACCGCAAATCCATAGATCGTGCATTAAGTATGAACTTGGCGTTATATACATTGATATTTCTCGGAGGCTTAGTAGAGCTTAAGATAGCATCCAAGGCCATTTTAAATAGGTATACCGGAGGAGCTAGTCCACTTTTATGTAAAGGGTAGGACAGATAGTTAGAAGATACAAATAAGAAGAGCTTTCTAAGCTAGTTCGCAGAAGTTACCGAGAAGCTAGGTATATTCGTGGCGGAATATAAATTAAACCCAATATTTTAACGAAGACTATTAATATAGCGAAATGAGCCGATTTAGGATTCTATAGCGCAGCGTAAACTGGACTTGAGCTTCGTGAACAACCCTAAAGCTAGAAAGGACTCTAGATACTACTAGTTGTAGATCCTTATACCTAGAGAGCTTAAGAATAGCCTACTAGCTGAAGATACCGGTCGATTGATTCTAGGTTGCACGGTTTGTGGATCTATGATACAGATGTAGGAATCTAACCGACTATGGGGAGCTGTATCGGAACCCTTTAATATTAACAAATATAGCGGGCAGTTTGTCTCTACGGTCTTTAGCTTTCTCTAGAGAAACGAGGAGGAGCTCGCTTTCAACCGTAGATCGAGGTAGCAGATAACTGGCTCTTTATCGAGATTAAAAGGGACGGCCGGAAAGAACGTTTTGTCCTTAACAAGTTAATGATAGGGCAAGGTGTATATTAGGTCGGGTAACGACAATTTAAAACGCCCACCTCGAGGGAGAACAGGTGATAAGTCGCGAAAGGGTTGCAGTAGCAGAAATACTAGCCAGAAGCAGCTATCCAGCCAAATACTATTCAGCATCTCCTACCAAACTAGACAATCATTCACTCCCGAATCGGGTACGTCGCCGCGTCATGTTTCGCGAATATAGCGAGCCTATCTTCCAGGCAAGCTCCCGAGCAGCTCTACTTACCGCTCAGAGGGCTATATTACAGGACATAAATCTCTTCACAGAGTCGGCTTTCTCCACCGAGATATCTTAATTAACAATCTTATGATTAATGAAACGAGGCAAATCCTTCTTAGCCTTCGTTCTTAACCGACTTGGATCTTGCTATTAAAGTGCAGCGAGACGGCGCCTCGAGAGTAATAGGGGTAACTAGCATGAGGGCATTTATAGCCATTAGGGCGCTTCTAGGCGAGCTGCATTATTTTTTTTTACATAACCTCGAATCCCTCTAGGTTCTCTTCTGGACCTGTGTCCATACCACAGGCCAAACAAGAGCAGAGTCGTTCAGCGGTCTGAGAAGGAGAATTACATGGATACGGAGGAAGCAGAAGAGAAATGCGATGAGTTCAAGGGAGCAAGACGCAAGCTATGAAGCTCAATCACTGGGGATCTGAGGTAGTTAATGGCCAGGGTGACGGCACTGCTCTCGAGAAGAAGGCAGACCGTGATAATACTACAAGTGCTGAAAAGAGTCATGTACGTATTAAGCCATGGCTCCAAGTCAAAATAATAGGCAATATACGAGTAGAGCCAGGGCTTCAAACGGTACTTCTAACTGCCGACTCATACTATATGCCCCCGTCCAACATTTTCCCAGGCACGTCCAAAGGTAGATACTGTATTAGGGCTCATATCCATCAGAGTCAATCGCAGCCACAAAGTAACCTCAGTAGACATGATTGGTCCGGTCTGGCATTATGGCTCTTTTAACAGTGGCCAATCATGATCAACATATCAACTCCGGCTACCGACTCAAATGTCCATCCGAGCAATCTCATCCGCCAATTGCACTCTCTGAGCAGGCGCATGGTTGCTCCCACCCACAGCGGCTCCACACTCTAGGCATCTTACCATCTATATCAGCGTTCCACATTCGCCAACCGTGAGAGGATGATCATTCTCACAGGTGTACTAATAGCCAGTTCCAGAGCATTCGCGCGACAGGGCCTAATAGACCGACGCGTATATGAACCACTTTATGTAGGTTCTGTCTGAATACGACGAATATTTTAATTCAGCGATTATAACTATTATATATACGGTTAATATCAACTCTAATACTCATATTCGGTACGTAAGTTAATATATTATACGCCAGTACCTTACTTACTGGCTGCGTTACCAAAGTAGGTATGTGTCTGTATTATTAGAAGCGGCCTAGCTACCGTGCTTTTCGAAGTTATGAAGTCACTCTATTACCATTGCACCGTATCGTATCGTTTTCTTTGATAAGTAACCATGAAAAACAATTTAACCGCGGTATCCCTCCGAATTCCTTTATGGTTATCCGTCCACAGTGCTTCTGCCATACCAGCAGCGTAGCGCCAATAGCTCCAGGATATAATTGCCCAATCTCGATCACGAACACTGGACAATCCAAGCCCCAACACCATCTTTGAACTGTGCATCCGGACAAATGCCCGCTTGCATGAACTTCAATCCGAAATTCCGGACACTACCCACCAGCCAGCTGATCTTGCGGTCTCCAGCACCTGAAGTTACATCAGTGCCGCACTCAAAGGTGCCAAAAGTCACCATTTCACCAGGGTAGACCTGATGCAACTCCGTGTCGTTCCAAGACATGAATCCGTCGTCTTCGAGCAGGGCAAGGTTCATGCCGGAGTTGCTACCCATTTCCTGTTCGCTCCCGCTGAAGGAGAAACAGGGATAGCCAGGCTCAAGTGTGCTGCAGAAGGGCAAGCGGAATTGCAGGCCACAGAGTTGCTGGCCCTTTGTAGCAAAGGTTTTGGGAACTGAATATTCGAAAATAGTGCTGTCTGTAGGTGTAATCGAAACGTTTGGTGACGTGGCATGAAGGCCGTCTGGTGCCCCTTGCTCGGGATACCCGACCTTCGTGGGCGCAATAGATGGTGAGGAGGGCGAGACAGAACAACTTTGAGAAGCAGTGACAGCTTGACGAAGTTCTCGTGGCTTCTGCGTGGGTGGGTCAGTAGGGGAAGGCAAATATCGAGTGGAAAAGCTAGCAGGAGGCTCCCTCAAATTCAATGCTTGATCATCTTGGGGTGGAAGAATTTCCTGATCCGACTTTGAAACTGGATCCCATAAGGTTGAATTCAAGTCCACATCATCGAAGGCTGGTGATGGAGCATCTAGAAGAGTCGGCTGCGTGCTGGAAGTAGAGCATTCTTCGTCGGCGATCATGATCTCCGTCTCATAGCATTCTGTATTATTCTCCTTCGATATCGAGAAGATTGTAGAGAACTCTTTGCCACCCCATGTGTCGGTGCAAGCAAGGTATTTTGTTTTGTTGTCTTGGTCGTGGGTGAGGAGCTTCGTTCCGTCTCCTTTTGGTGCAATCCGAAAGATTGTCGGAGGGTCGGGTACAGTCAATTGGCATGCCAGCTGTTGATCTTCGGGCTGTATGCTGCATTGATGCCCTTGATAGTCGGTAAAGCCTTTCACTCCTATCCAATAGCGATGAAACGTGACACCGCCACCAATGAGCTGGGCCCTTCCTCGAAAGCCCGTCATCAAATGCTCATGGTTCGGGCCGCTTACTCGCAGGCCGAAGGTGCAGGAGCTTTCCTGGCGGGTAGGCAAAGCCGCGTGGGCCCCGACAGCAAACAGGAAGGCTAGTGATGACTTCATTTTGGGCTGGATGTCTGTTGCCTGTGTCACATTAATGGCTGTCGACGGCTGGGCGAATTCAGGTTGCTATTCTACCTGATAATATTGTTTGATATGGACGATACCCAAGAGTTGATGGTGCAAAGTCGAGAAAATCGAATTTGCGGATCCAAGAGGGTTGATAAAGTGAGTGAACTGCAGATATGACGACAAGGCTAGCCAAGTTCCAGAATATGTCTTAAGTTGTCGTCAGCCTAAGATAGAATGTTGGGAAGTGAGACAAGGCGAGACGGTTGGCCGTTTGACGAGATATATTATCAGCCCACACAGGATAACGCAGACGGTGGTGCCTGGCCCAAGTGTTTCACGGTAAATACGATTAAGCACCAGGGAGAGAGCATCTACTTTGCCGAAAACGACAAACAGTAGCGAGCTGGGGCCTGACTATACATTCTGGCAAGGAAGTTGCTGTGGTCGAGTTTTGCCCAACACACGGTGTGCACTTTCTCATGTTAAGGGAATGACGAGCTGAGCAGACACAACACTCATCAGAAAAGGGCAACGGCAACTGCAGACGAAATACAACACCAAGTGATTCCTGGCACTTGCCTTTTGTCTCTCAAGACCAAGCCTGACCCGGGACTCAAAAAGCCCGACGACATACCCACGACATCGCGTAAATTCATAAGTTGATGCACACTGGCGCAAAGGTAAGTATTTTCTTCTTGGAAAGTACTGTGCTGGCCAACTTGCAGCTCGCCGCCCTGGTGCTAAGAAGGGCAAAAGTGACTGCCGAAGTAACTGGGTGAATTACGATCCCCTACCACCTTTTCTCCCAGGTAAAATCGCCCGGTAGTTTCAAACCTGAAAATCTATAATTAACGAAAAAATCCGCTGTCGATGTATAGACGTCCAATTGCCGGCACAGATGACGATGACGCTTCCTGTGGTTGGGAAACGGTAACACGACACAGCTCGGTTCGGCTGGTTGCAGGATCGACCTGTAGGCACGTCCTGACTGGAACCCTTTGAAAGTTGTACCTGAACAGAATAAGGAAACTGCGACTATCAGGTGGCCAGGTTGATAACAAGGTTCCCCGTTTCCTCTCGTGTGGTAGTAGCACGTGTCGTTTGTTTCGCAAGACCTCTCCCGCCTGCGATGCCCTTGTTACTTTTAAGCTGATGGTTGGCGTACGGATCCGCTTCAGGGTAGTCTTGCTGACTATAGCATACAGAATTTAATTGTAAGGTATTCTTTGCATCCGCCAATTCTCTGTGTGTTGATTGAGTTATTTATCATTGAATTAGATCATCATCGTTAATCAGAATGTGATGACATGGCTCGATGGCGGGCTGTCGTGTTCGAAATACTCGAACTTGAAAAGCTCCACCCATTCCACTGGAAAACTTCCAAACCAACCGAGCAACTTGATTTAGTTAATGTTGCTGTATTTCGGTGGAATATTTATCGCAGGACGGTTCTAGACAGCAACTAACTCCCATACCTGACCAAGACGTCCTCCTATGGGCCCATTACTGGCAATAGAACAAGTCGGTTTGGTCTAGATCTACGAGTTTTTTTGGTCTTCGAACATATGTGAATAATTGATAAGATCAGTTGAGCTAAAAATGTATCCTAAACATCGGTCGTAGTCGTTCTGATTAAATACTGTTCTTCACTATTGTATGAATCGTCTGCTTCAATGAATAAGTTCCTTTAGGCAAATAGGTGCGTCAGGCCTTCGTCAAGCTTCTACTGCTGAGGTTGACTGGAGATAGGCTCAAGCAAGGAGGATGTTGTATTTCATTCGGGGGTTTTGGACCTTTCTGCTCAATCGGGTCAGGCGGGCGGTGCTTTTCCGGTGGTACCTCCCAGCTACTGGTGGTTGATTGCCATCGCGCGTAACTTCAAAATCGCCCGGAGCTCAGAACTCGAACATCTATTTTCTACATTGACGCCAAGTTCCCGACCTACGTCATGAGTCGTCACTCCAATGGAAGGCCGATCGGTTTCATCGTTTCCAAATTCTTCAAGCGGATTTAGGAGCTTTGCCTCCCACTGTTCCCGCGAAAGAGAAGCTCAGCCACTTACGGAATATGCTAGCCGTGCAGGCTTGTCAACGTCTGGCCCCCGAACCGAACCAATGGCATCTTTTCATTTACAACTTGTTCCATCTGCGCCGCATTCCAGAACTCGAAATGGAGCTTCAAGATGGTGATCGCGGCTGTCAGCGACAGGGTCACACAGTAGGCGAGGAGCTGAATAATTGAAAGGGGCTGCGGTACAGCAAAATTGGTGTCTGTTATCATTTATCTTCTTATGTCGCGTGCCTTGCTTCGATGTCGAAATATAGACGCGACCACTCTGAGGAGCTTGAAGCTCAACTCAAACAAGACGACAAAAGACATAATGGACATCAATCGTTTCAATTTGCTATTCAGTAACTTAAGCGGCTGGAAACAGGCCGCCAATGTGAACAGCACCGTTCTTATTGTCATGTCACTGACGCTGCTGGCCTGCCTCATCACGTCAGTATCGCAAACCGGCGGGCTTGCCAAGGCCTTCATGTTCTACGAGGGAACATGTAATGGCGGCAGCGCATCAAGAGTCAACGTCGCGCTGCACTTGCTGCTCAACATTGTCTCTACGGCGATTTTGGCCTCTTCCAATTTTTTCATGCAGGTCCTGAACTCGCCTTCGAGAGAGGAAGTCGACGAGGCGCATCGAACCGGGTCTTGGCTGGGCATCGGCGTTCCGAGTGTTCGAAATGCCTTCAAAGTTGCGCCATTCAAGACATGGTGCTGGATTGCCTTACTGCTAAGCTCAATTCCTATTCATTTGCTGTTTAACAGTACTATCTTTCAGACGGACACTCGTATGGCCGATTACCATATGACCATTGCCTCGGAGGGTTTCGTGAATGGAGCTGACTTCTATGCGCCTGGTGAGTCGTCTTGGAGCCATGCCTTGGGATTCCTAGTCTCCTTTGAATTCGAGCCTCGGAGAATCGAAAAGAGCCAATATTAACATTTGATCACAGTGCCAGCTTAACCCCCACCGGCTTCTATGACTGGAATTATTATTACGACAGCGGCGAAGATTCAGACGGCTACTTAACATACTTATGGCGAAGTGATACGAAATACATACTTGACCAACCTAAAAATGGATATGGTTTAATGATAAATATGTCGGATTATGCCGATGCCACTTTGGAGATAAACAGAAACATCACCGCGGCAGCCGCCAACGCAGCGAGATGGGAGAAACTGACTGCTACCGAGTGTTACAACAACTATCAGAAATGTAATGGACTGACAGAATACCGCGATGTGGTCGTCATTGTTGATCAACCCGATGGTTGGGTCCGGGACGATGTCTGGCATTTCGCCAACGACACAAACAACGCCATCTGGGACCCTTTAGTTCCGGCGAACGAATCCAACTCTCTGTGGTACTCGTAAGTCAGTTGGTTCCCATTTCGCCGCTCATAAATTTTCCCTTGCGTATTCAATAACATAAGGTGAGGAGTGACAGCTGACGACTTCCACAGAGCCCAATGTGCCATGGTTGCATCTCACTGGCACGATAATCCTACAATGTGCTACCCTCTGTGCAATGAGGCTTTGGGCCAAAGCTTCTCCTCTGAGACCGGACTTGACCCCTCGGATATTAATAAGGCCAACTGGTGAGTAAATCTCACAGCCCTTGATTGCCTTCTTGTATCCTGGGAGCGTTGAGCTCTGCAGACGGCGGTCTCTCCACCCAAACATGAACTTGACCCTTGAAGACAAATTTCAAGTAGTAATAACTAACACCAGAGAGGACCTTCAATTTCTTCTCATCAGAACAGAGCATATGGTGGGTCAACGGGACACATGACAATGAAGACTATGTATTCTTTTCCGCCCTGGATGTGAGTAACCTCACATCTGGACTCCAACCAGGGGCGGCCGATTTGACAGTAAGCTACTGTCTCGCCGAGCCTGCAGATCGTGTGTGTCACGTCGGGCTATCGAACACGTTACTCTTGGCCGTCATGCTGTGCGTCTTCATCAAGACGGGAACTGCCGTACTTGTCACCGTTGTTCTCGGTCGTCGCAACCAGGCCCCATTAGTCACGCTCGGCGATGCTATAGCCTCTTTTATCCGGCAACCAGATCCGAATACAGCCGGCATGTGCATATTGAGCCAGGAGGAGACTAGGAGAGCATACAGGTCACGTCGTGCATATGTCCTTGCTGCACCGCGGCAGTGGCATACCGTGCAGAAGCGGCGCTGGTCTGTCGTCCCGAAGACAGTCTGGTGGACGACTTACACGTTATTTCTCCTCGGAATCTCGATTGTAACCTATTTCTTTACGATGACTCATTCTCCGCGAGGCTTGTAAGTTTTCATGATATTGGACTTCCCCTCTAGAGATATTCTAACAGTTGGTCAGCTGGGGAAAGTTTACGGAAAGCGACTCCAACGGCTTCATTACAGCCCCTATCACGTTCACTCAGGGCGTGCTCACTGCTAACAGCCCTCAACTCTTACTCTCATTTTGCTATCTGGCTTATAACAACATGTTCACATGACTACAGATGGCGCGGGAGTGGGCTCAGTTCAGTGACGGGTACTACCCTTTGCGAGTAACGGATCCCAAGTAAGCAGAACGATAACCAGAAGGCGATATATCTTGGCAAACATTACTAAGTTAACGCGCACAGAGGATCACAATTCTCAACGTACAGGCTGCAACTGCCGTACAAATACAGTATACCACTCATCATAGTCAGCGTCTTCTTGCACTGGCTGCTTTCAAATACGATCTATCTATTCATATCCGAGGGTGGTAGGTGATGGATGACCTTCATGCTACTCAATCCTCGTACCTATCACGAGAATACTTTGGTTGACGGATGTTCATTTCAGGCTACTATGGGACGAGCGAGTTCACATCATCGTTCCAAAAAGATGACACCCTGCCGGACAATACCGCTGTGGTTTTAGGTTATAGCATCTGTACGAAGTTCCCGTGTCACTTCTTCCCCCTTCTAGGCTGTCTCAGGAGTTTCTGCTCTCAAGATATGACCTAGGACCCCTGAACTACTGTTTACTCGCCCTTGAGATGGAAAATGCTAATCCCAGTTTTTGAAGGGGCGCTCTTTGTGATGATGATGGTCTCGCTGTTCCTCATCACCGTTCCCATCTTCCTGTCGTTCCAGAAACTACCCCGGAATATGGTAAATGTGGGTAGCAACTCGCTTGCCATATCTGCCGCTTGCCATGCTTCTACCATTAGCCTTGCGGCTGCTCAACCATCCATCAGCCCCGACATGTCGAGGTCTCGGTTCGAGATGCCACCGCCACCATACTCGGCTTACATGCCGTTGAGAGATGACCTCGACGACGAGGCAGATGGGTCAAGGGGGAACACGACCAGAGTCAGCAGCCACGGCAGCGGGGCAATCAAAATGCAGACGCTGCCAGGGCGCAATTCCCAAGTTACCCCGATAGGAAGAAATAGCAGTGATGAACAGATACCAGGGAGGAAAGATAGGGAACAGCGGTTGGAGAAATTGTCACAGGTCAAGCTGAAATGGGGCGTCATAAAGATGCCGCCAGAGTGGTACGAGGAGTTCAGCGTCGAGGAACCTGTGGAACACATCAGTTTCGGGGCCGAGGAGGACAAGGTTGAGCTCCCTCTTTCGGGACGCTGGTATGCATGATTTGGCTGTAATCATATTGGTGCTGGGAGTTCGGATAAATCGCGATACCATATACAAATAAGAAGAGAAGAGAAAGAAGAGAAGAGAAGAGACAATATGTACCGATTTGCATGACAAGGCCGTGAATACGTCTCTTGAACTTAGTGGGCTTTGTTGGATTTGGCTTGCGCTAGAAGCCGAACCCTGCAAGTTGTTGTGGTGGGGCGCCGACTTGAAGGACCCGTTGCAAGGAAGGTTCTGAAGTTTGGTCAAAGCTCCATCGCGCCCACGCACCTTCTTGCTCAGGATTGGGGTCCTTTTCTGGCAAAGTACTTCATCTCTCCGAGATCAATTGACTACGTCCAATGTCAATCTACGAGGCATTTGACATGCCGTAGGGGTCACACAGGGCTAAGATGTCCACGACGAACTCCGCTTCGGCGCTGGCCAGAGCCTTGCCCTCATCTCTGAGCTCCCGGACACTCTTTATCAAATGTGACCCCCCACCAGTGAATCTGGCAGAGCGCCGCGCCGTGCTCAAGACCTTGACTTCCATGGTGGAGATCGAGACATTCAAGAGGCTGAAGGTAATGATGAAGCTCACATGTCATAATATTCTGTTTCTTAGGCTTTGTTGGTGACTGACTCTGGCCTCTCGAAAAATCCAGGACAGTTCCTCCTTCATCGCCGTAACGAGCAAACCCGAAATGGCAGAAAATGTCATCCAAAATACCCCCATGAAGCGCACGCTCCTCATCCAAAACTCTACTGCCACAGCCTCCTTCTCAACTACATCCTGGGGCACCGCCTTCCGCCGCACGATCACCGACCCCATCAACCCGCTGCCCCCTGGCGCCACCCATTCCTCCGCCTGCTCCGATGACGACACGAACAGCAGCAGCTCCGAACCGAGCCTCCCCTCCAGATCTTTTGTCATCAGCGCTTTTCCCGCCAACTTCGGCTACAAGCATAAGCGCATCATCGGGATCGACGTGCTACACGGACCGTGGCCCAAAGGCGCCGGCGAGCGCCAGACCTTCATCTCGGCCGCGCTACGGAAGACTGTCCCTTCAGGGCCCATGGCGGGCGGATTACGCGACTGGGAGACGGGGCGTCAGGGTTTGGGGGGTTCTTCGAGGGGGTTTGAGAGGGGCTCTGCGGAGGAGCTGGTACGGCACATTCCGCAAGGGTCGGCGTTTATTGAGGAAAGGAAGTGGAAAAGGGAGATGCAGGAGAAGACGCCGGCCATTATGAAGGGTCTGTATGCTATTGCCCAGGAGCAGCGTGAGAGGGCTGTAGTGCCTTTTGGACGAGTGTTAAGGGCACTTGAGGCGGATAAGCCGGAGGAAGCACAACGGACGGTGGTTTCAAAGGTGGCAGTTCAACAGAGACTGGTCGAAACGGCGCCAGCCCAGGAGATCGCTGTCCAATCGTCGAAAGAGACGAAACCAGAAGTAGCGACACAAGAGAAAACAACAAAAGACGACCCTACGATCGAATCAGCTACAGTCCAAGAAGCTGCGGAAACAGGGCCCATGGCTCAAGCGACTGCGCAAGACGCCACAACTGAATATGCGGGAAGGAATGCCCCAACAGAGGCAAAACCCCGTTCCAAGGGCAACAAGGGCGAGGATGCCAGTCTTGATATGACATCGGCATCGGTTTCCAACCACTCGTTCTTCCAGCAGACGACCAAAGGAGTTACAGACCAAATGATTACGAGAAAGGAGCAGTCAGCTCAAGAGACTACTCAAGACGCTACAAACGATGAATTTTGGATTGCTCCACCGGGGGCAATCAAGCCCAAGGGGAAGAAGGGCAAGAGAGGGAAAAAGGGCAAGGATGCTGATCTAGGTATGCCCTCAGCATCGGATTTCTACGACTCTTTCTTCAACAAGTGATGGCGAAGCGTCTGGCAAGGCCTGGGCTGCCAGCCAAATAAATACATACAGCTACACTACAACAAAAATTGTGCTAGTGGCATACTCAAGTATCGACGAGTCAAAACATCGTAGGCCAGTCTTAACGTATGATTGCCGCGCCCGCGCCATTTACGGCGGAGCCTGGCTGTTACCCAAGACGTTAAAGACAAGCGGATGCTGCGAAGTCTTGAATTCGGTCCCGGCATCGCAACACTTCCCCGGCCGTTCGTCCTGCAGCCGCGGAACACGCTATCGCGGGCTTGTTGAGACAGCTTGGAGCCGCGGCGAATATCCCTGCGTACCGTGCGACACTCGAAGTTTGTGCCAAACACAAGCCTACTTGAGGAAAATCGCATGTGTTGTCTTTGGCTGGAGGCTCCGCACTAGGAACCTTCATGCCCACAGCCCATCCAACACTACTACAATATTAAGCGGCTAGCAAGTCCAGACGAATGATGCAAGCATATCAGAAACCTTGCAAAGTCCCGTCAGATGGCCAAGTCAGCGACGGAAAGAACATGAATGCACAGCCGACCGCCATGGCTGGCAAGGCTGGGTGGAATGTTAACGGTTTCGCAGCCCTGGTCCAGACTTATAGTCAAGAAGTTCGGGAATGCGTGCCAAGCCTCAAACCATGCTTAATCCAGCCCTTTGACACAACGCGTCTAAGTCTACTACGTATGCGACCCGGGCAGACCAGCCACACTTCATCTGATACATATGAGCTAGCATTCCAAATTGACGATAGGTGTGCCCTCCATCGGAACGTCATAGGAAATTAGCGACTGGAAATTTCCATTTCATCCCTCCAATGAGGGCCAATGACAGACTGGTTCGCGTCATGGCCATCTGTGTCGTTAAATCAAGACTCGCGAACCCCGGCAAGTGCCTTTTCTTGGTTCCGTCATCCCGCACGCCAAAATCAAGGAACGGGGCCCCCCACATCAGTGCCATGCAGGGGTGTCAAAAGGCAATTCGGCTCGCAAACTCATACGTCACAGCCAGCCTGACTCAAATGCATCTCTCTCATTCGCGGGCAGGTCAGAAGAATCTGGTGTCGATTTTCTCGTACTAGCGTTGAGCATGTCAGGAGGGCGGCAGCGGCTGGCCAGCCGAACTAACCCATTGAGCTCGGTCGTTCGAACCAGGATATGACGTGTGGGTGTTCCAGCCTGGGTGAGGAACTGAACTGGATGCATCCCTTGGATCGGATGACCCAGTTTGATGTGACGAAAAACCCCAGACCGTCACGTTTCCTGTTTGTGCTTCGCGAGGAACTACAGAATTACAGGGCCCTGGGCAAGGAAAATCCCATCCCATATTGCCGGATCGTTGAACTGAGGACGTATACGCTATGTGTGTTATAATAACTGGTTGCTCTCTCAATCTTAGACTCTACTTTTTCTTGGGGTCTTGATATCGAGCTGGTGTAACTTGAACACCAACGTAGACTTAAACACGGAGTAAAGCTCCCTCGTATTATACTCCTCTCCTCTCCTCTCCTGTTCCCACACCCTTCGCCCATCGAAGACCTGCTTACACGCCAATCCGCCAAAATGGGCCAAACTGGCTTCTTCCACCACATCGGGAGCTTCCTGCTCCTGGTCGCGACGATACTCCTTATTGTTACGTGTATTTCGGCGCCCGTCGTCAATGACCTCTCTATGCTGAAGGTCATGCTCAAGAATGGTGCCGATTCGAAACACCCCTCAATCACATTTGGTACTTTTGGCTACTGCGTCAAAAACCAGCTTGCGTAAGTCTCAGCCCAACTCCATCCTAGATCTCAGGGGTAGAGAACAGATATAGCTAACACGGAACAACAGCTCTGGCGACTCATGCACCCGCAGCGCAATCGGCTACGACGCCTCCCACGCGCTCACCGAGGCTGCTGGTGGCAGCGGCTTCGAGCTCAGCGACTACGCCTCTAAGACCTCCAACGCGCTCACCAAAGTCATGATCCTACACCCCATCGCGTGCGGCATGTCCTTCATCGCCTTCCTTCTTGCGCTTGGCGCGGGAGTCGTCGGTTCCTTCCTCGCCGCCATGGTGGCCGCCCTAACGTTCCTCGTCACACTCGTCGTGCTCATTACGGACTTCGTGTCGTTCAGTATTCTCAAGAGCGCGGTGAACAACAGCGATACGGGCGCGTATGCTGAGTTTGGCGCGGCGAGTTGGACCATTCTGGTCAGTGCCGTTTGCAATTTGTTGGCGACGATTGTGGTGTTTGTTACGTGCTGTTCCGCCAGGATGCACAAGAGGAAGAGACGTAGTGCCAAGGCCGATTCGTGGGAAAACCCGCCTGCGGGGGTCCCGGGAAGGAGAAGGTGGTTCTAAGCGCACTTGATGTTCGTCTTTTATTTCCAAAGGTATCGAACGCGGCGATACTGATGTTTTTTCGGGTGGAGGAGAGGAGCGGCGGCTTTGATTTGAAGAAGCAAAGCATGTGAGAATCATGATACATGACGATTGGTCATTTATAGTTTGTTTGTACCACTAGTGAGGCGTGGAGCTGGAATACCGAGTTCGGGATGAGAATTGTCTCGTTACATATATCCACCGGACACGACGGCATGTCTAGATCGTGTGACTAACACACGCTCACAGTCCATGCATGCGGGCCATGTACCGTATCTATCACATAATGAAATTTCAAACCATGTCAACTGGTACCATGCTCATATTGAAGCAGTCAATCCGATTCATTGTCTATGCCTCGAAAGCTACGACACGACGTCATCTCCAATATGAACCTCCAATATGAAACAATCTGAATGGAGCTGTTCGTAGTGAGAAATCAAGTACTCCTTTCATTAACCTACACACTGCTGCTACTACATATCATAAGAACTGCCTGAGTGTTGTCAATCCGACTGAGATTATGAAAGTCAGGTAAAAGCTCGAACTAGGCGGCCGCCGCATCTTCTGCCTACATATAACATACAAACTACCAAAAGCCAACGCAATGCTCATCTTTGATCATCGCAACCTATTTCAAAGAGACCAGAGGCTCGTGCAACATAGGGCCAATTAGAGCCCGAAAAGCTTCAGTCGGACCAAATGTGGGACCGAGCTTCAGTTCTGGGGCTGTTTCCAATCACCTACTTTCCATCTAGGGGAATGCAAGTCATATAGCTACTTGCCCTTATCAGGAGGAAGATGAGGCTCGTAGCCAACAGCACGTAGCCCTCGGAGTGCAAGAGGCTTCTCCCCAGCCTCGTATTTCCACAAGGTGTACGTCAGCTTCCCCGAACGGCACTCCACACCTAATGTCGTCTCTTCTTAGTGTTGCGACCACGATCTTCGTCATCGAGGCCACCCTCGCGATCCTTTCGCTTCGCCTTCTTCTCCAGCTCGTCCCAGTCTTCGCCTTCTTCCTCGTCGTCGTCCGAGCCCTCTTCGCTCGCTTCGGCAGACGCATTGCTATCAAAGTCGGAATCTTCTTCAGATGACTCGCTAGCATCTTCAAGATCATCCTCAGATATTTCAAAGGCCGACTCTTCGTCTTCATCGTCTTGATCCTCGTCGTCGCTGTCGTTGGCGAGGAACGACCAGCCGCCGTCAACGAAGAACTGGTGGGTGTCGGCTGTTACCGTCTTCATGATGGTCGGCCAGTTGAGATTGAGTGGACCCTCGGCGAAAGGGATGTCGGAAGAATCAAGCCACTCCTTCACGTCTTCGAGCGACTCGACCGGAATGGTGTTGATATGATATGGCGCACGAGTGAAGTCTTTGAAAACGAACACGAGATCAAAGTTCTTCAGCCCGAATTGAACACGTTCCAGATGAGCAATCTCAATATCGTCCAGTGTGATGACCATAAAAGGCGGCTCTGTGACCTGGATCAGACAATCCGTCGTGGGCTGGATATAGACGTTGCTGCGGAACGGAACGCCATTGAAACCGAGTTCTCGGAGAGGCATGTCAACTTCAAGTGACTCATTCTTGCCTGCTTCGGCAATCTTGGTGGCGAAGTTCTGGAAGAGGCGATCCAACTCAGCACGACGCCGACGCTCCTCCTGCTCAGCTTCGAATTCATCCTCGTCGCCATAGCGGTACTTCCGCTTGCGGTTACCCGTCTCGTCGAACTGGATATCAGTTGCTTCTCTATAGAATTGTACATCCTTAGTCTTCTTCTTGTTGCCGATGAGTATGGGATCCTTCAGGTGAATATGAATAACCACGATTAGTTCGTGTGCGCAGGGTTGGAAGAAGAGGTGGCGAATGTTAGAGAACAACACGTCAACTCTTTGCTGACTGCTGAGTGGTGATTGGTACCGAATACCATTTTGGTGGATTTCGACCTTGCCAGGAACGCGCTTGCCTTCCATAGCAGGACGAATGAAGACATTGTCCAGAACGGCAGGACGGCGATCTATCAAGGGTTAGGACAGGCTTACTAAAGGGGGGGGGACAAGGACCACTCACTCCGTATCTCGACCAGCTTCTCCTGCTCAATAACGTCCTCCATGTCCTTTTTGGCCTGCTCCTTCTTGGTAGCCTCCTTCTTCATGTTGGAGATTTGAGTTGCAATCTCATCGTACCGATCACCATCCAAGGATCGGAAAGTTAAGCTTCTAACGAATTGAGCGGAGGCGTCTTCAAAGGGTTGGTCATCCTTCCGCCCGACTCCTTGACCCGGAGACAGGAAGTTGATACGCAGGAAAGACCACTCTCCCTCGTCGTTTTTGCTTGCATTCTTGATGGTGTTGATGTGGAATGGAACCGGTCTACCCATGACGGGCAGTATCACTGTCATATTCTTCTGGTCGACAATAATCTCCAAGTTTCGAACCTTGGGAGGAAACTGATTTTCCCTCTTGTAAGATTCGAATTTCTTGAACTTCTTGACCTCAGTGCCATTCTGGCCACTAGTAGACTCAGCAAAGCGAGCTAAGCCTTCTTTCTGCTTTTTAGCGGCAAGCTCCTTCTGATGCTCCCGACGCTTCTTCTCCTGGTCATCATCCACCTGGGCCGAACGTTCCGACCGGAGCCTTGTGTTAGTGATGTTTTTAGTAGCAACAGCACCCACGCGAGCATCCTTCTTCTCCTTTTTGGGAGTCGGTTGCTGCTCTTCTTCGTCTTTGAAGAAGAACGACGTAGCGTCGAGGTCTGTGGGCGCATCACCGGTAAATACGACAGCCTCACTGTTAGTGACTCGAATGGTGTCGGTGATGGTCAGGGAGTAGTTCTTGCTGAGCTTGTCTTGAGGCTGAGGGTTCTCGATATCTTGGAATCCCGTCGTGACACATAAAGTCATGCCGTCCTTGAGCGTTCGGGAGTTCTTCGCGTTCAAAACCAGGGTAGGATCCTTGCTCTCTATGCCAATTCCAGAGCCGACGTTTTTGAGGAAATGCTTCTCCAACTCTGGCTTCTTGGACTTGATCAAGCTGATGGCCTTCTTGTAAACGTCACTGGCGGTGACGCCGTCTCTGATCTCCTTCAGGACCTGATTGTGTACTGCATAGAGAAGTTTGTAATTGCTCTCTTGGACCTTGTTAGGGTCAACCAGGAAAGTTCTGGCAATGGTCGAACTGTACGACCTGTATCGCAGTCCCATGCCCGCAATGATTATGCCGGCATGCAGGTTATCATTGGTGGGCTCGGCATGGAGCTTCAAGTCGTATTTTCCGCCACTCTGAACTGCGGGACCAAGATACCAGTCAAGCTGCGAGGAGTCGAAGTCCGAAGGCAGCTTTTGCTTGTTCGGCAATTGAACCGTTTTCCACCAAGCCGCATCATCGAGCTTTCGGTCCACCTTCTCGGCTAGCGCGCTATGCTTGACCTTTTTTTCCTGATCCAGGATGTTGGTTATTTGGTCGAGGAAATACGGGTTCATGAGGGCAACGCAGGCTTTCGATGCGGTTCGCATGGCTCGCAACTCGGTCTCATCCTTGATTGAGAAGGCAGCGGTCGACAGAGCTACCGCGATGTCCGTCTCTTCAGCATCCTTGCATTTGTCTGCAAAGATCTTCTTCCACTCGTCGACAAAAGGTCCCTTAGATGTATCCTTGGTGAGTAGACCGACTTTCTTGCCCGCGGAATTGATGCTGTCGGCGATTTTGAGGAACAGCTTCTCGTTCTCGCTCGCGTCTTTTCCTCTGACCAGTACTTCAATAGGGAACCTCCCGCCCTTCAGCTGTTCGAGGTGTTTTGCTGTACAAGAAAGTCAGTCCAGACCTCCCATGTGTGAGCCTTGTGATATTTTCCGTACCCTTCTTTGCCGTGGTTACAACGTAGAGGCAGTCAAGCGTGAACAGCATGAGTGTGGTCGGGAACTCGTAGCCAAGAAGCCAGAACTAGGTTTGTCAGTATTCGGACTAAATATGAGAATGCGCGCCGTCTGTGACATACGTGCATGGAATTATTCTTGTGGAACTCTGGATTCTCCTCGACCTTGCCCATCATGATCAGGATGGAAGACACGCCGCCGAAGATCTGGTCGCCGGCGCGCTTGTCATTCTTCCAGGCATTGATGAAATGGTTTATGCGCTCCTGGAAGAGCTTGCCATCAATCTTTATGTCGCCCATCTTGAATGATGCGGTATTCGCAATGGCGATGATGGCCGACAAGATGTGAGATGGGAAAAAGATGCGGAAGGTTGCGACAACAAGGAGCTCGTCAACCAAAACGTGCTCCTTGGCTTTAGTGTCGAGCACTTTTTGGGTGACGCGAAAGAGTGGGGCTTGCTCTCGGGACGTGCTTGGTCGCGTCGGGTTTAATGGATTTTGTATGAGCGCGACTTTGGGGTAGTCGTAAATGCTCTCTCACCAATTTGCGACACTGGAGATGAAAGTGACCATGGAAGGAAATAATCAGCAGAGGCCTATTCACTGCCAGCCAGCCGGTTTGCATAAAACCGCACACCGACGAAAATCCTTCGCTTCAAGACGTTCAATGATGGGAATCCGAGGTGGAGGTGGAAGGGCCAAACTTGGGAGAGGAATCTGAAGTTTGAGGAAGCGCGATTTCTACTTCAGGCAGCAAACCCTCTGGCAGATGATGAACTTCGGTGGATCGAACAACCACAGGTTGTGCTTTACGCAGACTGTGAGATCGTGAGTGCGATTCACGCCTTCTGTCGATTAGGGTATGCCAGCGCTCATTGAAGATGCCATACGGGCTTATTTGAGTTTAAAGAGGACGCATATGGTACCTCTTTCAACTTGTCTACCTCACTTTAGAACCAACCAGCACCGAAGCGCGAAGAGACCCGTCACAGCAAATCTCCATTCGCGTTTGACGGGACAAGCCGGTGAAATGTATTGGTTTCGATGTTCTTGGATGTATGCGGTCGGCCAGGACAGTATTGCTCCTGCCATTTCCTTGTTACTAGCCGGTAACTGCGTTCTCAACTTCATGGATCTTCATGCGATCAAATTCACCCGCTGCTTGGTCGAACGTAAATGCTGCTTGTTCATGCCATGCCAGAGCTGCTGCAGAAACCATAAGGGAGGAAGAATAAGTTACAGATCAACTTGAACTACCAACATGTAACTCATCCGTCATCACCGAATACATTGGTGATGAAGAAATAGTGCAGCCCAGGGCAAGGCTATTTGATAGGCTCCTACTTGAATCACTCCGATATAGGCCAACATGGTCACTCTCACTATCAATGACAACAGGACAAGCTACCAACAGTTTAGGGAGTTGCCATAGAGGCCCTTATCACACGTCCCTGAGCTTCAAAAACGTGACCGATCCATGAAATGTGAGTGCAGTATCCCCACTCCCACAAGCTTACTAACTATTGAGGGCATCTTACTGATCCAGAGGTTCCGAGGGGTATGTGAAAAAGCAGCCTCAATACTCTCCAAGCTTGTGATGGTATGCTTGGATACAGCCACTGTTGTCTGAACTAGATCTCAAATAAACAGCTGGTCAAGCATATTGATTGGAATGTCCTTACAACGCTATTGTTCCGTAGTAGAGCTAATAACAGAAAAAGCAAAGAAAAAAAAAGAAAGGCAATTATCATACAACATGGCTTCACAGTTAATGTGCTGCTTGTTTCGCTCCCGTCTTATACTTCTTGGGAAAGTCAGACAGCAACTGCTATACTGCATTCTGAGAACCGGGGGACCGAATGGCGCTATGGCATCTGGTAACTCAGCGCATATAGACCATTTCCGCAACCCCAACTTCGACAGCTGCACAAAGAGTGGACCCGGCGAAGCAAGACATTAGCCTAATATCCCCAAGTACATCGTTTGTCCTTAAAATTGACGTCAGGTAGCATCAAAGGCGAACTTCCCTCCGTGATAAAGCATACAAGTACCCCGCGGTCTGGCAGGCCTCGGTTTACTTCCACTTTGCTTCTCCTTCTCCGTTTCTCTTTTCTATGCACTAACTTCGAAAATCGCTGAATACATGACCATGTCTAAGATAATCAACCTCACCAATTATGAGGATGTAATGGCCTTCACTCCCACTCAGCGCAAGGACACCTACCCTTACATTTCGTTGGACAAAGCAGATTTTTCTGGGAAGTCTGTTTTGATAACCGGAGCATCCAGGGGCATAGGCAAAGCCACCGCCATTGCCTTTGGCACAGCGGGCTGCTCCAAGATCGCTGTTGGAGCTCGATCCGATCTATCCGCAACTGCAGCCGCCGTCATCTCTGCCGCGACTGCAGCTGGGAAACCAAAGCCACAAGTCGTCATGTTACAGCTAGACATTTCATCTCCCGAGTCCGTCAAAGCCGCAACCGCCAAATTGTCGCTTGAATTCGACGGAAAACTCGATATCCTCTGTAACAATGCCGCATACCTCGAAACATGGGGCATGGTCATGGACTCGGAGCCAGCGGACTGGTGGCAGACTTGGGAAGTCAACGTGAAGGGCACCTATCTCTGCGCGCGGCACTTCCTCCCGCTGATCTTGCGATCCGACTCGAAAACCATTGTCAACGTAACCAGTTCCGGCGCTAATGTGGTTGCTCGAGGCTGCTCAGCTTACGAGACTTCAAAAGTGGCCGTCACGCGGTTCACCGAATTCCTGGTGGAGGAGTATGGGAGTCAGGGTCTCGTGGCGCATGCTTTCGATCCAGGGTCAGTTGACACAGATATGGCCAGAAAGTTGCACGAGGATATGTACACCTTTTTGAAAATGGACGCGGTTGATCTGCCGGCGGATACTACGGTGTGGCTGGTACGGGAAAGGAGAGAGTGGCTTACTGGGAGGTTTGTAAGCTGTAGCTGGGATATGGAGGAATTAGAGGAGAGGAAAGAGGAGATTGTGGAGAAGGAATTGCTGAAGTTTAGGATTGCGATTAAAGCAAAGATGTAAGTAAATGCGGTCCAGACTCGGAGGATTGCACGCTGGAAATTTCCGGTTATGACTGGCGGAGATATTGAGCACTTACGCTTGGAAGAACAAAGGAGAATGAACGATATCCAATTCATGAATAGTCTTTCCAGCAAAGGCTACCCGCAAGCGATAACTGACCAGAATGTGGCAAAAGGAGCTGCGGGACTTGGACGAAACATGACAGCAGCAGCAGACTTTATGGCAACATATCACAACTTACAGCGAACAAGTAAACCGTCAGCAGTCATCCTTGCCAGACAATCCCTCGTAATCTCCTCAACACCCCGACACCCACACAAAGCCATGCACCTTCGAAAATCCTCGTACAACACCTGCAATACCTTCTCAACCCCCTCCTGCCCTTTATACGCTAACCCCCAGATTACCGGTCTCCCCACCCAAACACATTCAGCCCCCAGCGCAAGCGCAACAAAAATATCCGATCCCCTCCGTATCCCACCATCCATGTGCACTGGTATCCTGCCTCTGGCGGCTTCCACACACTCCAGCAGCGCATCCAATGTTGCCGGAGCCCCGTCCAACTGCCTCCCGCCATGGTTACTCACAATGATCCCATCACACCCATGCCGAATAGCAAGATTCGTGTCCTCGGCTGTCAAAATCCCCTTGATCCAGATCTGCATCTTTGTCTTCCCCCTTAACCACGCAATGTCCCGGGCCCAGCTGTGCGAGTCGTCGTTATACTGCATAAACCCCGAATCATGCGTCGTCTCGCGGATCACTTCGCTCGTTCTCTCCAGGTTAGGGAACGAGAGGCCTTCAGGAGTGCGGAAGTCGTTGCGCCACTCGTTGTACCGTACACCCAGCACGGGGGAGTCACCTGTCAGCAGTATAGCCTTACATCCCGCGGCTTCGGCTCGTTGGATGATACGTTCTTGCAACTGACGGTTTCTCATTGGATAGAGCTGCATGGCATATGAAATTCCGTGCCCACCAGCGGCGGTAATGTCACCAGTGGAGTAGTTGGCGTACGAGGAAATACCCATATTGACGCCGAAGGAGGAGCACGCCCGCGCTGTGGCAAGTTCGCCGTCGGGGTGGGCCATGGCTTGGAGTCCGGCAGGGGCGATGCACAGGGGGAATTTAATGGGCTGGCCGAGACAGGTTGTGGATGTGTTGAGGCTGGAGACGTCGACTAATACCCGCGAGCGCAGGCGGTATTTGTCGAAAGCGGCTGAGTTCTCCGCGATCGTAGTTTGGTAGGTTGAACCTGAGTTAAAGAATTCCCTGGCTGTGACGGGCAAGTTCTTGGAGGCGGTCTTTTTGATGTCGTCAATGTTGAGTATGACGATGTCTTCGCCCTTCACCGGGACCGGTAGCGGGGCACCTCCAGACATCGTTCGGAGCCGCTGAAGGAAGTCGTTGCTGAAATTTCCAGAGAGATTTGAGTTCGAACCCAGCGTTAAAAAAGCAACGACTTCAAAAGAACTAGCAAACGTTTATCGTATTGTTTGAATCGAGCTGGAGGTTTTGACTTGATACTCAACCAAGCTACGTGAACACCGATTAGAGTCCGAACTAATGCATACATGCTTATCAGTGGACAAGTCGTTCCAAGCGAAACGACTTATCTTAAGTGGGAATTTTACCGCTATGCTATACTCGAATTTGAAGAGGTCATCATAGGCCTAATCTTCAAGTTTCAATAGATGCCCAGCTAAATATGCTGCACAGAGACAGAAAATTTGAATTAAAGGCAGAAAAAAAAGGATAATGAACTCGAATTCCGCCCGTCCGCCCGCTTCTCCACTCCGGACCTACCGAGTCTCAATCCCGATCCGAAGCCCGGCGCTACTCCTAACCTGACTCATTGAAGCTATTCTCGAAGGAACACATGCCTCGAATTTTAAGGTATCCCGTCTGATTAGCCTTTTGAACCTCAACTGTTCTGAACTAAATTCCCAATTAACAACCATAACCCCATCAAAATGACGGCGTCCTCCAACCCCTCGCCGTACATGTCCACGCCACAGGCCAACCCCATCAAGATCGTTACGGCCCTAAATTATCCTCATGTGCCTTACACAATATCTATGTAGTACTTCGGCTTCGAATCCGATATGGACGTCGATGGTGCCGCATTCCTAAAAGCCAACGAGAATAGTCGCGTGCCCACGCTCGAAGACCTTAATACGGCGCGTCGTGAGCTGGGAGTCTGGGACCATTATGAACTACGTCCGACGATTATAGTATACGGATAAGAGCATCCTTGGACCACGGGGCACGAGCGAGCAGTAAATGGTAAGATTCGAGAAGTGGGAGTACTTCCTTATGACGACGTTGGGGCCGATGATGGGGCGGATGAATTGGTATAGGTAAGTGAGGAAAGGAAAGGGTCATGTTATGTGCTTAGCTTGGTTCATAAGAATAGGTATTATAACGCGATAAAGAATGAGGATGTGGGGGATATGTATTCTAAGCCGACTAAACGGTGCTACGAGGTTCTGGAAGGTCAGCTGAAGAAGACTGGATGCAAAAGCATTCTTCCCGGCGGAGTGACGGCAGTGGCCTCGCATTTTAAACCATGGGTAAGAAAGCAGCGGTGAACCCCTATGGGAGATCCTAGCGGATCTGGCAACAGCTAGCTTTAGGCTGGGGTACTACCCGGAGCGCTTCCGCTCAGCGAGGGTGGTTGTTATCCCTAAGCCTAATAAAACGACAGCTCAGAAGCAGACCCCTGGCGGCTGGTGCCCCATTGCCCTGCTTAGCACGGTAGGGAAGGTAATAGAGACGGCGATGAGCCAGCGTATCACCAAAGTAGCTGAGGCGGCCGGCCTACTACCAAAGGCCAAATGGGTAACCGCGCTGGGAGGTCCACCGAACTGGCAATGCGTATAGTTGAGGACGTGGTCTATACGGCGTGGAGACGCGGGGGCATCGCCTCGCTGCTACAGCTAGACATCAAGGGGGCATTCGATACGGTCAATTACAGACGGCTGATTTCCATATTAGCCCGGAAAGGCTACCCGGAGTGGGTTCAGGAGTGGGTACGCAGCTTCGTGGAGGATAGGACGGTACGCCTCCGGTTCGATGGTAAAGAGTCAGAGCCAATCCCCCTACGAGCTGGCGTCCCCCAGGGGTCACCGCTATCCCCGATACTGTTTATATTATACATTTCAACGCTGTACGAGGAGCTAGCGGAGCAGCACCCACTACTTTTAGTAGTCGAGTTCGCGGACGACACGAACCTGCTAAGCGTCGGCACCGATCCAGACACGACCTGCCGCCGGTTGGAGGGCGCATGGGCTACGTGTCAGCGGTGGGCAGTGAGGCACGGGATGAAGTTCGCCCCTGACAAGAGTGAGCTAATGCACTTTACTAGGACCCGAGAGCCCTTGCCGCAAAGTATTCGGCTTGGGGACGCCACAGTGTCGCCGGTAGTCTCAGCGAGGTTCCTAGGAGTCTGGTTCGACCGCAAACTGACGTGGCACGCCCATGTTGAGCGTGTTAAAACAAAAATGGCAACTAAAAAGCTAGCCCTGACAAAGCTAGTCAATATGTCGTGGGGCTGCGATCTTATACGGGCGAGGCTGTTATATACGGTGGTTATCCGTAGCGCGATCGCCTTCGGGGCGACTGCGTGGCATACTATAAGTGAGGAACCGGCAGGGACAGCTAAGAGCCTGATGGGGATACAGAACGAGTGCCTCCGGGTAGTCTGTGGCGCCCACAAAGCGACGCCGGTTCGCCACCTGGAAGCAGAAGCAGCAATCCCGCCACTAGACCTCTATCTTAGTGCCCGGGCTGCTAAGTTTGAAGAACGGCTACGGCTTAGCGGGAAGAGAAATCTGCTTCGCAGCGCGAGCGCTAAAGCGTCACATATACTCCGGCAGGATAGGCCGGCGAAGAGGAAGCAGGCGTCGCAGCTACTCCGACCGGCAGGGTACACTATGGAGAAGGAGGCCCGGGGCTCCGAGTGGATGAGTGAGGAAAAGGAGGTTCCGGCTGCCCTCCTCGGCCACTGGAGGAAGAGATGGCTCACCGGAGCAGAGCATCACGATCGCCAGCGACGCGCCATCGCTGAGGAACCGGAGGGCCCTTCGATGCAGATACCGAAAGGGGGCAAGTATTTCGGCCTGAACCGACCGGAGGCGTCTACGCTGTGCCAGATCAGGACGGAAAAAATAGGACTAGCAGCCTTCTTATTCAAGACAGGGGCTTTTGGCGTGTACTCGCCGCTATGCCGCTGTGGCGACGCCCCTGAGACGGCAGAGCACGTAATCCTCTTTTGCGGGCTGTTGGAAGGACCGAGGGAACGATTACGGGCCGCCATCGCACCACGGCCACTATACTCTCGCAGAGACCTCGCAACGGCAACATGAGAACCAGTAGTTAGTGGGACTATTGTAAGGTGGCTGCTAGGGACGGGTCGGACAGCTTCAAGGCCCAGATAGCATCGATCTTCTCAGGGGGGACTTTGTTGGTAGGTTGAGAACCAACGTAGTATGGTAGTGAACGCAACGCAGTCGCCAATAGGGCGAACCGACGACGCAGCGTATGTATTTAGTCCAGCCATTAGGGCACGGTTTGACATACGGGAGTACTAGTAGAGGTACCGGGGGCTTCGAGCCTACGGCGTATTTAATAATAAAATAAGAAAGCATGCATTTGCGAAACTCAGCCTGGATCCCTAGCCTACGGTGAGGAAGTGATTGGGCAAGATAACGGCGACGAAGCAAATTCAATAGGCGTACCAGAAGATCAAAGACGCTCCGCAGCCTTGAGTCTGAGAGGAGATGTTGGTTGCATCGAGTTTATTGCCGCTATACTCTACTATTAATCGCCTGTTATATCATCCTAGATCTTGCCTTCTACACGTACAACCTTCTACACGTACATCTACCAAATGCTTGTTAGTGGGGTCGTTGAGGTATCTATATTCATACGCACCTGATAGCAGTATTTCCAACCAGCCACACATCAGAATGGATACTTTCAAGTAGACTTCTTCTCGATACCCGAATCCACCTCTGAAACTGAGGAGAGTCGTTGTGGAAACCCATCAGCCTTCTTGATAAGCCGGAGCAATTCCGAAATCTGACCAACCTTGTTCATAAGTGTGTCAATTTGCGAGTTTTGCTTCTTTATCAGCACATCAATTCCGTGACCAGGTTGACCACTTCTTTGGTCCATATCAGCTTCGTATCATTATCAAAGACCTCTCCCATCCTCGGATTGAGTACATCGGACAGCGAGCGAGCTTTGTTCCCAAGAAAGGTAATTTGTGAGACTTGTTACCGTTTCAGCTTGTGGATATTTTCGGGCACCTGGGCCAGCTCGTTCATCAACGTCGGGATATTGCCATTGTTGAAACCAGTGTCGAGCTTTTCCAACAACCCAACCGCCTTGTTCACGAAACTTATCAATTTGAGAACTTTTATTTCGTCTCAGAGCACGAATTTGTCGCAGCGGTTCCAAATGCCCTTAATCAGTATATCAGCCTTCTCGTTGGCTGGTTCCGGAACGTCTTTCGGTTCAGCTTCAGCGTTCGTCTTGCCAGAGCGCGGCCCAGCCTTTTCCACTGCGAATTTCCCGGATGGTCCTGATTGTACGGAACGTTTGATTTCGACTCAGCGGTTCAAGCAATATCGAGCGTAACGAACTATCGTAGGTAGCTATCGTAGCTAGCATACATTAGCGTGGAAGACTCAAAGATAGGGGAGTCACGCATTAGGAGTGTAGAGGGGCTCACCACCGCCACCATCGTCATCGGAGGACTCGCTCGAATCGATTTCGTTCATTGCTAAAAGTCCTTCTTCCGACTTCCCCAAGCCAAGTTTGAGCGCATCAGAATCGGATTGGGTGTGGCGAGGATGAAGCGGTAGTGGTTGAAGTTCACGAAACGATTGGTACCTGTCAAAAGTCGTCTCCTGGGCAACATCAGTCCAGGTCCCAGTGGACGCGACCCAAACTATCGGGCTTAGATGCTTGATCTTCACAAGTAGCCATTGTCATATTTAAGATGCCTAGTGAGTATACAGAGGTGAAAACGGCAGGTACTTGGATCGAATAGGTTTGGATATTTGAAAACGAAGATTTGGGAGACGAATGCTCGTAGCACCGGGTAGCTGGATTTGACAAGAGCATGTTCATACATCCAGTGTGACTTCCTGCATTGGAATCATAGCGTACCAGCCTGACTTTTTGAGGTTGCCAGACTGCAATAGAGGAAAGCGCTATGGAAACCATGTTGCCATGAATTCCAACCCAAGCAGGCAAGCACAATCGATGGTGCTCGTGTGAATACCACACACAAGACGTACGCTTTACAAGTATTGCAAACTTTTAGTTGTTCACTTGAATGGCCAACTTATTCACATGACACCTTGTGTGTTTAGTCTGCCACAGTTCACCACGCACGTAGTAGTCGCACGATATCGGTCTGTACTTCTCTCTCAGCGGCGAGTGCATCATTATGAGAACTTTCCTGGAGTCCCTACGTCCTTGATGCTCATTTGCCATGCCTTGGAGACAGGCTGACGTGGCGGAACCTAACCTTATTTACAGCGTGGTCCAGAGATCAGTGGGCCCATGCCCGTGGCCTTCTTATCGCCGTAACTACCATTTGAGGAACGGCAACTTCTTCAAGCAGACATTGCGCTCTGTATATTCGACTGAGCTAGACGCCACGAGCGGAACTCCTTTTACTCGCAATTCATAACAACAACTAGAATCACTGGCTCACGCAATCACCCCCACCGCTCCGTATCTGCGAAGACGATCATCGGATGACAGGCCAGGAGACAACGTGCTTTTAAATTTCTTCGAGAGACGTACTCAAGATAAATTTCAGTCTCAGATACGTGTTTAATGTTTCGGTGCCATGCCGTGCCATCCGCTTTACAGTTGGTAGCGATACAAACACCAACCTACAACTCATGAAAAAAGACTTATCGAATGAGCCCGCAAACCCAGTGGCTGCAAGACTGATCCAAGGCTACAGTAAAGGCCAATTCGGTGGTTGTTCGCACAAACGCGACCCCCGAATGCTGCTGGGAGCCCCCTGCGAGATATTTCAAGGACTACCACGTACGGCAGCATCCACTTCGTAGCGTAGAACGGCCCGTTCAAGGCGGAGTCACGAAGCTGATCAACCTCGGCTTTTGAAATTTCATTTGGAGCCGCTTCGCCACAGCGACTCGGCTGAAGACTGGTTTGAGAATGCGATGTCTCTTGGCGAAATTGGGTGTAAACCAACACTTGAACACTGCTCGTTCAGCTCCAAAGCTGGCATGATAGAAGGCGCACACAGGTGGAATAATCAGGTTGCATCCACTTTAGAAATGTGGATAATGGGCAATCTCACATTATTCCACCAGGGTGCATGATGGCGGCGCAGATGGCGGTAGGGTCATCGATAATGCAAAAAGCTGATGTCGATTAGCTGAAGTTTGCACAATGTGGTTTGTCGACAACTTCATTGCGCAAGTGGCTTTGTTTCGCTCGTCAACTGTCGGGTCTCCACCTTGAAGACGAGGTTCATCATCGTCGTTGTTCGTTCTTCGTCAACAAGAACTTGGTATGTCAAATGATCATAAGGAAAAGGCCGACCCGTCATGGTAAAGTAACTTTTCGCATCTCGATTTGCCATGCACTCGCACTCGCTGGGAACGCTGGGGAACGCTGGGAACGGGGCGAGACACAGGGATTGTCGCAGTGCTATATTCCTGTATCCCTACCCTTGCCCATATTATGGTCTAGACCTGGATCAGGTCATAACTAGATCTTTGGACCAGATACCTTAAACAGCGTAGGTTCACTCCAAGCATCCCTGTCTCGTGGGCCCGCTCCCCAAATGGCAAATGATCAGGTCCCTGCAAGCAATATCCCCCAGAAGACCGACGACAATGGACGAATTCAAGGCTTTTGTTGGTCACTAGCCATGCTTCGTATCCGCGTCGCCCGTGTTCCATACGGCATAATTCCATCTCTATTTCCAATGTCTTGCTTAAGCTATGGCCAAGTGCCTTCTCCTTCTGTGTCCTGTGCATTTGTAGCTTGGGAGGAAGACGCAACTTCAGAACGGTAGGTAGCACCCGTTGGAAGCATTTTCCTCCCATTCGGTTGTTCCTCATTTTAGCGGGTCGGCAGGTTGTTCAATCCTGTCCTGCGGTTGTTCCCCCTTCTAGAGCCCGCTGTCGATCTGAACCGTAGTGCAGAGCCGCAAGGTCGCTCATTCATCTAGACCTGTCAAGTTGTCAATTTGTCAAGAAAAGTGCGAGACTGTCTATGCTGGAATCGATACTATCCAGCTCTAGAACACGCGATACCTCGATCAAGTATTTGTTTGGGCGCGACTTGTCGGCTTCGCACTGACGCCCGGTGGCCAGCTCTGAACTTTACTCGTTCCGATCACTCCACGTTCAGCTCTGCGTTGATCCCCGATCTGCCCAGGAAGCTGCGGCATCCTGCGACATCCACCTGACGAACCTCACGATTTCGACCCGCTCTGCATCCACCCTCATCGGCCATTGTATCCATCAACATTTCGATTTCCTTGCGGACCCCCCGCGTGTAGTTGTGCATCTGGTCGTTGGATCTGCAGGTGGGCGCGCTTTTTCGGCCAAGCCATTCGACGCTTTGAGGGGGAAGCTGAACGATCCTGCTGCACCTCGCGACTGCCATCATCTTGAGCAAGATCTTAGGTCGGCAGTCGGGACCGGGTTTTCACCATTGCCATCTTGACGACTCAATACCGGCGTACGAATTGGGACATTGGGGAATCGACAAAGTTCAAAAGAATGCGTTGGACGACACGGCTTCCACGTTCGCAATCGTCGACTTCGACCTGAGTCTAGAGCCATGAGGGTCGCGATACGGGAGCAGCTGGCAGCTCTGGTGCTTGTCGCAGTACTCGTCGCCCTTGCAATTCTCTCGATACCAACATGGATCTACGTCAACAATTTCGTCGTTAAGGTGGAGAGCGGTGGCCTGGCTTTGACGGCGTCGTTAAAAGCAGCCCAGATATCCTCACAGATCGAGTTGATACAAACGACATCCAAGTCCATAGCGACTCGACTGCTGATCCAGGCCTCTTTAAGATCCTATTACGAAGGCAATGGAACCGGCGCAAATTGGACTGAAGCCGCAAACGATCTCAGAAGTGCACTCAACGCGGGCAACGCCGGTAGTAGTTCAGCCAACCTATTACAAACACGATTGTACTCGCGAAATGAGACTGGTGCATCTGATGGAGGACTTCTCAACGTGACTGGTTCTGGCATCCGCGAAGAGAATATCCTGCTGCCGTACGTTGCGCCGAATGGCTCCGAAGTTTTCCTTTCAGATACGGACTTCGGATACCCGCCTTCCCTCTACCCGAACATCACATATGTTCCCTCGTCGGATCCAGACCCGTTGGACGGAAACATCACGATTCCGATTCCTCGACCATTCCCGGATATCAGAATCGACAGTTCCGTGGGAGGGCTGATATTGGGCCCCCTGGTCATCAACGCAAGCTATGCTTTGATGTCTTTGACCGTTCCCATCCGTGACAACGGTAACACACTTGCAGTTCTTGGTTTTATGACCCTAGTGACCGAGGCTACCTCTTTGCTGCATATTACGAACTCTAGAGAAGGACTTGGTAACACGGGTATTGTGCTACTTATAGGCCCAGACACGGATTGGAATCGGTTCAGCAAGTATAACTCAGCGGCGAACACAACTCATAATGCGGCGAACAACTTCTCCGCGGTTCGGGTCAAGTACGTGCTCCCACCTCAGCCTGCTCCTGGCTATCCCAGCAGACACAAACGGCATGACTACAATTCGGGGAACTACGACGAACCATTCAGCGTCAGCGATTACCCTGCGGCATACAAAGTCCTCACTCATAGGAATCCCGCCATCAATAATGCAAGCAGCATGTTATCCTCGACAAACGAAGAAGGGGTCTATGTTGCCGTTGGCTATGCCCGCCCACAGACGACCCTGGTCAACTGGACACTCATCGTGGAGCAAGACCGGAACGAAGCGTATACGCCCATCACAACGCTTCGCAACATTATTCTGGGTTGTGTCTTTGGAACTGTAGGGTTGGTTCTCATCATGATCTTACCCTGCGCACATCTCAGTGTTATGCCCATTCGCCGGCTCAAAGCAGCCACCGAAAAGTCGGTTGCGCCGCCTGGTTATGACTATATGGACGAGCTCGAGAATTTTGAAGAGGATCACGAAAACCCTGCTTCGACCGGCGTCTCGAGCAGATCCGAGAAGATAATGCTAGGTCTGCGGTTCGCTTCCTTGAAGAAAAAGTTGCGACGCAGGCGGAAACCTCCTCCATCAGAAAACGATAGCGATCCCAGAAGGCGCGTGTTTAAGATTCCAGGAAGAGTGAGGGACAAAAGGCACTTCGTGACCGATGAGCTCACGGAATTGACACAAGTTTTCAACGATATGGGTGATGAATTGCTCAAGCAATACACGTCGCTTGACCAAAAAGTCGCCGAGAGGACGAATGAGCTCGAAACCAGCAAGAAGGCTGCAGAAGCAGCCAACGAGAGCAAGACTTTGTTTATTGCCAATATTTCCCACGAGCTCAAGACTCCATTGAACGGCATTCTGGGGATGTGTGCCGTATGTATGGAAGAGGACGACATACTGCGGATCAAGCAGTCACTGAAGACTTTGTACAAGTCGGGGGACCTACTGTTGCACCTTTTGGAGGATTTATTGAGCTTTTCCAAGAATCAAATCGGGCAACAACTAAGTCTCGAGGAGAAAGAGTTCCGGCTGGGCGACATTCGATCACAGGTGCTAACCATTTTCGATAAGCAAGTGCGTGAAGGGAAGATCAACTTCGCTGTTCATTTCCTCAGCACTGATCATGACCCGGGCCGGAGTCTTGAGCGGCACAGCACAGAGATTATTGACCCGAAGCTCCCTGCCATGGGCCCGTATGGAGCCGGCCGGCTGAAGGATATGTGCCTTTGGGGTGACCAGCATAGGATTCTGCAAGTCATCATCAACCTTGTCAGTAATAGTTTAAAATTCACCCCGCCGGGTGGGAAGGTGTCTGTACGGATACGGTGCGTCGGCGAGATAGAGCAGGCGGTCGATGAGAGCAGAACTTCTTCGTTCTCTAAAACCTCAAATCGTCCGGGTCGGGGTCGCCATAGGGTGGGATCTGGCTCCAACCAATCGACAAGCTCGAAAGGACAGGCAACTCCTCAGCATTACAAAGGGGGGACGGCTCTATCCATTAACCCCATGGATCCCAAAGCAACACCTCACGTCCAGGTGCGCGAAAGATCGCCGACTCCGCCTCCGGCGCATGCAAAGTCGTATATGTTCGAATTCGACGTAGAGGACACTGGCCCCGGCATTCCAGAACACATGCAACAGCGCGTTTTCGAACCTTTCGTGCAGGGTGACCTGGGACTAAGCAAGAAGTTCGGAGGAACAGGTCTCGGTTTGAGCATCTGTCAACAACTTGCTAACTTAATGGGTGGTTCTATTGACCTCAAGAGTACAGTAGGTGTTGGTACAACTTTCACAATGCACATACCTTTGAAGTACACGAAGGACAGGTAAGGTCATCCCTCTTCTGACCTTTGCGGCAGCCACTGATGCCATTTTCCAGGACCTCAAGTACAGCCTCAAGTAGCATGAAGTCTAGGCCACCAAGTGTGACCTCCGAACATGCCGAAACCCAGCGCAACTCGATGGCAAGTACGAGCGCGGAAGCCAAGGCCACGGTTCTAGATCAGCAACCCCGCCTTGTTGGGCTAAGCCAACCTTTTTTCGCCGCGAATCCGCAGCCGGGGGCCAAACCTACCCCCGCAGACCAAATGAAGGCAATAGACCGCGCACTTTCGAACAAGGACGATGGAAAACTTCGAGTGCTTGTAGCTGACGATAATTCGACCAATATCGAGGTTGTGAGTAGAATGCTGAAACTGGAGGACGTCTACGATGTGACCATCGCGAAAGACGGACAAGAAGCCTACGATCTGGTGAAGGCGAATATGGACAAGGGCTTCCGCTTCGACGTCATTTTTATGGACATTCAAATGCCCAACTTGGATGGTCTGCAGAGCACCCGGTTGATCCGCAAAATGGGTTACTCGGCGCCTATTGTGGCTTTGACAGCATTTGCGGAAGAGAGCAATATGAAGGAGTGTATAGAGTCTGGCATGGATGAATTCTTGGCGAAACCAATCCGCAGACCAGCTCTGAAAAAGGTCCTTAAGCGGTTCGCCACCATCCCAGAAGAGCCCGACACAACATCGCTCTGTCGGAAGACGAGTCCCAATGGAAATACCAGTCCCTCTACCGAGTCTAATGCATCCAGTAACGGCACCGCACTACCCGCACAAGAGCCGGAGGGTAAACCGACGATGAATGGGATGTACACCCCAGCAAAAGTTGCAACAATTGCCACTTCGTCATGACGTCTCACCATCAAATGCCCAATGACATCGTGGACAATGAGACATACTACCAACCCCAGGTCGGCATGCAATATCATCTTCATTTCCCCTTTGTTAGATATAAAGAATGAATCATGTGGCTCATCTTTCTCGATTTGAGAGCGAAGTCAGATAGATCATCACTAGGGCGGCTCGCATTCGGAACTTCCAAAAAGGGGCGGTTTTTATCTTTTCTCATAAGCGAGGCTAGGCGCAATGGTGTTTGCCCCAAACAAGCAACAGGAAGGCAGGAATTTGTTTTGGGGTTTCTTTCAAGTACATGTAATCGAGCGATTTCCTCACAGGAGGAAATCGTTTTGCCATTTCTGCCACTGGGCACCGCGGCCCTTCAGGATTGGACACAAGCTTTTGTTTGTCCACGGAAAGATAGGAGAAAGCGATAGAGCGACAGAGCTCAGAGACGGGTCTACTGGGAAGTACACGGCACCACATCCGTCACTGTATGCTGCATTCAGGGAGAGCAGAGGAGAGAAAGAATTGCTGCTGATATATACTAACGTAATGTTAAGCTGAAATGGAGAGGGGTCGCGACTATGGATGGCATGATGTGTTGGTATTTGCTATACCCTTGAAATACTTTCCTCTTATTTACCTGTTGCGACTATGGTGAGACTCGTGGCCTGGGAACTGTCCAAACCCTTGAAAACAGTGGTCCTGGATGGAGGCTATTGAGTACTTAAGAAGATAGGGGTTGGTGCGCGACAACCCAAGTGACGCAGATTGACTCCCCGTCCGCCATAAATATACGCGTATTGAGTAGAGGCCGCCTCCTTATTGATAACCGTTCGATCAACCCTAGCCATGGTGCCTGATACTTAACGCCAACCCTTGCCATAGCCATATATCTCGAGCGACAAGAGCATTGTCGGGCTATTAGCCAGAGTAACTAGACAACTGGTAGCACTCCGCCCGGGTACTTAACTTTTTTGATCCAGAACTTATCGATATATGGGATAATTAGTACTGCCCACGTATTCCTCAAGCCAGGTTTCGTAGTCATGTGGAGTAGATCTGGCAGAAGTGGAATTATTTTAGCCATCTATTACAGGTTCGTAGAGAGGTGGGAGCACCAAGTATACACACTTAAAGTAGACTTCAATTCTAGAATTAAATGCGTCTGCAGACGGATGGTTATTGAGTTCAAAATCCGCTTCTACTCCTAGCCCTATATGGATTGTAAGATGTAGGTACCGTTTCTCACACATATGTTCCTTCAGCCCCATTTCGAGATCTAATCTGTGGCTTAGTGTAATGATACTTGGGGGCCGAACTATGCGTGGTTATATGCTAACCGAATTCATGTGACACAGCGGCACCATGGCCATGACAGAAACCGGAGCCGATATCATACAATTCTTCAGTACATCACAGGTGGCAACAACCTCCACGGTATCTCGAACCATTTGCGGATCAGCAACCCGAATGACCTGCTACGTCCACATGGCGTTATCCTATATCTAGCTCGACTGTCCCTGAGACTTTGTCACCAATCCTATTTAAAATATCGAGTGCCCCTCCGGGGCTGTTATCGAGTGGATTAGCAATAACGTCACTGCTCAACACTGCGCCCGAAGGGTAAAACCCCCTCTACGCTTCGATAAACATTAGGCCATATATCTCTAACTGTCGTTGAACATTACACGGATTATCCTGCCGCAACCAGTCAGAGCCTTCCTCCCGACCCTTCGTACTCACCGTAGGATTGTAACGCTGCATCGTACCCATCGCAGTCTATCCTTCCACCTCACAATCCACTCCAAGAGAGCACCGACGGAGCGGTGAAAACAGGACCTCGGTGAGTTCCAGTAGTAAAACGCAGAAGGGAAGGGCAGTCGAGACTCTGACAGACGGGTGAAGTCTGCAATTAACAGTCTCGGTGACGACCATTACGCGATTCCGGCTATAACATGCTTTTGGGTCGCCTATATTTCTGGGCGGGAACCTATCGACTCACATCTATCATTAGCACTAAGCCATGCGGTGGATATTTTCATTGCCGGGGCGGCGTTCAGGTGGGCAATTAATGATCCTTTTCCTTTTCCTTGGAGGGCTTGGGAGGTTGATTTCATTCGAAAGGGGAAGAACGGGATGTAGGGCGGCGTTAGATTTCCACTTCATAACTAAAAAATATGACAAGTCAGGCATATTTCCTGTAGCTTCTGCACCGATTTATTCCTCCACTGCTTTATCTTTACTATTGTTTGGTTAAGTCTGAACATGCCAGCCAACTCCAACTTTTGCCAGGTATGGGGGCCGGGCATGGCAGAATGACCGGCTAGCCCCCATCGATCTGCTCTTGTGGCCTTGGAAGTCCCGGTGCCTTTAACCATTGACCTAGTGTCCAGCATCCGGACCCGTCCCGTTCCTCTCCCCGACTATATCACGTCAGCTTAACTCTCTTACTCTCTCTCACGCAGACCAGCGAAAGGCTTCAACTTACCATCAAGCGCCACCAAAAACCTCGAAACACAATTATACGCCGCAACCGTTGCCACCACCTCCACGACCTGCCTCTCCCCAAACCACTTCTTCAGCTCCTCGAACGTCTCCTCCTTAATTTCCACATTCCGCGTCATCTCATCCGCCACCCTCACCACCACCCACTCCCTCTCCCCTAGGCCAGCCTTCTCCCTCTCCTCATCCTTGACACCCCCCAAGTCCGTGCGCTTCAACAGCTCCATAGCTTCTTCCTTGACGCCAGCCTGCACCGCCAGCGGCGCGTGGTGGCCCCACTCGTACCAGGCACGATTGCAGACGGCGACGCGTGAGATAGCGAGCTCGCGCACATCGTCGGGGAGAGTGGTTTTGGTGCGCACCGCGCCGAGGAAGGAGTTCCAGCCGTCGGCGACCGGGGGTGAGTGTAGGAGAGCTAGGTCGAGGGATTGGAGGGGCCGTGGGGAGCGCCGGTCTTGGATACGTTTTATGATTGCTTGCTCGTCCGGATCGGTGGTGATGGGTGGGTTGGGGACGTATGGGATGCGCATTTTGAGTAATGGTGTAGTGGAGAAGGGAAGCGGTTTTGGTATAGAACACTTTGGTTTTGGTGGAGGATGGATGAAGCTGATTGATACTGATTGGATCGCTGATGGTCGGTGGTGGGTTAATTGACTAAGTCTAGTCCTATATAATCGCGCCAGTGAAGAAGAAGGAAGGGTGGCGGACGACATTTATGTAGATGGATACTTTCGATGAGGGGGTTTATATTCACCGCGGCTAGCGGGATCACGCCGTAACCTCGGGCTTGGTGGGACTCCACTTCCCGAATATCGGAGCCGGTGGAGGAACACTTCCCCCGCGTGAATGCTTTGCCGGGGTGGAGTGCCGCCGGAAGTGAATATTGTCTGTTTGAAGATCCATCACAGGAGCGCAAATGTTGTGGGCCTGTCGAGAAGTGTTTACTATTCTTCTAGCTCATGGATGATCAAGTGACGCCGAGGAGTTTAGCAACCAAACTTGTTTCCAGCATTGGTCGGGAGAGCAAGACTACAGTAAAATGTGGAAACTACTCGTTCAGGCCGTGTGAGCATCTAAGTTAACTTGAGAAGTCTATAGCATCAACTACCTCTTTAGTTCTTCTTTTTTCTCTTCTCTTCATTCGTATGTCACAGTTTCTGATCTTTGCACGAAGTCTAATCTCACCCGCAACCTGATTAAGTTCGAAGAGGCCGCTGCCGTGTCGGGCTGAAATTATCTGGTAAGACATTCATATTGTACCTAGCGGTCTTTAAACATGCCCATCCCACACGCCATTTGCCAACTGCTAAAAACCCCATGCACCATATTATAGCAGTACTTGCAGGCAGTGGCAGTTTCCATCGATAAATCAAAAGAAGCAATACTACATCAGCGGTCAAAAAACCATAAGTGACGTGACATGGAGTCGGATAAGGGTGTAAGGATGAAGTATCAGCATAGAAAGGGAGTAGCCGAAGCCGGGGGCGAATAAAAGGAGTCGAAATGAAATAGGGGTATCTGGTTTTTAGTGAAGTGATCGTAAATAACGCCGGGTCATGTTTTTCAGGCAGGCGTGTAAATGAATCCAATGCGCTGGTGTCATGCTATTTCGTGTGGTATCGTAATCTGTCGTAAAAATTGGTCGTCTTCTGTTCGACATTCGTTGTAGTCATCATGTGCGCTGTTGAAGTCCTTCAGGCGCCTCCCTCATCGACATTGTCCTGCCCATAAGACTGGGGCCCAGGCTCGAAGGTGAAAGCGGCAGAGACCGCATTGCCATCGATGCCGTCTTGCCGATGGGACTGGGACTAGGGCTGCTCAATGGTGAAAGCGGAGGAGACAAAAGCGGAGGAGACGAAAGCAGTGGAGACTGCACTGTCATTGACGACTCGACAGAAGCACGTCTCTTGTGCATCAATGGCGACCGCTGCAGTTCGGCAACAACGCCCATCCATCCTATCCGATGTGGAGGCTCCGTCTTCTCTGAGTGCCCTATCGCTTGTGTAGTCAACCTTCTCGTAGGCGGCTTATGTCGCGACAAACTCCTAAGGAATCCCGGCCGCGGCGCATCTCTGTGGAGGACCATCTTCTCTGCGTCGGTGGGCGTTGCCTTCTCATTATGGCTTTCACGCTCGGTCGTGGCCACGATGCCCATGTATACGACGAGGAAACGCATGCGCAGCAAGTCTAGTCTGCGTACCCTTTCCCCGAGTTCTTTCCGATGAGCAGCCCACAAGATCCGTGTACTAGTCTGCAACGATGTCCCGCCTTGACTGATCATCAACCGATTTAGATTTTCGCGCAAGTCATCGCTGCCCTTCTGTATCTCGCGAAGCAGACGCCCAAGACGAACCTTGTCCTCCAGTCGTGGCACACTGGAGACATCGCGGTCGTAACTCTCGTTTTCCTCGATGGAAAAGTCGACAGCGTCGATAAAAGCGGTGATCTCGCGCGGCGCCGCCATGTACGCACTCGTGTAAGAGGCGATGACCTGCGATGTAGGAAGGGCGGTAACGAGGAGCATCAAGGCCCAGAGGAGAGCGGTCGATGGTGGGTCCGCCATTGTGCGCAACTGGTCATGGAATGACGCATGCGATAGTATACTAAGTAGTATAGTCTTGCTTACCGTTTCATGACCACCGCAAAAATATTCCAGGTGTGAAAGAGTGAGTTGCAGTATTCAATATGAGGAGGAGGCGAGAAGGATGACGTTTGTTTCCGTCGCCTTTCTCTTTGCCGTTCGGTTACATCCTATATGGTGTGTGCCGGGAATGAGAGGGCTGGGGTTTGCGCTTGTTTGCGCTGCTCGCTCCCTCCTGGCTCCTAGCTCCTGGCTGTACTGGCAGCATGTGGGCAGCGAGTAAATGGTGCCCCACGGATAGGGCGGATATGCCGATAAAATCGCCTCGGCTCACATACGATCTCAACTTACCCAGCGGACCCAGATGATCCCACTGGCGTCTCGATGTAATCTGGAAAACCCGCCATTTTGCATACGGACTGGCGTGCTGTCCAATCCTTTCGCGCGATGTTGGCGACCTGCCGGTTGGTCGGGCCTGGCTGTCGGTATGCCCCTGCAGGATATGCAGCAGGCGTCACATGAATGATCGATTACAGTTTGGCGCATTGGTTTCTTGGGACTGAATTTTTCAAGTCGGGATGGCCGCGAGTTTCGCAAAATTCAAGATACACAAGCATGAGGATGGGTTTGCGGCGTTAATAAATAGAAGGCGAGGTTGAGTAGAAACCGTGACCAGGTGTTGTTCATGCAGTTTTATTTATGAGTTGGTCATTTGCTGGAATTTGTCCCTGACGTCGAAGGGCGTGCGACTGGGCTCGAGCCCAATTTGGGGACACTCAGATTGAGGAACCCGCGGGGCAATCCCAGCTGCCGCCATGACTGGCCCATTTTCACTCCGCTGCAAACACGCAGCATTAGTCTGCGCAAACCGGCGTCGTATCACCAAAATTATGGCTCTAGTTGCAACTATTTCCGCAAACTTACCGTCCAGTCGCAAGACTTGAAGCAGCAACATTGTCAAAGCAACATGACAACCTTACTCCCACTCCCGGTTCCGGCCACCCCTGCCGACGAAGTTGAAGCTGGCGCACAGTCACACCAGTTTCCCCTCCCGCAAACCCTCAACTACCCCACCACGACCCCGCCAACCCTGATAACCCAAGGCGCCGAAGGACGACTCTATAAGACAACCTATCTGCTCCCCTCCATCCCCTGCGCGCTCAAACACCGACCCAGCAAGCCGTATCGCCACCCGATCCTCGATCAGCGCCTGACGCGACACCGCATCCTCTCTGAAGCGCGGATCCTGCAAAAATGCCGACGTGAAGGCGTACCCGTGCCCGCGCTGTACGCTGTGGACGAGGGTACGGGCGTGCTGATCATGGAGTGGATTGCCGGTGCGCCAGTACGGGTCCCCGTGAACGAGTACCTGCGGAAGCGCAAGGCGGACGGGCTGCGCGAAGCTGCTACGAAAGAGGATGGGGAGGAGCTGGTTGGGCTCATGAGGAGGATTGGAAGAGCCGTGGGGAGGCTGCATAAGGTGGGTATTGTGCATGGGGATCTCACGACGAGTAATATGATGTTGAGGCCGTGGGATAAGGGCAAGGCGCCCGTGAATGGGCATAAGGCGGATGGGGAGGGGAATGGGCTGCTGGATGGCGAGATTGTCATTATTGACTTTGGGTTGGCGAGCCAGGGAACACAGGATGAAGATCGTGCGGTTGATCTGTATGTGCTGGAGCGCGCATTTGGGAGCACCCACCCGAGAGCCGAAGGACTGTTCGAGGTGGTGCTAGATGCATACAGGGGAGAGTTCAAGACCGCGAACATAGTGTTAAAGAAACTAGAGGACGTGAGGATGAGAGGAAGGAAGAGAAGTATGCTGGGATAGACAGAATACACCCCATTCGACAGATGACACACTGCCGTTTGCGACTTTGCTGATGCTCATCGTGTATAACCTGAAATTATGCCATTCTATGCGATATTTGCTATCAAATGCCATCCGACTCCGAGTATACGACACCGAGATAATGTTCGGTTGGGGACTATCAGTGCTCGACCAGCTCTGCTCCGGCGAAGTAGCCCTTGTTCTCAATGACACCCCGGTCCTTTACAAATGCTGTATACTTGACCACCCACTCGGGAATCAAATTGCCCCTAAGCCCACCACCAGTACTCTCACCATCGGCGAGAACACCAGCGCCTTGGAGTCCCTGGCCAAGCAGTTCCCGCAGTGTGCCACTAGGGAGGATATCTGTGCAATCCCCATGGGTCAGAAGCTCAATGCGCTCCTCCTTGGCTAGTTTCGTCAACGGCGGCGGTACGTTGCAACAGTTCTTGACGTTGATCTGGTTAACCGCCGGACGGGTCTTGACCTGCTTAATAAATCGTGCCAGCTTCTCGGTGCCGAACTCGGCGATGCCCAGTTTGCGGATCTTGCCTTCGCTTTGCAATGCCTCCAATTCGCGCCACGTCGTGAGCTCCTCTTCGTCGTTGCCCATATTTGCGTTCAATTTGTCTGCCTCCCACTCGCAGTCGCCCTCGAATGATACCCCGGGGAAAGATGCGATCAGGAGGTCTACACTTCTAACGCCAAGTTCTTTTGTGACCAGTTGCAGCGCCGTTTTGATATATGCCGCTCGCTCGTTTGCCGGCGCAGTGGGCAGGAAGAATAGCTTCAGCGTGATCTCATACTGTTCTCTGTCTTCTTGCAAACTTCCGCTCGACCAATCGACACGGGGGACGTATAATGTGGATGTTGCGGTGTCCATCTCGGTCCACACCTCTGTCGCGGGTCGACTGCCGTTCGGTTGCGCATATTGGTCATGGTAGCCGCTCACGCCGTTGCCATTCCCATTCCCGTTTTGCAGCTCTGCTGCGTAGTCTTGTTGCGCAGCCAGAAAATTGCTGCGCAGACTGTTCGTGAACTCGAGGTTTGATCGGTACGTGCCCGGTTTGCGAATGATGGAGGGGCCGCCCGAGATGATATTCCTGATCACGACATTAGTAATACGAATTTTGGGTGTTGCGGCAGCGTCACGTACCCCGTTGATAGGACTATCCGCGTCATGTCGTCCAAAGTCTGACGGAACCAAGGTGTCAAATATGCGCACAAGTGATTTAAATGCTCTATGATGGCTGCAAAGCACTTCCTGATGCTGGTGATATATAATACGGGTCATTGGCGCTCTAGGACTGAGGGGCTAAAATTACATGTAGCAAGTGTATTATGAAGCTTTCTCCGGGCCAAGTGGGGTTATCATGATATGGCGATGTCGGGGAGAGCGAAAGAGTCCTAGTGTCTGAGTGTCTGAGTGTCTGAGTCGAGGAGCAAGACAGGCTACGATAGGAATTCAGGGTTGAAGGCCATGGTTAAGTAGATGTAGAGAAGCTGTTGGTATGGAAATGTTTGCAGGCTAAGGGAAGTTGGGTGAATGGGACCGATCTCTTCACAAACTGGCCATCTTGTAATTCAGAGGTCAAGACTTGCCCTCTCTCACCCATTGTCTCAGGGAATTGGCTCACGACCCCCGCGTCAAAACCATAGTGCCCTTCTATAAATGTCCTGGATTTGCACCTCGTCGATGTGGACCCAAGCTAATAATGGGGGGATATATGCTGCTATGGACCCGTGGTTTGCCATGTTTCTGGACGTCGTGGGGTGAAGGTATGATATCTGATGATCCATCGTTCGTTCTCCTGCCGTTTTTGTCTAGACGCCAGAGGCTGCTCATGGCCAAGTTGAGCGGATGCTAGTGGAGTGGCCAAGCGGAAGTAGAGATTGACTTTCCTATCGCGTACACTTGCAGCATCGAGGGCCATTGGGAAGCCTAGGAGATAATCCTAAATGCATCCCATCCTACCTGCATGGCGTGTTGGAGATTTGGAGACAGCGATGAAGAGACGCAGTTTTGTCTGCAATGACCACATTCAAAAAACGAAACCAGCGGGGTTTCCCAATCTTTCAGTGAGGAAGAGGCCCGATAGACTCTTAGTTTCAAGATGGGCAAGTAAGTTTATTGGTCTGTCCATTATTTCAAGGTTTGCATTCATATTGAAGTTGTGAAATCTGCAACGTCAATATGGCAACATTCCAATAAAGGAAGTGACATGCGTATGTTTTTGGTGACTTTCCCATCGGCGAAAGCTTAGTGCCGGCCGGACCGGACCCTTTCATCCTGGCAATCCCGATTTACCTGCTCGTCGTGACCAACCCAAGTGGCAGAACAACTGAACTTCGATTGCAGTGCAGCCACCAACTTTTTTGCAACCTGTTTCCCCCTTGAGGCGACTTTCAGATTCTTTATTCTCCTGGTGATGTGAAAGCATCATCATGGCTATCAAGTATGGCATTCCATCGTGCCCCACAGCTTGGCAATTAACTGAAAGATGACAGCTACCTGATCTTGCTCTCCAGGCAGGGCAAAGTGGTGCGCTGAAGCAAATCCTCAACTTTAGATAAAAGCTTCGCAAACTAACAGTCCTCAGCGTCTTGCAAAATGGTTCACGACCTTGTCTCCCAGGGACAAGGCGAAGATTGTCAAGGATGTCTCTCAACTAGTCCTTGCCAGGCGAACTCGGATGTGCAACTTCCTTGAATACAAAGGTTGGTTCTCCAACATGTCACTGGAAATCAATCTGGACCTTCCTGACCATTGCCTCTGCAACAGATACCAAGATTGTGTACCGTCGTTATGCATCGCTGTTCTTTATCGCCGGCTGCGACTCAGACGACAACGAGTTGATCACCCTTGAGATCATTCACCGATACGTCGAGCAGATGGACAAGTACTATGGCAGTGTCTGCGAGCTCGACATCATCTTCTCCTTCACCAAGGCATACTACATTCTCGACGAGATACTGTTGGCGGGAGAATTACAGGAAAGCAGCAAGAAGGCCGTACTGCGGTGCATTGGGCAGCAAGACTCGCTTGAGGACACGGAGGTAAGCTGATGCTACAGACTTTACTCATTCAACACAGCTTTCCTGTCTCGGAGGGTCTCGGTAATCGCTGACACTCTTTTCTCTCACTCAGATCGAGGACGAGGTCACGAAAATCATGTAGCGAGTCACATTGTATATGGTACAAGGAACTGGGGCTGTGGGTTGGTGTCTAGGAGCTGGCGTTCGACACAAGATAAAGGAACATTGAGTTTGCTAATAAACATATATGATGGTGGCCACAGATTTCCGAAGAGTTCAAAGCGGCATTGAAAAAGAACGGACTGCTGTGACAAGGGATCTGGCTTTAGACAAACGTCGGATGCCATGGTTTGGCTACTCTCAACTGCAGCTGCGGTCTTACGACAAGGTCCCGTAATCAGAGTATGTGCCAAGAGCGGCGAAAACAAACCATTTCGTTCTCGAAACCTCATCAAGTTGGACATATCGAAAAACAATTCTGGCGGGGCACCTGAATCACGACACAAAGAAAGAGACAGCGATGAAGTGACGCATATCGTTGGGAAGTTTGAACAGGCGTTGAAGTGTCAAGGTGACTGCTGACAAAAGAACGACGAAAGCATATCATCCTTATCACCAAATGCACAAATGATCAGGAGGGTTTTGTCACTGGCAATGATGTTTGTGTCAAGTTACGGTCATCTCATTCGTTTAACGTTATTCATCGCCGGCCTTCCTGGGGTGGTCTCTTTGGGGTGGTCTCCTAGAGTGGAGGCTGCCGCCCACCCGACTCCAATTGGATCAACCCCCGCGACCCGGGTACCAAGGTCCAAGCCGGAAGGAGCGAGGGAGTTGGCAACAGCAGCAAGGCAAGGCATTGCCATCCCCCCTCCCCCTACGAAACACCCCATGCTTGTCAGACAATACCACCACCACGGCCGATTGCCAACATTCGTCCGGCGTACTTCTCTCCACCTTCACTACATTCCGCCAATATTGTCTATCGCCAAACATCAAACAGCCGATTCTCCAACATATTTACTTCGATTTCGCGTGATGTCTTCTTCCTGCTAGACGGTTACCGTCTAGCCTATCTTATTTGAACTGATCGGCAGGGTCCGACATAGGTGCATTTGCCTACATTGTACGAGAGGCCACGCCGCTTGCCAACCCGACATCAACATTACAAATATTGATATTCGCATTTCGATTTCTCCATTGGATCTGTTTCTGACCCAGTACTTTACTGCTATATCGACCTCAATCTCTTAACGTACAATTCACCTGGTCGTACGCATCGATTGCGAACTTGCAGACGTCATCACCGCCCTGAAGCATAACATCTGCATCACACGATCATTCGCAGCCTTGAATTATCATCGGAGATTGCAAAACAATCCCCATCATCAAGATGAAGGTCCGTCACCTGCCGTTCAGATCCGGCAACCCGACATCAAGCCCGCATCGTAAGGAAATGGTGACGTTGCGCTGACCTGCTTATCTCTAGTTCCTTCCGCTTCGCGATTTCGACATCGTTACATCGGCGCTCAATTTCACAACGCCTGATTGTCGCGTGACTGGTGGCTGCGATTTGTATGCGACCAAAGCTGCAGGATCCGATAAGAAGCTATACAAGAATATCGACCGCTCTCTCGAATCCCAACATGCTGCACTACTCAAGTTCGGCGCCTCTTTGTCGCCTCCCCAACGCGAGAAGATGGAAGCATCGCTCAACTTGTCGCGCTCAAGTCCTTTTGGATCCCTCTCCGATACGTCAAGTCGTCGCACCTTTGCCTACCTGATCGCGACCCTCAACGCGAGTCATCCAGATTACGACTTCTCACACGTATTGCGACCCAACGATTTCCGTAAGGAGTGGAATCTGCCTCGAGTCATGGCATCAATCGACAGTACTCTGAACAATGTGCGCCCTCACGCGGCCACTCACCTATCGCCTAACATAACCTCGGCGTACAACCCGGCGCATTCGGCCACTGTCGCCGCTCCAAATGGCGGTCACGCCATCAGCAGCCCGGCATGGGGTCCACAAATGTGGTCCATGATGGATAAAGAGATGAAGCTTAAAGACTGCACGTGTTTCTCTTATCAGCCCGCCGATGATCCATTTGATGGCGAGGAATCCGCCATCTGGCGAATGCATTATTTTTTCTTCAACAAGGCGCTGAAGCGTGTGGCCTACCTGTATGTCAGGGGCGTACCTGCCATCGTGCATTCACCTGCACTAGGTCCACATGGCATGCGTCGCGGAAGTAGCTCTGTGGCTAAGCGCCAGGCTACCGCTACGCTCTCGTCAGGCGCAAATAAGCGTGCTAAGTTTTGGCTGGGTGATCGCTATGCGGACACCATCATTACTGTTGAAGATGATGATGACGACTACGATGATAATGAGGCGAACGCAATCATGTGGGATCCAGATGAGGATGTGGATATTGACCCGCTCAATGCACCCAGTAGTCCCGAGGCCAGCGACGATGAGTACTTCCAGGAGGATAGTGAGGATGAGAGCGACGAAGCAAGCATCGCGCGAAGTCCGGTAAGAGGCGTCAGTGAGGATATTGCATCCAGGATGGACATCGAGTAAGATGATGAGTGGAGGGTTTGGGTGTTATATAAATGACCCGTTTGTGGTAACTAGGAGCTATGACGTTTCGGAAGCTTTTGTGTCTGATGATGCCATTGGATGGGATTCAACACCAGCATTGGACTCTGACCAGCCTTGATTTGTTTGACGGGGATTGAGGTTCAGAAGTAACCTTGATCTTGACCGGGAAGGAGGCGTACCACTCGGTCAAGGCCAGGGTTGCACAGGCTTGGATGGAAGCTCATGATGACAATTTCCTTTGAAGTCTTTGCGTTGCGTTGCGTTGCACATGAGGCAATTTGGCGTATCGGAAGCAGCTCTGGATAGGCTATCAGAGCGCGTGATGAGGCGCTCTAGATACCCCCAGGTTTATTTTGCTCTTTGCCTTTCGAATGGGATGGGTAGTTGATGATTGGATGATGCACTTGGACGTTCGAGGAATGGGACATGGCGATATTTAGTTGGCGGTGCGTTTCCGCCAAATTACGCCTACTGTATGGTGACATAATTTTAAATGGATTGAAATGAATTTCCCCTCATAGCGTTTCTGCTCTCGCATGATATGAGGTTCGAAAACTGCCGGCTTTTCCTGTTTGTCTCGCTGATCCAGCTTAATGTTCTTGTGACAGGGTCCTCATACTGTGTCGAATGCGAAGAGGTGTCTAAACTAACATCTTCGATCTTGCGGCAAGCCCAACAATCCCCACGTCACACCAGACACGAGCCAATGTAGCAGATACTTTTCTGTTCTATGCAGCTGCTAACTTAGCCAGTGTCTTTTCTTGTGTTGTCAGCAGTCTTTCCCACTTTGATAAAACAAATTTAACCCGTTCATCCATTATCCCTATCCGCCATGGCAGAATCTCATACTTCAGCCCAGCACTTTTAAGCACCTGGCAAAAATCCCGATGCGTCTCCATCCACTCCTCACCCGAGGGCATCAACCTCACCCCGTCATCCACCAACCAATTCGCCCCAGCCTCACAGACAATGACCAAAGACCTAGCCATGAGGGCTCTCATCTCTTTCCACTCATTCGAGGCGGACAATTCCTGCGCGGCGTCCTCGCTGACGTACCGAAGGGCGTAGACGATTGGGTCTATGGCGGAGCGGTCTGAGATGAACCATGGTGAAGAACAACTGTCCTCGGCGTTGTCTTCTGCGGTGGCCAGATGGAGCCGCTCGGCACGAAACTGGGCTTCTAGGATAAGAGTCTGCAGGGCGAGGGCGCGTGATGGGGAGGTCCGGATGTCGTGTGCGGCGAAGTTGTGGGTTTTAAGGACGGTGCGTGCTACTTCTTCGATGAAACTTGGAGCAGGATAGCTAGGTTTGGTGGGAACGCTGTTCTTGTGGTGTTGGTGGGTGAAGTAGGCCTCCAGCGCGTTGACAAGGGTGGTTTTGCCGGTGCATTGGGCACCGATTATGTAGATGTTTGGTAAGTTCATTGCGGGATAACCCCTGGAAGATTCTGAGTTTGGTAATAATGGAAACCCAACTCAATATTCCGATAGGTATGTGTGATGATATGTAGGTGAGCTCATCAGCCTTTATACTGTGAGTCATATCGTATGTTGGTAACTAGAGCCCCGCGCTGCAACACGTGGGGGTTGGCTGCTGGGTAACAGTGGCTGACATTGCGCTGTCCTGGTCAATCTAAAACAGTAAATCGTTGTTTTCGATGATAACGACTGTTTGGGTGCAAATAAGAGCATGATTACATTGTCCTATCTTGTGAAGATGCTGACAGGGAACCCCCAATCTTATGAGCACATCCCGAGAGTGCCTGTCACACTGGATGATCGTGAGTGGGCGCGCCAGGCCCTGAACCTGCCCAAGCTGCAGAAACTCAACGGGAAGGGCCTGGTAAAGACCATATGCTTCCAAATTTTGAGAGGCTCAATTCAATAAATCATACAGCAGCTGGGAGGCATGGAGCTCAAGCCATGCTCCTCAGGGCTATACTCTTAGTAACTCCATCCTCATGTCCTTTGCCGGCCTCCGCCCTTGTTGTGATCCCAAACCGGCGACGGCGTGATTACGCCCTCGACTCCAAAGTAATGCATCGACTACATATTCTGTGTCCTGGGGGTGGGCGTCCCGCGGCAGTGAGTTCAGTATAACCTCTACGGGCAAAACAACCGCCAACTCCAGTCTCGGACGTGCTTCCGCATGGCCTGCCCCAAAGATGAAATTTCCAAGAAAATAAAACCACTGAGTGATTTCACCAAGACGGAGACCGTGGCGAAGAACGCAAAGTGTATCGGACTCCTCTTCACCGTGGCTTGGGGACAAGTTTGTAGTCCCTGTCCCTGGTCGTTATGAAAAGATTCCCGATACTGAGACGAACGACTTGTGTTTTTACGGAGGGATGCGGCTTGATAGCTCCTTTGTTCGTATAGAAATTAATTTAGAGACTGGGTCTGACTTTTACTTTTCGCAACGCTCACTATAACCCTTCAATTTTCTAGATTACGTATCAGGGCTACAGAGGCGTAGTGACTTTAGATCCAGCTATGAGGAAAGGTGCAACGGTATTGCGGTTGCAAACGTCGACGAAGAAGCTTGTGTGAGGGGAGGGGCTCAAGGAACTGTCTTTATCTGTGGTGGAATACTCCAAGGTGAGCTGACTACTTATCACAACGCTAAAATACCATGTCGAAGGCTGCGCTGCTGGCCTAGCCATACGCGTCGGACCGCCTGAATGACGAAATCGTTCTACTACCCTAGTCCCTCGGCATCCCAGCATCCATCCTACTGAAGAAACCGCAAGAGCATCTTGAATTCCTTGCCCCAGCACCTCGAGATGATCGCGCGGCATTTCGGTTCCTCTGCTACATCAACGTACTCGACCTCGCAGAGAAAGTACTGGTGGGATCCTTGGAAGCCGTGCAGCGGAAAGTAGCCAAGCTAGTGTAAGTCGACCAAGATGCGTAACAAGCGCGTCGAGCAGAGGTACCATATTCTCATATTCACTCAAGGCTAATGTGTAGTGTCTGCAATACCTGCGGTGTCTTAAAGGAAGGGGAGTGTGTGGTGAAAGTTACCATGTCATATGACGGGCGGTCTTGCCATCATGGACGATGATCCCCTAGTCTACTTTTCAAGAACACCAGCGCATCCTTGGGTGAGGGTGGCCGGACCGATGAACCCTCCGTGCCAGGGACGCAACCGGCTTTTCTCGCCGTGTGTTTACGTGAATTGGATCAAGGTACCCGCCAAAATCGGCAGAACGCCCCAGCCAACTAAAGATGCGGCGCCTTTCATCCTCGACCGGCTTCGTGCGGAAGCGAGCCGTTTCATAGTAGCGAATAAGTCATCCACAGCATGAGTTTGGGCGGATACGACTTTGATGCAGTAGAACTACTAGCCGGCCGGAACGACATAGGGGTATCCGAGTTTGAGTTAATCAACTTGGTTTCCCAGTGGCGGAGGAGTAACGACAGATACCGTGAGGACTCTCTGCACTTCTTCGCCTTGAACGTTCTTACGGCCGAGGAGAAGGCCTGGACAGTGGGGTAGATTCCTCTGTTACCCGGCTATGAGTGCACGGATTAGAAATCAAGTCGGTGACTTTGGCTTTGGATGTACATTTTCGCCTGTGGTAACCAGAATGGTTTTGTCGATTCCTACACGAAGTGCTCTGTCCTTTACCCATTTTACACCCCGTATTGACCCGGGTATAACACCAGTTTTGAATAACGCCGGTGCCATGTTTTATTGACGCGTACAATATTAAATGGGACTCCCCCGTCCCCCACAGACGGCCGTAGTCACAACCATCTCATCCCGTTACAGCCAAGTGCGGCTCGAACTCAGCCTCTTGTAACTGCTGCGATAACTCCCATCAGCAAGCAACTCCGTCCCGCTGTTCATCGCAGACTGGTTGCTGAACCGTCCCCTCCACGGCCGATCGTTCGCCTCCTCAAAGTAGTAATGGTTCGCACTCTCCGCGTATCCCACCCGCCATGGCACGACGAGGTCTCGCTTTTGAGGACCGCCGCCACAGCTCCCCTGCAATTGTTGACTAGGAGGTGAGTTGACCGCGAGCGCGAACAAATTCTGCGGTTCCGTGAAATCCGTGACCATGCCCCGGCGCGATATCAAGTACAACAGGCTGATGACATTGATGAAAAAGACCAGGCCCAGCACAAAGTAGAATATAACCTGCCAGTCGGCAACATGGCCCGAAGTGTACTGCTGCATTTTCAACGTCGCGTTGAACACCTCGTACACGCCGGGGTCTAGCTCGTGGATCTCTCTATCCCAATAGTGCTTGTACGTCGACTGTAGAGACCCCACCACGAGCGTCGAGCTTGCGAGCACGGCTAAGGCCTCGGCCATCGAAGGCATCGTGGGTGAGAGTCGTGGTTGTTGAAGAATCAGATCGCCCATGATCCTAGCGTTGGAGGCATTGCTGTTGTAGACGCCACCGTTGAGATCCATGCTTAGGCGCCATTGGTCGGCGAAATTTCTCCAGTCGGATTTAGTTTCCGTCAGTTCGACCGGACCAGGAACCGAGTTCAGGTACGAGTTTTTGTCGTCGGGGTCTTCACAGTAAGCCTTCATCTGGGCGCCTGATATGCCGCTGATGTTGAACTGTGTGCTGCACTTGGGCGAAAGCCAAGATCGAAGCTCGCAAAGGTTGTAGTTGACAGCATAGGTATGGTTGGATTTCGCGAGAATGTAGATCGCATCCGACTCGATGACACTCGTATTGGTAATCATGTTGTAGTCGATAGGAAATAGCTGAAAGACGGGCGGACGCCGACCGTATTGCTCCCCCCAGCGAAAAATGTCGTCCACGACAGTCTTATTGAGCCATTCCTTGGCGCTAAACACAGGCACCTCGTCTAACCAGGCTTCGTGTCCTTTCAAGTGACCAGGGACATCCGTCGAGTTATTGATTGCATGTGGCCAACTTGTGTAAATTAACGGATCTAGTTCCTCCCGCGCCATATTCACACACATCACGTTGACAGTTGGTGCCACGACGCTGGCTCGAACTTGGTATTCTCCGACTCCTGAGAGGTCGCTCGGTTGGAGAACCTCGTTAACGGGGTCGGTAGCAGCTGTATATACTCCCGGATGAGGCATGGCCAAAGTCACGTTATTGATAATCCGATGGTGCTTCTTGAAGCTCTCGGCAGGATCACCGAATTCGCTTTCGATCCATGACGATGTCAAAGTGGTGTTATCAAAGAGAAGAGCAGTGCCCGTTGGTCTGTTCTGCAGTTTGTCGTCCACCGCAGAGCTTTGGTTGCCTTCAGTGTCTTGCCATGTCTTCATGAACGCAAGCAGGTTCCTAAATGACTGGCCAGAATATTGGACATCAAGGCATGAAGACAGCGCGTTGACGTCAAAGGTAAGGTTGATGGGTGTAGTGCACGTTTCTTGGGCGAATATGGGGTTGGCGTATGATGATCGCACGAGTCCGCTGAGCTCCTTGTTCTGCCAGTCTCCGAATTTCAGCTTTGGGGTCACCATGGCATCGCTTGCCGTGGTGTAGAAAGTGCTGCTGAGGGTTGCTAATAAAGTCAAGACCCCCATCACTGTACGCGCAGCATAAGGGATACCTTTCCAATGGGTGAAAAGTGACCCTGGCTCTATTCAACTCTCGGCGTTAGCAATTACTCCTTGTATCATGGATTAGGAAGACGAAGACTTTTCTCAGGAGGCAAGATTGCTGGTGCAGATCCTGTCACTCCCGAGACACGACATAGAAGGGAAATAAGGACTCCGAGAGTTACTCACGGATAACCCAGTTCCGCATCGTCATTTCAGCAAGGGTTATACCCGTCGATCTTTTGATGAAGGAGCGGCGTGTGAGCACTTGACCCAGACAGCCTACGAAGACCGTAACAAATGACAGTTCGATTGTCTTGGCAAACAACGCGGCCAAGGTCGATGCCGTTGCAGGCGCCAGAGCGTTGGCCCCGTTGCCTGATGAGATGCCTCGGCCGTATCTCGGCTGGTATATCGATACCACGAACCACAAACCACTAAGCAGTGTCGAGTAAATGCTCAGCGTGACCAACGTCACATACAGCCAACTCCAAGGACGGATGTGGACGTCCTGTTTCGAGTGACAGTCTACCGGCGCTTGGGCTGGTGGGTTGGCATTAGCTCGATATATCCCGGGCTAAGACGGACAGGAAAGAACGCACTATACTTGAGTGAAAGGTTGTCGGTGTCGTCGCGACTTTCCTGACTGTAGTATTCGGTAATGGGATGAAGGTGGTTCGGGTCCCTTGGCGTGCCAGATGGGTTCACTGGGGACGTTTCTGCGGAGCTGTTCTCGCCGTCAGTACCTGAAGGCGTTGTACCCTTTTCCAAAGGTGATGAAACAGAGCTCCGAAGCATCTCGGTGAACCGTGTCCTCCGTGGCGCCTTCCGTGAGGCCGGTGCGGACGCGGACGTAGCAATATCTACCGTATCTGATTCTGGATCAAGTGGTGGCGAGGCGGCACGGCCTGTTAGAGGAGGAAAGTTTTGATCAGATGCATCCATTATCAACGGCGAGACGGGTTGGATCTCAGGTGGTTGAGACTGCCTCTTGGACGGCATGTCCATGGAGCGCATTGGTTCCGATGTTGGCTTGAATTCAGCGAGATCGATCTCTGAATCAGAATCCATCCGTTGGTAATTCGGTTGTCGAGAGAACGCAGAGAAGACGACACTCGATATTGATCTCTGCTCGGGGAGAGCTTCATCTTGTCGACGGTCCGCGGCCATGGCAACAACAGCCTCACTGGGTAAGATGGAGTTGCAGTGAGATGCTGTTCAAGGTCAAGGACCCAAACACTCAAAATCGAAAAACGAAAGGACCTGGACCTGGATATGCCCGACGGACAATCGTGTTTGAAACGGGAATGCTAATTGCTACAAGCCGGGTCAGAGTAAGGCTGGCAGGTAAGGCTAGAATCGTCGAGGTTGTCGTGGATGGTGAAATTCTAGCGCAGCCACCGCGTTATGCGTCTTGGCACGACTCTCTCGACGACTCTCTCAACTGCGGCCGCAATCAATTCCACTGGCAAGATAGCAACAAAGAAGAAGAAAAGCCAAAAAAATTGTTAATTTGTGGAGAGCTAGGAGGTGGTGTTTGCTCCTAGGACCCAAATTCGGCAGATTGGCCAATACTTGTTTGCAAACACGAAGACAACTATTGGTGCACACACTACCTGCACCGCCCGTTTTGCTGGCGAAATCGAACTGTGCGACACCCTCTTCTAAAAAAAGAAAACGTTAGTCGACATCAGCCTGAGCTATGCTTATTTTTGAACAAGTCAACTGGTCGTTTGTGCATCCAGTGGTGATGGTGTCTTCAAAAGAAGTAATGCATGGTTGGATTGACTGCTCAGGTTTGGGACCAACGAAGGGGAGACAGACACATTTATTGACTACGAATTATTCTGGAAGCTCCAGCCCAGGTTTAGGGTAGCAATCAATCTTCCATTGATCCTTTGCGACGACATGCTAATTTGACTGCCAACCAGAGAGATTGATACTTGAAGTCAGAGGCTCCAAGGAAGTTAGACTGTATTGGGGGTGGACTCCAGAGGATCGATCCATTACCAAGGTTTAGCGCGACACCTTCCGTCCACACCGAGTCCTCACTCGCCAATCCACTTCTCCAAGTGATGATGGACGCCCCCAGAATGGCGCTGCATTCCGCTTGTGTCCCGCAATTTCCCCAGACGCGGCGGAGTTCGGCAACGGCGTCAACGCCAACCCACCGGGTTCCTGTCCTGCAGGCTGCCGCATTGTCACAGCCACAGTAACCCAGAATGGAACAACTGCTTCAGAATGATAGTCTTATCTGTCTGTTGGGGGTCAACATTCCGACATGGCTCCTAATCAACCAACTATCACTCCATCGCCAATCGCTAGTTGATTGCTGCGCATCTCCGGCAGTACTTGCCTATCTCAGAGTCGCTATCACTCGTGCCTCATTTTTGCAGGAACCTTGAGCAAGGGTTGACCATCTTATCGGACCTGCAGCTCTGTATATATAATTGGGCGATTCTGGCATTGTCAAACTGGCTGGAACGGGGGCTACAGGTCAGGTCTGGTAGTCTGGCACTTCAAAACATGTCCAGCATCACCCCAAACAAGCTCTTGGTCGATTACTTGACCGTGGACTCTTCCTTTGGTCCTGTGAAGGGCTTTATCCACAAGGATTACCCCCACGTCGCCCAGTTCCTCGGCATCCCGTTCGCTGAAGCCCCAGTCGGCTCTCGAAGATGGCTTCCTCCGGTGCCGAAAGCTTCAGTGGAGGAAGAGTTCAATGCTACCGAGTTTGGCCCATCCTGTCCCCAGTGGTATAAACCCGGTCCGCCATCCGTGTACAACTCGCTTGTGACTGAACTGCAGATCCGAGATGAAATGTCGGAGGATAACTGCTTGTCTGTGAGTATATGGATGCCAGCAAAGGCCGCCAAGGACCCCACAGCAAAGCTTCCGGTTATAGTCTGGATCACGGGTGGTGCGTTCTTGGTAGGCGGGTCATCGATCCCGTATCAGAATCCTACACCCTGGGTTGAGAACAGTCAAAGACATATGGTGGCGTGTATCAAGTATGACGCAGCTCTACAACCCAAGTTGGATTTCTTGGACTGCCCCTTTAATATCAGAACAGTTACCGCCTAACCATTTTTGGCTTCCCCAATGCTGCGGCCCTCGCCCCTGACGAGCGCAACCTTGGCCTACTTGACCAACGTCTAGGTCTCGAATGGGTGCACAAGCACATTGCATCCTTTGGCGGCGACCCGTCGCGCCTCACGCACTTTGGACAGTCGGCCGGTGGGCGGAGCATCGATATGCATGCCTTCCAGTACAAGGACAATCCCCTTGTGCGCGGACTAATCATCAATTCGGGAACGGCTCTCCCGCATATGAATGCCGTATCTGACCCCGAGCACAAGCAGTTCAGCTTCGTGGCCCAGATCTTAGGGTTCAAGGGCGGCAGCCCAGCGGAAGAGCTCCGGTTCATGAGACAGCAATCGGCGGAGAAGTTGTTAAAGACCATCGAGGCCCATTCCTACACGAAGCAGGCACCTTTCCTAAATTTCAGGCCCATCGTAGATAAGGTGACCATGTTTGACGACTATGAGGAGCTGGCTAAAGCGGGAGAGTTCAGCAAACTGGTAATTTGTGAGTAATACGATTGAACATACTGTACTAACTCAAGGACAATGGCCTGCCATCATTGGCACCACCAGCGACGAGGGAAACGGGTTGGTGCCGTATAGTCCCGACGGAATGGGTCCTGCATCTGCTGCAACAGCAGAGGGGCTCACAAAGAATTTCTTCTTACGACCGTCGGTGGCAATGGCAAAGTGAGTGACTGCTTTAGTCCTATCCTTGTGATAACTGATCATTTAACCCAACGAAAGAGCGCGATCTGCCCACGCCCTGACATTCAGATATCTCTACAAGGACTTTGCGCCATCAGGGACTTCGTCGTTCCCAAACTTATCCCCCCGCCCTTGGCTACGCGCATACCACAGCTCCGATATGCCTCTGATCTTCGGTGGGCATTCTTGGTTTAGGGGCCCCTCGACGGAGCTCGAGGAGAGGGTTTCCCGGGCTTGGCAGGAGCTGTACATCACGTTTGCTGAGGATGGGCCCCGGGGGTTGAGGAAGCTTGGCTGGAAGGACTTGAGTGAGGGCGAGGGGATTGTTATTGGATGTGGGGAGAAGATGTGGGAGAGTGTCAGCCTTGAGGATATCGATACGTAAGTCTATAGATCTGGGCAATTTGGCCCTCTGTGACGTGCATGAGGGTAGCATATGATCGGCCTTTATTAAACACGTCGAGGAACAGTGGTATATTGAGTATAGGATGAATGTTCGAATGGCGTTCCAATGCTACTTCTTACGGCCTCATAAGTTCTACCACTTCTTTCCTGTCTATGACATCCAGCGTAGACTAGATCAAAGAAGCCGCTCACATTTATACGCAAAATTGAACTGAACAGGGAGTAAGGCATACTTGCATAAGCTAGTATATACTGTTCAATGTAACATCCTACTGTAACATGTCGTAGTCTATCTTTTCCCTCTATGGGATAGCTACCTGATACCCAGGGCTTCGGAAAGTGAATAGACTTACACGCTCGTTGCCTAGAAGATATTACCCTAATCTAAAACCATGCTATTCATGCGACTAATTGTCTGACCAAGTCCTCTGGGGCCACGCTCAAATTGGAGAGTAGTAGCTCTGCCTATGGATTCCAAATCGCTTCTTTGGAAAGTCTCTGCACCACTTGTATTAAACTTTTCACAATCCACAGAGCTTTATCAATCTGACATCGGCTTCAGGCATTACGGTATTAGAAAGAGCTGAGAGATCCCAGACAGACATACTAGGCACAAGCCAGGAGTCAAAGCAGGGTTGATGGTCAACTAGCTACCGATTCACGGGAAACTCTTAGATCCAAATCTCCGAAACTCTATCTGTACCCTTTCACCGTTTCAAGCGCGTCAGGGAGATCGGCCGAAACGGGCGGAACAATTCCAATCGAAGACGGAAACAACTGTGCGCTCGGATATATGGCAGAAAACCCAGATCTGGGGATGGGACCGGAAATACTAGGAACTCCAAGACATGGCACGAAATTTAAGCTTTACAGCTTTTCTTGGCCGCTTGGCACCTTGACAACATATCACTGGATCGGGAAATTTGGTGAGAACCGGAGACGAGATTGGGAACCCACCAAATGGTTGTATAAGTTTCCAGGTTCGAAACGTGTATCGCATAGCGTAGTGGAATCAGCTAACATCGATAACTATCGTGTAGAGTTAACAATTTCATAGACACATTCTAAGAAACAAGCATAAGAAATGTGTAAGCATCATCATTCCACACGAAGTGTGTCTGTGTACAACCATCACTCAGTGATGGATAACGCTGAGAACGTGAAGAGGAAATCTGAAATCCCCCTCCCAAGATTGCCTCAACCCGCTGAGTCGCAATCAAACTATGTACAGGATATCAACCATCGCCGCCATCTATATATACCGACCACCCGCGAAAGACTGCGGATCCCGGGGCCTAACCCTAGAAAGCTAGCTGTCGGACAAGACCATTTACTGACTCTGCTCGAATCCGCGAGCGAAGCGCTTCTTGGCCAGGTTGTACTCGATGGCGCGCTTCTTGGCCGCGGGACTCTGGGTGAAGGCAGCGGATCCGCCGAAAGGTCCAGCCAAAGCCGAGTTCTGCAGGCGGGCAACGCAGACGTTGCTAGCGCCTCCAACCTGACCCTGACATGTCATCTGGCATTAAGTTAGCGACGGCCCAGAAAAGATAGTCACGAGTACATACACCAGCAGGCATCTGTACAGCCACAGGGAAGTCCATCACAGAGGCGCCGGAGAGACCGCCAAAGCCAAGGCCGGGAACGTTTTGGGTAACCTCGGCCTGCTTAAAGGCGCTGGGGTCAGTTCCGCCTGAGGTGGCATCAATCGCCGCCGTGAGAGGCCCAGCCCCATCCTGGTTAACCTGGTGAAAGGTCATGGTGATCGTGCCGTCGTCGGCAGTTGTGGGGATGCCCTGGGCCGCGCCCTGACCGGTAGCCTGTTACGAGGTTAGCCGTTCTGATTGCTGCAAGTGATCATATGGACTTACAGCCTTAACACCAGTCTCGGTGGTGCCCTTGGGGGTCTTGGTTCCGCCGTTGCCGGCACGAACGGCAAGCTTCGCGTAGCGGGCCATGTTGGCAGCGTGGAGGTCGCGAGCCGCGGCGGCGGCGGTGGTGTTCCCGCCCTGGGCATCCATGAAGACGGCCATCATCTTGGCAGCGTCAACGGGACCGTCGCCTGTTAAACCGTCAGTAAGAGCGTCTTGCTTGAAACTTGGTGGGTACGAACCCTGAGTTCGGCCAAGGGCTGAGGCCCTGTTGGTGCCTATCTCGTTCTGGCGGATGATGGATGTATCGGCCTCAGATCCGCAGCGCGGGCTGGCACAATCACGGGGAGTTCCATCAGCGACTGATAGGCCGGGCATAGTTACACCGTTCGCACCAGTCACAGCGGTAATGACACCATGGGCGGCGACGTTGGTGGCAGCGAAAGCTGCAATAAGAATGCTGCTGGAGTATCTCATCTTCACTGATTAAAAAGATTGGCTGGAGTTCTTGTTAGGAGAAGGAACAGGAATGTGGAATTGATTAAAGAAGGAGCTGGTAATTAAGGTAGTAAACTAGCTGAGCACCGGGCTCTGAACAAAGGAAGATGATGAATTGAAGATAGAAGTGAATGATGCTTGATGATGATGGTGGGATATGTATTGAATGGGAATGATGGATTATCTTATAGCTTTTTCTCTTGGCTGGCGAGTCTTGGTAAATCTTGGTCTCCTTTGGTCCCATCCTCACATGTAGTGGCATTCCTCCCTGACGGATACGACGCTGTTTGACGCTGCCTGATCAGAGGCATCTCGAATTCGCAACTGAGTCGCAAAGAGATCAGGTGAAGCAGCTATCTGACCACTGCAAGATGGCGAGGCTGTGTACAAGGTCATGATGTGGACCAGCTATCGCGAGGTCGGAGCAGTAGGCCCGGCCTGTATGAACGAAGATCAATCGATGCGATTGGTTACGGAGATTGCGAGCCGTGGATCACTATAGGTCGAGGTGGTAAGAAGCTTGCTTTCCGTCAATGCATGAATTCCGGACGGGAACTCGGAGAGAAGTTGTGGTGGGTCTGTAGATCATAGAACAAATATCCACCTTGGTATCGTCTGTGGGTCCGGGAGGCAATGTTGTTTCTGCAAGTTTGAAGCCCACGTGTGATGTATAGCGTTTAGGTATGAAGCTGTGCAGTAATGGGCTCATCAAAACGTGATAGGGTGGAGTGAGCGCAAGCTACTACTCGTCACAAGGAGCATCCTTCGAAGGTCGACAGAGTTCTACTCGAACCTAAAACGTGATATGTCACAAATTCAAGGAAACGACGTAACAAAATATCGCATCTTTCTCTCTATTCGTTGGATTGCTGACAAAAATAAACCAGAGGAAAGGTGTTGCGCAAGGGTATTGGGAAAGGGGCTTTCTCCATAACGTCCATCGTGGTTAACCTCACGATTCATCAGACTCTCTCTGGATCCTGGGTGAAACATACGAGGCGCCCAAACCATCTGGTCTTTGCTTGTCAACGACAAAACCTCGAGCTGACGAACAGTGATATGGCCGAAGTTTCCGTAGAAGCCCATCTACGTTGAATCTGATTTGACAGAAATGAAAAAAATCTCGCATGTCGGGTATTTGAAATCGTGAAGTCAGTTAATTGGATCATCCGGAGGAGGAGAACTTAGGATGATGTTAGACCAGATCGCGAACTTTACTCCTAATTTGCGGGTTGTCATTTTACCGAGTCTGAGCGACCAAAATACGAACCTCGGAATGCTAGCCGAGTGACGAGATCGTCATGAAACCGCACAGGTTCATCTTACCTTATGCTAGGGGCGCAGCACCGAGAAGTGTGAAAAGCTTAAGCTCTTGATTGCGAGAGTGGCTGATACCCGAACTTTTGGTTTGTTCATCTATACACTCCGCCTGGCGTCCGTTTATGTCAGTAGATGCAAATAAAGTACTTATTGTCATAGATAAAAATAGTCCAGCTGGCCACATATTCCCCATATGTAGGGTTATATCGCATTATATATACCTGTACAGGCAATTTCTACATATGAATTGATATAAATAAGTATATATTCGGTCTATCGAAAGAAAAACTCGTGATATCCTTAAGCCGTAGTTATACCTATCTATAGTTATACAATATGTGGGTGTGGGATCGCACTGCTACTAGCATTCTGGCCACATACGCAGGTGCAGAAGGGAAGTACAGGTGAGGGGGTCCAAGCCGCACAAGAGCACTAAAGTATCTCAGGCAAACACTTCCCAAACAATATATTAACGTGGCTTTTGTGGATTTGGTGGCGTGAGATCACGTGAGGCACGCGCGAGATACTTTAGTGCCCTTGTAACCCTAGTATCTCTCGTTCGGGAGTGCTAGTGTTTCTAAAGGCTTATCGAAGTCGCCGTCGCGATAATTATTCGACCGTTCCTTCAATTAATTCGATAATCGTACGGCGGACTGTATATCTAATCGAGCCGTTCTAGGCGACAGGTGTTACGAACCGTTGGCCCTAGACCAACATTACAGGCCCGTTGGCAGGCCAGGTGGATACAAGCATTAGGATCACGGGACCCCGCATCGGAGAAAGGAAAGAACCGACCCGGTCACGTGACTTACAAGGGTGGATATGTTGGTCAACTACATATCCAACCAACAGGATATGTTGGCACAGAACATATCCAAGTGGGGATCAGTGAAGGAGAGATGGGTATATAAGGGACAGGACTCCCAGGCATTTCATAGATAGACAGTCTCTACTTCAGTGATCAATCTAAGCATCAATGTAACCTATTGGTGTGGCAAACTGCCTTAACGACTCTATACCCCGTTACCCTACTTGAATACTTCAGTTACCCAGAGCACTATACTCCATACGTCGTTCCCCGATATTATTGCTAAAGGACTCCGCAGCAGGACTTACTTACTAGCACAAACCCTTACAGACTCTTTAGTGGTTTACGCAGCTAGACTATTAGAGGTTTCGTTACACTGATCTAACCACCTATTTGCGATAACTTTATTACACCAGCCCTTACTCGTCGCGGTGTATTCCCACTCAGGGATATTTTGGTCTGGGAACCACTGTGCTTGGACTCTCTTGCCGGAAAATACGCAGACAGGTGTACCCCGTTGGGTATGCGAAATGTACTCTAACCAGGAGCACCACGAAGCGTCCGACTTTGATACGCGTACCCGGCGTGAATTAGACGTCCCAATAACCGTACCATGCCCAGATTCCCCCTCTTGGACACCTGTCTCATCCATATTATACTCGTTGTCGGGTTTGATACGATACTTCGTACGTAAGCGTTCGAGGAGGGTGTAGAAGTCTCGGATCTTGTTCGAATCGGATGCTCTAACTCGGCTAGCATCTACGACGCGCCCAATTTTGGTACGTATCTGCGGATGGCGGCTAACGAAGTGATCCACCCAGTGTTGGCCGAGTGTATTGTTATCCCCTTGAGCAAGGAGGATTTCGGCAGCGAAGTCGGCCACATAACGCTTGCTAGGAGCCCGTCCACACACTTCTTCGTATAGGATCCAGTTCACGATAACCTCCTCTTGCTCTGGAGTCAACTTTTGTTGCCTGGAGGCCGCGTCGCGATGCGAATTACCGTGACGAATACGGTAGGACAGTGTAGTCCCCTTGATACCGTACCGATGAGCTGCTACGGCCTGGGAAGAGCCCTGACGGACAAGCTCTTTAGCGCGTTCGATTCGCTGCTCAAAATCGTCCAGACTATTCTCCACTGGATTAGCCATTTTGTACGTAGATAGGGAGCAATTGCGAGGTAAATTGAGAGACGTCGTGTTGTTGAGGCGTAGAAATTCCCTGCAAAATGGGGGTGCATGCAAAAAGGTGGTCAATGCGGTTAGTCAACTAAAATCCAGCGGTTTCAAAATACGCTCAACTTGGTTGAACGGATCGCTGCCAGCACATGACCACAAGGTCGTGAAACATTGTTGGAATAGTGGAATGAGAACACATCTACGGCCAAGTTTGATGATGAAGTAGAAAGCGACCGCAGCAATTGCGAGGCTAGCCATGCGACCGGCCACTCAGTACGACTTGGAATCAGCTGATGGCTGTGGACTGCCATTGAGTCTCGCGAGAATGCCGATGTCGGCATTTTTCAAATGGCAGTCGATGTCCATTCCAGAAGCCATTTGTTCACTCACAGCAGCAAATTACCTCCATGTAATGCAGACGATCTGCCGCGAGCCGTATTTCGCGATGACGCACCAGCGTGAACTCGCTAGGCCACGGGTGCTTGTTGCAACCGCCCCATGACCTTGAACAAGATGCACAAGTCACCAGTTGTAGCCCTTGAATATCGCTACTGTGGGACGAGGCTCTCGCCTCACCTCGCCTATCCTTGTTCCCACGTTGTAGAGCGTATCACAGGGCCAAACATATGCTGCGGCCATTGTCGAACGCTGCGGAAGGGTTCTCCCGAAGTACAATCTGAGACGGCTGATGAGCTTTGTCTCTTACCCGCTGCTAACTAGTCTTCCAAACAATGTTGAGAAGGCTTTCGTCAATGTTCATAGTTGGCGAAGCACAGCGGGTTGAATGACAAGTTTCTGCACCACATGCTGAAACGTGGGGAATGCGCAAGGTGTTGGGCGGCGTGAATCGACTAAAACCCTTCAAGGTGTATAAGTGCTGGAAGTCAAAGTGTGTCGGCGCCGTTTTGGCGAACCTCGCCTGAATAGTCGCGACTGGTGTTGGATTGGGAAATCCTGGGAGAGTCAGGCTCAGCGAATGCTCAGAATCGATTCAACAAGGCACATCAAGACTATCCAACGGCTAGTGCTCTAGCGGCATCCTTGGGCAAGTATCCATGTCAGGTGACACCCACTGTAGGACGCCTCATTAGTAATCAAATACTATGTACATGTACCGGCTGTGAGTGATCAGCCAACAATACCATCCACACACTTGACCATAGATGACCATCCGGTAGCTTGGCACGACCATTCTGCAATAGAAATTGCATGTAGACATGTAGATACCAGTCTGAAAGCATTGGGTTTGGTGTCTTGAAGCAAGCTTTGTCAGAACAGAGAGATTGCCTTGCTCCAACGGTGCAAAGTTTCCGCTGCGTCGATCCGTTAGCGCGGTGTCGTGCACATCTTCGAGGCTCACAAAATTGACACTGTCTGAGCCATCTTGGTGTATTGGTATGGCGCGGCACGCCGCAAAGTGGGCAAGCACGACTCATCCACCACTTAGCGGACAAACTTGGCAACTTGAGAGTCCAAGAGGGATTTATGGCGGTGTGCTATTGGATGACCCAGTCTGTCATCATAAAGATAAGAAGCCTCCATTCTGATGATTGAGGAATCTGATATGAGATGCTGACAACTAAATCCTCATAGTGTCGTCACTGGCACAATCTCTGATGGCACGGTAGCCAAGCCTCTTCTGGAAAATGGTGGGTCATCCCGCGCTACCCCAATATTTGCGGTACTTTGTATGGCCCTCGGGATTCCTCTGCGCCTATAATGAGGCAGGGACATACACCAATGTCGTTCGCCAGTACAGTGAATTACACTTCGGTAGCGTAGTGCAGTGCATCTGCGCCGACGAGGTTAGTGATAGGTGCTGGTATGTAAGATTCAGAGGTACTTCGACTACTAGCCAATATCGCCAAAGTCGGGTATCTCCATATTACCAGAAAGGGCTTAGCCACAGTGCCAGTATAAGTTTCGGTCACCGGAAGCATAGAATGGAACGAGCCCCGGATTTTTGGGGTCTTCTCCAGAATTTAGATGGCAGCCCCGTTAAACAATGCCGATGGTAATAGGACCTGCCTGGGTAGCATTAGTTTCAGACGTTAGCCTATGCCCATTCCGGGGTGTAGCCTCGGCTTGCTAGTCACGTCAAGCTTTTCTCCGCATTTTCTTGCTGCCGTTCTACTTGTAAATCCACTTTCCCCTTCGTCACTATCTTATTCATTTGGCTATGCAGCCAATTACAGAGCTCCAGTATCGAGGGGGGTTTCGATGGACCCTGCTCCCTCGGTCCATCGGAGGTGGACCAGAGCTCCAGATCCCAGACGGAGTGCGTACCACCTCCCATACCCTAAGCACCGAAGCTGATGCTCTCTTTCCCTCATAGACGTTTTTGTTCTGAGAAAGCACTCATATCAGTCTACCTTCTCATATCTCTCAGCTTCACCTGGGCTTAAATATTCCTCGTCCCAGATGACTGAATATCGAGCCCGTTCTTCATCCTGTGGTCCTTGAACCAACTTGAACCAATCCTGCTCACTAACGAAGTTTCGGATTTGAGGCAACTTGAGTCAAACCTAAGCTTCGTATCCAACATTGGAGGCGCACTTCCCTGCCGGCTTCGTCCTAGACCACTTCATTACCTCTCTTACAATGACTATCCACAGTCGCTGGACCAAGCTCGTACCGGAGACTCCATTGCAAACATGGGTGTTTGGATCCTCCTTCGAACGGCTATCAGACAAGCCCCAATTCATCGACCCGGAGCAACCTGACCATTCTCTTAGTGTGGCAGAATACCGGCTTTGGTCCAAGAGGTTTGCCATGGGACTTCAGGCGGCCGGCCTGAAACCGGGCGATCGAGTTTTACTTTTTTCTGGTAATAATCTGTTCTTCCCAGTGGTCTTCATGGGAATCCTCATGGCTGGAGGAATATTTACGGTCTGTCCTCTTTTCTCTCTCTGTTTATCTCCAATTGCAGGAACTGCTGCCAAGCAAGAAAAGGGGTCATGGTTGCCGTGGCCACAATGGCGAATACCGGCTGATCTCTAGTAGGGCGCCAATCCGAGCTTCGTGGCACGGGAGGTGGCTTATCAGTTGAAAGACAGCGGCGCCACCTTTCTTATAGCTGCAGACGTGAGCTTGAATATCGCTCTTGAGGCGGCAGTCCAGGCTGGACTGCCCAAGAACCGTGTCTACAGGTAAGTACCGAGAACGACTTTATCATTGCGCAATCAAATTTATGCTCCTTGAGCTACCTTTGAAGGGGGAAAGTGAGGGTGAAATACGCCTTGAATGCCACCTGGTAACAGGATCATTCAATTCCACATCCCATTCTCTCATGCGACTTCCCTAAAGAGCAAACAGGAAATTGACATGGCTCAAATCAGTTTCGATGCCACAGCTCTAGATCCAACACCCGGCAAGGCTGAACTTGGCACGAAACACTGGACCGAGCTATTGGCCCCCGTGGAAAAGGCCGAGAAGTTCGACTGGGTAGAACCTGAAGACCCTAAAAGCGCCACTTGCTGCTTAAACTATAGTAGTGGGACTACAGGAGTACCAAAGGGTGTAGAAATATCGGTGAGCCGGTGCGTTATCGCTTTTGAGCATATTATGTCTAATTGAAGCAGCATTACTCGTACGTTGCCAATGGAGTAGGTGTTGTTGGGGTAGCGTCGGTAAGGGTACCTAGTACTTGAGATCCTTAGGCATACCGAGTCTAACACAACCAGCTGAACCCTGAATTTTCCGAAGTTAACAAGCGGGCGAGGCAGCTCTGCTTCCTGCCTATGTATCACGCATTCGGTCAAACGTATTATACGTGCATCTTCCCCAAACTGGAAGTCCCTGTATACATTATGCCGAAGTTTGACTTTGTGAAAATGCTCGAGTACACTCAGAAGTACCGGATTACCAGCCTGACCTGCGTACCACCCATTATCGTCGCTTTGGCGAAACATCCCCTCACGAAGAAATACGATTTGAGCAGCGTCGAAAGTATTGGCTCTGGTGCCGCACCGTTGAGTCTGGAATCGTCTGATGAGGTGGCCAGGCTGTGGCCGACGGGCGTCATCAACGTCAGGAACGGGTGGGGAATGACAGAGGTAACGTGCACAAGCACCGGCTGGGACCCGAACATCAATAAGCGCAGTAATGCGGTGGGTGAAATGATGCCTAATTGTGCCGCCAAGCTCTTGAAGTTGGATGGTTCCGGTGAGATCACCCAGGCAAACGAGCCGGGGGAGCTCTGGGTTTCTGGTCCAACGTACACACCACTCAATGCAAAGGGGCAGCAACGAAGAAAATGCTGACCACATCACAGGCTTATGAAGGGCTATTGGAACAAGCCAGATGCAACGGCTGAAACCATCAAGGTCGATGCTGATGGCACAAAATGGCTGAGAACCGGCGACATTGCTTACGTTGAGAAATACGAACCTGGTGGGCTGTGGCACGTAATCGACCGCCTGAAAGAGCTCATCAAGGTCAAAGGAAATCAAGTCGCACCGGCTGAATTGGAGGATGTGTTGCTAGGCAACAAGGCGGTGGCAGATGTTGCGGTGGTCGGTGTTACAATCAACGGAGAGGAAGTACCTCGAGCTTACATTGTACCGAACCCAGCGGTCAAAACCACGGAGAAGGATGTCGCAAAATGGATGGAAAGCAAAGTCACCCGGTACAAGTGGCTGAAAGGCGGTGTGGTCTTTGTTGATGAAGTCCCGAAGAATCCTGTAAGTTTTATAATTGGCCGCATATCATTAAATAGCCTTCGGGCGTCAAAGCTAACATGAGGTGATAGTCCGGCAAGATTCTGCGCAAGGTTTTGAGGGACAAGGCAGCTCGGGAAGTGGGTGACCGGAAACCCACTACATCGAAGTTGGCTTAACTTAAACAGGCCTAAGTCGGCCTCCATACGTACACCCTTGAACAGGACTACCGGACGGCCGAATTCGTAGCGATATGCATATGAACCATTCGAGGTGAACGATCACCAAGCAACTGCTGGACTAGGTATATACGGGAGTGCCCGTGCACATTATCACAATATCTCCTCTTGTGTATCATACACTTACTTGAGAGCGGTTTGAAGTTTGTGTGCATTTGGCTCATGAGATGACTTAGGCCGGGAAATGGTAACAAGTGGTTTTGACTCACTAATCAACTGTGAAATTAAGCTGAGCCTGGAGAAACCCGAGAAAATCCTGAACTTCCCAGTTGGTGATGAAACAACAGCACAACCTATCTCATATGTATGACGAAGCATGTCGCATTCCAGGTCGCTGTATCGTATCTGTATGTGTAAACGCGGATCTCATGTTCCACTCGTGCGCTTCTGAGATGATAATAATGTGGTCCGTCAGCTCCTCCAGGGCTTCTCAATGGTATGATAGGCACACAATCGTGTTCCAAGAACAGTCGGTTGGAATCCGGCGGCGGTTATAGGGACCATGTATGCCCACTGCGAAAGTGATGGGGATATAGTTTAGTAGAGTTAGACATCCTACTAAAGAATTCACAACCCTACACCGATATTAGAATTAACCTCCGGGTTAGATTCAGAAAGATTATAGTGCCAGGGAAAAAAGGTTGCGGAGGATACAAATTCGCAATACAGGGCCACACTTGTATGTAGGACTGGATAATTTACCCGCTATACTTCGAGTCTTTTGACCTAATTTCTTCATAAGCCGTCCGATCGACACCTAGCGGTGTATTAACGCGCTTTTTCAATGTAACGAACGAGACCGATCTTAAATAGGGTTTGGAGAAATGACAAAAGACTTTCTCCTATTGATTGCCTACAGCAAGGGTGAGTGGTCAACAGTGAATTACCGTAATAATATATCATTAAAAGCAACTGAGATGTACGTATTTTGAAGAAAATCTTCAACCCCGCACTCCGCATCAACGTCATCTGGAATCAAATTGAAGATCTAGACCTTAAATCAGGATAGATGACAGCATTATTTGAAATTTTGAGGCCTCAAAAGGTCCCGATTGAAGGTTCAAGGGTGGCGTTTAGGGAATGCAATCCATTCCGTATTTTCCACTCTGGATCCGCCCACCAAATCCGCCAACAGATACTGTGGCACTTCAAACCCTTATAAATACTACCACGGTCGACCCAAAGCAGTGTTAAGCTATCCAGACCATCGAGCCACTGCCTGGGGCCAATGCCGGCAGTGGACTTGCTGGAATATCACTGGGGAAGCCGCTAGCAGCCAGCGAAGAGAGGCATTCCATATCGTCACAGAAGGATTATAATGAACAAAATTGAGCGCCGTGCAAACCCATCAGGCTGTGTAGAAGAGGTGGTGCGGGAGGATGATTGATGATTGAAATTTAACGTCTCATCACGTGAGACGTGCCGGGCGCAGTGCCGGCATGGTCTATGCTAGTCGAATCTATGTTACAGGGGACTGTCTTCATCTAACATTCCTGTTCAGTGCGATGGGCAGATCTCAGTAAAGAAATTGGTCTCCTCCGCCCATTGGCAAAACAAACAAGCTCCCTTGGCCGTGCCTAGGAGGGAATCTATACTATTCTTGGCCATATGCGCTTTTAGATGACCGGGCGTGGCCTTGCGGCTGCGCTTGCAAAAGTAGAAGTGGACTGGTGTCTTTGTCTTTCCACACCTGCAGTTGAGCAGTGCGTCGCGATGCTGGAGTCTCTCGTGGTAGGTCACGAAATCCCCGTGGTGCGACCTCGCTGCGAGTAATCTGCCTAGGTGTTGCCGGGGCAGGCCAAGTTCGGGGGGTCGCGGGTGGATAGCGATCCCTAGATCTCGATCCTGTTGAGGGCAGGTAGTGGCCCATCGATCGTTGAAACTCTTCCAAGTGTAGGATCTCGCGATTCTCTTTATATGTGCGAATGAGGCCGGGTGTTGTGAAGGTCAACCCTCGCAGACTCACTACAACCAGGTGACGTACAGCTGGAACACCTGCCATGGCAGTGCCAGGTGGGAAGCCAATCATAACCCCTGCAGGAGCCCCGCCAAGCGTGGACGACTTAGTCGCGCCCCCTCAAACCTAAGTTGTCATCTTCTTTCCTTCGCTCCTTAGAGTAGAATCTTCGTCGATAGCACCTAATCCAGGTCTCTACCAATGCGATGCAACCCAGGTCGTGACAGGTGTTGTGTCTTGGGTGGTTGCTCACAGGCCGCTTTGGCCTGGACATCTGCTTCTTCGTTTCCGGGGATGCCTACGTGTCCTGGGCACCACCAGATATACACTTATTAATATCACGTGATGCGATAAGCGGCTAACCTATATTACACGATAGCCGCGCTAATTCGATAAAATTAACTAAATTAGAAGAAGCTATTCTTGCGTATATATTAGATATAGATTCGAAAGGGTATTCGCCCGCGGTTAAGAATATGGAAGATGTCTCACGACCTGGGTTGCATCGCATTGGTAGAGACCTGGATTAGGTGCTATCGACGAAGATTCTACTCTAAGGAGCGAAGGAAAGAAGATGACAACTTAGGTTTGAGGGGGCGCGACTAAGTCGTCCACGCTTGGCGGGGCTCCTGCAGGGGTTATGATTGGCTTCCCACCTGGCACTGCCATGGCAGGTGTTCCAGCTGTACGTCACCTGGTTGTAGTGAGTCTGCGAGGGTTGACCTTCACAACACCCGGCCTCATTCGCACATATAAAGAGAATCGCGAGATCCTACACTTGGAAGAGTTTCAACGATCGATGGGCCACTACCTGCCCTCAACAGGATCGAGATCTAGGGATCGCTATCCACCCGCGACCCCCCGAACTTGGCCTGCCCCGGCAACACCTAGGCAGATTACTCGCAGCGAGGTCGCACCACGGGGATTTCGTGACCTACCACGAGAGACTCCAGCATCGCGACGCACTGCTCAACTGCAGGTGTGGAAAGACAAAGACACCAGTCCACTTCTACTTTTGCAAGCGCAGCCGCAAGGCCACGCCCGGTCATCTAAAAGCGCATATGGCCAAGAATAGTATAGATTCCCTCCTAGGCACGGCCAAGGGAGCTCGTTTGTTTTTCCAATGGGCGGAGGAGACCAATTTCTTTACTGAGATCTGCCCATCGCACTGAACAGGAATGTTAGATGAAGACAGTCCCCTGTAACATAGATTCGACTAGCATAGACCATGCCGGCACTGCGCCCGGCACGTCTCACGTGATGAGACGTTAAACTTTCAATCAATCAATCAACCAAGTGGGGATCAGTGAAGGAGAGATGGGTATATAAAGGACAGGACTCCCAGGCATTTCATAGATAGACAGTCTCTACTTCAGTGATCAATCTAAGCATCAATGTAACCTATTGGTGTGGCAAACTGCCTTAACGACTCTATTCCCAGTTACCCTACTTGAATACTTCAGTTACCCAGAGCCCTATACTCCATACGTCAGACCCCGATATTATTGCTAAAGGACTCCGCAGCAGGACTTACTTACTAGCACAAACCCTTACAGACTCTTTAGTGGTTTACGCAGCTAGACTATTAGAGGTTTCGTTACATGAACCCTTCTCCCTTTTATCCTTCTGTCCTCCCGTCTCGTCATTTCAGGAATCTTCGAGAAGTGAAGCTATTCGGAGATTTCTGTGGGTCCAAGTGCTGTTGAGAATCTTCTGTGGGTCTTTCTGGCCGAAGGCGTCGCAGAGGCCACATACCGGTCATAGACCGTGACACCTATAACGAGTATTAGGGGTACAATTATACCTATTAACTGTCACAGCTCTGGCGATTACAGAGCCACATAGTGCTGTATATACAGTTAGTGGGACCAAATGTCAGTAACACTGACATTTCAGATCTTTTGGTCTATTGGCCTAGGGGATTGGTCCTCCCCTTGTGACATCAACGTAGTGAAGTTAATAAGGTCTAGCCTAGTAACCGAGAATAGGCTACGGTAATCTAATGGGTTTATATAGACGGCTAGTATATCCCGCTGTTTATCGTAGTAAAGGGGGCCTAGAACCTTAACTATCAGTACCGGAGTGCGGCCTTCTATAAGATTAGTGTCACAAAAGTCAGTGGTATGACGACAAGAGGGACTCGAAGTAGAGTTACCCTGGGTAAGCGGGCGGGATCATGACGGTCCATCGACATTTCGAAAACACTTCCAGCCCTTAAATGGTGCTCGAGGCACCTAAAGGACTTTGGGGGCAAGTTTTCTTATCTCGAGATTTTGTCACAGGACGGGATACCTGACGTTGCCTATGCCGTTTTAACTATTGATCCCTTGTTATACCTTGCGATCCAAACAGCCTCAGTGCGAGTCGGAGCAACTTGGATAAAGTATTCTAGACCACGGTGGGTACGGGCCAAGGTGAACACGTAGTCGACACAATATTATGGGTCTGCCTCGGCAAGCCGATCACAAAGTGGTCCTCGGAATGAAAATACATTCAGCGCGAGTGAGTCATATTCTCTGGATAGTCGCGACCCACGCGAGACGCGAGATGGGCGCCATTCTGACGGGATGCGGCGAAATAGTAGTAGGCTTTATATATCTGGTGTCTCTCTCTGAGCTCAAAGGAGTATCAATCGATTACATAACCACCGACGATATTCAATAAACTCTACAAAAAGTGAGCAAAATAACTATCTTCAGACCAATGCAATGCTTTCATCATGGAGCCCACCCCCTGGTTATGATGAGAGGCCAGTTGCAGTACTTGGAGGTGGCGTTTTGGGACGTCGCATAGGTTGGTGTTAGCTCTCACACTGTCAGGATATTTCTTACAAGCGAATAGCGTGTATCTGGGCATCGGGTGGGTACAATGTTCGAATCCGAGAGCCGGACCAGAAACAGCACCAACCTTGCCTCGACTACATCGGAGATAATGCTGCAAAGTACCCTGCTGCCGAAGGAGGAAAACGCACCGGGAAAGTCAGCATTTTCCAGGACCTAGCAGACGCGGTTCAAGAAGCGTGGCTCGTCATCGAAGCAGTACCAGAGAAGCTCGAAATAAAAATCGACACCTTCGCGGAGCTGGAGGCCAAGGCACCCATGGATGCAATTCTAGCCAGCAACTCATCGTCTTACAAGACATCAGAAATGCTCGGAAAAGTCAAAGAGGAGACGAAAGCTCGCATACTAAATACGCATTATTATATGCCACCGACAAACATGATGGTCGAGCTTATGACTGATGGATTCACGCACGAGGCCATCTTCCCATTCTTGGTGGAGAGGCAAAGGGAGGTCAACACCCTGCCATTTGTCTCGAGGAAAGAGTCCACTGGATTTATTTTTAACCGTCTTTGGGCTGCTGTGAAGAGAGAAGCTCTGACTATTCTGGCTGAGGGCGTATCCACCCCAGAGGAAATTGACGACATGTGGAAAATCATGTGGACTAGTACACTGCGAGAGGGCAAAGGGCCTTGCAGGATAATGGATGGTAAAGATGCCTTGCCCTTTTTACCCCATTTTACGGAAGTAATACTAATTGGTTGTCCAAAGACGTTGGCCTCGACACCGTAGCTTTCATTGAGCAGCATTATATCAAAGAGCGGAATCTGTCTCCGGAAAAGACGGTGGACTTCCTACACAGCCAGTACCTGGACCAGGGAAAGCTGGGTACAAAATCTTCAGGGGGCGGTCTTTACACTGCGACTCAATGAACCTAATATAACAGTTGATATTGGAATATGACTCGCTTTATGAATAGCAGGGAGCTCAGAATCACAAACTAAATAAAATTATAGCAATCTAGACCATCATTGCGTAAAGTATACGCAAAGTCCATCAGGACCAATGTCGATATGTAAGAAACACATGCGGGCTGCGATGCCTCATAGAAGATAATCACTTTGAGACTAGAGATTTTCTTTACGAAGCCCATCATACCGCTTATTCTTGTAATAACTTCTCATTTGGTATCTGATTCATTATTACAGGGTTTTCTATTCACTGAAAATGAATAATACGTAGATTAAGTTAACTAACCTATCTAGGGCTACTCTACTTCACGGCCTACCCTAAAATCACCAACTCCACGATACTTTAATACAGAGTTACTCTGTATTTACAAACTATATAACCAATCGACTTCTACTAAATTAAGTATAACGTATTAATATATAATCCTCTACTTCGCTAACTCCGTTAGATTCTAATTCAGTTCATTCCGAGTGCTTAGATTAAAATCTGGCTATTCCTATAGGGGTGTATCCATGTAACGAGGATACCACACGTCTCACAATATAATAACAGAGGACTAGTGGCACACAGTCCACTGGCGGAGCCCTAGTTACTCCGTAACAATGTACACTAGTTAGATAGGTAACATTCTACCGTTACACCTGACGGAGGTTAACTTAGCTCAATCAAGATCACAATCCTCCATGATATAATAGTCAGGTAGTGCAAAGGGTAGCTAGAAGTAGGCCAGTGTATGGGTGCGTATATTGCAAGACTGATTCTTGAAGAACCCAAACTAGGTGCGAGCGTCTCGAGTTCTCCTCTTAAGCTGGGCGGTTCCGGGGTTCTACCGGATCGGGGCGAATCCCTCCCGACTCAGCTTGTCAGTTGAGACCGGCCCGCCACAACGGCTCTTTCCTTACAATCCAGCGACTTAAATACGTGCCTGGTCTACTCGAATCGCTAGAATATTAATAAGTCGTTGTTAGGATCCGGAAGTACTATTGGATTGTGGGAAAATAGTCTTGTATTGAAGAAGTCATGATCTCTGGAGACTCCCGGAAGTGAACAGCGGCCATAAGGGCCATATATAGACAGAAATGAACGATGCCTATCTCACAGGCAGCAATTATGTGGTACGATGGGTAGTGGTCATATTAGCTCATAACGTACGGTACGTGACCATATGTACTTCCAAGACTGGTAGTTTTGGTGTAATAGCCTGAAGGCCCAGCAAGTACTCTTCAGAGCTTTTAAGGCCTTTCTTCCTATAACTTAGTAGCTAGGACTTTGTTCAAGTGCTCTATCGATCTTCCGGAATAATAGCCGCTGTGACGGTTGTCACGTGATTGACCTACACTGGTCTGAACAGATTGATAAGTGGTTGCAGATATCAAAGTCAGGGACTTTGGTATTGGTCTCTTTTGGTGAAGACATCTGGTAAGGTGGCGTAGTGGCAAGGATTGCAACCCCTAGCACGGCGTGACAGCCGCGCTGTATCTATACCGAGGGCTACTTTAATAAAGCTAATTACCCCTTAATAATAGCTAAATCCCTAGAGCTCTTAGGGGTTCTAACGGCTATAGCGCTTGTTTCGGCTCTGAAATCTAGCCTAGCTAGTATATTAGAGCCTTCCGTAGGGGTCTCAGGCTGGATTTAGTAAGTGGTGTCACGTTAAGAGGGATCTCGTCTGCAAGAAGAAATGGCAGGGGTTTTCCAAGCTGGCGATGGTTACATCTCGGTGTCGCTGTCGGTCGGCGGCAACTTCTTGCCATATCGTACCATTAGCGATCGTTACTGTAGCAGCTGATATGGGATTTGTGGGCGAGTGGTCGGAACCTTTGAGTTGTCAAGTTGAAAACCCCAGGATCGCTGGAATTCTCCAAGAAAACACACACAGTTTTGGTTAGAATTTGACGACCCAGAAGAAAGGACCAGCCTACAGATGCTTCTTAGCATGAGCAATGGTATGTTCGCACGGCATTCCTTACTACCATCAATCGGCTTAAAGCTACGTTCATACATCATATGAAATAGCGAAATTGTGTAAATGTTTCCCTGTTGCCTGATCGGGTCATCCGGATTCCAACTTTGAAAACTGGGGTTTCACAACGCGGACCTTCGTAACATGCAGATTCTGACATTGTATGAATTGCATTACTATGCTGTCGCCCGGAACCGTTGGAGCTACTCGTCAAGCACAGTAACTGTCAAAGACGTCAGTGCTCACGCCAGGCATAACATTTCAACCGAAGTACCGATTCTATACATCCTGCATACAAAAAGTAAATCTCCTTGATTTCTCCAGGAAATCTTCCGTCACTGTATACCATGCAGCTAACAGTGCGTGATATAGTTACTCCTTACTCAAGGACTGTAAATCTTACGTCTTCTCAGGCCAGTCCTTCATCCAAGCTCATACATGCTCTATAGAGTTCAAATTAGGGCTTGAAGGTGGCTACTCCATTTCATCGATCCTGAAACCGTCCATATTGAGGCTCTTAAATGGTAAAAAAAAAAAGGGTCTAATAGCTTCAAAAACAAGTTAACAACGGACTGGTTGACGTTATCAGCTTTATTCAGGTGTATATTTGTAGCTAGTGGTTTAGTGATGAAATAATGCGGATCAAAACAAGCTAATAAGCTGAAAATAGACTCCTATATTTGTACGCTAAGATATTTAAGAAACGCCGGCGACACGCTTACGGCACGTACACATGATGAGAAGGCAAAATTACTAGCTGAGAGGTTCTTCCCAGACCCGTGTATAGATCTATCGGACCTCGATCGCGGCCTATTACAGACGAGAGCTGAACGTCCCTAGGGAGGTGACCACAATGGATATCGAGTCTATTATCAAAGGAACGGCTGCTTGGAAGGCTCCCGGCGACGACCTGATCCCCACTGGCCTGCTAAAGGCCTGCGGTGAACCCCTATGGGAGATCCTAGCGGATCTGGCAACAGCTAGCTTTAGGCTGGGGTACTACCCGGAGCGCTTCCGCTCAGCGAGGGTGGTTGTTATCCCTAAGCCTAATAAAACGACAGCTCAGAAGCAGACCCCTGGCGGCTGGCGCCCCATTGCCCTACTTAGCACGGTAGGGAAGGTAATAGAGACGGCGATGAGCCAGCGTATCACCAAAGTAGCTGAGGCGGCCGGCCTACTACCAAACGGCCAAATGGGGAACCGCGCTGGGAGGTCCACCGAACTGGCAATACGTATAGTTGAGGACGTGGTCTATACGGCGTGGAGACGCGGGGGCATCGCCTCGCTGCTACAGCTAGACATCAAGGGGGCATTCGATACGGTCAATTACAGACGGCTGATTTCCATATTAGCCCGGAAAGGCTACCCGGAGTGGGTTCAGGAGTGGGTACGCAGCTTCGTGGAGGATAGGACGGTACGCCTCCGGTTCGATGGTAAAGAGTCAGAGCCAATCCCCCTACGAGCTGGCGTCCCCCAGGGGTCACCGCTATCCCCGATACTGTTTATATTATACATTTCAACGCTGTACGAGGAGCTAGCGGAGCAGCACCCACTACTTTTAGTAGTCGAGTTCGCGGACGACACGAACCTGCTAAGCGTCGGCACCGATCCAGACACGACCTGCCGCCGGTTGGAGGGCGCATGGGCTACGTGTCAGCGGTGGGCAGTGAGGCACGGGATGAAGTTCGCCCCTGACAAGAGTGAGCTAATGCACTTTACTAGGACCCGAGAGCCCTTGCCGCAAAGTATTCGCCTTGGGGACGCCACAGTGTCGCCGGTAGTCTCAGCGAGGTTCCGAGGAGTCTGGTTCAACCGCAAACTGACGTGGCACGCCCATGTTGAGCGTGTTAAAACAAAAATGGCAACTCAAAAGCTAGCCCTGACAAAGCTAGTCAATATGTCGTGGGGCTGCGATCTTATACGGGCGAGGCTGTTATATACGGTGGTTATCCGTAGCGCGATCGCCTTCGGGGCGACTGCGTGGCATACTATAAGTGAGGAACCGGCAGGGCCAGCTAAGAGCCTGATGGGGATACAGAACGAGTGCCTCCGGGTAGTCTGTGGCGCCCACAAAGCGACGCCGGTTCGCCACCTGGAAGCAGAAGCAGCAATCCCGCCACTAGACCTCTATCTTAGTGCCCGGGCTGCTAAGTTTGAAGAACGGCTACGGCTTAGCGGGAAGAGAAATCTGCTTCGCAGCGCGAGCGCTAAAGCGTCACATATACTCCGACAGGATAGGCCGGCGAAGAGGAAGCAGGCGTCGCAGCTACTCCGACCGGCAGGGTACACTATGGAGAAGGAGGCCCGGGGCTCCGAATGGATGAGTGAGGAAAAGGAGGTCCCGGCTGCCCTCCTCGGCCACTGGAGGAAGAGATGGCTCACCGGAGCAGAGCATCACGATCGCCAGCGACGCGCCATCGCTGAGGAACCGGAGGGCCCTTCGATGCAGATACCGAAAGGGGGCAAGTATTTCGGCCTGAACCGACTGGAAGCGTCTACGCTGTGCCAGGTCAGGACGGAAAAAATAGGACTAGCAGCCTTCTTATTCAAGACAGGGGCTTTTGGCGTGTACTCGCCGCTATGCCGTTGTGGCGACGCCCCTGAGACGGCAGAGCACGTAATCCTCTTTTGCGGGCTGTTGGAAGGACCGAGGGAACGATTACGGGCCGCTATCGCACCGCGGCCACTATACTCTCGCAGAGACCTCGCAACGGCAACATGAGAACCAGTAGTTAGTGGGACTATTGTAAGGTGGCTGCTAGGGACGGGTCGGACAGCTTCAAGGCCCAGATAGCATCGATCTTCTCAGGGGGGACTTTGTTGGTAGGTTGAGAACCAACGTAGTATGGTAGTGAACGCAACGCAGTCGCCAATAGGGCGAACCGACGACGCAGCGTATGTATTTAGTCCAGCCATTAGGGCACGGTTTGACATACGGGAGTACTAGTAGAGGTACCGGGGGCTTCGAGCCTACGGCGTATTTAATAATAATAATAATAATATTATTATTTTTATTAATTATTATTATATAAGTATTGAAACAGGGTCGGGCGGTCAGTAGGATATACCCACCACCTAACACACTGGTAAGATGGCTCCAATACTAACGAGTTCCATATGTATTGGATGAATCGAAACTAAGTGATTTATTAAGAAAAGAATATCATAATCGATGAAAAAGGCCTAGTAACGCTTATTAGTCTCCTATCTAGTAGCATAACCGGCGAGACGATAACGCAGGATAGTACGTAGAAGGTAGGCCCGGTCTTCTCTCGACCCCTTACGTTTTCAAATCTACGCAGCAGCGTAATGCGTTAACAAGTTTACAATGCCGCGTTAACAATCAGAGGGACCAAGAATGGAAAAGGGACAGGAAAAGCGAAATGAGCGACCAACTCCCCAGCGACGACAAAACCATCGGCGTAAGATAGACCTGCATAACCAGCTGCGGAAAGGGCTGCTGACACACAGCAGAAGCCTGGTTCATCAAATGATGGTGCTGGAAGTGAAAAGGCAGCTCAGGCATAACCCACAATGGTACAACGGCCTGCACAAGCGTCAGGCGTTCGAGTTCTGCACGAGCGGCACAGGAGCCTGGACCCGAGAGGATTGGCAAGTGCTGCTTGGCAATTATACGTGGTATTTCAAGGATTAGAACCGGCTGTGAGACTTTTGGTATAAGCGCCTTGTTGGGGAGCTGAGGGAGGGGGAATCCTAGAAAGGGGGGTTGGGGAGGAAGGGATGATATTATGAGGAGAGGAGTGTAGGTTAGATTGTAGACTTTTTGTTATTAAATTGGTGATTTGTCATCTGCATGTCTGATATCACTCCCCCTGCTTGAAGTTCATGCTGTACCCACCCGTCTTTTCATCTTTCACCATCTGGAAATTCTCCGTACTGAGGCCGAAAGGCTTCAGTATGCCGTTTCCAAGCTGTTGAAAAAATTAGCAGGGGCTTACAGCATCACTCAACGCGACCTTTGCAGTTGCAGTACTCACGTCCTTCAGCTTCCCCCACATCTCACCCATCTCCTTCTCCTGCGCCTCCTTGGCCCGCGGCGGTATTATACGTAACTGCGACATAACAATCTTCCTGTCCGCCGGGCTGAGATTCGCCATAGTCGCCAAGATCTTGTAGTCCTCCTCTGCACCCGAAAGATTCGACCACCCACCCAGCTCGCTCCTCGCCCTGGCACGTCGCATCAAAGCCTTCGCCCGGATCCTCAGGATGTCCTCTTTCCGCTTGCGCTTGACTTTCTCGGCGTCGCTCTCGGCCTTTGCGGTAGCAGGTCCGCTTTTCTGCGCGCCTGAACTGACAATTTCCTCCTCTACGTCGTCTTCATCCTGTTCAGAGCCTTTTTCCTCGCTCGCCTCAGCCTTCTCCAGTCGTTCGAGACCTTCGATTGCACCCGATGCACTGCTTATGGCGTCCTTCCATTGTTCCAACTTGAGGTGGCATGCGGCAATGTTGGATTTCAGTACGGCTAGTTCGTAGTCGAGGTAATGAGGGCATACGGCGGCTGCCTCTTCATATTTATTGATGGCGTTCTCGTACTTGGCCGACGAGAACAGCGTGTTGGCTTCGGACTTTTTGTCATTTGACTCGCCTAGTAGGTTCTGTATGCGAAAGTTGGGTGTTAGACAGGCATCCTAGGATTAGACAGGGAAGGCCTTGTTTACATGCCGCTTCTTCCTCTGGCGGGAACCTTGCGGGAGGTTCTACATCTTCCTCAACGTCTCGACCATCATCTTGCTCGCTGGCTTGTTCCTTGGCCTTTTTGTCAAGATGTTCCTGGATCCGGCTTTTGGGGCTATCCGGTCGGGAAGCCATTGCGGTGTCGTGGAATTCGAAGGTGAAGATTGAGTTGGTTGCCAACCTAAAATTAACTGCCAGCTATGACTTAATCCCGCGGAATTGGGGCCGCTAGCTACCCCTGACGAGGGTTGCAGGGTAGGTTAGCAGGGGTATTGATGGCAACTCAACTACCCCGCCCCCGCCCCAAAATTTCCATTGCAAGACTGCAGTTGACGATGTCCGAGAAACGGACAAACGTTTTTCGATTGTAAAGTGGCAGATAATCTAGTCGTCGTAACTAACTCCCAGTCACGCTATACAATAAGAACCCAACACCACCCAAATACCTAAAATCATTATCATGGCGACCAATAAAGAGTAAGGGCACCCGCAATTCACATCGCAAAATGACTCGACTGACACCTCCAGCTTCCCGCCAATCCGCGCCTGCCTCTTCGATATGGACGGCCTCCTCCTTGACACCGAAGACCTCTACACCCTCTGCATAAATCTCGTACTCGAGAAATACAACCGGCCCAACCTTCCCTGGACCATCAAAGCGAAACTCCAAGGCCGCCCCGGCCCGCAAGCAAATGAGATATTCCACCAGTGGGCCAAACTGCCCATCCCTGAGGACCAATACCTCGCTGAATTTACCGCCCTACAACGCCAGCACTTCCCTTCCGCGAAGCCGCTCCCAGGTGTCGAAAAGCTCCTCGGTGATCTGGGAAGGACGCGATACTGGGATTTGAAGAGCGCAAAGGTCGACGAGAAGGCGGAGAAGAAACCGCATCGAGTCCACATCGCGCTGGCGACGAGCTCACATGCGGGGAACTTTGCGATCAAGACGAAGCACCTGACGGAGCTGTTTTCAGTATTTGAGACGGATCGTCGGGTGTTGGGGGATGACAAGCGCATACAGCCTGGTCGGGGAAAGCCGTTGCCGGATATTTATGTCTTAGCGCTGAAGACGATCAACGATGGGCTGCCGGCCGGAGAGAAGCCTATTGTTCCTGCGGAGTGCCTGGTATTTGAGGACAGTGTAGCCGGTGTAGAGAGTGGGAGACGGGCGGGCATGCGCGTGGCGTGGGTGCCGCATCCGGAGTTGAAGAAAGTCTATGCAGGTCGGGAAGAGGAGATCTTGGCAGGGCGCATGGGAGAGGCGGGCGACGTCGATGTGCATCAGTTGGGTGAGATTGGTGATGGCTGGGCGGACTACATGGTGGACTTGGTTAATTTCCCATATGAGAAGTATGGTATTGTAGTCCCGCCGGCTGAGGTGGAGCTTGAGCCTGAGATGAAGGAGAATGTGGGTGAAGGATTGGTGGCTGAGGACTCAAAGGGCACATTATAGACTGGACGTAAGACGTCGATGGGGTTCACGAAAGATATATTCTGATGGCTGAAATAGACGTTTAGAGTAGAGCATTGCATGAAACTAGAGTGGGTTAATGCTATGCTTACACTTTTATTTGATTTCCATTCTGGGACTATAATGGGATGTATGCGTAATTGTTTTGAATGATAATAGAAATCATCTGGCCGCTAAGATAAGGGAGGTAAGTTATTGGTGTCAGATCTCTACTAAGCACCAATTGATATTGCGGAAGTAGTGATGTCCTTGAACTAGATGTATCATTGATTGCAAGACTAATATGTCTAACTATTGGAAGACAGGAGTCACGTCTTATATTTCGAGACATCTGTAGAACATATTTAGATGTCTGGCTCTCTAAATTAGCGTGGTATCGTCGTTAATTGCCCATTCACATTCGGAGTTGCTGCACCCTTTCATAGATTGTGTGGTGGATGATGAAAATAACAACTTCACAAGTCGGGTTAGTTGTCAAAGCGGGACTCTGGTTTGAAACGGATTGTGAAGATGGAGACCATGAGAAGGACACGATACGAGAATAAGTTGGGAAGAATACAAGCAACCAAGAAAGCGGGGTTTCAAAGGCTGTTACCCGGCTAAGCACTTATACCTGGGCCACGAGCAAATAATGCATCGCATTTTAGATATTTAGGCACCCAGGTAAAGATGGTCTACTTAACCTGGAATGTACTTTGTGAATATAGAGATCTTCACAAAACTTATTCTGCTTATTGTTGAAAGTTACCGCAGATGTCTTCAAATATACTTATGGTTTTAAGGTAATGAAGTGCGCCAACTTCCTGTTACGGTGGTAAGCACCGTTATTATGCTAAATTTGAGTATAATCGGCATATAGGCTTCATACATGTTCTCGGCGAATGCATTTACCAACATAGATGGAGGTATAAACAATCGATATCTGGTATAGTAGCACTAGGTATGTCTTATTCGGAAATATTACCGTACCAGAGTATTCACCAAGAAATCTCCTGTGAAACGCATTCCCAGTATGTTTATAGCCTGGACTGTATACAATGGTATGGATATTACACCTTTAGTGCTTTGTAAATAACTCAATGATCAGTTTATTTGTTTGAATTTACTCAGATTATAGTCTAGGAAGTCGTCTGTGGTGATGAGTATCTCATTACCACCTGGTGGGACAATGGTACAATTTTCGATATTCAGGGCAACAGGCGTGAGAACTAATTCTCAAGTCGACAGTAAATCAGTTGTAAAGCGGCTGATAAATACGACAGCCTGCCCAAGTGCCCTAATTCTACACAACGTTCTTCATGTCCGTTTCTCAATGTACACACCAGACGCCATTTCTTCCCGCAGACTCCCCGTTGTGCTTATGCTTATGCTTACGCCTCGACTTGATAGTCTTAACCAAGGGAATTACCCTATGAACCGCCCTTACCCTCTTTCCCAGCCTCATAACATCCCACAACTCATCCCCATGTGCCACAAGACTTCGTGGCCACCTTTCTGACTGCGTCCCGCGTATCCAATCCCCATTCCACCCAACCTACCACCTGCTCCGCCAACCTGGCCGGCAAACCGCAAACCTCCCCATCCAGCCAGTCCAGACCAACCCGGCAAGGGGCGCTAGTGTTTGCAGGGATTCGAGCCATGTTGGTTAATGTTCATGAGGGCAAGTCATCCTGTAGTCCCAAAAGGGGTATCGTTTACATCCATTTCACTTAGACTATGTAAAGTATGTCCTATCTTCGTCCTAGACTATGCTATTCCTATATCCTCACCAGTCACTATATACTATAAGCCAAAAACCTCAAAGCTGTTTTACGTTGCATCTAGTCCTCTAGATGTAGACCATCAATTATACATGCAAAAAAGTATGATACAAGTATGAATCACCTGTAGTCCATAGTATCATCACCCCTCCCTTGCTACCACAAGGGAAGTATACAAGGCACAACCCTTCGCAAATTCATTCTTCCAGGCCTCTTAGGTAAACCCCTGTGACGACCGACTGGGTGGCTCGTACCAATTTTGATACGGATGATTCGGCAAGCTGAAATCCGCAAAACTGAGAGGATTCACATTGCGCATCGGCCTTGGCGCTACCACTGTCTGTGCCTGTCCATGTCCATGCATCTGCGCCTTGGCAAAACCAGGCCTCATATGGCCGGGCGGAGTCGCCGCCGTCGTCTGGCTATCCGTATGACCTTGCCCCTGTGCCTGTCTCGAGCCCTGCGGCGGCAAAAAGTGCGCCGCCAACCCCGTGCCGCTCGTCTTCTCCCACCCCCACTTCACCTTGAGACCTTTAATGACACTGGCGAGCTTCCATCCCGTCTCCTTGTCGATGTTCTTGAGGATGGCAACGACCTCGTGCTGCTCGCGGCGTTCCGTCAGGACCTCGGCGACGATGGCTAGCGACCTTATCGAAACCGATGCTACGCCGCGGTCCTGGGCATGCGCCACAATACCGCACACCTGGTGCGCGTGGTGCTGCTGCACCGCGTGGGCTTCGTCCGAGTCTTGGGGTAGGATGGGGTTGATTTGTGCGAGGAGGCATTGCGCCGTGTGGTAAAATAGGCGACCTACTACCGCTGCGCGCTTGATGAGCCTGGGAGTGATTAGTAAATGGCAATTATTAGCGCGTTGGATTTCCGGGGTAAACTTACCAGACGTGGGGGAACAGCGACTTGGAGCCGTTGCCACCATTCTGCGACTGCAAAGGGTATAGATAGCCAAAGGGATGCATAGGCCGCGGACACGAGTTATTCCAGTCATCGCACATGTTCTTCAAACGTTGCCATTCGGTATACCGAGCCTGGAGCCGGATCTGCTCTTCGTGTGGGCGGGGTTCCTGGAACTTGGGGATACTAGCCCGAAAGTTACAGATCTTAGCCACAATATGGAAGATGCGATGGACCCAGATCTCCTCTTGGCCGTGCTCTTTCTCCGTCGTGAAGTCCATGTCTACACCCCACTGGTCCGGGTCCCATGCCGTCTGCCAGTTGAATGCCAGACAGCTGAGTAGCTCCATGCCAACATTTAGCCAGAAACATGCCGCGCCGAGCCCGGTTGCTTTCGCGTTCCACCCGCATTCACGGATCAAGGCCCTGGCGCCGGCAATGTGGCTCATGCGCTGGGTGGGCTTCTCGCTCATGATCTCATACACGTTGAGCACCACGGCGGTTGCGGCGCACTCAGCCGTGTTGCGGTCGGGGTTCTGTAAGCTCCGAAGAAGTTGAGTGGTCGCTGTATCGTAGTAAAACAAGGCCTTATCGTCGTTGTACTGTTGTGTGAGTGTGAGGTGCTTCACCCCACATGCAAGTAAAGCATTGAGCAACATGGGACATTTCAACGCGTGATAGGGTACCTGACGAGAGAAGTGTTTCTCCTTATCGAGACTGTCCATCCAGATGCCCACTTCTGAGACGAAGACTTGCATGAAATGAAGTTCCTCAGGCGAGTTGAGATATTCGCGCTCCCCGTTCTTGTCGTTTGGTGGTGTCATCATGCCGGTGTCCACGCCAGCTATCGGAGTATTGCCGCCGATCGGTCCGTCCTTGTAATTTGAAGGTGGCCCGGCTCCAGTTACGCCTGCAATGGATGCTGCTGTCGACACGTCGCTGTCCTTGTATGTACTGTGCAAGAGGTTGCGGTTGCCTTCGTCCTTTATCGTAGCAAAGGAGTCTGACGCCAGGTGAAGATATCCACCAGTGTGCGATAGGGCTGGAGGTGCCATGAAGGACGCATCACTACCTTTTCGCGAATGCATTCCATCCGAGTAGGGATCTGGCTGCAACTGTCCCCTGTCGGGATAGTACATGGACTGGGGAGTTGACATAGTCGCCGGCGTCCTGGGGTCTGCCGGAACCTGCATTTCCTGCATGGCAGCAGCAAGCGACGACCGCCGCAATGTTGATTCCAGGTCCGCATCTTGCGGTGGTGTGACAATTTGCTGCTCCAGTTTGGGATACCTTCCTAATCCGCCTTGATATTCAGATGCGATTAACCGTGACTCATCCTGGAATTGCACTGAGAAGAGTTAGTCAAATTTGTCTTGTTTGCAAGAGTTCCAACTAGGCCGAACTCGAATACGGTGCCACGTACCTGACCATTCCACGGGTGGAGGGATATACGGCGGTTCCTTGCAAGTCAAATCGATGAAGTTCAAGCGCACACCACGCTTGCATTCCCTGTTGCTCTTGCGGCAGTTGACACAGTCCGGCATGGCCTCGTCGCACTTGAGATGCCGCTCACGACATGTTAAGCAGCCCGTTCTCACCCTTCTACTCTTTGCAGGCACTGGGTCCGAGGCGGCCATGTCGTTTCTCGACGCCGCCTTGCCCGGCTTGGAGGGGTTTTGCTTTGGCCCCGGCTTGGGCGAAGAGCCTGACAGCTTCTGCCGCTTCGCCGGCGGGACGTCAAACTTATGATTCGGAAAGCCGCTACTGACGGTGTACGGCGGCGATGGCTGCTCCGCATAATGTTGCGTCGGCGGCGCGGGTGCGCCGAGTCCGAAACCCGGTACCAAGACGCCTGGCGCCGTGTCGAATGTCGCCAGTGCTATGATGACCAGCGTTCCCGGAAGGGGAACGATGGATCGGCAGATCGACAGGAGGGTAAGCTGAGGTCGGCTGTTCGCCTTCAGCGGCTGTCGCAGGCCGTCTAAGTCTCGACAGCGGGAGCAGCTGCAGACGGGACGGGCGTCGGTTACTGGGGAACCGCGAATACAGTTCGCCTGTTGTTTGCTTGCTGTAGTTGACTTCTTGGTGTCTAGAGCGGCGAATGGCGTATAAAGGGCAAGAATTGTCGAATTGCCCAAAAAAACGTGGGAAAGAAAAGGGCGACCGGCAGGTGTCTTGAAAATCTCGCACTTTCTGTTGCAATCCGCTTTCCCACTCAGATCCAACTCGACGTGCCCAGGCCAATATCTCGGGCTACACCCAATGTCTTGGATTTCGAATGAGCGAAACCAGCTGATTGGAAGACTGCAATCGGCAGACTGTGGCGGGCCGTCCTGTGTGAAAGCCCAAAACGACAGGCTTCAATACTTGGTTCGCTGGTAATTCTCTTCTCTTCTGATCGATCAAGCACGTCGCAGCGCCTGCATATGTACTAAAAGCTGCCCGGGTTGCAACACAAGATGCGGAGCTGAGAAAGTCTCGATCCGCTGACGCCAACTGGCAGCAATGACGACGACGAGCTTTTGAGATACCTTCACTTAGCGCCCAACACCCCGGCATATATAAAGAAAGGAGCCAGCAATAAGAGACTGAGGCGCACCGAAATTTCGGTCAAAGCTCTTATAGTCAAAGCCACTGACTCTCAACATACAATGTCGCTGATTTGCCATTAAAAGAACGCGGAACTTGAGGAAATCAGAACATGGCAGCGAGAGGTCGTGCTGGAAAGAACGAAGCTTGGACGGATCACCTGTTAGCGTCGTAGCTGCTCAATTAAACATGGACTTCAGAGGTTCTGGTTTAACCCCTTTCACCATAGCTTTTGCAGATCAATTGATGCCAACCATCAGATAGAACCTGCTTCTACACACCATGCTTTTTCGAAATGTTCCATGCCCTGGGTGAAGGCTAGGTCCCGGCCCCGTAAGCAATGGCGCTTGTTAGAGAAGTGCGTCGGCTTGACTTGCTCCAGAAGATGCCGAGAAGACAACCTGGGAAATTTGACCAGACGAAAGCGTGTGCGTGGGGTATGCTGGGGTAGCCTCAAATGCAGCAGCGCAATGGTACCTGCCAAGGCCTGGGAACTGTAATGAACCTGCGTTCTGCCCCGGCTCCGCGAAGGTACCATCGCCCTCTTGTCAACGAACGGACGGACGGCAATGCTTCCAAGGATGCGGAGCCATAGGATGTCGCTTGGCAGGTTATATTCGATGGCGACATGTACCGGCCGCCACCTGTAACCACAAGCCCGTTTGGTACCGTTTCTGTTCTCATGGCATCATTGGTTCGGCCTTACTGAAGCCTGGTCAAATGTCTCTGATACTGCCAAATCTTCTGTGACCGATTCGTCGAGGCTGTGCAAATGACTAGTCTTCGGCATGGTTTGATCGTCTTTACAATTCAGTCGGCGGACGGCCAACACATGGCCCCACTTGCCTCATCAACCGTCATCCCCATGAACTTGCTCTTGGGGGTTTGCATTTGGCCCCTATTACCTAAGCTGCGAACAGCATCAAAAGAGGCATGCCAACACTGTCGAGAGAGGAAGGTGACTTCAAAAGACCAACCCCGCCTTCCAGGTCGCGGCCACGAGCATAAGCACCCAAATGATTCGTTACTTGACTATGGCCCTTCTTAGGTACATTGCGAACAGGGTAGCTCCTGTGTTTCGTTTCGCCGATTTTTGATTGGAAAGTCTTCGCGTCGACATTTATCTATTCTGTGATGGCGAGGAGGTTCTCGGCACGCCAGCAGGTACCTGCTTCGTCGGGTGTTAGAGGTTCAGAACTTGAGCGGATCAAGCCGGCATCTCAGGGAACCGAGAGTTAAACACAACAGGGGTTCCGGGCATCGCCATTTTCATCTCGACTTCAAAGACGAACCTTCTCGCTGATTTCAAATCGACAAGAGGGTCGAGGCTGCTAGATCTAGATTAAGATTAGTAGAGGCTGGATTGGATGACATTTGAAATGAAGCGCAGCACTGCTGTGAATCGATTGACGCATGTGACAATACTATGGTATTTTGAGACTGGGTTGATGGGAAGACTGGGGTTCCCCCATGCCCCTTTACAAGATCTTGTCGATCCCTTTTCCGGGTGTGCAGGGGTGCATTTCTCTCCGAGCATGGAAACCCATCGTCGGTGCTCAGCTGAGTTTAAGTGGTGTTGCGTGGCCAGGTGGTGACCTTCAAGACATTTTTCATTTACTTATCCTGTTGCGCAGGAGCTTGATACTCCAGCAATGCATGATCTAGACAGCAGGAGGACGAAGGCGTGATCGAAGTAACTTCAAGTTGAGAGGGTGGGTAGGACCGATAGCCTGAACGCGGAGCTGAAGCAGGGATATGGTGATATTTCGGCTGACCATTGCAAAGGCTGAATAAGATACCAAGACCGTGAAATGAATGGCACGGATCCCATGCCTGTACAGGTACGTGTCTTTTCGAGTTGAGCAGAGGACAGACTACACTGGTCGTTATCCTATGCCGGTATCATGCCCGCACAAATGGTGCACGTCGACTTGGAAAAGAGCAAGGAGTCTCGCAAAGGCCATAATGCTGGGAAGTGCAGGACAGCCCTCTGACAGGTGCCACATGGCAACGTTTGGCCCCGGGCGACTGCGCGGATCTAGCATCGTACAACCACAAATACTTCGGGCATCTATGTATTACAGGTCTTAGACGGCATCCACGGCGCTGAGTATTCGCAAGAGACATGGAAGTTAGCCCAGAGCCCACGAGGCGTTGAATGATCGGCAGCGCATGGTCCCGCCTGGCCATGCTGAGGTGTCTGCTACGAGTGATGAGCCGAATCACTCCATTGCTGTTTAATCGCACAACGGAACGTCGGAATCATGTAGAAACAAGAATCGAAGTGATGTCACCAGACGTTTGAAGGCAAATGAATGTTTTGGATGGAATTGCTCGGTGAGCAAGCTCGGAGAAATTCCCAAGTGGGCCATTCTTCCGATTTCATTCGAGCCCCCCAATTCCGGCAGGCGCTCAACTGCCAGGCACCGATCGTAACAAGGCAACTTTTGGCGATTTTCAAGCAACCTTAACGTTGCAAAAATAGTCCGCATGCGGCTCAACATCAATCTGCCTTAAATCCGACGACCATTCTAGAAGCCGGCGGTCTCCACCCACAGCAACATTCTTTGGTAGCATCGTGCAGGCTTCCTGGTCTTATAGGCTTTTCACCATAGGTCGCAGCAATCTGTCATGGTGGAAGCCACGGATGCCACGATGGCATCGCCATCGCAACTTCCGTCTGCACAGCCCAGGTCAATCCTCAGAGGCCATCAGGCTCAGGTGCATGCTGCGGCCTTCGTCAGAGGCAATCAACGCCTCGCCTCTGGTGACGCCGAAGGATATGTCGTGCTATGGGACTTGACCATTATGCGCCCGCGTGCCGTGTGGCGAGCTCACACAAATGCCATTTTGGGTATCGCCTCGTGGGGTATGGACAAAATCATCACGTAGGTTGCAACCGGGCTACTTCCCCGCGGATTGTGGTAGATTGTAGCTGAGTGGTTCGTCCCAGGCATGGTCGCGACAACCAGTTGATCGTATGGAAAGTCTCCGCGGATGACGAGGCTGCTTTAAGCACCACACTCCCACTGGATCCATCACTACTACCTAGACCCCAGCCGTGGATACTTCACATCCTTGAAGTCAACACTATGAACTTCTGCTCGTTTAGTATCTGTCCTGTGGGCTCAAATGAGTCAAATGAGGAACTTCTTGTTGCTGTACCAAACACCCTGGTATCTGAGGCAGTACGCATACTCATCATCCAACACGTTTGTGCGATTAACCAGCGTTCATCTTTAGGTCGATGTATATCAACTTCCCAGCCAGAACCGGTTGCATACAATTCATCCCACCGACAAAGCTGAGGAGAACGGCATGGTGATGTCGTTAGCCTTGTTTCACCTGGATGCCTCGCTTGCTCTCGTCACTGCATATGAAAATGGAATCACAACCGTTCTCCAACTAGACGGAAACGGCGAGTGGGTGGTCCTTTACAGGGCACAAAGTCACAGCCAACCGGTTTTATCACTGAGCATATCTCCAAGCTGTGAATACTTCATCACATCTGGCGCTGATGCTCTTGTAGTCAAACATCCCATTCCGAGGCAGAGTCTAGAGCAGTCTGCAAGTGAGCAACCTCTTCAACAGAGATTCGGTGATTCTCAGCAAGCTAGACCTGTCAACGGGAAATCTTTGCTGTCGGCTGCTTTGTCAGTAGAGCCCAACCCTGCGCAGCCATCCCTGAAGAAGGCAATTCAAGTAAGGACTAAGCCTCTGAAAGTCCTCAATAGTAAACACTCCGGCCAGCAGAGCTTGCGTATCCGCTCAGATGGCAAAATATTTGCAACAGCAGGTTGGGATTCAAAGGTTCGCGTCTATTCAGCTCAGACGATGCGGGAGCTTGCAGTTCTCAAATGGCATCAAGCTGGATGCTATGCAGTGGCCTTCACCACATTGAACTGTTCCACACCTGAAGCCCCGGTACATGAAGAGAGCACAGAGAGTACCGCGAATGCAGAAGCTGTCGCCACTACCTCAAAAATGGTAAACTTAAACGTCAAAGATAGACGCATTAAGCAAGCGAGGCAGGCTCATTGGTTGGCAGCTGGAAGTAAGGATGGCAAGATAAGTCTGTGGGATATATACTAAGGATTTGATACCCGAATATAGAGAAATGACGTCGTAAAGCTCCAGAGAAGGAAGAAGGCTACCATCTATTTAGCGTCGAGAAAGAGACGAACAGGTTTTCATGCAGGGAGGATATGCGACGGGCCCTTGCGCTACTGCGTTATATTTCCACTGCGTCGTGGCGTGCATTCGACGTAAATGGTTCTCTATTCTATTGACACTCTCCCAACTCGCCCAGTCTCCCATAACTGGTCATTGTTAAATTTAGAGTGTCCTAGTGGCCCAGGGCGTGATCTTTTGCATCAGTTTCCAAACGAGTCATTACTTGAAATCATCAAGCAATGTCCTGACTTGTCGTCTCTCTCGTGTCTGATCCTCATGTCTCCGGTGCTGTCAATCTTCAACGCCAGCGCCAGCTAGACGGTCGAGGTTGTGATGAAGATAGCCGTACCGACCAAACTCCGATCCGTCATACGGGAAGTGGTTCAGTCTTCGACTTCGAACATTCCAATGTGATGAACGGCATCCGACCAACCAATCCTACTAGGCCACCTCTATCAAGTCCGGGTCCATACGCCAAAATACCTCACCTGCCTTCCCACGAAATTTACTCGCACCAGCACATAAGATTCATCTTCTAGCCGATTCTTGCTTTGGCCGTTGTGTCGAAAGATGCATGTCTATAAACCCATGTCGTCGGACCAGGAAGTTGATATCGCCGCCCTAAATGGCACATCAATATCTATCGTAAATCCTTGGCAGGTGGAACTAGTCGCCCCCGATGCCAAACTTCTTCCGGCTCTCGAGCATTTGAAACATAACTAAGGATTGGTGGAACATGATTGCCTGTCGAGATTTAGCGGTCGGATACAAAACTTTGGAAAGTTGGTATTGTCTATCTACTGATCCCAGAATTCGTAGAAAATATTAGTATTACATACACCCCTAGACTTCCATGAATAATATGTCTAGTTAACCATTCAATGTACACCTAAATGCCGTCGCCGATTTGGTCTATAATATCTCGCGTCAGCAACGAGAAATAGGCAAAGTGCACGCTGGGTGGTGATGATCACTTACCGACCACGTGATTATTTGTCCACTCCATCCACACTTGACACTGATCTTCCATTACATCCGGAATAGGCAGTTTCTTGATGGCCTCCGGGTTCTCTAGGACCATCCATAGGAAGCCACCGGACAAGTGCCAGGCAATGTGACCTAAACAAGGATCGTCAGCCATATGTAAAAAACAATACGTGGTTACTACTTGCAGTGCAGCGGCCAGATACCCGGGTTATCCTGATTCCACTGAAGGACAACATAGGAATTCGGCAATAACATATGCACATCACGCCGCTGGGGATTCTGCGAATTGACAATCGAGCCATCCCAGCAATGTCCCTTCTCCACAGTCGGAGTATCTTTTCCGCCTTTCTTGCCTGTCAACAAGTCTTTAAGTTTGTCCAATAAACCCAGGGTCGGCTCGCGACTCTCCAACTCCTTGTCGTCAGAGCTTCGAACGGTATTCCTCGGCGCTCCTGGCCCATCGGCACCAGTCGGCAGCCCACGTGCCGAGACATCGCCCGCGAGATAATCAGGATCAAACTTGCTGGCATCGCAAGCACCCTGTTGGAGAATCCATATGTTATGGCCATGTAAATGAATAGGGTGCGGTTGAGCGCCTGGGTTTTCGATTATAAAACGGATCGACGAGTTAGTGCCGTAGTTATGCACGTTTTGGATATAGTCGAAGTTCAAATCTCCCTTCTTGGCATCTAGCAGTTCGGGCTCATTGTAGTCCACCCGGGCGGTGCGGTTCTGCAAGTACCACAGGTCCGCAGTGCCGTTAGACCGGAATACAATAGGAACGACTTCCGTATAACCTGGCTGCCCTGGGGCAATGGGGAACAGTGGTACCGTCTTCGTCAGCTCGTCGTTGCCACAGTACTTGTTGTACGCATTTACACCTGCTTGGCTATTTGGCTGCTGCGTACGGTCAGCTTTCTCGTAAAAGATGGCTGCTTTGGCCTCAAGCGAATTGGGTTGGCTGGGTGAACAGTTAGGGCTCTTGTAAGCACGCAGCCAGTACGTGCCCTTGGGGTCTTTAAGCCCCTGAATGACGACGTCAGTGCGTTGACCCGGCGCGAGCGTCACGACGTCGGTCTGATATGGCTGCACGGGGACAAAATCATTGGCGATGACAGTCATTTGGTGTCCATCGATTGACACCTTTTCCACAGCTACTACGGACGGGTTGATGAGGCGCAGACGAATCTTCTTGTTGGTGGTGAAGTTGAAGGACGCCAGAGGTGCGTTATTGCCGTTGAAGGAGTTCTTGCCGTTGATTAGATTGTTGTCGGAACGCGTGGGTCTGGCTGGGTTAGCCATGACCCCCACCTCGATGGTCTCATAATATGTGTGGTAATGATCGTGGACCATGACCGGACCGACGTCAATGTCGTAATCGTAGTGTTGGGGACCGTAGATTACCATGGGACCAATCAAACCACTGGCAAGTTGAGACTCGTAGTGGGCGTGGTACCATGACGAACCGTAAATGTCTGGCTTGAACTTGTAAGTGAAAGTAGACCTGGGAGCAATTGGGCACTGCGTCACGCCCGGTACGCCGTCCATCCATTGAGTCTCTTGCTGGAGATTGCCATGCCAGTGAAAAGCAGTTCCTTCATCGGAAATATTATTATGGACGGTAACTGTAGAGCATTGTCAGCAGCAAAACACGTTATATTAGATAATACCATACCCTCGATCCAATCGCCCCAATTAGCCTCGATTATTGGGCCTGGGAATTGTCCATTGATGAGGAGCATGTCAATCGAGACTCCATCGGGCGCAGCCTTGGCTTTGCTGACAGTCCAATCATAGTGGCGAACGACTCCTGTTTCCGGTCGATCGAGATATGGATTCGTCTTTTGCGCGGTTCTTGTGCCCCAGGGAAACCCATTCGGCAGGGGATTATTGTTCAGAAACTTGGGAAGAAAATGAGCGAAAGGGGTGCCGAGTGTCGACAGTGCTTCAGTTACGATTAGTATAGGCAGTCTTCAGCAGAATGCAGGTACTCACAGCCCATGCCGGCGAAAGCACCGACAGGCATTTTTCCTAGTGGTGAGCAGCGAAAGTGACTGATTTGCTATTACGGAGTAACTGTGTAACGAGTGGACGGCTCTGGCATCGAGTGTGAATCCAGGCGATTGGTGATGGCTGCGGTGCAGACAGTGGAAAAGAATGAGGGTCCCGAATAGTGAAGCAAATGCAGCCAAGTTCGAGTCGTCGTCTTCCCAAAGCCTTGCAACTACGGTGAGGCGATCACTGACTGAAGGCTGCCCCTGTCTGACTGAAATACAGGAGCAGATATGGTCATTATAACATGTTTCTCTAATTTCCAAGAACGCAGATCCCCAACCCTCCCCGAAGTCAGTAAACAGGACCTTCTGGCCGTTTTCCCGGAAGCAGAAGAAAAGCGAAGTGGCTGGCGGGCAAAGCGCAAGCCGCATTACTGACTCCCAGGTCCAAAGTCTGTGCCATGAATTATCTGTGGGACGAAAGGTGGCTTTTTAAGCGTGAAGCAAGTAATGCCTCCGCCGTTAAATTATAACAAGATGGAAATTTGGATCCTCTCCAAAGCTACTTATGCAATAGACTGGTTAGTAAGAAGTTGCCATGCATGTAGGGCCTGGCGTGCATGTTGTTATGAAGATCGACGAAAGTATCACAGACTACATCGTTCTGTTGAAGACCTTCATGCAGTCCAGAATAGTTTTCCAGTCAGTCATCGGATTAAGTGATCATCCCAAACCCCAACCATTTCTATTCTCAGCAGAGTTTAGAAAAAGACGATGCCAAGCAAAAGTTCGGACCGTCTGAGGCAACGAAGGAGTTACTTGGATGCGTGGAAATATTAGGGTTGATCTAGTGGAAGATTAGTTTTTCGCCAACGTAAGACATCACGTGGTAGTCCGAATATAGTGCCCTCTTAACCAAGTTGAGATGCTCGCGTCCGCCGACAAGACAACAGGGGGCCAGTTTGTTCACCATTTTCCTGTTGTCACTCGGGCAATGCGAAACTGCCCTGTCTACGGTGCCCTACCCGTTCTTGGCAAACTCTCTGCGAACGGCACCATTAGCCTCTCTTGATTGCGGGATCTCAAGAACTCGTATAGAATATGTCCGTGTCTCATCCTAGACCCCACAGTCTAGTAAAACGACCAACCACCCAGAAAATGACTAGAATATGAAGTGTGGGATACTTGAAAGATAAGATTTCATGACAGCCTAGCTTACGCGGACGGTCTAAATATATCAAAGCACAACGGCGTAGGACGCCGTTCTATGGTTTGGGTGACTCCAAATCTCGCAGCCCCGAGCTCAGAGCGCACCACGAAAATAACGTGGCTTATTTTGTTGCGAGAACAAAGGATTTGTTATGACGACGTTGCCCTTGACAGTTAAATCATGGCACATCATGACGTAACCTTTTCACCAGTGTCAAATCTTGTTGACCCACGTTGGGGGAATATATCGCCTCTATGTCACTCAAATTCAATACATACGAGCTCCATTGCTTCGTCCCAAGTCTGTATCAACTGCCACTTAAAGTGGCAAACCCAAAACAACTTCGCGCAACACAAATTTCCAGGATGTCTCCCTCTGTCGTAATGCGTCTAATCAATGCTTTCAATTCGTTCTAGACTTTGACTTCCGACATTCATCCCATCAAACCCTCGCACCTTGCAGCGAACGGCTCTTTGTCCAACCTATCACCCCAACCCCCTGGTGCCATCGACTAAACCATATCCCTCTTCAACCTGCTAGAGATCAGTTGCTCAATATTCGACTGATCCGCTTCTGGTTCTTCGCTTTCTATGATAGTTCGTCTTGCGCGCGATCAAGCTCGGGATTGCGCGCCGGCACGCTATCTCCAAGCCCGTCGAACACTTCATTTAGAGAAATTTTGCTGTTCCAATTTGGACCTAACAATTCAGATAGGATGGGCGTGACGACATTAGGACAAGGTTCTTTTCTGCGAAGGTCCTCGACCCACTCGGAGTATCGAAGCCAGTACTCGTCGTCGCCGCTCTCTTCGTCAAGAGGCCTCACCTGCTCCTGACCCTGAGGTTCGGGGGTAATGAGAAGGTACGAGGCATCGTAGTCAGAATCGATGTCTGAGCCGACATCTGAGCCGACATATGAATCGTCAATTGAGTAGGCGTCTGAATCATCTTCTGAGCCGTAGCCTGCATCATCGTCTGTATCGTCATCGACATTGAAATCACTGCCGTATAAATCGGCGCCAGTACCTGAACCATCAACGTCCCAAATTGCGTCCGCTGTGACGTAATTATCTTCGTTCCAATAAGCCGTACTTCTCGTCCTCCCTTGCATCCTGCGCTTATCGGTCTCATCCAGCTCAATAGATTTCAGATACTGATCCATTTCATTTCGACAAGAGACAAATTCGTGCAAATTGGTAAACGTGTCGAATAGGTTGCACCTTGAAGTATTGCAGAATCCCTTCAGCAGCCCTTGCTTGATTATGGCTCCGGGAACGAGATCAGCGCCGGAAATGGCGTGGCTGCATGTGTGCTTGAGGCTGTGGCGACACACGGGGCAGTCCTTGTTTTTGCTTGTGTCCAGCCAACGATCTATGCACGCCGCATGCATCTTGTGATGGCATGGCATTGTGACAAAATCGGATGGGGGGGACTCTCCCCAGCAGACGGGGCAGCTCGCAAATGCTGACGTCGAATCTAGAATTCCGGACCCCTGGTAGTCGTTTTTGTGATTATAGTCGGATGGCTGTATGGTATCCATGGATACGCTGGAGTCCTCAGTTGAAATATTGTTTGACATATCGAATGGGTTCAAGTGGAATGCAGTTGACTGGTATAGGATCCGATTGATAGAGTGACCAGCTAGTCGTACATGTGATGCGATCAATGTTTTTTCAGCGTGAAGAAGAGAATAATGTTGAAACTCACTCGATACTGCTATGGAAAATTTTTTATATATACGTATACTTGGGCGGGTTTCTTAATGTTTCTCCGGTACGTAGGCTTTTTAAGTTTGGGATACCCGAGTATATATGCTTCGCGTAAGTTATAGCTCACTCGAACCGAAGGCGCTGGACTCTAATGTAGAACCGGCATTATCGACCAAGGGGAACTAATTGAAATTGATTGATTCCTCATTGAAATACAAGCAGCGGAGTGCCATTTTGTAAGGGAATTTGATAGCGTCAGGCTGTGACATCGCTGTCTACTAAATCACGTGCCGAGTATTACGATGCCTATACTAGTGGGAAAATAGAAGACTAATGGTTTAAGGAGCATTCATTCTGCGACACAATTCATTTCCTCTTACTGAGCATAGAAGGTTCAGATAGACACCGACGAAGTGAGTCGTGGAAAGTGTGTGCTAATCGCGACATCCAACATGAATTGCAGCTTTGTGATGACTATAGGCATGTCCATGATTCAATCTCAATTCCAATGGGAACGACTTGGTTGAATTGTGAGTCAAACTGCAAATGTCTTGTCAAGCCTACTTGCTAATATAGCCCATAATGTCACCATTCCAAACCCTTTATGCTAATGGCTCGACCACGTTCGTTTTGAGGACTAGACGTAAATCATTTCAAAATAAGTCTGTAAATTACTCATCAAATTTATGTAAAATTGTCTCTCAGCTGCAAGCGCGATCGATCCCGTGTGCCTGGTTTCTGGATCGCGTTGCTTCAAGCCACACGCCACTCAAACCCAATCTGTAAATCCGGTTGCATCAAATTTTGGCGCTGATCCAAAGGGAGAGCATACTGTAGCTTCATTGGGGGACCTCTGCCACGAAGTTCCTGAAGATCAGGGACTAAGACTTGATAGGCCAACCATGAATGCTTCATAGGCCTACCATAAGTCATTTGAATTTTCTGTAATAAAAACACAATAGCATGCTTACTCTATATGTCACAACTTATTGACTAGTAAGAACCCCATGGCACGAACGAGAGGCACCAAAAGTACTGCCAGTGAAACCCACGTCCTCAACTTCTTCGACTATGACGACGGCTGTGCACTAACAACAATTTTGAAGAACTTCCGTTTTCATGTCGTCGCCGGCAGGAAATGTTTATGTTTTAACGATGTAAATGGACAATCGATCTTGGACCAATACGAGGAGTTGATTGGTGCAGTACGAGATCGGACCGAGAGGGAAGAGAAGCATGAAAAGGAAAGGCAGAAGGGAAATATTGACGTACAGGGTGCATACCGACCAAAGGGAGGACAGAAAAGTATTGCAATATCCAACAGTCTGGAGAAAGACAATGATAGTGATGTGGATATCACTGAGTCGCCGAAGAAACGTTTTGCTGCAGAGGGAGAAACCGACGACGTCAGAGTGGAATTCACAAGACAGAATGATCAGGATCCTGAAAATGATCTCGCCCAGTGGATGCTGGCACCTTTTTCTGAAGGTTTAGGCCCCTCCCGAACTGTCAAACCGCGAGAGACAGAGTGTTCAAAAATGGTATCCGAGACGTACATACTTTTACAATCTGGAAACCCAAAACTGCAAATTAGCCGAAATCTTCGACAGAATTGGAGAAGTGAATGGAGAGGAGAATTTCAGATCTAATTCCGCGAATCCTAATACCAAGTACATTTGGGAACTTTATATCCCGTGGGTCCCGTCGAAAGATGCCCCTGTCGTCTCCGCAAGTGTCCAACCTGCATCATGCCATCCAGCTCGGGTACACGTCGTAGATGCAATCTATGTCTTCAAAGTTATCGACTCAACACAACCACAGCCAACAAAGCAGGAACTGTCGATTATGAAAGAAATCATCAAAGGTCTACAAAAACAAATCCGCGTGCCACTGTTCACGGGTCTAGTTGGCTAAGAGGATTCCAAAGCGTAGATTATGGGCTTCTTGCAAACTAATATCGAAGCCCCGCTCACTAATACCATCCCCCACCACCCCACCGGTAACGTTAATTGAGCACAATACTGCAAAAACACTACATTTTTGCTTACACATAATTCCGTACATATTGAAGCTATTTGTACCGTAGTTATACCATTATGTAGCTATTGTTATGGAGTTTAAGAATATCGTCACCTCTTGACTGTACAACCACTTAGTGTGACTACAGCGGCCGGCAAATCATCGGCCGTAGCCTCTGATTCTGATGAATCAACCCCTTCATCCTCAACTTCCACAACTTTCCCATTATTGGCTGGTTCTTGACGGTTATTAGGGGGTATAGGCTCCCCTGTAGCCAGTGCTTCTGATACTGTTATAAAACGGCGATTCGGATTTGGCAGTGACTTGCGCTTTTTACCCCTTTTCAAGCGGTCTAGTTCCTCCTGTAATGCCGTAGCCTTAGTGCGTTCGGCTACCAACTCTGCCTCTAAGGCTTCAACCCCCTTGGCAACCTTCTGTAGCCTATAGCGGCTATATGGGCTTGACTTGTTCGCAAAGTTGCGGATTTGACGGCTCGTACGGGGTGTAGAATCACTGTCAAGTCCAGGGGCTTGTGGCGGCGGTGGAATGCCCCTTTTATCAACATCTACCTGGATTTCTGGATGCCGTAATGCCTTGGCCCTTGAAATTGGCCAATTTCCAGTAGTTCTCCAGCCAGATTTAATGACCTTATCGGTTATAGCCTTGCGTGCAGTGCTATAACACCGGATAAAGTTGACTTTATCAACTGGCGCCGCATCCGTCATTCTATCCAATTTACTGACTTCTGCCCTATAGGCCGACTTCAATACGTTAAAGGGGCCATTTTAATTTGGCTGTAAGCCATGGGAAGTGTGTGCCGGTAAGTAACAACAGTATACATTGTACATAAAGCACGTAGTCATCCACTCATTCTATATAGCCCAGTTAGTACAGTTATACTGCAATAACTAGAAGACTTACAGAGGCGTGAGATCCATGGCCATCTAGTATAATTGGCCTAGCATCAGAGGGGTCTGCTGGCTGCGTCTGAGGCAAGTATACGTCAATAAGCTACTGATGGCCTATATGGTTGTCTGTCCAGCCATTTGGTGACGTTATATAGCGCCAGTGGGGACAGATCTCTCAGAATTGGTCAATGAACCACTGTTTTTGGAGCTATTTGCCCTTAAACACTATACCTGGCTCTATAAGGCGGCCATCGGCTGTAGTGGCTTCAATAAAGGTAGTCCAACTACGGCCCTGTGAGCTCTTAATTATAGCCTTCTGTTGGGCGTCAGAACTCCCCAATACGAGCCCGTCAAGGCCTATAGTATAGTAATTATCATAGATAATTGCCTAAGAGACTAATAGATAGTTACCAAAGCCAGCCATTATGCCTCCCTTATCGACATTAACTGTATTTTCTGGCTTAATCCAGCCGTATTCTCTCTCACGGATATCAAAGTACCAATGTACGGCTTTTGGTGTAAACGAGTTGAATCGAGCTGTCTCCTGCTTTCTACCCATCTTGGTACAAATTTCTGGATGTCTAGAGACAAATCGGTTGAGGCAATTCTTCCCTAATTCGTTGGTATCCCCCTGTTGAGCCAGAAGTGTAGAAACGCAAGCGCGTACGTGATTGTGCGTAGGGGCATATCCCAAGGACTCTTGTCTGATGATCCAGTCGACTATACGGCTTTCTTGGGCTATATAAACCCGCTTGCTGGTCGGTATAGGGTTGTCTGCCCACCCTTTGCCTTTGATTCTGTCGGAAAGGGTCTGCTGCGGCACTCCATGCTTCTGGGCGGATTTGTACTGCGACAGGCCATTATCGGTAACATCTAGAATAGCCTCGGATATCTGGTCCTCTGTCCAGCTACGGCGCGGCATTTTGGTGTACTGAAGCGTAGTACTTATAGAATAATAGTCAAAGGGGCATCGTGGCCTCAAAAGTAGTAGAATCAGAATTTTACGGCTGCCGGAACTCCGTAGTACCGATGTGGAGTATCGTGTAACCTTTCTAAAAATGCTAAATTGAAAACTCTATTCAATTCGCTATTTATTTGTGCAATCGGCTTGTAAATAGCTTCAATTTCTATTAAGATCCGTATAATTGAAGTTGAAGTAATTATAGTGTAGGTGCTGCTAATTTGGTTACCGGTGGGGGATGGTACATGTTGGTCTCTGGTGGAAGAGTACGGATGGATGGGTGGATTCAGACCTAATACAGACAGAGGAGAATGATGCTATGGGCATTGGAAAGGTTGTGAATATGCTTATAGATCATGAGGATCATATAACGTACCCCACCAGCAAGTTGGCCACTTTTTCTTGGCACCGTACGAACAACCTTTTAATTAACATCTTTACACATACCAAGATGGGATCGAATTGGAAAGAAAGCGGCATGATTCTAGCGTGTCAGGCGCTTCAATCGAAACCCGAATTAAGCATCCGACGCGCTGCCCAACTCTACAATGTCCCTCGTACAACTCTAGCTAACCGAAAACGCGGACTACTATCTCGACGCGATACTCGACAATCTACTCATAAGCTTACGGAATCAGAAGAGTTAGCGGTCGTACAATATATACTTAACCTAGATTCGCGATCATTTCCTCCCCGGCTCCATGGTGTTGAAGCTATGGCTAACCGACTGCTCCGTGACCGTGGCGCTGGACGCGTCGGCGTCAACTGGGCCTCGAACTTCGTACGACGACAACCAGACCTTCGGACGCGTTTTAATCGAAGAATCGACTACCAACGAGCCTATTGCGAAGATCCTGACGCGTATCGCGCGTGGTTTACGCTCGTACGAAATACAATTGCGAAATATGGTATCCAAGAGACGGATATCTATAACTTCGACGAGACAGGGTTCGCGATGGGCTTAATCTCATCCGAGATGGTATTTACAAGTTCCGAACGACGCGGAAGGCCTCGTACAGTCCAACAAGGCAATCGATAATGGGCTACAGTAATCCAGGGTATTAATTCGTCCGGCTGGGCTATCCCGCCGTATATTATTGTCGCGGGTCAAAACCACCTCTTATCCTGGTACGAGAATAGCCCATTCCCATCCGATTGGGTAATCGCTGTAACCAAAAACAGTTGGACAACAAATGAGCGAGGCGTAGACTGGATTCAGCACTTTGATCGCTATACGAAGGATCGTACGAAGGGTGTTTATCGTCTTCTTATCCTCGACGGGCATGAGAGCCACCACTCGACTGACTTCGAGCTATATTGCAAAAAGCATACTATTATTACACTTGGTATGCCTGCTCATTCGTTACATAAGCTCCAGCCTCTCGATGTAGGCTGTTTTAGGGCTTTGAAAAGGTCGTACGGCAAAGAAATTGAAGACCTAATACGGGCGCATATAACCTATATCTCGAAGGAGGATTTCTTTTCAGCATTCTATAGGGCGTATCGTACGACTATAACTAAGTCGAATATTGTAACGGGGTAAGGCCGGATATCAGGGAAATAGGTTACGGGGGCTAGGGAGGACTCCCCTGTCTTCCTTACTTCAAAAAGGGACACGGAGATAACAGGCGACTTTCAACAACTCGTCATCTCTTTCATCATCTTATTCAATCAACTTGACTTTTGTTTTCTATTCTAGTTAGCTAGCCCTTCAATCATGCGGTTCTTTTCTATATGCATTTAGACACTACTTTCGAAATCCTATTATTTTGCCCTCATCCTAGCCTTGATAATGACAGAGGATTATATTGTAACGGGGTAAGGCCGGACATCAGGGAAATAGGTTACGGGGCTAGGAGAAAGTTTATTTTCTCTTCTTTAAGAGGCACAGAGGCAGAGTAGGACATGAGTCCCTCATCTTCACGCTTCATCATCCTCATCTTCATATCATCATCTCCTTCTCATCTATATCTTCACCTTCGCTTTTCAGTCAGTTATTTAGCTATTTTAGTTCTGATGGGGATACAGAACGAGTGCCTCCGGGTAGTCTGTGGCGCCCACAAAGCGACGCCGGTTCGCCACCTGGAAGCAGAAGCAGCAATCCCGCCACTAGACCTCTATCTTAGTGCCCGGGCTGCTAAGTTTGAAGAACGGCTACGGCTTAGCGGGAAGAGAAATCTGCTTCGCAGCGCGAGCGCTAAAGCGTCACATATACTCCGACAGGATAGGCCGGCGAAGAGGAAGCAGGCGTCGCAGCTACTCCGACCGGCAGGGTACACTATGGAGAAGGAGGCCCGGGGCTCCGAATGGATGAGTGAGGAAAAGGAGGTCCCGGCTGCCCTCCTCGGCCACTGGAGGAAGAGATGGCTCACCGGAGCAGAGCATCACGATCGCCAGCGACGCGCTATCGCTGAGGAACCGGAGGGCCCTTCGATGCAGATACCGAAAGGGGGCAGGTATTTCGGCCTGAACCGACTGGAGGCGTCTACGCTGTGCCAGATCAGGACGGAAAAAATAGGACTAGCAGCCTTCTTATTCAAGACAGGGGCTTTTGGCGTGTACTCGCCGCTATGCCGCTGTGGCGACGCCCCTGAGACGGCAGAGCACGTAATCCTCTTTTGCGGGCTGTTGGAAGGACCGAGGGAACGATTACGGGCCGCCATCGCACCACGGCCACTATACTCTCGCAGAGACCTCGCAACGGCAACATGAGAACCAGTAGTTAGTGGGACTATTGTAAGGTGGCTGCTAGGGACGGGTC